CAAAGCAACACCAAAATCAATAATCAAAGTAGGAGAATCAACAGCTAAAGTTGCTTGTAAAACTGCAATTTAATTATAACTACATTCATAGAAAATACCTCTATTATCAATATGATTTTTGCAAACACATGTTTTATCTGACATTTCCATAGATTCATAGCAGTCTAAACATATGCTACTTTACTTGTACTAACAAGATCTACAAGTGTTAGCACATGCTTAGCAATCTGGTTTTATGTATTCTTAGCATTAAAGACATTACCACAAGATTGAATTTTCTTTGTAATTATTTGGACACCACTGATAGCAATATGTTCCAAGTTAATACCATCCTTAATAACAGCTACTACATTAGCTTTAAGCAGGCCCTGTGCATGATTAGCATGATAAATGACAATTTTTACATAAATAGTTTTAAGTAGAATCTCTAAATTAATTTTATGAACAAATTTGCATGCATTTATTGACTTACGAAACATACTCATGATCCTATGTACAAGTAGTACAGCTTTATCCATTAGTACAAGATACACAATTATCAATGCAATCAGCACATAAATAGTTATTTTGAGGGTTTCTATATTAATTCTGATTGCATATAACTAAGCAAGTATTTACTTCTTTAACATACTCGTAATTACTTTAGCACTAACCGCAACTTTATCCATCTATACATTTTAAACAATTGCTAACACAATTGGTGCAATCATAAAAAGTTTAATCTCTATATTAATTTTGTTAGCATTTAACTTTACATTAATATACTTATTGAATGAATTCATAGTTTGCTATACAAGTGTCACATTATTTATCTTGAGAACATTATGTGCAATTCGTTATACAAGAGTTGCATTACTAGGCCATGGTTTACCAATCAATAAAGGTAAATTATCCTACTGGGCAAATCATCTTGCAATATTGTTATGAATTATTATTTGGGTTTGCAGTTTAAGTATATCCACTAATGCATTGAGTACAGCTTAAATTTTAATCACAATTAGAGCACCCTTGATAGCATTGCTATTTTAGGGAAAAATTAAATATTTGGTTAAGTAGTTAAATAAAAATGAAATTTTATCTAAATTCTTTAAGATAAATCTAATTAATACTGTAAACTCTCTATAATAAGACCCCCCTCCCCCCTCCCCTAATTTAGAAAAAAGGGGGGATCATAAGATCTTTCCAAAAAAATATGGGGTATTATAGTAGGGGGTCTTAATATAGAGAGTATACAGTAAAAATGATGTTTTAATCTGAATTGCCAAAATATTTCTGAACTAATTTGGAATAATTAATTTGATAAAATAATTGAAATTACTGCGCATTATTATTTTTGAGAATTATATCCATATCCAGTCTAGCAATTACTACAATCATCAGATTTAGTACAGGTTTGGCAATTAGCGATACAAGATCTGCACTCTTATGACATGGTAGTATAATTAGTCACGAAATTGTACTATCCCACTGAGCAATTTTTTTAGCAGTACTGTAGAGTACTATCATTTGGTTTCTCCTTCTGAGTGTATCCATTAATGCATTAAGTACAGCTTTATTTATTTTAGCTACAATTAGAGCATCCTTCAGTACATATTGCCACCTAAATTAAAGAATAAAATTAATTTATGAAATAATAGGTTAGAAGTTATTAAATTAGGAATATGGTTTTATTAAAAACATTAAAAGTTGTTAAAAATAAAATTAGATTTATTGATAAAACTAAATCAAGTTGATGTCTTTAATCTAATTTCTAAAAATCTTATCTTAAAACTAATAAAGAATCAAAATTTTAAAAAACGCAACATTACATCACACCATTTTGTCATAGAATTATAATAATATCCATCAGCACATTAGATGCATCTAATAGTATAAGAACAGATTAAGCAATTGGGAATACAATCATGACACTCCTATATTAAATAATTGATCTATATAAGATTAGCATATTATCCTTATGGGCAATTTCTATTGCAAATATCTGTATGCTATTCAATAGTAAGATACATAAATGTGAATCCACTCAAGCAACCTGATGGTTAGCAGTTATGATTGTCAATACACTAATAACACCCTTCTTGGCACTTTTATTTTAAGTAAAAGTAAGCAATTAAAAAAGATTTGAATTTTTAAATTTCAGAAAATAATTATATTAATCGAAATTAGAAAGGTGGAAAGGAAGGGAGGTATGTCCGTTTTATTATCAAACTAAATTAGTAATGATTGGTACTGCTACTCATTTAAAAAAGTAAAAATAAATACCCTTTATATTTGGCTTTCCTCTTAAATCGAGTTAAAAAATAACAAATTTTTAAAATTAGTTTGGATTAAATAACTAAACTAATTTAAGGATCAATTTTATATAATTTGAGTAAATAATTATTTAATTAATTTAGATAGTTAAAATTTATTTATAAAAAATTATTTTTTTGAATATAATTAATAATCTAAAATACTTAAAACTAATCTATCCATATTTCAAACTAATAGATAAAAGCGCTAGCAAGATTAGGTTCATAGATTTTAACAGTAAATTGATTTGAATAGTTTTTAAAAAATTGACTAACGCCGCTATAATAATTAGGAAATTCATACTATATTCCATCATTTTATCGTGTACATTCATTATTCAAATTTGTAGATAATTTTGTTGTAATAGTTTCTCCATCACTAATAGATTGAAGAGTTGATTTAATATTTTACATTGATCTCATATATATGGCGTAAGTGACTCTATTAAAAAGAGGGCTTTTTAATAAAATGAATAAAATAGATTTTTTTTTTTTTTTAAAAAAAAGATTACATTTTCGAATACGGGAAATTAATTTCTATTGTATCTGAACTTGCGGTTATATAGTTTTTAGATGTGCAAAATGGGGTTTGGGTAGGGTTATTTAAGTTTTTTTTTGTATAAAAAAAAGGTTATTATTCATTAAGAAGGTCTATGTGTAATGCTTCAACTAAACTTATCATCAAAAGCAGATCTTATAAATTAAAAATAAATTTATTAAAAATATATGATATTTTATTTACAAAAAAACTTTTGAAGTAGATTGTTTTTTTTGATCTCTTCCTTTTTAAACATCTAATTTTTTTTTTTTTTAATTTATTTAATTAATAATTAATATATATTTAAAGCAGAATATGTTTCAGATTTATAATTACCTCTTTAAGGCCCAAAATAAACAAATAAATTTCTTTTATAAAATAGCTAAATAATGAATCCACTTACTCTAAATATCCTAAGTCTTAAAACATCTGGGATTCATAATCTCAAAGACTAATTTATTTTTATATACTGTATCTTAATTTGATAATCATGCGTCTTTGCTAAGGCTTTTAGTCCTGAGCAGAGGCTAAAGAAACTATAACAATCACATTTATTGATTCAAATAAATATAAAGAAGCAAGTTCTTATTTATAAAATAAGGATAAAATAAGCCATAGATAATATAGTCCTTGATATTAATTGTTTAATTCTTTAGTAAAATACAAAAAATAAATAATTATCTATTTATTTTATAATATTTAAAAAAAATATTGTTAGCAGGAATAAAAACTTATTATTTTGTTGCTTAGTGTATTTACAGATTACCAGATGATTGGATTTACTTAATTCACCACAAATACAAAATTCCTTTAAAAATAATTAAAATTGTGAATATCAATTACTTTTTTTTTTGGTTTGAATTATTTGGTTCGATCTAACTATTTGTAATCTTGATATACATATATTAAAGAAAATATATAAGTTTTTACTCATTTGTTATTAAGTTAATAATCTTCTATATTTTATTTCGAATATAAAATCTATTTTGACTAAACGAAAACTATAAAAGTTTCCATTTTTATGTCAACTTTCTGTAAAAATTTAGAATTTTATATTATTTAAATTAATTTATAGTTAATTTCTTAGGGGTAACTACGCGTCTTTGCTAAGGCTTTTAGTTCTGAGCATAGATTAAGAAAATATAAAAATCACATTGATTCATTCAAATAAATATACATTAATTTCTAAAGAGGCAAGTTCTTATTTATAAAATAAGGATAAAATAAACCATAGAAATTATAGTCCTTGATATTTTTTGTTTAATTCTTTAGTAACAATACAAAAAAATAAATAATTATCTATTCATTTTTTATATTTTTAAAAATTTTTGTTAGTAGTAATCAAAACTTATTATTGTGTTGCTTAGTGTATTTACAGATTACCAGATAACTGGATTTACTTAATACATCACAAATACAGAATTTCATTTAAAATAATACAAATTGTTAATATTATAGCAAAATGCCATTCAAAAATTTCGTATTTTGGAAACGACTATTTTAGTGAATGGCATTTAATTACATATATTTGTTTTTAATTAATTATTTGTTTAGCTTAGAAAAGTAGAAAAAAGAAAATTCAAAAAAGTAATTAAATTTAATTTCAATAAAACTATATAATATAAAATGAGACAACTGCCCCACGGGAATTAATGGATATTGGCAATGTGAACCCAGTTTTATTATTTCTCCAATCTCTTTTAAAATAAAAAATTTTAGAAGAGGTATTAATTTTTGCACTCGGCTATATATGTTTAGTAAGTAGTCTTACTTAATAATTATAATTTAAATATTTAAAAAGTTATTGTAAAAAATATTAAATAAAATATTATGCATTTATTTAATTAATTATTTTTAATAAATTTTATTTGAAATTATTTAAAAGAATTTTTATCTTTAATGAGATGATTAAATAGAGTTTTTACTTTAGGATAAATATTTAATAAATTTAATGAGCTAATCTAATCAGAAATTAATCAATCAATCAATAAATTATATACATAATTAAATCTTTTTTAAAATAATTAAAATGCTGTTTAAATCGCAATTATTAATTCAATAATCAAGTCATTATCCATTTATGTTATCTATTTTTACTTACAAAAATCATAATAGAGCTCGAGGGTAAGTCTAAATAGGCTTAATTAAGAATTTTTTTAAAAGTATTAATCTCAATATTCAAATTCTTCAGTATCCTCTTTTTTTAAACTTTTGGTGACTCTATGTTATTCATCTACTCTTCCTTCAAGACCATCAATTTCATTTTCTTAACTATTGTTGTCCAATCCAAAACAACTCTTTTCTGCAGCATACTCATTTTCTTAATCATGATGATCATTAAGTTAGTTGTTTTCTTATGTTGGCTTATCCTCAACGTTATTTTTAGGCTCAAATACTTAAACATACTAATTAAAAAACAATTTATTTATATTAAGTTATATTTTGATACAAAATATCTTACTAATTTTAATACTTCTCTTGCTAATTCTACGCATTAATTATAACTGATATGTCTATATTGTCTTTCCTCTGCTTGTTCTAATAGGAAAGGTTTAAACCATCTTAATTCTTGTGACTTTATAATATTTTTTATTAAATTATAAAACTTAATTTTGATACAAAATTACATGATCTTAAGAAGTTATAATATTGTAAAAAATAGGATTTCTTTGTGAGTATAAGCAAATCCATTTTATAAATTCAATACAAGTCTGTTCATTATTGTTTTTTCTGAATTCCATCTTTTTGAATACTCTATCATATGTTTATCCACTAAAGAAGAAGAGTTTGATTCTCATTTCAGTAAATCCATCATCTAAATCAAATTGCTCTTTAAGAATCTTAAAAGCAACATCAAACTAAAATTACATTTTTTAATTATTAATTCATCATGCTTAAAAATTAATTTGAGTAATTACATTATAATAGAGGAATTAGTGGTCAACAACATATTCTCTTAGAGATATTATCAACTTTTTAGTATTTTACTCATTACCCCAGCAGATATGTATAAATAGTTAGTAAGGGTCATTAATATAGTAGCAAATTTACTGATATTCTTTAAAATAGTTAAGCAAGCTATTTTCTATTTCTGGTTCTAAGTTAACTAAAATTTAGCTCTCATTGCTTTTTATGAAGACTGGAGAGCATTAGTTTATAAAGCGCATACCATTTGTCACACTCCTAATAGCAATTTAAGCTAAAATATCTAAAAGAGTTACTGAATTCTTTTAAACATTTGGATCTTAGTGCTAAATAAGACATTTAAATAATTAAAAATAAAATTTTCTTAAATTAAAAAATTAATACTTGCTAGTTGTTCAACTGCTTCTTCAGTAAATTGTTTAAGTATAACATATAATTTTTGGTCACTTATTGATCGTTTAAAATTTAAATAAACTAGTTATCAATAGTAACTAATTATTTTATAATATTTAGGTAGTTGGAAGCCTTGTTAATGTTTTGAGCTAAACTTTCTTACATCTATTAAACAAACAAGCTTACAAATCTGTACAAGCAAGATACGTTCTCTATTAATTATTTATAAAATAATTGTCAAATTAAATAAATTCTAAATAAAAGCTTTAAAATTATTGAAGATCAGATTAAGCTCTTCATACAAAAGTTAAAATAATCAATGAATAAAATTTTTTATTGTTATTAGATATAATTAATTGAACAGCGTCTCTCTAAAATTAAGGTTAAACAATAAAAAATAATTTTTCAGTAATGATTATTTTAAATCTTAAAAATAAAAAATTCTCTCATTGTATTTTTGAAGAATTACAGTATTTTGCTTAAACATTTTATATTAAATTTTGATTAAATTTTTAAAAGAAAGAAAAGATAAAATGAAAAGTTCACCTTGATAGTTTTCAATTTATTGGTAGTTATTATTGAAATCGATAGCCCTTTTGAATACTTTTAATTTTAATATGTAGCTTTTTTCAACTTAATAAATATTTTCTAAGCATTAAATAATAATTTCTTAGAATCTTTCCCTTATTTCTATGTTAAATTGATCCAATATAAGCTAAACAATTAACTGTTTTCTCTAAGCTAGATAAATATCCAAAAACCAAAAGCATGCAACTACATTTTTGGCTAAAACAGATTGTATTTATTTAAGGGCTTAGCAAAAACTTTAATAGTCCTTAGATCTAGATTAATTTTCCAGTAAATTTTAGAGAGCAAATTAAAGTATTTAGATGTCTTAAGATTCTTTAAGATATTGAAGAGTTTATTCTTCAGGAATATCTTCTTGCTAATAAAAATAAATGATTAATTATGAAAAATTTATTTTTAAATAATTCAAAAAAAAAAAAAAAACTACAGAAAGCTGGGTCTCATCTATTTCATTATAATCAGAGTCATTTTCTGTCATTGCAATATAAAATTTAAACTCTTTCATCCACTTTAAGCATTCAATTTGTGAGCTAGTGTATGAAATATTGCTTGTTACATTTTTAAATTCGCTGAACTAATAAGAGAATATGAATTCACGAACAAAATTAAAGTAGTCAGAGTCAAAAATGTATCTTGATTTCCAAAATTCTCTGTTTTCATCCTTTATTTTCTACACTAAATCTTACTAAATTGGTAGATTAACTAGTTCCTAAAGTCTGTGAGGATAAGGGTTCACTCTTTCATAGAATAATATGTAAGCATTTCTACTCTATAATTTAAAGAAAATTATTAATTTATTTTATTTCATTTCATTTTTTAAATTTTACTTTATTATAATCTGACTCATCCCACATCTAACTTCTGTATACTTGTTAGGATTTACCTCCATAGCATTCATCTTTAATATTTTCAACATTAAATTCTCTAACATAGGAATCATTGAACTCATACCATCTAGATTATTTTTCAAATGCATTATTTTTAAGTTAAAGAATAAATATTTTTTAAAATAATTACTTGGAATCCTCCTTATTTTTTATAAATGAATAATAATGCCCAGATTCAGATGTTCCATTATGGACAAGAACTCCTGATAGTTAGAAATTGTAGTATTCATCAGGATGTATATCTGATTCATTTAAGTTTCTACCTTCTTATTCAAATAATTTTTATTTTGTCCAATTACGTAAATTTAGTTCTAATGGGAACTCGAAATAATCATTAATTTTTTTCTTCTCCATTGTGATAAAATCAAAATCGAATCTCTTTAAAGTAAGAACTAAATTATTAGGGAGACTCTTGATGCAACTTCTTTTTTAAGCTTTGATTTTTCTTTAATACTTTTCACAGAAGTACATATTTTCTCCATCTAATGTGTCACCCTTAATTTAAGTATCAAGAGCTTCATACAAGTTCTTGCATTTTTGAATATCCACTGTTATTGTTAAGTATGGTTCTATTGTTTCAGCTAAGAAAGGGTATTCTTCTTCTAAAGAAATAATCTCATTTGATAGTTAACCACCTATCAATTCCTGTAGAAGTCCTTTTTGAGGAGTAGGCTTTAATTCATCTTCTAATTTATCAGTGATTCTGTTGAAAAATTCGTTTACATCTTACTAAACTCTAACATTTATTTGTTCGCCATCAAATCCTTGTTTTTATATTTATTAAAATAAATACATCATTTATTATTAAATTACCTTTTATTGATTCGATGAGACTTGTAGGCCATACATACTATTTGATAGAAGACTCCATTGAAGCAAACAGATTTTAGAGTTGATAAAGAGTGTGCTCCTTGTAAAGTTAATGGAAAGAATCGTTAATATCCTAGTTTAATCTTTGATGGTGTTATACTTCATCAATCTCCATAGTACTACTGCTAGTGTTATATTATCCTGCAGAGGGAGGAGCAGCTGGTTATTGAGGTAATTATTTCTATTAGTTGTTTATAACTATTTAGGCATTCAAAATAGCTCTTCTGAAATCTTTAATCATATAAAATTATTACAATAAGCTGTTAATATAGCAAGTGCATCCCAAGTTTTTAAGACCAACAAAACCATGAGCAGGTTTTAAATTGACTTCTAAGTCTTAATCATTAAATTGTAAGTGTTATTAATTAGATTGAATAGTTCTAAATACTATCTAAAAATTCTCTTAAGAAAATGAGCATAGAGTTAAAATCATCTTGAGAGCTGCTTATCTTGTTTCACGATGCTTGCACTTAGGAAGCTCAACAAAATTAGAAACATCCATGTCCTAACCAGGTAAATAGAATAAGTAATCAATCATGTTTTGAATGAGTTAAGGATTTAAGCTAGCAAGTGACTACTTTCTTATGATTAGTTCTTAGGCAAATCTAAACAATGATGCTAAAACCTAGTATAAATAATTATTAAGTGATAAATTAAAAAATTTAATTATTTTAAGTAAATATGTATGATCTTATTACCTTATCTTAGTTGTTTTAATAGCGTGTCTCTATAATTGGACGGTTCTATATTCCATTAATAATGACATTGTATAAAGTTTAAATATTAATTCCAAAGTTTTAATTTATTTGTGTCTCATCAAAGTTCTAAATAAATGATAGAATGGCTTGGATGTATTCATCACAGTTTGCAAAGTTCACATTATTTATAAATTATTCAAATAATCCTAATAGAGTCTTTATAAAGAATTAGCGTGTCTTCAATTAATTCTAACTTTATTCTAATTAAAAAAATTAAACAAAATTTGTTAAAATAAAAATGGTAATTTTAAAATAAATAAATAAATAAATAACTTTACCTGGTTGTTACTGAATGTTTTATTCAATAAAATGGGTAATGAAAACGATGAACTCAAAAGTTTTAAGGCGAATTCTCAAACTTTAGCATCCAAATAATTAGAAGACGAGTAATTATTGGATTCTACCAAATTATTCAAGCACGCATAAATTGCTAGGCATAAAGATGATACATGATTATAACAGCCCTATTGTTTCAAAGAGCATATCTTCACAAATTAATTCTTATGTTTGAGCAAATAAAGAAGAAGTAATTTCTAAAATTTCAATGCATTTTTAAGAAATAATATTTAATTAGATTATAGATTACAGCTTTGATAATAGAGTAGCATCAGATTCGATGCTTTAAACTAAATCATAAATCTCGCTTAAAGAATTGTTGTTGGCAGTAATATTATTCTAATTTTGTCCTTATATATTATTATTTTGAGTAGGTGCAGCTGAAGTCATTTCTTCCATTTTATTTGAATTGGATTAAGATGACATTTATGCCAATTCTTCATCACTTAACCCGCCTTTATTTGGATTGTTCATTGGACCTATAAACTGATTTTTCTCCTCCATTTACATTTAATTAGAATTATTATTAGCATTACTTTTATTTTAGTTATTCATATTATTAGAGTTATTGTTATTTTAGCTTTTGCTTCTCTCAGTTTAATTGGTGAGAATCACTTTTCTTAGTATACTTTAAGGATTTGAGTTACTCATCAAAAAGGCTTCTACATAAGTTTTTACTACATATAATATGCTTTGATAGCTCTTGAGCTGCTTTTGTATATTTAATGAAACATCAGCATTTTACCCATCTGAGTTTGTCCTTACCACCATATTTTATACCTCAAAATATTCTCCCAGATCCACACTTATTAAAGCTTAAAGCAAGAATGTAAAACCGTTTGATTTAACAAAATTAATTCTAAAATTCTTTCTTTGGAAATAGACTTCTCTTTCTCTAGGATCATTTGGGAGTTAGTTGTTATTAAAACCAGAGGTGAAAAGATCGGTGTTGCAATTAACGATTTTAAAAATCATTTGTAATCTATAAAGTATTACATATTTGTTCTGTACATTAAGGAATGTTTACCAATTACTCTCATCAGAGTTTTCTATATTTTGGCATAACTCATTTATTGCGCTTGAAGACTTTTTGCTTACTGGGAGAATAGTTATGATATCCCATATTTTTTATTAGAGTTAAGGGTTATCAATTTCAAGTAATTAAAATAAAAACTCAAAGTATTCCTCATGATTAGAAATAATTTTAGAGAAAGAAATTTTTCCATCTTTTGCTTCAGTATCATCTTCTAGCTCATTTTTATCTTCTTCTAAGATATTATCATTATTGTTATTGCTGGTTTCTTGAGTTCCTTTTGTGTTGTTATTTTTTTAGTTATTGCCTCCAAAGCTTGTATCTAAATCCTAGAACTTATGATTATCTTCCTAGGGTCCTAAATAGAAAATATATAGAAAATAAAATTATAAAAAAAACAATAACAAAAATTGAATTACTCAAAAGAAATTTTTGCTCATAATCTTAAACTTCTTGATCATCATAAAAAATATTCAAAACATCACCAATATCTTCTTTTTTGTCACGTAAAAGAAATTCTATAAAATCATCAGCATAGTTATTATTATTCAGAATATCTTTGATTTAAGCAACCTTTTCTCTTAGATCTTCCTTTGGTTTAAAATCGTTATTATCAACAGGATAACCTAATGGAATTGCTTAGTTATTCATAGAATAATCATCTAATTCCATAGCATCATTTTTTTTGTGAATTTTTAGTGTTTATTTGTCTTAAATTTTACAGCAACTTACTGTTTTATTTAAATCTCCAATAATTTGTCCTCCACAAAATGCCTCTAATTACTCAGGTTTGACTTTAGGATTCATCCTTTCTATAATTTTTATTAGTAAATAATTAAATAATTACATTAATAAGAATTAAATTTTAAATACCTCCGATCGTTGTAAATACTTCTCTAATAGTTTGATTTGTTTATACTTAAATCTAAAACTTCTCTTGACTTTAGCTTTGATATTGATTGTCTATTTAAATAGATATTACTGGGTAATAATTTCTGAGTTGGGTGGTAGGCTAAGTATTCTTATCGATATTTTTTAATAGTTTATTTAAAAGATCAAGTGAACGTTAGAGCACTTGGTTATAATGATTTTTTAGGAGCTCGATTTCATTTTATTAATTAAATAAATTTAAATTGCTATTTGCTTTATTAGCTTGATTGTTGGTGAATCCATTAGCTGCTAAGCAATCATATGACTCTTTTAATTAAACCATGATTTCTTTAATGTAAAGCTGCTTTATCTTTTATGAAACTTCAGGATCACTGTATTATGTAGCAAGTAGTATAATCTTTGAAATAATAGTTCCTGCATGATTTGATATTGCTTAATCTTAATGCGTTAAATAAATTTACCAAAAACGATCAATACCTAATATTTAGTCTGTTGTAATAGTATAGTTAATAAAATTTGTTGGAGACTAAGTATCTAAGGAAGAAGGATTAGTCTTTGAGGGTTCAAATAAGTTAATGACATAAGAGTTTCCTTAAATTTAAACAAAATTTTTTACGTATTCATTTATGTAAAAGAAATAAGCCTCAAAGCAGTTCATGATTACTGCAGAGAATTATTAAATGTCAAGACATAGAAGAATTTCATTAAAAATATATGAGAAATTCTCTTTGTTAATGAGCTCAAAACAAACCTTAGATTGTTATTAGTTGTAGTTAGACTCTAAAACTTTATTCATTTATCTTTATTCTACCACTAATTATATAAGCACATTATAAAATAGCTCCTTTTCTTATGGTATACGCTCATTCTAGCAAAATAAAGCAAACAAATTTTTAATTATGTCTACATTAAAGTCTCTTTTTATTCCTCTCAGACTTTCTAAAACAGCTTTAAGTCTATCTTTGCAAGTCTCAATATATTCTTTGTATACATTCTAATAATTTTACAGAGTATGTTCGTCTATGGCATTTAAAATTCTAAAATTTAAATACTCAATTTTATGAGCTTCTTATCTGATTTTGTTAGTTAAAGTTAGTTATTACTGCTGTTATTATTCATTCCTAAAAGGACTGCTACTGTTATCATTTGCTTGCATTGCTACTTTTTATTAGCTTTTTTTGTTATCATTTTAACTCATTACATTGTTGTTGTTGTTATAGTGGGCTGATTCATCTTCCATTTAATATGAAGAAGGTGGTATGGGAGAAGAGTTTATTTGATTGTTATGTAAATTCATTCTCTTAAAATCATCCAATAGTTAAATTAACTTAACAAAGCTTAGCTTGTATTTTTATATGCTTTACAAAACGCAATTTTAAAAGACTACTTTTTATTCTAAAAATTAAAACAACTCCTCAGACGTACTAAATACTTTTTCATCATTAATATCTTCTATTGGAAGACTTCTATTTAAGCTACAGATAAAATCTAATGACTAATCAATCATTTCTTCTTTGTTTATCATTTCAATACATTTATTTAGCAAATCCTAAAAAATGAAAATATGTCAATAAAAAGTTAAAATCTAAATAAATAAATAAATAAACAAACAAAGAAAGAAATAAATAAATAAATAAAAAGTAAATTTACATATTTAAGAGGTCTAAATTAGTGTTCAACAACATGTTTCATAATTTCAATGCATTTATCAACTAATTCTTAAGGCATAGTATTGTACTGGGTACAAGCTTTTTTAATAATTTACCAAAAGTACTCATACATTTTAATTGCTTCTTATTTGACAATAGTAACATATTTTCCTCCCGTTGAACCTAAGTTGATTTCATTTTCTCTATACTTTCTTCCTTTTCCTTCTTTTCCCTGCGCTCCAAGAACATCTGATCTTTTTTTATACTTTCTTCTTGGAATTTCATATGTTTAATCGCATGGATTATCGAAAAAATCTGTTTGATTTTTTTGAATACGCTTTTCAATACTTTGCTTAATATCTTCATTGATTTGATTTTCTGGGTCAAACTAATTTTCATCACCATCTAATTTATTTTATTTTGTAAATTTTCTATTTTTAAATAATATTTTACTTGAGGCTTCATTTGATCTGGCATCTTCATCAGTGTCGTTATTTTAGTTTCTACAATTATTTACTAATAAAAAAAATAGTTATGAATGGCAATTATGTTAATAAATATTGTACGCTATCCAACTTGGACATTCTAAATCAATTCTTCATCCAAATTATCTTTCGAGTTAGACTAATTGCTACTTTTATTGAAACTTTTCAAAGTTTTATTTAGATTATTTGAGGATCTAGGATTTTATTGACATTCGATTTCCTAAGAAGGAACATAAGTAAAATTATAAAGCTTAGAGTTTAATAAAATCGCTCTTAGTAAGTTAATAGTTTCTAAATCTATTTCTACAATTGGAGTTTTTTGTACTTCATTAAAAACAAGATCTAAGTCTTCTACATCTATGATATCTACTAAATTATTAAGCAAAGAATACACGCAGGAACGTAGGGAGTGATGTTTTCCAACAGCCAAGCGATAAATGTATAAAATTTGGTCTTACTTAAGGCTCTTATTGTTATATAAAAATCTAACTATCGGGTAGCTTCTCTTAATGATTTCATGGTGAGAATATTCATTAAAAATTTTCTCAAACATTTATTTATATAAAATCCACTCTAAAATGCTTTTTTTTATGTTATTTTCATCAAATTCATTCCAAACAGGGAAATAAATAGTATTGCTAGGAATAATCTAGCCCTCTTAGGGTGCTTTATAGTAGAATGAGCAATAATTAATGCTAAACTATGTATCTTCGTCTATCAACTTATTTATTTTTTATATTATATTAGTAATACCTGTTACTTTTTGCTAAAGTTATTAACTACAAAAGAAAACAAAATAAAACTCCAGCTCTAAAAAGTTGACGAACCTTTCTGATTCATTGTATTAAAAACCAGTATTTGCTATGTATTAAACTGTTTTTAAGAGTTTTTCTATAAAGTTAGGTGGTAATTATTTAGTGTTGTATTAAATTTTAAGGGGAAGATCTTTGATTATCAAAATCAGTTCATTTGTTAGTACATTGTGCATTTTTCTTGTGTATGCATCATTTTAAAATAACTTCTTAAAGAGTTTTAGAATGTCTTTAATCTGTATTATGTTATTGCTACTCTTCAAGATATCAATTAAATATTTTTCATATCCTATTTCGCATATTTTAAGTTTCACTATGTCTTTGATTAGATACATGTTTTCGTATTAATTATATTCTATTCTTTCACAGCGTGGCTTATTCTACTCTTATGTTTACTCACGAACTTTTTTCTAATAAATTAACAGTTTAATACATTTTAAAAATATTTAAATAATCAATAACTAAGCCTCTTTTCAAACAAACACATTTTTCAAAATGAAAATTTAATCTAAACTTTAGGAGGCAAATCAAAATAAATGAAATATATTACATATATCAGCTTTGTATCAATGCAATGGTTTCTGGAATAAAATTTCGTATTGTATGTTATGCCTGCTTCTATTATTGGTTTTAAATTCTCATTTTCAGCTAAAAACATAAAAGAAAAAACAATTGCTTTTAATATAAACAGAGTCCCTTCAATCAACACATCAATGTCATTGATATTACTATAGATATTTTATGATAAAGTTAATAATCAATCATTCATTAACAATTAAAAGGTCTAATGAAAAAAATGAATTTACGATGGATTTAACTCATATATGGATTTAGTAAGAGGCATTAATACATTTGTAATGAACTACTATATATCTGCTTTTTAAGTTATATTGCCCTTAATTATTTAAAAAATTATTTGTAAAAAGAATTGCTCAAAATATATTAACTATTTTAAAACTCTAATTCACAAGATGAAATGGAATCTTAGCTGATATTTTTACAGCTTATTAAATTATCTTAAAATTTTATTACCTTAATTATGTTTTCTAAGACATAGTATGCGTATCTATAATAAGTCTTATCTGAGTGGGACACTAATTTTATTTTAAAAGTTAATCATCAAAAAAAATATTTTAATTATAATTTGCTATAAACAAGAATTTAAAATTGATTTTTTATTTGTAGAAATACAAATTGCATTTGCATCGATTTCTTTCTTCTTGATAGCAATTCAAAAAAAAAATTACAAATGCAACACTGATCGTTCAACCCATAGAAAACCTAAAATTCAATATTGTCTATTACAGGTATATCGGTAGATTCGTATTAAACTTATTCATCTATTTAATTATTTTATTCTAAGTTATGATTTTACTCTGTTGTATTTAAATCTATTTCGATCTCTTGCTATTCGTTTTATGTTCTCTATTATTATTGCTACTCTTTTTTTAGATTAAAAATAATATAAAAGTTAAGATGAGGAATTTTTATGAGCTTAAATTCTAATACATTAATTTGGTTGAGATTCAACTTTCTCTTCTTCATCTGAAACGATCTATTCCTTTCCTTCTTAAATTGTCATTATGAGTGATGGCGCGTGCTATTAACTAATTAACTAACTAAGAATTAAACCTGATCTTATTCTCTATTTAATAACCTTTAATAGGAGTTTATAATTTATTAATTATTATTACTTTTTCTTTATCTTGTTTGTCTATACAAAAATTTTAAGGAACAAATATTTTATTTATATGTTTTTATTGTTAATATCAATAAAAAATCCTAATATTTGATAAAAAATTTGGAGCTGCTTTAATTTTATTAATATCGCAAAAGAAATTATAAGTATCTTTGTTTTAATATTCTTTTTTCTTCTAATAAGATTTCAATCAATGTTTCTAATTTTTTATCAAATATGTATGTATGTTTGTTTATTTATTTTTTTATACATATAAATTAGTTAATCAGATAAACCTAGAAAGAAATTGATAGATTAATTGAAATATAGATAGATAGATATCTAATCTCATCAATAGTTTTTGAGTATCTCACATTAAAGTTAGATTTTGAGATCAGAAATTTTAATACTAATTGCTACTATCAATTATCTTTCACTCTTTAATTATTCTAATCAGGTTTATCACATTTTTTTTTGAAGGAAAAATAAAATTTTGCACCAAATTTTTTAATTTAAAAATATTTTTATTTTTACTCACAATAATTAATTAAAAAATTTCCAATTTATTGAATATTTGACAAATTAAAAACTAATTAGTTTATAGACTTATAGATCTTAAATATATTAAAATGATTTTCACAAATATTTAAATCCGCTGTGATATTTTTTGTTCTATTCTAAATTTATCAATGATAAAAATTCATTTGAAAAAACTGACTATTTTAATTGATTGAAAAGCGTGCATGTATAATTTATAAAATAACTATTTTATTACTAGAAAAAAGTAATCTGTCTAAAATAATGAAAAGATAAGAGTTTTTTTTCATTTTATATTCAAGAAATAAATATCAAAATTAAAAATTTTTTTGTAAATTTTTAAATTAATAGCTTTGATATTTTTTGTTTATATCTTTAATAAAAGTATTTTCATAGAGTAATAATTAATACAGATTAATTTATATTTTCATGACATATATAAAATTTATAAATCTTAATTAATTATAAAGAATATTTTGATATTTCTACCATTTAAATAAAATAATAGCACATACTTCTTTCAGTTATTCTTTTATTATATTTTATTATATACAAAAGTAATTCTTTCTTTTTTATTTGATTCTTGTATTTATTTATAAGTATTTAAAGTATTTAGTTTATTATAATTTTTCAGGTATTAGAGTTATCACATCAATGTTCATATTTATGATGCTTTTATTATAATGTTTAATTAATAAAGAACTTTTAAAATAATTTAATTTTACAATATCTCTTAACTCTGCACTTTTATAACTTAAATTTTGTAAAATAGTACTAATTTAAGAGCTTAACTCTGGCACCAACGTGAGATAAGATTTTTTCAATTTAACTAAACTTTGAATGAATTCATCTGCTCTGTGGTACACTACAGTTATCATATCGTTAGCAGCACTTTATTTAGCAAGGAATCTCCAGTAGAATAGAGAGCTCATTCCCAAATCCTATTTAAATAAGTCAATTAAATTTATACTATTTTTAAAAGCAAATTATATATTCTACCTTCTATACTTTCACTAAGCACATATTTGCTAATCCGTTAAGAATATCTGGTCCTGTACTTTCATCATCTATGCACATTTCTTTCAAAATATCTCTATCTGTATATAATGTGTGGACAAGTTCTAAGCACTATGAAAAAAAATTTCAATTTATTTATTAAACCTATTTTGCTTTAAGAAAATTTACTTGGAAGCATTTAACCATAATATTGACAGAGTAAAGAGATTCGTCCATAATTTAGAATAATGATTCAACTATTTCAAAATCAATTAAAGCTCTTAATCCTTTAGGATTTTTCATAGTGTAAAATATTATATCAAGTGAATGGCTTATAAATTCTTCTTAAGTTTCTTCTTTCTTTAAGAGCTTAGCAATTCCATTCAAGTCTCCTGCATCTATATATTCATATGTCCTTGGCTCTTAAACTAAGAACACCAAAATTTTTGCTGCTGTTATAGCAGTTTTGTAATCTAAATGATGGCAATTTTAAACAACTTTCATTATAAGTTCTCTTCCCTTCAAGTCAACTATGTATCCATTCATAGTCTCCTTTTCACATATACCTACAAGCATAAGACCATAGTTGATACCATCAGTTAAGTTGGTACTTCTTAAATAACCTTCAACTATTGCTTTTAATACATCTCTATCATGTAAATGGTTTACCATTACACCTATAATATAAATAAATTAAACATTATTATTATTCTATTTATTTATTTCGATTTTTTATTTACTTTCCATCTTATCCCATAAAACATGAATTATTTCTAAAACTATTTATTCTGTTTTGTTATCATTTTTAAGTCTTACATCACAGAATAGACGCATAATTCTTTAGCAAAGCAAATGCTCGTCAGGGCAGGGGAAATCTTCAATTAATGCACGGATAATTTTTAAGCTTTTATATAGCACATCTCTGAGGGGAGTAACTTCTTTAAGGGTTTCACCTTCGGCAACTTCTAAATTTCTTAAGATAAGTCCTGTGCCCTAGACATTTAACATTTCACATTCTTTTTCCTATATTAGATTATTTTTAATTAAAACATACTTTTAAGATTTGCTTAAAATTTTACATTTGAATGGTCAATAAGTTTCTTGAAAAGATTCAAAGCATGAATTCTTGTTGTAGGATAAGGAGATGTTCCTGCTACTGTAGCTATTCTTTCAATGATATCAGTTTTGTATAACATTTTTTAGTAAGAGAAAGTTGGGATGATCAAACACATGCTTTGTTAAGAAATAATAAATATAGCATTGAAAAAAATAAGTCAAAAATGTAATTAAGTTACCATTGAATTGAGTTAGATAAAATACTGTTGTTATCAGACATTATCAGTTATGAGAGTTTCAAAAGTTACTTAATATCTTTAATCGAATTAATAAACTGTTCTTCAGGAAGCAAAGGAACAAGTAGTGCAAGTGTGGCTCTTTGAATTTCACCATTAATATTATCTAAATTATCAAGCAAAGGTTGAGCAATATCGTAAGAAACCATCTGATATTTTATATATAATTAAACATTAATTTTATTATACTCTATATTAAAATTAAAAAAATACAAAATTAATTAGAGCTTTCTTTCTTGCCATCATGTGCAGAACGTTTAAGGATAGAAGCTTGGGCCACTCTTTAGCATCTTATTTCACATATTAAACTAAAGTTTTAAGCCCATTGACATTCATTAATTCATCGGACATTGATTCAGTCCAATCCATATTGGAATTATCCATGTAAGACAAAACTTTCAATGCACTCATATGCAAGTTGTGATAATCTTGAATATCTTCATCCATTCTAGGTGGTCTAAGATTTTTAACGATAATATTTCCATTTTAGATCATTCTAATTTCTTCTTTTGTTAGCTTTATATTTTATAAAGTAAATTTTTGTTAATAAAATATAAAAAAGTAATTTTACTCTGTCTAAATCGATTGTGTCTGCCATTAAAAGAGTAGTTAATTCATAGAGTTAAACATTATTTACTTCAAGTGCCTCTCTAAAAACTTTAGGCTTTAGTTCTTCTGACTAAGTAAAATTTTCTCTTAGAGAGTCTGTCTACATTAACTTTATTTAAAAAGATAATAAAATGTTATTTTTAAATAATTAAAGAATAATAAATTCAAAGAAAACCTTTTCTAATAGCTAAATTCTGTATGAAATATTATCTTAATAATATTTCCAATACACGGCCCATTCCTTTAAGGATCTTATGTACTTTATTTTCATAAAAGGGTTATTGCCATCGTTAACAGGTTAGATTACTTGAGATCCTGTAACTTTAGAGCCAGGAGTTTAAGGCAATATAATTGAGTTGCTACCATTTTTAAAATTTGATAGAGTGGAGTAATTTATACTTCCTTATTACTAATCTAATATTTTAGCTTTGAGTCCTGAAGAGGGTGTAGTAGATCCCAATGCTTTATCAAATCCATTTGATGAGCGACCTTGCTACCTGATTGCTGGCATTTAGTAACTAGAGGAGGCTCCTTCTAGAGTCTTCTTTCTCAGTCTTTAAGTCTCTTCTTCACTCTAAACAACTTTGTATCTTAGTTATGCTATTTCTCTTTCTTTATTACTGATCAGTTATAGTAATTGTTTGTTTTGTTCTTGGTTTTAATAATTTTCTATTTTCATTTTATTGATTTCATTTTCTGTTGAGTTTACAATTTAATTGATTTCTTAATTTAAGTCTTTAATTTTCTTCATGAATTCATTCTTTTGTGCTTCGTATTCTTTCAAGAGTTTGTTTCTCTCTTATTTTTCATGAGTAAGCTATTATTCAAGCTGAGCATTGAAAACAGATAACTCTCTTGATTTATCTTTAGCATTCCTTGCTTCATTCTTTAACTTTACTAAATCTAATTTTGTTAATTCATCTTATTTTGTGATTTCATCTTCCAAAATTTTCATTTTTTGATTTGTATTTAAAATTTCTTATTTCATCGTAACTTCAAGACCTTCTCTTCTCATCAGAAGTTCCTTGAGAACTTCAATTAATTACTAATTATCTTATTTTAAAAAAGAAAAATTATTTTTATTTTTTACAAATTTCTTAAAATTTTAAATACCTGTATCTTGCATTTTTTAGGCTTTCACTACTCTATTGTCTATTGATTTATGAGCATCTGAATCTACAAGAACATCCTTGTAGTAAGTACGAATTGTATTATAAGCCTCATTGATAACTGCTTAGAGTTTTTTGATTTTATCTTCATTTCTTTCTAATTCTCTATTTTTTCTTAAAATATTTTCTTCGTAATCTCTAATCTTTTAATTTAGCTCTGCTTCATTACTAGTAACTTTACCATCTTTAAGATTTTATTAATCTCTATATGAATTAAGAACTGCAGATGGTCTTTTAAAATCATCATTTTCATCTAACTAAAGTCTAACTCCTCTCTCTTATTCCATCATTTCTATTTTATACTGTAATTTCTCTTATTCTTCGTTCTTTTTATTCAAAATAACTTTTAAGTCATCTACCAAGTTAACAAGCTCAGCAATTCTTTTAGAACTAGGTTCAAGGTCTAAGCCTATTTTAACAAATTTAATTGAAATAAGATAACAAATTTATTAAATTGATAAATATATATAAAATTATAAATAAAATCCTCAAAAATTTAAAGAAATATGATGATTTTTACTACCCAAACATAAAATTTTTTACCTTATTTTTAATTTAATTCTTTGCGAAGTAATTTATTTTCTCTAGTTAGTATAGACTTTTCCTCGATAAGATTCTAAATACTTGTTTCATATTATTTATTCATTTGTTTCATTTACTGTTGAAGAGCATATCTCTTATCTTCACTTTCACGCAGCAGTAATTCTCTTTAAAGGTCGTCATTTTTATCAGGATTAATAATTGTCTTTCTTAAATGGTTTAACTCACTTTCCATAGTATCATTTTTATGTTTCAACAAATCAGATATTTGCTCTAATGTTTCATTTTGAATTTCTAAAGATAAAATTCTTTTTTTCAGTTAAACAACATCTGAAAATGGAACTGTTGATCCATTTTAGGCAAATTTTACAGTTCCTTAATCATAATCTTTAGGAATTGTTTTTTGTTCACTTAGATACTAACTTGATGGTACAAAATTTCTCCCTTTAACTGAAGGAGATTAATACACGCTTTTAGTTTTCAGTCTTCTGGCATTTTTTTAATCTAACTATATTATAGACTATAAATTAATAATTAAATTATAATAAAATAATTATTTAAATATTAAAAGTAAAAAGAATCTATTTTTAAAACTCTTTTATGGATTACATCAAATAAATATATTTATTTATTATGCTAATCTATATATTATTTTTTCAAAAACAATTAATTGCTTACGAATTCAGAATTCTCATGATCAAAGGAATCAAGTCTTTTAATTGGTCTATTAAGTTAATATTTGAATATAAGATCATTAAAATGTTGAACAAACAATTAAAAAACTTTTTACGGGTATCTGACTTATTCATCCTCTGTTAAAAAATCGCTTTTATTTAATTTATCATTTGTTTTGCGAGTTTTTACTGCACTATTTCCTCTTTACCAATACATTATTATACTTTCTTTTAATAATCTGAACTAATTTTATAAAATAGTTTAAACTGATTAATTACTAACAGATTATGTTAAATGAAATCTAACCTTTTTCGATAATCAATAAATCAATCAATAATACTTTACTAGTTTCAAATCTAATTTTGTGGAATAAAAATGCTTCTTTGCTAATTTTCTTAAGATATTAAGCTATTTATTTCAATGAATATAGATAGATATTAGAGAAGATTTAATAATATTGTTTTTTAATTCAATTATCAATTAATTTTTTATTGATTATCAATCAAATTTGCACAATTAAATTTTTAAGGATTAGTAATATGACCATAGTTTTTACATAAATATCATTTATACATTCTATTTAACAACTCTATTTATTAGATCTCTAACTTTCAAAGATACTATTCAACCACAAATTTCAATTAATTTTATTAGGATTTATATTATCCACTGAAATTATTATGAAATGGTCGTACATTATTAAATAATTAAGTTCATTTATAACCTCCACAAACCATTCTTTTCTTGAAACTATTTTTCTTTTTTATCATATTGACAAATAATTTATTATACTTTAAGTTTTAATGTAATTTAAATTAAAAGCTAATTAACAATAAATTGTACCACAAAAAAAGTATAAAAATTTTTAATTTTTTAATATTAATTTAACTAATAATTTTAATTTTGTTACAATAAAAGCTAACTTTTGAAAATTAGATAAGTTTAATTACTAATAACTGTGCTAATAAATTAATTATTTAGCAAGATATTTCTTAAATAATTCAATATATTAGTTGATTATTAGCTGCATTTTATATATTTTTTAAACACTTATCAAAAACATTATTCTATTTATATTTAAATTAAAATTATTTATTTTTTTTAACTCAAAAAAACTATTAACTTACACCTCCGCAATGTTAAATTTTATATTCTAAAATCCATTCATAAAGTCATAGAAATTTAGTATTAATTTTTGAGTTAAATTTAAATCTGATCTCTAAAATAATTAGTTTAATTTGTTAATTTTATTATTCAATTTAAAACTCATTTTTTGTATATTTTCAAAAATTTCCATATTATTCTTCTCTCATCCAATACTCAAAAGGTTTACTTATTTATTTAAATCTAATAATTTTTTTGTTTTCTGTATGTTATCACTGATATTAATTAATCCTTTTATTGAATTTGAATATTTTATTTTTTTATTTTTAGTATTTTTTTTATTTGTTATTTGATTATATTTTTAATTTAAATATATTTCATCTTATTTTTTTAATGCTTTTTTTAAATTATTGTTTTCTAAATTTAAACAATCTGACCAAATTATTTTAACTCCTTTTTTAAATTTAATTTATTTTAAATTAAAAAATATTCATAAGGTGAATAATCATGTTAAAACTATCAGAAATAAGATCTTATAAAAAATGAAAAAATAAAGAGCCAGCTCTGAAATAATTATATGAAGATGCACAAAGACCAATAAAACATATTTTGTTAATGTATGTACATCATTAATACAGCAACCTTAATAAAATTCAAATTTATTTTTAAAAAATATATGTATTAAGGGATTTCTTGAAAATTTAACTAAATTTTTTATTTATTGTTAAAGAAAATAAATCAAAGAAAGGAATCTATTTATTTATTTATCTATCGTTTTTTATCACTAATAAATGAGTGATTATTAAAGCTATTAAACAGGAAATTTTAATTAATAAAAGTATGAAGGCTAATAGATGACATTTGAGGGTTATAAAAATATATAATTAGCAGCTGATAGTAAAATACCATAGTTTGGTAGATAAAGTGGTGATTATTCTAATGCAGCAGGATAAACTTAATATGATTCTTTAAAAAGAGATCAAATTCATACTAATTAGGATTTTAACTAGTTATTGTAAAAGAGAGAATTAAGACAAGAGTCAACTGTTGAAGTGCTTAAAAAAGTAGATGATATTCTTAGAAATAGCCAAATTATGACTGGAAGCTCTAATTTAAATCAGCTCAAAACAGTTGAACCGTTCCAAACTGGCATCAATTCAAATTATTTAAATAATAACAATACCAGTTCAGGTGGTATTGGAAGTTCTGAATTGTAAAAGAGAGTAGATGATATCCTAAGAAATTCATAGCTAAGCCAAATTGATAAACTAAAAAACACAGCCTTTTCACCTTCACCAAGTGCAGGCGCTTTATCACATAATACTTTAAAGTAATAGAAAAGTGTGGATGAAATTATTGCAGAAATAAAAACTAGGAATTCATAAGTAGGGGGATCTAATTTTATACAAAAGAATGCAAATTCAAATATTTCTATTCCAATAGGTTCTAATTAATATATTAGCACCTCAAGGGATGTCTCTCCTATAGTAAATACAGGAGGAGGAGCAAGAACTGGAATCGCTAGTAATTCAATAGTAGGATAATTTAATAGTTATGTGCCCTCTGGTAACACTCCAATAGGTGCAGCTCCACTCTCAGGAAATATATCCCCTAATAACAATGTTTAAGATATTTTACAGAGATATAAAAAGACACAAACTTTTACTTCTCAATTTTCAGAAAACTTTAGTATGGCTTAAGAAATACCATAATAAGGAATAAATCAATCTTAACACAAGACATTTGCAGAAGATGATACGATGAAGAATAACTTTAATGAGAATAGTGTTTTTGACATTAAACAATACAATTTAAGTAATAAAAACTTACTGAATAATGTCGAGTAAAATGCAAATCTTTAAAAAGTTTTACCTTAAGGTTTTACCCCTAGACAATAATCACCTTTAGTTAACAACGCTGCTCCTATAATATCAGGCGTAAATTAACTTTAGTTAAATCATAATAATATATAAGATCAAAACAGAGATTTCTCTCCAAAAACTAATGGCATGAATTAATAATCTTCCACAAGTATACATTCATAAAATCCAGTCATTGAAGAACTTGTTAGAAAATACAGCTAAAAGTCTCTTTCATCATCATTTGTTTAGACTAACAACCCTTCTTCATTTTATAGATAGGCAAGTTAAGAAAGAGAAGCATCAAATAATCAGCAAAATAATAATCAATAATATAGTATGAAGTAGGATTTGTTTATATAGGGTAATTAAGAATACCAAGGTGAATAATCCTCATCTCCCATACAATAGAGATCTGATAATGTCTCTGATTAGAAAAAATAATATAAGCAGCAATAATAGCAAGAAGAAAATGAAAGAAGAGTGCGTAGTAGTAATAAGAAAAAAAATCAAGAAGACTAAAATGAACATTCTTAAAAGGATACTCATAAGTAATAAAACTTCTATTTTTCTTAATAAAATATTTAATTTTTCTCTTCTTCAAATGAACATAAAAAATCTAAAAATGTTTATTTTCTAAATTAAACTACATATTAAATATAAAAAGAAAAGTCACAGTTTCAAAAGGTTAAAATAAAGAATCAATATATGTTGAAAATCAATAAGATGATCCTATCTAAGAACATGACAAAATAAAGATTCTCACTTCTTTTGTTCATCATTGCGCTTGGCTTCTTTAAAAGAATTACAGAAGATATATAGACAAGAAATTGTTAAGTTATCCTCATATTAAAAAAATTGTTGATGAAATAAAATTTTTGGAAGAAGAAAAATTACAATTCCCAGATGACATAGGTTTTAAATTTTGTTTTACCTTATTTTTATTTTTTAATTGCGAATATCTTTCTATCTGTTTTACATTTAAAAATGAAAAAAATTATTTTATCTAAATTTAAGAAACTCTATTTTAATTTTATTTTTATTATTGTTGCATTATTAGAACACGTTTAAAGATTAGAAGAAGAAATTTATGAATAACAGTATCAATATGAAAATGCTGTTAAGTCGATAAAAAGAGTATGGGCTAAGCAATACTAGGATGTAAAATTTTATATTTTTAAAAGATAAATATTCAGTTGAAATTATTATTTGAAGAGAGTTAAAAAGCTCAAAGATCCTAAAAAGTAACAGTAACCTTAGTAATCAAATGTAAGATATAATGAAAAAAAATAATTTAAATTTTATATTTTTATTGAAAATAATAAAAGAGAGAGAGCAGAAAGCAAGTTCATATAAATGAGGAAAAAGAATAGGAAAGAAGAATATCTACATAAAGAAGTAATTAGAGAATTAATACTGATGAATCATCAAAAGAAAGAAAGGAAATATAAACGGAAGCTTATTCTGAAAGAAAACATCTTTGGGAAGATAAACCTATAACTGCTAAATCTCAAAAGAAAAATGAAGGATAAATTTCTTGGGATAATGCTTATCCTTAAGGTCATAAGTTAGATAATAGTCAGTTAGAATTTATAGAATCTTAAAAGAAAAAGAATCATTAATCTAAATCAAATAATGTAAATGATAACCAATATGAATCTGAAAAAGAACGTAAAGATGCTTGGGATGATATACCAATAGGAACTCATAAGAAAAAAGGGGAATAAAATTGGGAGGAATATCCTTCAAATAATTAAAATCCTATCAAATAAAAAGTTAAAAAAGAAGTTAAAAAGTAGGAAGTGGCAGTAGAAGAGAAAAATGATTAGTAAAAACCAAAGCAAGAGTCAAAAAAAACTAAAGAGTAAATTGAAAACCTCAAAAAAAGAACAAAATATGATCCTAGAAAAGCAATTTAAGAGGCTAAACAAAAGAATTAGGCAGATAACTAAAACTCACCATAAAAAAATGACGCTGAGGAGTTTAAGGTAACAGATGTTTAAGAAAATAATAATGAAAATATTGAGTAAAAGAGTCCTCCTCAAAAGAAAAAGCCATTTTTGAAAAGAAAGTAAGCAACTAAAAAAACATAACAAATATAGAACCATGAAGAAGATGAAGACATTTAAGTTCCTAACGAAGATGAGTCATAAGGTAAACAAATTGAAAGGGAACCTGTAAAGAGATCTCCAAAGCCAACTAAATAAGAAAATAATAAAAAGTAAAAAGAAGCAAATGAAATTGAAGAAGATCCAAATGCAGAATAATTTAGAGATGACTTAAATGATTTGGATAGACAGAAAAAAGATTTTTTGAAGAAAAAACCCAAAGAAATTAAATTTTAGAAGCTAAATTGGAAGAATGTAAAAAGTAGAACAGACACTGGTAGATAAGAACTAGAATAAAGACAATAATATATGAAGTAATAGAAGATAACCTAGTAGGAAATAAAGGAAAAGTAAAATTAAATGAAGAAGAATTTAAAAAAATAAGTTTAACCATATGACCATTATTATCCTGAGCTGAATTACATAGACGAAGATGAAGCATTTAATGATCCAAAATTTAGAGGAAATTAACTCAACATTTCTAATTCAAAGAATCCAAATACATACTATGATCATAACAATTAAAAATAAGTGACCTAGTAATAGTATCCAATAGCTCCAAAAGTATTTACTGAATATTTGCCCAATAAAGTTTAGCAGAAGGCCATTCACCAAGCTTCTCCACTTTAACCAACATAAGAGTAAAAATTTTAAGCTATATTTAACATTATCATATTTTGAATTATATAATAAATAGGATAGTTATTAGGCCTTAAATGTTCTAAAATAAATAAAATGTAAATAACTAATAAGAAATAGATATGAATTTCATTGACTCTAACCAAGAATAAGAACTTCAAGAGAGAGATCTTTAACTTCTTGAATTTTAGAAAAGACTTTAGAATTAATAAAATAATGGAAAATACAAAAGTAATTAATTAATTAATTATTAAATTAAAATATGTTTGGAAAATATTTGTTAATTTTAAAAATAAAAATAAAATATTTTTAGATATGGGACATGATTTAGAAAAAATGAGATAAAATAAAAGAGAAAGTATTTTGAACTAATAATAGTTGCCTTAGCAGCAACAACCTACATCTTAATAATTCATGCAGGATTATTAAAGGATGTCTAATCAATTCACTGATGATCAAATAAGAGAAATGCAGCAGTCACAGTTCTAGTCATCATAAAATTAGCATAAACAAATTTTCTAATTTCCACAAAATTTCTTCAAAGGAGAAAACAAACAAGGTCAGTAAAATCGCTAGCCTATTAAATATGAGGATTATATTTTAAGCTAATAGAATCAAATGAACTCCAAGGTAAAATATTTTAAATTATGAAAAAATTAATAAATATTTATAATTATATAAATAAAGTCCTTATAAGAAATTATGCTTAAAAAGTAGCAATAATTTATGAAACTTGATGAGTTTTCTTGAAAGATAAACTGAAAGATTTTATATGTGTAATATATTTTAAAAATTTAATTTGTTAGAAATCATTTGTTATTCTGTAAATATTTATTTTGTAAAAAAATATATAAAGTTTTGTCAAATAATTAAATATATTATAAAGTAACAATTAAAACAGGTTTACATGTATATATATATATAAATAATAAGTTCCTCAATCATAATTTAATTTCAAATGTATCTAAGTTAGCTAGATTCATTATTACAAAAGAATTACTAGCAGATAAAGCAGGGACACAAATTAATCTACATCTCTTTTTAGTGTTCTCTTCATATACCATTTTTGTTTCAAATTTAGGACTATTTCCACTAAAATAAACATGAGGAAGCTCATCTAAAATAAAAGGATCACTTTCATGGAATGGGAAACATCTATAACAAATATTTTAATTTAGTTAAATAAAGTAAAATAAAAAAATATTTTTACTATAAAGTATCAGGAGAAGTAGGTGAAATATGTCTCCATAGTAAATGTGATTATAGTATGTCTATATCCTAATCGCTGTAATTGCTATATTTTTTAATGTCAAGCATACTCTATCCTAAATATTTATAAATTAATTTTGAATAAAAATTATTTTTTTTATGAAAATTTTAACACTTTTAGAATTTAATTAATGGATTTGTATAAAAAACTTAAATTTTATTATTTTATTTTCAAATGAAATTTGATGAAAATGCAAATATTACCTGATACACCTAATATTTAAATATTTTCTTATTCAAATTTATAAGGATTAGAAACAAGATTAAGTGTTGGAATAGATTTGGATGATGCAAAATAACACTTATTCAAGGATTGTTAAGGTAAAAATGCTTATGCAGGATCTTTATCTCCTGGCATAATATCTAAACAAACATTTCCAGCAATTTCATTAATATTTTTATCTACATCATGCATCTTTTTAGCAATTTCTGCATAAAGTTATTTAAATTATTCCTGCATACGATATGAACCAACTAAATTATAATCTAAATCTTTATTCTTTTCAATTAAGTTACCAGCCATTACAACTCTACAAACTCTTGACATTAACTTTTTTATATAATATTTGCATTTGAATATTTGCTGTAGTTAAATTAAGATATATATATACTGGTTTTAGATTTGTCAATCCAAATAGATGATTTTTAAGCTATATAAGAGTGTATCTATCAACGTTTGGATCAATGTTTAAACCTGAAGTTAGTAGTATAAATTTGTGATCTTAATAGTTTTTGATATAATGAGAAAGATCATGGAAATTGTTGTTATTTTCTAAATGAGAGTCATCACCATAAGTCAAAGGAGCTGGTATTTTAAGGATATGTTCTTAATGAGGTAAATCACAACAATAAATCTCTTCAACTTCAAATACGTTAATTTCAGCTACTCTTTAAATACCCCTTATACCTACAACTAATCCTGAAGTTAAATTCTTCACATCAATTGTTTTTGGCTTGCTGATTGAGCTTTTAAATTGTGTATTGTTGAATGCTAACTACATTCTACCTTTAATATTTTATTTTTATACAAATAAAATAATTGAAATGATAGAATTTTAATTTTATTACCTGTCTAGTCTTCCATATAAATTACGTCGTCATCAGCCATGTAGTTATCTAAATAATAAGGAATAAGTTTAAGCATTTTTTAAAAAAAACTTTCGTCAAGGGTAAAATTTCTATGAATTTATCAATTTGCTAAATACCTCTTTATTATGAGACAGTAAGTACATTAGGTTTTAATTTCATATCCTTGTAAAGGGTTGCAATCACAACTTAGTGTTCCCCTACTTTTATGTTTAATATTTTATCGCAAATAGGAATAGATTCTTCACTAAAATTTGACATAAAATATTCCTTAATCTAATCTAATCTTTTAAAGTATGTCTTCCAATATTGTATATCATATTTCTTTTAGCTATCTTTAAGGATGAATTATTCGCTTACGTTTTTATATCCTTAGCAATCTGGCCTAACTAAATTTCCTGTTACACTAGATTTATATGTTGAAAGCAACTTTATAGTGTCAGCTTTTTTTGGTCTCTCTATTTCCATTTTAATAGTTTTTTAGTGCAAAAAATTTATAAAAATTGTTAATGTGTAAAAGATATCAATTAAAGTAAACACTAATTTTATTAAATAATATAAATAAGCCGCCAAAGGATTCTAATTAACCCTCCCTCCTAAATAAAAAATAATTAAATTGTAGAAGTTTTGATTAACCTAAAAAATTGATAATATAAATTTAATTCAAATAAAAATGGTAAATTTTAATAAAAATCGACTTTATATTTAATAAATGTTATATATACACATACTTTTAATTTATGTTTGTTTGATAATATTATAAAATTTATTTATTTATTTATTTATTTTTTTATTACTTTGTTTGTTGTTTGTTTACTTATTGTTATGGTTTCATATAATTTTTGAAAATTTATTAAATAACTTAGTTTTTTTATTCTTTTTTCAAAGTTTTGGAGTAACCAATTATTTTTGATCGAAGTTGTAATATGAGTGAATCACTTCTGATGTTATTTCGCACAAAGTTTTTAATTTATTGTCTAGCAAAGATTGCAAATCTTACTTTTTCTATTTGAGAATTTTAGTTATATATTATATGAAAGCTTTACGATTTTCTATTGCTTCCCCTTGACTAAATAAGTTGTTTTAAATGAGCCAGTATGAATAAAGATTTATTTCATCTAGACTTGGCTTCCACTTTTACACATCATGAATCATAGTGATTTCTAACTCATAAACCTAACCTAGTCTATAAATGACATTCATTATGTTTGGATTGATGGAATTAGGATTTAAGTCCACACAATCGCAAAGGAGCATCATAGTTGAGCATAAGCGCTTTTGGCGATTTTCAATAAATTTCTCTATATTCAAATTTTTAGTCTGGGTGGTTCCTTATACCTACTTCCATAAATTGTAAGCTTAGATCTGGCTTTCAATGATGTTAAAGAGTTCTTTCATTAAATGGTTTTCTAAATATTCATCAGCAATATGAGCTCTGTCATTATTGTACTTAAAAATACGAATGCACTCACTTAATAAATTCAATCCAAATATTAAAGCGAGCTACTTGACTTTTTCTTACTCGCTTAAACCTATTTTAGATTATTTTTTTGCAGAAATTAAGCTTTCAACGTTGATGTTTTTCATGTTCTTATTATTGTTCTTGAAGAAGTAAATTAATTCTTAAATAACAAAGGAGGAACACTCAAAATCCAATTGTATCAAGCTACTAGTTAATAAATTAATAATGATGGTAATAAGTTTTAATCTGTAAACTTATTTAGAAGTAGGTAGATTTTTATTTGAATTTTCACTGTTCTTTTTATTTAGTTTGAATCTAACAATCTCAAGTGCTGAGAAAATTTAGCGAAGCCATTCATTTCCTTTAGGTCCAAAGAGAAGGTCTTGAATATTCTTATTTATTGTGTTTTAATTTTTATTGTTTTGGTTTCCATTAGAATTTGAAGAAGGCTCGATTGAAAGATGAATAGGTTATTTATCGAAATCAAGGCACTCAATAGCAACGTGAAGAGTGATGGGTTCTTCGAGAAATTCATTATCAAGCTCAACATAAAATGTGCTTAATGGAGTGTGCTTTTGAATTTCACTCACATTTTACTCCCTAACTTGCTCAAACATATCATGTGCTTCGAGGTATGCCTTTGCTGTATCAACATTTATTTTACCACGAGATTTCATAAAGCGAGTAGCTTCTTCGACGAGATGGGTAGGTACTCCACCAGCTAAAGCAATATTTCTAGCATGGAGATTCATATGTCCTTTTTAAATTCCTTCTACAGCAAGAGCACGCAAAGCACCAAAATTTTAGCAAAGACCGACAGTAGCAATTATTTCAGATAATTATTATGCATTAGGGAATCCAAGAAGTTAAAGATTATTATGATATAGTGGATTAGCGCTTAAAACACCTCCTTAAGATCCAACAGATATAGGCACTTCTATCATACCTCTGAGTACTAGTTCACCTTAGAAGTTAGGGCGCTTACTTCTTATAATTTCGTAGTGTGTGAGTGGTTGATATCCAGCTTTTTTATTATTAATACTGGCATAAGTGTGGCAAGAGCTTTCAATAGATCTCCAGTCTTATCCTGTAGCAATTGCTACTGCATCCATTCCATTAAATATACCTTTATTATGAGTAGATGCACGGTATGGATCAAGCTAAGCAAAGCGATATCCTTCTATGATTCTTTTAGCAACATCTTCACCGCTTGCATCTTTCCAAGATAATTTTGAAATAGGAATTTCAAATTCAGAAACAGCACGACGTTCAGTGCATAAGTTAGATAAAATTTTTAATCCTGCTCTGCCTCCTGTAATTTACTCAATTAATGGTGCAGTATATTCTACGATAGTATTTACAATATTTGCACCCATAGCATCGCATACATTAATATGTAAATCTACAACTACCATTTCATCTACTTGATACTCACCAGTTGATTTCAATTTTTTATCTGTTGCATTTAAGATTTTAACCTTTTATGTTAAATAAAAATATTAAAAAAACCTTTAGCATAAAGTCTTTAAAAGCTAAATTTAATTTATGATAAGTAATAAATATACTTTAAGATCCTTAACACCTCCTCCTCTGTTGACCATTGTTTAACAAATTTCATTTGCGTAAGAAATAATCTTCTCTTTATTTTAATCTAATTTGTATTAAACCTAGAGAGGATCAACTTAAAGAAGTTAGATTTAGCCGATCATAATTGGGCGAGTTGAATAAGTCGAAAATCCGCTTCCATTTTCATCAATAAATTTAGCAGATGAGGATGCAGCAGCGATAACAGAGGGTTCTTCAATAGCCATAGGAATATTGAGATATTTATCATTTATCTTAAAGTTTAAAGCAAGACCAATTGGGAGGGAAATCTTACCTATGCAATTCTCGACCATTAAATCAGCTCTTTATAAGGTAAGTCCGCCATCTTCGAATTTTTAAGTGTCAATTTTAGGCTCAACTATTTTAGTAAAATTAAAAAATTAATAATAGCTAAAAATAATTGAGTTTGTTTGATTGATTGATTGATTGATTAATTGATTGATTGAAAATACTTGGTTTAATAATTATGATGGATGAAAAATAAAATTGATTTAATCTTTATTTAATAGCAAGTGTAAATTAATTTTATTGTATCAATTAAATATTTAATCTAGATAAAATAAGTTATTGTCAAAAAAACTGATCTTGTTTGATAACTAATTAACTAACATTTTCTAAAAAGAAGATGAAGAAAATAATAAATAAAAGAATTAACAAAATTAATTATTAATTGAATTAAATTAAATTAAATTGCCTATTTAATAAAACAAAAGAATAATAGAGTGTTTGGTTACATATTAGGAATATAATTTAAATTTAATCCTATTAGGCAGTACACTATTTCATTCATCTCTTTCTTAAGTTAGAATTATTATGATAAATGCTTCTGTGTTCAAATAAACTTTTGATTAGCTTATTTTTAAATGAAGTTATTTATTAAAGTCTCTTTTTTTTTTAGTATTGACTTATGGGTTTAGAAAATGTCATTATGGATGAAGTGCGAATGAATGCTGCTGCTATAGGATAAGATTGATAATAAACAATATGGTCAATAATTCTTAAGTATGGGGGTTTTATATAAAAATTAGATTATTTATCATTTATTTGATTGATGCCTTTTTATTTTAAATATTTATCTATCTACATTCTTAAGTTTATATGCTAATGTACTATGTGAGTTTTTCTTTATTTTAATAAATTTGCTTAATAAATAAGATTAAATGAAGGGATGAACAAATATCAATATCCTCATAAGCTGGGTTAAACCAATTATGTATTTATGATAAATTGTTAATTATTAGATATTTCACCTTTCTAAATTTAATCAAGTCTTTCTTTCAAAGTCTTCTTGTAAAATCCTGACCAAATTTTTTAGTTCAGATTTTTTTCTTGAGAATGAGAGCGCTTTCTACTTGCTCCTGCTTTCAAATCTTTGTTTAAAGATGAAGAACTTCCTTTGTTAACAATTTAATTTTTGATTTGAACAAGTCTATCGTTCAAACGAGCCTTTTATTCATTGAAACTGATGTCATCAATAATTACTACTTTGTTCATATCAATGAGATTGGTTGAACTGCAATTGTTTTTACTAACTTAGTTTGACTTCACAAAAGTTGTTTACTCCTAATATCTTTCATATTAACGTCTCCACATTTTATCTACTGAGCTTAAGAAAAATACTCCTTCACCTAACCTTTCAAAGTTTACCTTTTTAATTAATTATTTTTAGAAAAATTAAAAACATATTTTCTAAATTATTAGCTAAGCTTTTTAATTAAAGATTGCCAATTCAAATAAATTAAATTCATCTAAATAGAATTCATCAATATATGAAATATCTTTCTATTTGATTAACCACACAAAAATATAGATTTAATTAATTTATTGAAAAATAAATAAACATTTATCTTCTACTGTATCAAAATATTCAAAGATTGGTTCGTAAGTAATGTTTTGGTGTGTCAATGAAATTTAGTTAAAATTGTTCTTTAAAAATTTTTACTTTTGGGTTTGAAGGAAGAAAACCAAATGCTTTTTCTCTTTCAGCCATTATTTAATCATATTCCTGAATGGGGATTTTTATTCTCTAAGAAAGTCTTTCTTTAAGGTTAATAACAGACTTAATGAATGAGTAATCTTCACCAACCCTCAAGAAGAACATGGAAGATGCTAATCCAGACCCATAAGAAAACATCAAAATTCTTTTATTCTAAAATAAATAATTTTATTTTTCAACATTAAAACGAAATTATTTAAAACAATTCTTTCATATAAATCAATAAAAATATTTAAAAGATAATTTAAATATCTTACTCTGAGGTCTATATTATCATCACTGATAAGTGAGCATAGTCCAGCATATAAAGATCCTGTGTAAATATTGCCCAAATTCTCTCCCATTAATAAGCTTGGCTTTACTTTTTGATTCCAGGTTTAAGATGAAAGCTTGGAAAGCTTTTCTGTTACTTCTTTGCTATTGTAATCACTATTTTTTAATGTGAGATAATCTTCTTCAGAAATTTTAACTTCTTTATTATATCCACTCCTTTTTTGATAAATTTTATTTTGAATTTTTTTATTTTCAAATGAGATTAACTTACAATACATCATTATAAAACAAACGAACAAATGCTTTCTAAACCATTTTTGCAAAAGGAGCATGGAAACAACCATAATCCACATCTTAAAGGGAGAAAGGACGAAGGTTGGCAACTGCATATTTTTAATTCAATGTCTTAAAGTTGTTATCAATAGCTCCTAAGTAAGTATTTATTGATAGATGGCCATCAACAGTTGGGAATTCTGAGCCTAATTTGAAATTAAAAAAAAAATTTAAATTATTTTATTTAGATTCATAAAATAAATGTTGAATTTCATTGGTTTTAATTGTTGCTTTTAAATTTTTAATTTGAGGTATTTTTGATATCTGCTATCTTTACCATAGAAATTTCTAATTGAATACGAATTAAATTAATAATTTTATTAAATTGTTTAATCGAAAAGTAAACAAATTAATTTGATTAAACAATTTTCTTACGAGGATCAGGTTTATAAAAATCATATGCATGATCTATAAAGGTGCTTCTGATAGGTTCTACAATGATTGGAGCATTAGGGCCTATAATCATGCAAATAGCACCAGCTCCGCCTATTTAAATAAAATATAAATATTTATTATTTTGTTACTTAACTTAATTTTAAGATATATACCTGTGGGACGAGCAGGACCTTTCTTATAGACTGCGACATCGACTGTGACAACACAGCCTAGTCTCTTACCATCATAAGCTGAAGATTCTACCCAAGCAAGTGTATTAAAAAGAGCAGCGGTACCTCCATAGCATGCATTAATAGTAGTTATACCTTCAATATCATGATTGCCATACTTGTTAAACAACTGCATTAACACTGTCTTAGTTGATTTTGATTTATCTATGAGAGTTTCTGTACCAACTTCAAGTCTACCTATCATTCTAGGGTCGATTTTGTATTTTTCCAATGTGTTTTAAACCACTATTAATAATTTGTTTATATTTAGCAAAGATTAAACTTTAAATATTTAAATATATATATGCTTGTAATTACCTGTAAGGGCTAATGAATTTACATCTTCGTAAGGTTCAACAAATGACATGCACTTCTATCCAAGACCGATTGTGTATTTTCCTTTAGAAACACCATCGAATTGTTCTATTTAGTAATGATTAAAATGTTCGAAAAGTTTAAAGAGAAAAATTAGTATAAATTTTGAAAGCTTAAAAATTAAATCACTATTTTTATAATTAGTGAAATAGAATCGATTAAACTATATTATCTCATATTTAATGGCTTTAAAATGATGAAAAATATTAAGGAAATCTCAATTTTTTCATAAAAGTTAAAAGCTTGATTTATCTTATTGTTTTAATTGCTCCTTAAAAATATAGCTTAAAGAGTATGAAAACAGAAACCTATAGAATTTAGAAATAATAAAAATGAAATATACCTAGTTCTTCTTGGGAAATGAAAGTCTTTGGGAAATATGTTTCAATGGCGTGAATGCCAACGTTTTAAGGACGCATTTAGGAGAGTTAGAAATTATATTGGCTAGTTGAGATTGACTGCTACTATGTTTGATTGCTTTTTATTTGATTAAATTTTTTCGTTAAATAAATAGATAACTCTTTGTCTTGTTTGTCTTATAGCTTAAATTTATAAAGATCTTCTTTACTCTTTTTATTTCTTATTTTTATAGAGTGACTTTCTTTTTTTTTAATGTTATTATTTAGATATTTAATTATTTATCTTTTAAGAGTAGCTGGGTTTTTAAAGGACAAAAGGTAAACCAGGTTAAAAGATTACAAATTTTTTAATTCAATAAGACTGGGGAACTTTAATAATATTATTAAACCCCCTTTTCTTTACTTTAATAATATTATTAAAATACGAAATGACGTAAATTTGTTGCTTGTAAATTCATACTCTTACTTCTTATCGACAACTCAATTAATAAAGTCGTCATTTTAGAAGGAAAATGCCATTTTTTTACAAATTAATTGTTAACAGAATTCTGACATCATCTATCTCATTTATATTTAATTTTTGAAATTTCTCACATTCTAAATAATAAATACATAAATAATTTACACTTTTCAATGCTTTTTGATTGAACCTCAATAAAATATTAACTTTTGAAGAAAATTTCTCAAAACATTCTTGTAATTAGTATTTTCGAAATAGATATTTTTTTATATCTACATACATAAACTAGCTAATTATTTTAAGTATGTATTAAATCAATCACATTAAGAGTAAATTTTACAAGCTTATCTATTTTATAGATTGCAAATAAAAGAAAATTCTTACTTTTTCTAGCAAAATTTAATTCAACTTTCTTTTTTTAAATAGTTAGAAAGTGATTTTAATCATCTGAACTGTATGATAAAACCTTATACTTAGCTTTTAGAAAGAATTAATTAATCTATTTTTAATTTAACTAATAAAAGGAAGCAAACACAATTTTAAAAAATAAATATTATTATATTACTAAGGTATTAAAGTTCTATAAATACATTTTTTAAAATAAATCAGATAAAAATATTCGACATTTTAAACTTTTGATTAAAATATTCTACTTTATAAGCTATTTTGCTTGATTCAATTAAATAAAATCAGAGTTTTTTTGTGTATTATTTTATCACAAACTCAATGTAAACTATGAAGCGTAATATAAAAATTAGAATTCATAAGCCATTAATTTGCTTCTTACTTTATCTTAACATTTTCTCTATTTTTATTATTGCTGTGAAAAATATTAAAAAAAATAAGAAAGGATGTAATTGAAGAAGAAAAAAAAATAGTCCCACTTTAATAATATTATTAAATTAATTTGAAAAAATTCAAATTTTCTCAAGATCAATAAAAAGTAAAGTTAATTTTTATTTATTTAAGACATGAATTGGCTAATTAATTATTTGTTTTGACTTTTAAGTATAGTTAATCTTAAAAGAAGTTCAAATCAAATAAAATCAAAAAACCTTGATTATTATATTTGAATTGAAAAGAATAAAAGCTCCATAAATATTTTTAATTAATTAATTAACATTTAACTTTTTTTAAAAAATTAAAATTACAAATTAAAATTTTTAAAATGAAAATTTTTAAAAAAAATAAATTAGAAATTTAAAATTGTTTTTAATTTTAAAAAATAATTAATTAATTAATTAATTAATAATTTTAATATTGAGAATTAGATTTAAAGTTTAAAAATAAACATTCCTTCTATTAAATTGAATGTTTAAATAAAATTTACATTAGATTTTTCCATTTGGGGCTATTTATGAATACTGACATTCAATTTTGAGCTTTTAAGCGCAAAAAAATCAAAGCTAAACATTCTTAAAAACTTTAAAATATTCTTTAATCAAACACAAATCTTAATATAAAGGTAAAAAATATAAATTTCATAGCAATTTTACTAAATATTAAAAAAGAAAGGCAGGAAAATTTAAGAATAGATTTGAAAATAAAATGGATCAACTATACACAGAAGATGAATTGACTGAATTCAAAAACGATTTGAGAAAGTTTAAGGAAATTGGAAATACTAAAGTTTTGGCCATCGTAAAAAGACTTTTTAATTGCCAAATCACAGTATAATAATTATAAAACACTAAAATTGCTTAAACTGTGTAATCTCTCTCTACTATGTCTTGCTTCGATGAAGATGAAGAAGGACAAGAAGCTAAATAAATATGCTCTTAAATTATTAACAAATGGAAAAAAATAGTTTAAAATGAAAAAAATAAGCAAAATCCTCAAGCCTCAAGCTAAAAAGCACCACAATTAACTAAATCAAATTCACAAACTGCTACTTTGCCTAGAAGATAATCCTCTGGTTAAGGTTCTACTGAAACATTTTTAACTAATGAGGAACCCTAATACAAGACAGAATCAAAAACTGATCTTCCTACTTATAAAAGTGATATTCGCTAAAAAGGATTAGAAGCTATTAACAAAATTTTTATGAAGGTTAAAGATGATATTAATGCTTCTCCTAGAGAATGGATTGAATTAATTGTAAATCTTGAAAAGAAAATTTTCTCAAGAAATTCCTAAGTAGTTTACTATAAATCTTATATTAAAGAAGTCCTTGGTATGTTCTCTTCTAATGAAGTTACCACTGAGGTTATTTCTAAAATGTTAAATAAAGAAATTTCACTTTAGGATGTTGCTGAAGCAAAAACTAGTGTCTTCTTGACTGATAGATAAAGAGCCTAGCAAAAAAAAGCTGTTGAAGATTAGCTTGCTACAAGTGATCCAGATTTTTATAACAATATGCGTAGATAGCGTTTACAAGGTCTAGAAGGTGAATTATGTAAAGGATGTAAGAAAAAAACAGCTTTCTTAGTAAAAGAATTATAGACTCGTTCATCAGATGAACCTATGACTCGTTTTATGGAATGCAATAGCTGTGGTAAAAGTTGGAAAGACTGAAGGAAGTAAAAGAAGGAGAATAAATAATCTTTTAAAATCATAGCTAAAAATTCAAATAATTTTGAATTAAAAATAGTTACAATCGTATTAAGCTATATAGTAAAATATAATTTTGAGAAAACTGAGCAAACTAACTAACCAGATATAATTTAAATATTATTTAAACATACTAACTCAATCATTCATTATTCAAAGTTTTAAGTTTGGATATGAATAATTTATTATAGTATATATAATCATTCATAATGCTTGCATACTTCTAAAATTTTGTGAGTTTCCTAATTTTAAATTTATGCAGATAATTTAATAAAAAATAAATAATCAATAGATCATAAATAAATAAATCCTTTTTCTTCACAAAAATTTCTATTTATTTCAGATTTTTATTTCAAATAAAATTATTTATTTCTTCCAACAAATACTAAAATCTTAAATTATTAGCAAAAATAGCAATCAAATTACTTAAATCTATCTTAAAAACTATTAATTTATCTAATAAAATATTAAAAGACACTCAAATTTAATTTTTTTCTCTAAACATTTTAAAACTAAGTGCATAAATTCAAAAGTTTCATAAAATAAGCAATAAATTAATATTTAAATTACAAAATTAACAAAAGGTAAAAAATTTATTTAAAATAATGAAAAAATAAGCAAATAAAACTTAAATATTGCATCTTTATTTCAAATAAAATCATTTGTTATTTTTCAAATTAAAACCATAAACTGAAATTATTCTAAAATCATCAAATCCTATGTCTTTTAGTTGAAATTTTCTTAAATTAATAAAAACTTTCAAAATAATAAGCAAAGAATTCTATTGAGACACTAAAATTATAATTTTTATAAATAATAAAATTTATAACAAATTATTAACATTCAAAAACTCAATAAAACAAATAAAAATCTTACATTCAACAAATTCAAAAAGCAAAATTAAAGTTTAATCTCAAATATAAATGTATATTAATAAGAAATAATTATCTTTTTTAAGTGAGTTACTTGTGTTTTATGCTAAGTGATAGTATAATAAAACAAATAACATATTAATTTTTATAGTGAAAAAAAAAATACTTAAACATAAGAGTAATTTTATCAATTAATTTTTATTTTGTATATGAAGAATTTATTTTATATTTAAGAATCAGTTAATCTTGTTTAAAGGATAAGCCCTACTTATTTTGATATTTTGATAAATTTCTTGTTACAGATTTATTTATTCTCCTATATCTCAATTTTGTATATATATTATGATTCATTATTTTAAGTTTAGAAGTTCAAGCATAACACAAGAGTTTGATTTTAACTAAATTAATTTTTTATTGTTTTTTAAAAATATTATATTTATTTAGAAAAATTAACTCAGTTTAAGCAGCTATTTATTCATTTCATTAATTTTTACTTTGGTTTAAATTAAAAATGTTTATTGATAATAAAGATTTTGTTCATTTATAGTTTTAGGATAAAATTAAAAGATTTCTACATTTTTTTTAAATCACTAATATCCCCAATCTACTGAACTTGAAGCTACTATATTATGTTAAACAGACAGAGATTCTACAACCATACCACTTTGCTCACCAGCTTTATTAATATTTCCAGTATTTGTCAAATCTAAATATGCAACACCAAGCTCGCTTTCTAGCATACCTGGTTTAAAAGCTAAGAATCTAACTTCTTACTTTGTTCCTACTCTGTTTGAAAAATTTTCAGAAAACATTTCTCTTTTCTAGATAAATTTATTTTATTTAAATTTGAAATTTTTTTTTTTCCAAAACAAATTTACTTCATGAATACATATATTTGGCATTTATTTGTCAATAGTAGCATAAATACCTTCATCTCCACAGGGTTAAATTTTTAAATCTTTGTTCACTTGTTTGTACATTTCTATTTCTATGACTTTATCTTAATTTGCATATGGCAAACCTCCTGATTAAACTTTTGGCTCCTATGCTTTCTAATCTATATATACAAAAACAAATATTTTACTTAACATTTTCTTAGATTTTAAAATAAATAGATGTAAATTTTAATTTTATTATCCATTTCATGTACAAAAATATTACATGTGCGAGAATTTATTTTAAATAGATAAGAACTTAAAACTTCCTCAACATGAGGACAATAGTAGTGGCTTTCGTTTCTTAATGCATAGTTAACTATTTCATCACTTGTAGAATTAGATAAGCTAGATATTACAAACAAAAAAAATATAAAATGAAAATTATTTATGTAACAAAAACATATGAAATAATATTATTTTTATTATTATTAATCAAATATTACCTGGCTGCTTAAGTATTGCCTTCTACAGTGTTGACGGTTTATTATAAAAGATCTTATGATTCTAGCAAATATCTTTTCAAGTTTTCTATTTTGTTTTCAAAAATATCATCTGCTTCCTCTTCCTTTTCGTTAGTCAAATAGTTAGAATAAAAAATATTTTTACAAACTATTTCTCAAATAAAAATAAATGATTATTTATTACTCCTTTTAGATCTTTTAACTTTTAGTACCTTTCTATAAAATCGTTTAAACTTCTTTCATTAATCATTTCAAAATTTAAGCGCTAAGTTTTTTGCTAATTAAATATTAAAAAAATAATTAAAATCAAAAGATTTATGATAATATTTAGATAGACTATCTCATCCTCTCTAAAAAAAAATAAAAAATTTACAAAGATTTTATAATTAATGATTTTCAATTAGGAATCTTATTTAACTATTAAAATAATAAATAATATATTTTTAATAAAATTGTTCTTAAATGTTCCATTGATAGTTTCAGTTATATCTTACAATAATGAAATTTTGTTGTTTTTTTTTAAATATTGTTGGATTAGTCTTATATTGCCATTATCACATTTTATATGTTTATAAATAAAAAAAGGAATTAATAAATGAATGCATTCTATTTTTATCACAAAATTATTTCAATTAATAATTTTGTATCATCTAGTTAAGTAATTAACAAACTAGCTAACTATTAAATTTAATTCAAGATTTTAACAAATATTTAATACTAAGAATTATAAGATTTATACTTTTATACATTTATATAAAATACAAGGCATTTAATATTATTTTAATTTATTTTCGCTCACTCACCGAATTCAATTTAAGGATTGAGGCATCTAATATCACCAACTTATTTAAATTTTACATATGAGCTAAAATGTTTTAGATATACAGTCTCAATAAATTTTTATTCTTTGTGAGTATAGATACCTCCTGAGATGAACATAGGTAAAAAGAAAAGGAAAATCTTGAAGCCAAACTTTTTCCACTTACCTTATACTCTGTTAATTAAGGGAATTTTATTATATCCTAAGATGGTACCAACACCAAGACAAAGAGCTCCTAATTACATCCATTTTTAAGTCTCTGCAAATTCAACTTACTTGTTAAAATCTTCAGTATCATATAGAATAGCTGATAAAGATCCTGCCTTTTAAGTATTGTACATATCTAACTAAAAATTAAGCATATCGAATTTTGGATAATAAGTAGTTGTGTAATCGTATCTATAAATATCTCTGGTCTACATTTTATATTCCTAAATAAAATCTATTTTTATGTTTTTAAAATCTATTCAATTAACTTTTTGGATATATTTAATAATATATTTAATTTATTACAAATCTTATATTCACAATCTCTATCTTTTCAAATTAATAACCAAACTAACTAGCTAACTACTTTAGTTATCAGCACCTTCTAGAAAAAATTTGTTTTGAATTATTTTTTATTTTATTTATTTAAGCTCTTCCATTAGTTTTTAATAAGATGTACAATAAATAAATAAATACATCTTTTTATTTATTAAAATTATTTTAATGCAATACAACTATACTTGATATATAAATTGTTAATTCTGTTGTTATAGTCAATTTATTTTAATTATTTTCAATATATATTCTTTTAACATTTAATTTAATATTTAATAAATTTAAAATTAATTTAGTTTCTTCCAAAAATTACATTAGTATTTAAAAATTCAAAATGTAAAAAATTAGTTTAAATTATTAATTTATTTTGCAAATAATTTTATCAAGAATTCTATGTCTAATTCTTATTTCTTTTTGGAAAATAGAAATCATTTTTTGTTTAGCAAAATAAATAAAATATTCAGTTTGAAAAAATTAAACTCTTTTGAAGAGTTTTTAGAAGGCTAAGTTTATAAAAAAATAAATTATTACAAGGTATAATTTTTGGCTGATTAACCAAACTTTGAAACAAAAAGTTAAATATTTAAAAAATTTATATTTAATCAGCTAAAAAAGATCCTATTTAAAGCAATTAAAATTATTTTTTTAGTTTTTCTTTTCATTTAATGGTTTTATTATTTATTTATAGTGTAAGTAATAGTTGATTTAAAATAATTTTGGCATTTATTTTATAATTAAGCAAAAACACATTTAATTAAATTTAATTAAAAACTAAATTAAGTTGTATCAAATTATTCCAATCTTAAGTAAAAAAGTTTAAGATGAATTATTTTCTTTTTTTTCATTAGTGATATGTTTGTATAATATATCTTACAAATAAATTATTAAAATTGATGGAAATATGGGTGGTATATTTAATAACATAGTACAAAAAAGCTAAGACTCTACTTTTTTAATAAAAAATAAATTAAAATTTTAGATCTAAAAAAACTTCTGAATTTTTAATCTTTAAGGTAAATTTAATATTTGATTATTTAAAAAATAAATATTGTTTAAATTTTTTATGTTTTAGAAATATTTTAATTTTAATTAAAAAAAATTAATTTTAGCTTTTCCTATTGAAAATAGAAATTTAATTATTTTTATTATTTGTTTGGCTCAGAAATTAGATTAATTATCTCAATGAATATAAATTTCTTATTTACTTTTTATTATTTTTGTTAGGATTTATTTAATTTTGATTTACTTTATTTTATAAGCTTTATCACTTGCTAAAAATTTTTAATTCATTATGAACAATTTTAAAGTCGTAAACTAGATTAATTTGTTATTTAGTCTTAAAAAAATCGAGTCAGCAAAAAAAATTATAATTTTTAAATGCACAATTACTAATATTTTATATAATTAAAGATAGACTGATAAGTAGTTTATTTTACCATAAATATTATAATAGTTTCCAGTATCCCTAATTATTCTAAATATTTTTCTAAAATTTTATAAAAATAAATAATTTACTTAAAAACTAACTTTTTAAATTAAAATATTTTAACAAAGAATTTATTTTCTATTTACTATTTTAGAATGAATGAATAAATAAATAAATAAATCTCAAAATAACTAGTATAATATTCGATTTTTATGTTTATATGTATTTCATTCAATCTTTTTAACAGTCTATTCCTAATACTTTTATAATAACAACTATCCTTCTTGAATACCATTTTAGCGATTTTACTCTTATTTGCGCTGAATCCTTAATATAATTAAAAATATTAAGTTCTTAATAGTAATGTATTTCATAATTTACTGCTATTCTGATTCTGATTAAAATGAATTCCAATAAAACTAATTTCCTATTATTATTAGTAGGACATTTTATAACTCTTATATTTTTCACAATTATTAATATATAAAATTGGATATTATTTAATTCTATGATATATCTTGAAACAAATCTCTACACTCAATTGTTAAGTTTGCTAAAATTACCTATTAAAAGAAAGACTACACCAACCCCTACACCAAAGAACATGTTGTTAGCTCCTTTTGCATATTTTTCATCTTGTAAATCTTTGAAATATACATTTGTCAAATTAAAAATCAGAAATTAATTGGTTTTATCATTTAATTTTACTTCTCTATGCAGATTTAGCTGAATTACTATTTGTAGCTTTTTGCAGAGATGTTAAAATCATACGAGGACGGACCATTTGAATTCAGATTTGTAGAGAAATTGAAATTTTTTTCAAAAAAAGTATAAGATTTGGTATTCTTATTAAAACTTAGTGTCTTACTTTTTCACTTTATACTGCTTAATAAAGTAAAAAATTAGACAAAAGCTATATGTATGCATTCAATAAAATAAAATTAAAAAAATGTTAAATATCAAATAGAATATTAAAATGATCAAAATTATTTTAAAATATTTTGATTTCATTGAAATATGTTGAAATAGGTATATTTGGTGAAGTTATGTGCGAGAAATTAATATAATTTTTAAGTGTGAGTTAAAGGTTTTCAGTTTTTATCTTAAAAGTGTTCTTTAGGTGTTTTAAATCATAAATAAATGAATAATTTTATCTAGCTCAGAGGTATTTTCAAAAATAACTTTCTAAAATTTTATGAAATATGATGCAGAATGTAAATAAAATAATTGTCAATAAATTAAATTGGATATTTTTAAAAAAATACTAGTTAAGAAAAAAAGATTTTAGAATATTTTGTACTAAATAATTAGTATTACTTTTACATTTTAGTCAAAGTATTATTTATCAAATAGACTTTTTGAAAGAGCCAATTCAGATAAAATAATTATATATATAGAGTATCTCTTTGAAGATATCTTCTTTAAAATACTGTCTATTTTGCCTAGAGTTATTTAATTTTTATATAATCTACAAAAATAAAATATAATTGCTTATTAAAATTTGTGTTGAATTATTAATAAATTTGTTATTTGATTTAATTATAAATGCATTATTTAAAGAACTACAAGCAATTAAAGTTAAATTTATTGCAGATTAACCAAGAGCTAAAGCAGGTAGCACTGATTAAGAAGAAGAATATTCATAGTCTAAAAGCCAGAAGTGTTAAAATAGAAGTTAATCTAAAAAATTTATCTCTTCTTCAAAAATCTAATCAATCCTGATCGATTTATTAATTAGCCGACCAAAAAAAGCAAGGCAAATTTCAAATGAAATTTAGGATTCATGAAAAAACAATAGAAAAGAGTAATTTTACATCATATAAAGCAGATATAATATTTCTTATTATGTTGCAAGAAGAGAATTTTATATATAACCTTAAGTGAGTCTCTCTCTCTGCCTGACTTTTAAGGATTTTAATATTAAATTTTGATGGGGAATTAAATATTCTTAAAATAGTGTTTTGGATTAATATTCCTTTTACATTATTTATAAAAGCCTAAAATTATAATATTTGCACAGAATCAACATTCATATATTCATATGCAGATCTGATACTGTTTCAACTATTTGTTAGATTCGTAAAATTTTATAATAATTTATATATGAAATTGTATATTTTCATTTTATAATCTACTAAATTTACAGTAATACTGCCTTTCGATGCTTAAATTTAACGCTTACTTTATTTTCTGAGCTAATTACAAAAATCTATTTGCTTTAAAAATTTAGGTTATTTATAAAACAAACTTTAAAATTGACTAAAAGAAGAAAAAGAATTACTTATAAAAAAATACTTTTATTTTTATCATATTTATAAATTATTTATTTTATTTTTGAAGAGAGTTATGTCTTAAAAAATAAGATCTCGCTTAAATTTAGAATGTATTTTAAGTGACTTTAAAGTTATTTTGTTAGCTAGCAGAAGATGAAAAGTTAAGAAAAGTTAATATTTTTTAACAAAATAATTATTGATTGATTATATCATATTTCTGATATAGTTTTGAACTCAATGTTTAATTAATTTAGGATAAGTATTCTTGTTACAAAGATAAGTGTTTGAATAATTTTAATATGGAATAAATATTATATAGGAAAAACGGGCTAATTAATCTAGTCTATTGCCTTTTTTTTTAGTTTGGTAGTAATCAAAATTGTTAGAATTAGTAATTTGTTCAAAGCAGCAAAAGGAAAAACTCAATATTTTATAAAAATAATAGGATTAAAAAAAAAAGCAATTTGATAATGATAATATTGCTAATAAAATTGAGCAAATTATAAGGATTATATATAAAAATATATATATAATTTTTAGAGGGTTAAGATAAGAAGGTTTAATGAGTAAAAGATTAATGAATGAATGAAAAATTAATTGATTGATTGATTGATTATCAATCTATAATGAATCTTCACAAAGGTATTTGTTGCTCTAGATAATTAATAATTATAAAGAATACGAAAAAAAAAAAAAAGCAATATCAATCAGAAATAATATAAAGGCAAAGAAAAAAAAATTAAGTTTAATATCTAAATTGTTTATTAATTAATAAGACAAACTATTAACAAGAAGAAGAAAAATTAATAAGAATATCCAACCTATGTTGCTTGAATCCTTCAAATTCGAACCTTTAGACCATTGTGGATGCAACAGTGCAAGTAAAATTTTCAGAATTTACAGTACATAGACACGTGAAAACGTAAATCTTGTAATGAAAACATCATAGCACAGTTAGGACTCCACATTTTTATCACATCTCTACTCTCCTTCCTCCTCTCACTAGCCTCTGTAGCTCTAAAACTAACAAATTTTTGAGAGTTAAGGACCTCACTCAGTAATCAAAAATAACAAAAATTTAAGAGCCAAGGAAGCTAACTAGAAGGCAATAACTCACCAAAAGTCCAAGACAAAGATTGGTAATGAGATGATTAGCTCAGTTGATGAGAGCCACTGCAATTTTCATTGCTATATGATCCATAAAGAGTGGTAGCTTCTTGAAAATATACTCCCCCACCCAAATATTGTTCAAGTCTACAAGGTTTTTGAAAATGTTGACTGCTTCTACTCATAAAGTGGCATCAATGGAAAGTAAAAAGCCTCAAATATGATCGAAAGCTCAATTAATTCTTAAACCCAAGACATAGAGCAACAAAATAATCTATCTCCTTAGGAAAATGAACACCCTGATAGTTGTTGTGCTCTTCTCATGGAAGAAGCAGAAATGGATTTATTTGATTATGTTGAAAAACACTACAATTTAAACAGGTCGAAGCACATCTCAAACTTGATCCACATGTATCGCTAAATTGCTCAAGGCTTAGACCACATCCACAGTTTCAACTACTCACACAATGATATCAAAAGTGAAAATGTTCTCATTTTTTCTAACCTCAAGGAAGCTAAAATCACTGATTTTGGATTAGCAAACGATCTTAATGATTATAAAGGCTTGACTCGTCCTTAAATAATAGAAAAGTAAGTCTAGTAATGGGAATATCGCTGTTTAAACCATGCAGCACCAGAAATACTTAATACCCTAAAGACAAGATCATAAGATTTTGATGAGTAAAAGGCAGATGTGTTTGCATTTGGTGTTTCTTTTTTTGAATCAGTATTTGGATTTCGTCCATTCGCATAGTATGCGCTACCTTCCGATCCTATTTATAAGCATTTTGCTAATAAGTAAAGCTTTAGTAGATTTTGGAAGACTAACGCGCAAATATAGGCAGTACTTAGAGAAATAAACAATGGAGATGTAGATATTGAAAAGCTTTTTGACATTATCTACAAAACCTTGAATAAAAATCCAAAATAAAGAATATCTTCAGCTGATCTTTTAATAGATCCCCTCTTTGATTGAAGTTGAAGAGCAAATATTTAGTGTTATTTTGATTCAAAAATTATTAGCCAATGAATCGTTTTACCATCTTTCAAATTTAATCGCAATTTTTTGCGAAAAAAACCTACAAAAATTCTTACCTCTAACCATAATGTACATAAGCAACCTCTATAATAATAAATTAACTAACATTTTATAACAAATAATTTAATTAAAAATTTATCAAATCAAGAATACACTATCAACTTTCTAAAAATTTACTAATCTCTACATTTTAATTTTTTATAAATGAATAGAAATTATTTAAATGGCCATTTAAAAAAAAAATAAAAAAATGCGCAATTAAGTCTAAACATTTATAAAAAAAACACAAATAATTAATTTTTAAAGTATGCATTTATGTAAATACCATTTTATTATTATGTAAATATTTAATTTATTGAATCTTCACAAAAATAAATTGCTGAAAAACTCCTCATTTTACAAATTAATTCACTTTTCAATTTACTTTACATTTGTTTTAATCATTATCTACTTTAATAATTGTTTCAAAGTGCACTTTTATGTTTTTTCTATTTTTTGTTTTTAACTTTGAATATAACTTGAAAAACATCTCAATTTATTTTGTTAAAAATCAGCTTGAAAATTAAGGTTTTGCTGAAGTATTTCACATAACTATGCAGAAAAAATACCCTTGCCAATCATCATTTCTATCTTTTTTTATATATTATCGATCCTTGTTTCGTTGGTTGAAAATTAAATTTTTGTTAGAATAAAACGAATTTACTATTAAATTTGTAATTTGCTCCGCATAAATTTTTCATTTCTTTTAATGCAATTTTAGGTAATGTTTTTTATTAAAAGACACTACTATTTCTTATTTCTAGTGTTCTTCTTCAACATATACTTTTATTCATTTTTCAATTTATTGATTTATAGTTCTTATGTTCAAAATTATTATTTAATTAATTATTTAATGCTTTTTGAAGTGTTTGTTTGTTGTTTGTTAAATACAAAGAGAAAACTATATTTCAATTTTATTTTTTTATTTTAATAAAATAAATTACTCAATCAAAAGCAATAAATTTCCTTTCTATAAAATCCTCCAATCTCGTAGCATGTGTGTATTAAGTTATTTTAAATTCATATCTAACCTCATACCTTGAATTGAATTAAATATAATAATCACAATAACTATGAATATATATCAAAATACTATTAATACACAAATATTTTAAAATTAGTCTATTTTTAATAAAATTAGAATGAATGAAAGAAATTTTATAATTATTTGCTTTCTATTTTATTTACCTTTATCTATTGTTGCTTAAACTTGAAAGAATATTTAATAAAGCTTATAGTTTCTATCAGCTGTTAAATAGAAGCAAATAGACATGAAAAATAAAATTTATTCTGATCATATTTTTATTTCAAGAGATCAAATATCCAAAAAGCTATCAAATATTTATTTAGATATTTTATGATTTTTTAATTATAATAGATTGATATCGGATTTCTAAAGCTTTTTGTATGTTTTGAAGATGTTATTTGATAAGTTAATTTACTTATTGAAAATCTAAAATAACTTACTTTATATTTTAAAATCAACCAGATAATAAATCCATAAATCTGTTAATTTATTTATAGATTAATTATAGAATTGAAATAGTATTAAAAATAATAAAGATTGATAAGATTTAAATAAATGAATTTGTAAATTAGATATGTAAATAATTATAATAATAATAAAAATCAATAGCTATTTTAATTTCTTTTTGAATTTCTTATATAAAAAGTGTGGTGACAAGAAACAAATTAGATTAATTAAAATTGTCTCTTTATAATTTAATTGGCTTGAGAAGTTAATCAATTTTTTTATTTTTCATTCAAAATTCGGAATTTTAAAATCAATTCGATTCAGCATTCTTTATATCAAATACCAGATTTATACAAAATCCTAAATGTTTATTTTTACTAACATATATAATTCATTTTTTATAATATTTTTATCAATAGTCTTATCCTATGCATAAATCTTAGCAGTCTAAGAACTCTTCAATTGTAAGGCTTTAGTAGTAAACATTGTAAGCAACGTAACGACAAGGTATCCATAAACGCATTGGGAATTCATTTTGTTAAGGTCCATTCTTATACTAAGCTAAGAATTAGACACATTCTGGTTCTTGCAAATATTTGTTATAAGCATTGGTGGCAATCTTACAAGCATACTCATCTATTTTACCAGAGCAACCGTATTTTGACAAGCATTAGTTTTAAACACATTGGCTAACTTGTTGATTAGTTTTATAACCAAAACTGGTTTAGAATAAGCAGAGAGCAATTAATACTGCAATTATACTTCCTTTCATCTTAATACTTTTTTTTATTATTAATATTTTTCTTTTTTAATAATTATATAATAAGTTCAATTTTTGAACCTCAAGAATATTTCTAATCAAAAAAAAAGATATTAAGCACTTTATATAAAATGTTGCATATTTTTGACGAATTTACTAATAGAAAAGTACAAAACAAAATTTAATTAAAGCCAAAAAAAATGGATATATTTATTTAATAGGAGAAATTTTATTTTCAAAATTATTTTTCTTCAATACTAAAATGGTTTTTAAGTTCATTAGTGCAGCTTAAATGTGAAAATTAAAATAAAAATATTGAAATAAAACCTTAAAATAAATAATTAAATAAAAAAATTCTAAATTTGAAAGAATACACCTATCTTACAACTTTTCTATAAAAATAATAGCAAAAAAATTTTGAAATTTTGATAAAGATAGGATAAATTTTTTCGTTGTGAAAAAATAATTTGATATTAGATCGAGAAAACTTAAAAATACTTTATAAATTAAACTATAAAAATAAAAGGAATATATAAAATTAAATTATAGATATTTCTAAAATAATATAAGATATTTTAATTTAGTATTTGTAAAATAATTCTGAATATCTAGGAAATTTTAAAAAGTTGAATTCAATAGAACAATTTATATTCAAAGAAACAAAAAGCGTTAAATTTATTAAAAATTAGTAAATTTTAATAAATAATGAAGAATGGATTATCAAAATAATATAAAAAGAATAAGTAGTTATGAATAACAAAATAAAACTTCAACTTTTAAATAATTATAATAATAAAAATATTTACAAACAATATAATTTATTTAACAATATCTAACATTCAAATTATATTTATTTATCTAATTAATATTCAAAATAATTTAAAAACTTTATTAAGAACTTATTTTGTTTTTTGAACTCACAGAATAAATAATTGTAAAATTAAAATCAAATTCTAACTTTTAATATTTATCAATAAAAAGAAAACAAATTGTTAAAAAATTTAAATATTTTAGATTTTTAAATAAAATCAAATGATTTAGAAAATCTTTAATAATTATTTTTATTTCAGCTAGCTTAACTGCACTAAATTTATAAATGAATTATAATAAATGATCAAATATTTTTTAATTGAAATAAAAACTTATTTTTAAATCAATTCAAATTTTTAAATCTAAGTTAAATTGAAATTTTTTTGTTTAATCTAAATTATTTTACTTCTATTAAAGCATAAATTTATCTAACTAACTTTATTTTTACTATACTTACTATTTTAACTATTAATATTTTTATTTAGTATTTTAAATTTTAATTGATTTTAGATATATAAAAAATCTTCAAATTTTATTTAGTTCCATAAGATAATAAAATTAATACTAACATCTTAATAAATCAAATGAATAACTTTTTCTAATAAAAAATTTATTTACTTAAAATATTTAGTTATTTATTTTGCTTTCAAAAATTTAAAATTAAAAAAAAAATAAATTATCAAAAATAAATATAATTTTTAATATTCAAGGAACTAAAATATTTTTCATTTATATAATTCATAATTTGAATCTAATAAAACACTAAGTAAGCAATTAACTAATTTAAGATATTATGATACAATAAATCATTAAATAATTAATTCTAAAATATTCACATTTTTTAGAATTGTTAGATAAACCACCATTTTATAGAAAAAAACAGTATTTGATAAATTAAATCTAAGAAATAATAAAGTATGTATATTTTAATTATTTAACCTTTTGAAAAAAGTTAATAAAAATAACTTTGCAATTTAATTAACTATTAATTTTTTTATAGCATTATTATAGAATAATAGCCTGCATCACAAATTATAACATTTGAATAAAATAAAAATAAGTTTGAACAATATTATTAAATTACTGATTTATTTTTAACTATGAATAATTAGATATTTTAATACTTTAGAATTAGAGAATAAAATAATATTTGAAATATACAAATGAATATGGAATTAAATTTTATATCCATACAATCATAGTTATGATTCATTATTTTTGGCATAATTTTTATTTATATTGTATTTATAAACTTCAATTATATTTTTTGACTAATTGCCAGTTGTTATTATTTTAAGAAATATAAACATAATTAAGGTAAATAAGTATTATACTAATAAAGGTTTAACAATTAAATTTTGAAGTAGAAGTATTGATTTAAATTTTTTTCTTTAAAATTTTAAATGGATATAGACTAAGAAGTATAATTGGAGGACAAGTCTAATATTTTGTGTGGAGGAATATAAAGATAAAAAATATTTTAGCACTTGCATGACGAATTTAGTAAATCTCCTTCTTAATAAGATCTTTCTTCATTTTTTTAAAAGAAAAAATATGAAGAAGATGAGCTATTTGAATCTTCTAACTAAATAGATTAAACTAAATCTCTCAGCTTGAATCAATCACATGGATCCTAAAAAATTCAAAAAAAATCAATTGCATATAATGAAGATTAAAGTTTAAAAGCTAAAAATGAGGAGTCTTAATAAATTAGTTTTTATAGTCAACAAATTAATCCCTATGAAAATATTTAAAATCTAAATGTCAATTCTAAATTATCAGAAGTTTTAGTAAAAATTGATGAAAATGATAAAGAATCTATGGGTTCTCAAAAATAGTCACTAAATTATTTTTAATCTCAAAACAAAATGTAAACTCTTTATCGATAGAGCAGTATTGCAGAAAAAGAGAGATTAAAAAATCTAAATGTAAATACATCCTTTAATGAGAATTCCACTAACAATCAAAGAAAAAGTTTAAAAGAAAGTATGAAATAAAGAAGAATTTAACCTAAACAAGGAGGATATAGAGAAACCTATTTTGGGAAAAAATTTAATACAATTAGTGATGATAATTAGTGGAAAATTTTTGCTAAAATGAGAAAAGTAAAATAGTATTGCAAAATTCTATTAGAAAAAAGATTCTACTCGAACTATAAAAATCTCAATTAATTACACTTAAGTGCTATAAATGATAAAAGTTATATCACAGAAACTAAGAGTAAATAATATATAGAAAAATTTGAAAAAATCCCAGTGATATAGCCTAACAGCTTGATAGAGTAAATTTGGGACATTATTTTATTTATTACTTTGGTTTAATAGTACATAGTCACAACAGTAGAAATATGTTTTGGTATTAGCTTAATATAAGAAAGAAACCTCTATATTTTAAATTATCTTGTACCTTCGATTGTTTTCTCCATAGATTTGATCATTTACTTTAACATTGGATTTTATGATAAAGGTAACATCATCACAAAAAGAAAATTAATTTTGAACAAATATATTAGGTAATTTAATAAGCATATTTACTTTATTATTTGGTTATTTTCTTTCTTTCTCTATAATTAATTTATTCAATAACTATTTACCTTTTTATAAGTTATTATTTTAACTACTCTTTAATTAGACTAGACGACTCTTTTAATATTTTTTACAGATGTCTTTATTTATAGCTAACTTTTAATAACATAGCTTAAAAATTAATCAATTAAACAATTTTAGTTTCATTTTTTTAGTTTTTTAAATTTGGAAATCAAAATGATAAAATAAAATTATTCTGTTTATTGATTTTTTTATGAAAATAAATTTTAATAATTAAAATTTTATAATTAACAGAAAGCAATTTATTATAAATTCTATAACAACTATATGTATGATTGTGTAAGGATATTAACAGATGTTTAAATTTGGGATCTTATTAAGAATAATCTAAATTCCTAATTTGCTTGAAAAAATTGATGATCATTACTAGCTATCATAAAGATTCAATACGTTTTTTGAATTATTTAAACTTATGTTTCTGATTTTTGGATGTGCTCACTTTGTAGGTTGTGGTTTTCACTTTGTAGCTATGTCGGTACAGGAATATGGTATTTCTTATTCGTATTGAGTTAATTATATATTAATCCATTTTTTTAGAAAAGACATGGATAGTAGTCTAATAAATAAATGATTCTTCTATATCAATAAAATATTTATGGAGTATATACTTTGCAATAATAACAATGGTCACAGTTGGGTACGGAGATATAACTCCTATTTCATGGTATGAAAGGATATATGTTATAATTGTAATTATCTTTAGTTGTGGTTTATTTGGCTATTCGATGAATACAATTGGTTCTATTTTTTAAGAGATAGCTAAATAAGAAGCATAATTTAAGTAATTTATATTCTTGATTGTGATTTATTGTGCTAAAATTATATTTTTTGTTTAGATAAGTAAAATATGAAATTGGTTAATATATGAGAAATAGAGATATTCCTAAACATCTATAAACTAAAGTTTTTAAAAATCTTGAATACTCACATATACTAGAAGGAAGCTTAATATAAAAAAGTGAAATAATTTTAGATAATCTGACTCTCACTCTTCGAAATCAAATCAAAATAGAGTTTTATGGCAGAATTTTGCAAAATTATAAGTTATTTAATCTTAATTTTTCACAAGAAGTAAGACAAGAGCTGTGTCTTCATATGAAAGAAATAATATTATAACCAGGAGAAATTCTTTACGATATTGGATAAAACAATGATAAAATATTCTTTTTGCATAAGGGATCAGTTGAAATAATTTCATTTAACTTCAATAAATAGAATTCTTCAACTATTGGAATTGCTTAAGTATTAACAATTTTATTATTTCTATCTATTCCATAATATAATAAATAATCTGTATTAAAAAAAGTCTGGTAGTATGCTTGGACAACTAGGATTTTTCACTGGGTAATTAGAAATACTTTAAGCGAAATCAATAGATACATGCTTTTTAATTTATTGTGATAGAAGCAGCTTTTAATAAATAATTTCAAAAAATAGCTATGATATGGTTCAAATTTTTTTATTTTGTTTATTTAAAATTTATTAAATTTAAATTTTATAATTTTACAGGAAATTTTTTGTAAGTTGAGAGATAATCTACTGATTTATAATAGGTAATTTGAAACTACCTGTTATTGCTGCTAAAAAGTAGGCCACGAAACAAGTTAATGTTAAATTTATGGTGCCAAAATTGTAAAGTAGATATCCATTTGGAAACACTTAAAATGGTTTTAGTAAGAAAGAGATAGTTCACATTAAAGGAAGAAAAAAAAATCAATTAACAGCTTAAAATGCAGAAATGAATATATGACTTAGGCAAGAAAATTAAGACTACTGTATTTCTATTATGCTTACGATTATGACTTTTAGATTCAATAGGAAGATTTAGAGCTAGAATAAAATGATATGGAATTCCTACTTTTTATCCCCAAAATTTTTTATAAAGATGGAGAATATGAATATAGTGAGGGCGAAATATCTAACTTTAGTGATCGATACTATGATGAACTCAAAAAAGAATATGATTTATATCCACCAAAAATAAATTCATAAAGAGAACTTTAAAGACAAGAAACTTAAAAACCAGAAGATAGTTCAAATTCTTAGCTCAGTGAACCTAGAATCTAGAGTAATGAAAGTATCTTGAAAGCAAAATAATAATTACATAGACAAAGCTTAAATTTAAATTAATTTACTAAAAAAGAATTTTTTAAACAATAAAAAAATAAAACTCAGCCTTTATAATCTGAAAAAGAGTAAATGTAAGTAAACTTCACCATGAATTTTAATAATCTCCAGAATAAACTTTTTTAGAAAAGTAATAGTAAAGGCAATTAAAATAATTCCAATAAATCGTAGAAGAATAAGAAAAATAATTCTTTATCTCGGATAGAAGAATATCAAATGCCTTCAGGAGAGATTTAATACAACTCTGAAGTTATGTTTTCAGATCCTAAATTAAATACTCCAAGAATAAATTTAACTAACAGAAATCTTGCAGATATCATAGAAAGATAGCAATCAAGCTCATATCAAGAAGAATCTAAATCATCTATTAATAAAAATTAAGATGTTTTGAAAATTTGTAAAAGTTAAAATGAAGATTTTTAAAATATAACTTCAAATTAAAGACTTTCAATTGATAAACACAAGATTAATCGGATAAGTATTGAGCATTCAAGGAACAGTTTTTCGCGAGGTCAACGACCTTCGATTCTCTTTGGTCTTAATTAAATATCAAGCTTATAAAAATAATTACGTCTTAGCAATGATAAAAATATACCAATCTAAGAAATTGCTGATAAAGAAAATAAAGACTAAGATAGTTCATAATCTCTTACCAGTAAATCTTCAAGTGCCAGCTCTTATAGTTAGACCCCTAATCAAGTAAGAGTGAAAACAGTTGTGAATTTTGACAAAGTTAATGAAGCAATGCAAATACTTTAAGAGAGGAGAAGTAATCAAATAAGTTAATTTTATCTTTAATATTATGATGGAATCTACATAGTACCTGACTTTGATAAAGTGAAGGAGTATACAGGATATTATCCTTACAATAATTTTTCTAAGGTAATGAAATAATTAAGGGAAAAGCAATATAGACTTTTTAGAAAGCAAAAGTTAAGTAGGACTGTCATAAGGGATAACAAAAAAAAATTTACTGAAATTTAATATGCACAATAATGAAAATAAAATTAATTATCAACTGTACCTTCTAAACAAAACTGTTGTAATAAATTTGAATTTTAGTAAACAAAGCAAGTATATTTAATTAATTAATTGTAAGTTATCGTGTTTAAAAATTTAATTTAAATCAAATTTTAGTAGATAGATGATAATTGAATTTTATTTTGTTTGAAATTGGCTATTTTATTAATATTGTTAGAATACAAAAAATATTTCTCAAATAATGAAATTTCTCTAATTCTAATTTTTACTTTATTTAAATAAGAAGAATACAAGAAAAAAAAAGTAATAAATTTAAGAACTAATTAATTATTTTTTGGAGTTTATTTTTATTAACTTTTATTTTTAAATTATAGAAAATAATAAATTTAGTAAATCAAATATATTTTTGACAATATTAATTTGTTTTTTTAATTGAAATTAATAAAAATTTTTTTGTAATTCCAAAATTCTTTATATGAATCTAAATATAATTTTTTTATAGATTAGCTCAATTCAAATTTAGAATGAAATAAATTAATTTTAAATTAAATTTTTAAAAGCAATATATTTTACCAAAAAATAATAGCTGCAGTCAAATTAAAAATTTCCTACATAAACTATAAAATCTACTTTTTAGTTAAGTCTGCTTATTTAAAAAATATTGAGAAAATTATATTTAAAAAATATTTTTATAATATATAGGAGCACATTTAAAGATTCAATAAATAAAATTTACAAATATATTACAATTAAAAATAATTATTTATTTATTTATTACAGAATTAAAATTTATTATATTTTATAAATATTTTTTAAATGTTTGTTTATTTTATTATTTATTTAATTATTAAAATGCATCAAAATACGCACATCACACAAGTAGAATCCAAAGCCTTCAGCTTTTAGATACATGCTTCGTGGTATTAATGATGACATGTCAGTTTAATTAAGTTATCTCTTTGTTGGTTAATATTTTTTGTGCAAAAGCAGCACCAAAATTTGTTTTTTTTATGTTTATAGGCTCTTATTCTGATGCTTTTCCACTCTCTTTCTTATGGCAAAAAGTCATAATTCTCTATACTATCTCCTTTAGTATTTATGTACTAACAATCATTTTACTTATATATTTATTAGCTTTTGTCCTCAGTATTTTTAAGTTTGTAAATACCTGAGACTATGTAACTACACTTATAAAACAACAACTCATCTATTTGAACAGTTTTTTAACAAGATATGCACTATAAAAGTAATTCTTAATCTTATGCATTTATAAAAAACTCTCCAAAATTTAGTTACAGCATTTGTTTTATTTTATATTAATTACAGAGATTATTTACACATTCTGTAAGAATATTTACTCCTTAATTAACATGAAAAGTATCATACTATTTATTTTCTTTTATAAATATTTCCAAATTGCTGATATTTTTCTTTGAGCTTATTTTTTTTTAGCTAAAAAGAGGCTATTTACTTTCCGAATTTTAAAGGAATTTTGTAGATCCTTCTTTATGCATATTATGAAAATCTTAGCTCTTTGTAGAAATAACTTCAAAATTATCAAGAATTTCTTGAGTCTAATCTTCTTCCATTAACTTAGTTTATATTTTTGTGATATTGTTAATAGTTAAATCCTAAGATATTTCAAGAGTACCCATTCTCTTTATCATATTAGGTATTTCTAGATTGCTAGAATATCGTTTATTATTTATCAGTACATGTAAAGGAGGTGGAGCATTTTAATTTGTATATTCTTAAACTATTATTTTGCTTCCAGGTTAAATTTTACAATCTTGCAAACTCATATCATCTATAAGTAGCGCTTCTCCTTGATGAAGTAGCTCAAAATTTTTATTTTAGAATTAAAATTGTTGACATATCTTTTTCTTAATAGATTTTATGGTTGTGTTATTATCATATGGTATGTTAATTACATGATTTGAATGAGGAATTTCAACTTGAATATATTCCATTGTCTCATCAACGCTTAATTCTATATAGATGGGAAGCAAATCCATAAACTAAATCATTTTCTAACAATAAAAGGACTTTTGTATATCTTTCATTTATGCAAACCTAAACGATTCAATCATGTAATCCTTTAGGTCCTCTATAATTTTTACTTCTAAATTGTACAGAGTCCATGTTTCTAATTATGTATTATCAATTCTTATAATATAAGATAAATCTGGTTTTGTAATGCACACTACTTAGAAGTCTATCTCTCTATTTAATTCTGAATACTTATATTCGCTGAGTATCAACGGTAAATTATTTTTCACATTATTTGTTTTACATATATTACCTTCTTTTAACCCTTCTACAACTTCCTTTTTGGTTTGACAGCAACCCATAATTATGATTTATTAATTGATAAATGTTTAAAGTATCAATTTATTATTTAGCTTATTCTGTATTCAAAGAGCCAAAAATTATATATTTTAAAATAATTATAACTTTTCAAAGATATTATATACTGATGTCTGTCAATCTGAATAGTTTCTTAATAAAATTTCAGATTTTCAAAGTACTAATCTGAAAATTATTTTGGATATATTTATTTATTTCTTTTTCTATTTGAAGATTTAGTTAAAAAGTCCCTTTTGTTTATGATAGTTTTTCTAAAATAAAATTTTTAAACGTGAAGTTAACTATTAAAATGTTTTATATCGAATTAGGTATTCTACACTAAACAAAAATGGTATTACTAACTTGAAATTGTTTTTGGTATTTTTCTTTTGCTATAATATATTATTGAAATATGATTAACAAACTAGAAACTATTTTGATTATTAATCTTATAATTAAATTTAAGTATTACACTCTTTTTTTACATTCATATGTTAAATTCAAATAGTTCCAATCAATTTGATTTACAAAGAAAGTATTAAATTTGGGAAGATATTTAAGACCACACATATCTATAGCAAAAAGATATTAAAAATAATTTCCATAATTACCAAAACCACTTGATATCAATTATTTTCTTTATAGCAAGAACCTAAAAGTATAAATTTAAGTAATTTTAAAAGCCAAATGAAGTAAATTATTTCTGAATATTTTGGAATGATCAACAAACAAACTTCAGCATTTAAATTTAAAATTGATAAACAGAATAAATTAATTTTAAGATAAGATTATATTTAAAGATGCTCATTCATTTATTTAAAAATTTAAAAATGATCATTCATTTATTTTAAAATTCTCATTCATTTTTTTAAAATTAAAAAATTTTTATGATTATCACTAAATTTCTTTCTCGGTATTCTAAGACATTAATTTTGATCGTATAACAAACTGAGTAAATTTTTTTAACTGAAAGAAAATCAAAAATTTTAATTTGTATTTATCAAATAAGTTAAAAATTTAAATTTATAATTAAGTTTACTGAAATATGTTGATTTAACTTTTATCATAGTATTTGTTTAAAGATTATTTATTCTTCAGAAAAATGTACTTTAAATTAAATTAGCTAATATATTTTTTGACATTAAAAACTTTCATTAATTTTGTTTGTTTGTTTGTATATTTAAAATAACAGATTTTCTTTAAGAGTTTTGTGAAATATATAAAATGTATATTTTTCAAAGAAAGATTGATATTTATTAATAAAAAATGTAATCAATATAAAAAAGCAAATTAATTAATTGCTCATAGATTTACAATTTTAGTTGACATAGCCCATAATTTTTAAACATTTTCTTCTGTGATTGATTTAGCTTTATACAATTTTTATTTGCAGTCTTCATAGTAGGCTGCTTTATTTAACTTATCATAGTCTTCATGGATGCAATAAAATGCTGTTTAAGCACCTTATGAAGTAGATTTTGTAGTGAGAAAAATAATTGGGTACAAACAAAAGTAAATGCATTTAAAAATTGGACTAAAATTTTAAAACATGTTAGTTCTTACAGATCCAGGATGCAAGCATACTGAAATTCCATTTAAATTCAATTAGTCAATTTTTTACTAAAGTCCTATTGTAAAAAGAGTATTGGCTACTTTTGATTAACCATAAACATCCATATTTTTATATTTTCTCTTTTCGAAATTAATATCATCAAAATCAATGTTTGTAAATTAGAACGCCCATGATGTAACAGTTATTACTCTAAACTGATTAGAAGCCTTTAAGCTATCTAGCAGAAGGTTTGTTAGAAGAAATGGACCAAAGTGGTTAGTAGCAATTTAGGTTTCTAATCCATCTTTAGTCATGACTCTTTATTGCATGATTATACCAGCATTGTTTATCAGTATATCAAGTTTATTATATTTAGATTAAAATTCTTTCACGAATTGTCTGACAGAAGAAAGATCACTTAGATCTAGCTTTATAAAGTCCACTGACCCTGGATTAATTTGGTTTATTTCATCAATAGCACTCTATGACTTTTCTCTATTTCTGCAAGCAAGAATTACTCTTGCACCACTTCTAGAGCAATCTTTAGCCACCTCAAATCCTATTCCCTAGTTAGATCCTGTTATAATTATAACTTACCCTTGAAGATTTCTATGCTTGTTATTCTTGCTTTTTTTCAAGCAAAAAAGCACAAGTATAAGTAAAGGAATAAATACGCAAAGACAAACTATGAGAGCTGTTTAATTCATATTTAAATAAGTTTTACACTTTTTATTTCTTAAAAAGAATTATGAGGAATTATATTTTTTAAACAATATTTAATTGTCGTCTACGTTCATTAATAAAAAATAATGTTTATCCAGAATTTAAAAAAATATATTCCTTTAATATTCCTTTTTGTTATTCTATAAATTAGAAACTCTTTAACTGTTAAATTTACTGAAAATTTCTTGATTTTGAAGTAAATAAGTATTAAATCTGATATTTTCTTAAAGAAAGCAAGCATATCTATCACAAATTTTTTATCAAATTTATTTAATAGAAAAAAATTTTTAATAAGAAGAAACTATTTAAATATTAAAGAAGGTGATAATTAAAATTGAATATTAATTATTACACTTATTTCATTAAAAATTAAGTACCCTACAGTACTTATATTTAGTTGTTCTGGATAAAATGTTTGATTTTACAGTAATATAAATTCTAGATTAAATTGTGTTTTTTGATAAAAAAAATTTTTCTTAAGAAATAGATAAATATTAAATTATATAACATAAATATAAAATTTATTTTTTTAGGAATTATTTATCAATAAAAATAAATTAACTCAATACAAAAAATTATTAATTAGAAAATCTAAAATATTTTTAATTTTACAAAAATATAAAAACAAAAATTAAGATTATAAATATATATTTAAAAGGATTATAAATTTTTTTGTTCAGAGACAGTTAAATATTTTTAATTTGAATAAGATAAAAGAATATATTTAAGTATTATGAATATTCTAAATTTTAAACTCGTTTTTTGATTAGAATATTTTAGGGTATATTTTATTGAAAATTTATTAAAAAAATTATTTTTATTTGAAAAGTAATAAATATTGGAATTTTTATATTACATGCAAAATATTATTTTAAGCAGATATCAACTAAGAAAATTTTATTTAAATTTATGTTTTTTTAATGTAAAACAGATAAATATGAAAAAAACTATTTTAATATTTTGAATATAACTAATTGATTACTAAATGTTGTAAATTAACATATTTATAGATATTAAAATAATTAGTTGAATTTATAATAAATCAACGATAATTTTCAAGATGCTTTTTAGAAAATACTTTAAAAAAATTTTATTTCATATTTGCTAAAGATATTTATTGAAAAAAAAATTTGAATATACTAAGAAGGAAAAGTTAATAATAAATAAATCTAGCAATTAAATAATTTAAATAAATTTTTATTTTCAAAATAGACCAATTAAAAACTAGACTAAATTTTGATAAAGCCCTACTAGTTTTATTTTTATCAAATTATAAATGAAAAGAAAATCAATAACTGAAGAGAACAAATTTATTATTAAAAATTATTTTTAAGTTGTTTATAAAGATTTTATAATATTTTGAAAAATAAACTTGTAGATTGATTTAAATTGCTTAACTAAATGATTAAGGTTTTAAATATATGATAGACTATTCATAATAAATAAAATAAAGTGATTAATTACCCTTTTTAATAAAATAATAAAAATATTTGTTTGTTTATTTGTTTAATTTTTTATCTCAAAAGTTGATAATTTATTTATTAAATTTCGTTATTAAAAATTAATAAGTGATATGACTGGTAGGTAATTGATTAATATTAAGAAAACTAAACTGATTGAATCTTTTAATTTTTAAGACTATTTTAATAAAATTTAGATAACCATAACAAACACATACACACACACAAACAAACACAACTTAGCTTTCTTTCTTTATTTATTTAATAAAATAAAATATCTCTTTTTAGAAAAATCAAAGTGATATAAGCAAATTATTAAATAGAAAGTAAATTAAATTAAAATTTTTATTATATATTTATTTGAAAGTATGGATTCTACATATTAGTTTTCATCTCTTAATTCTTTAGCATTTCCACTTAAGAGTTATGGACTACCATCTTAATCCTCAACATATTAAGCAAAGTAATTTTTTGTTCTAAAATTTCTCAATAATTGTCTATTAATAAACTTATATCTCACTAAGAGTCATTATATATTTTATTAAAGCAACTTAACTGGCACTACAAATTTAGATGATTAAGTGAAGGCAATTGCAATGTAATATTAGTATTCCTCTACTTATAAACCTGCATCTAATATAAGTCTTCCGCAAGTCACTTAATAAATACCTAATTAAATTACTTCTTCATTAGATTACAATTCATCTTTACCTAATTCAAATCAATCCTAAGGGATTTACTAAACAAACCTAGGAAATAATACTTATTGTAAATTTTTGAGATTTAAATTTAAGATATTTAAAATAATTTTAATTTTAAATACATAGAATATTAGAAATTAGATTAAAAGATAGGAACTGGTTTGGAGAATAATTCTTAGTATGGTAATATTGCTAATAAATTTTTTACTTTTTTAATTGTATTTGTTTGAAATTAATCTTGTTTATAACCTTAAAATGAAAGGTTAAATAGGTGGTATATAAAGCTAGATTTATGGCCTTCCAAAACAATATGTTAGCAATTTAGGAAATAGCGTTTAAGACACAGATTATAAATAAAATAGTAGTTTCTAACCTCTTTAGCAATAATAGTAAGCAAAATCTGAAGCGGTAGAAACAATGAATGATTAATCTAGAGAGTAATTTAGATTGAAAGTTGACGAAATAGTCAACTAAGTGAAAAAAAGTATGTACTATTAATCTTCTGGTGCAGATTCAAATATAAACACTAATTTTGTAAATGGATAATAGTAAAAATAATAGTAGCCATCATATGAAACAAATTTTAGCATAAATTAAAATAAATTGCAAACTCCTTTAAAATACTCTTAATTGTCCAGTGATTTAAATAAAGTTAATAGCAGTTATAACCAAATATTAGGTATTAATAATTTGAAACAAGATTCTTCACCTATGTCAAACTTTAATGCATATGATAAACTGAATAAAACTTTTAATAGTGTTATTTATCAAGGTAGTTAGCTAAGTTCGTCAGTTCCAATATAGCTAGAATAAAAAAACTAGAATTTCACATCATTTAATGATTAAATTGGAAAAGAAGTAAATAATAACAATTCTTCTGCTTATAATTTTAGTACTTCATAAGCTAATAATACTCAAATTTAGAATAATTAGCTCCTCCAAGCTAGCCCATATTAGTAGTTTTAAAAGTAAAATATTTAATCTGAATAATCATTAAATATGCAAAATTCATATAAATAACTATCACCATTAAATAAAATTTAATTGTCAGATTCATATAATTTAAAGACAAATTATGATAATCAGAACACTCTCAAAAATTATGATTTCACTTCAAATTTTAGCAAATAAAATCCTTTGTTATCAAGTTTTGACAAAAGCTCAATTAATTATCCATAGTATGATACTAAAAGTTATGTGTCTAGCAATGTGATCATTTAAGGGTCTGGAATTTCTAATCCTACTGCTTTAGCGTAAAAGGTAAATATTTAAAGTGAAATACCTTCAGAGTTATAAAGTGTAAATTTAAAGTATTCTTACACAGCAAACTAAATATAAGATCTAAATTATTATTAATCTAGCCTGCTAAGCAACTAAGATTTGTATAAGCAAACACCTGTAAATATCGAACAAGCAAAATAGCTTGTAAGAGAAAAATCTATAGAAAAAACACTAATCGTATCAGGAAATAGTGAAGAATCAAAAATCCAATAACCTGGTTAATAGTATAATGTAGAACAAATAAAAAGGTCTTCATCATTTTCTGAAAAAAAGAATTCCTTAGCAGGTTCACCCAATAAATAGAGCATATTTTCTAATTTAAATTCTTAGAATATTAACTCTCAAAATGATTAAATTGTAACAAATAACAACTAATTTTTTTCAGATGTAAAGGATGATGATACCTTAAATCAATTATCACAATAAAATAAGTAAACTAAATTAATTTAAAAAATAATTAATTATTAAATTTAAAATATAAAAAAGCACTTTTGAAACTTTGCAAAACGAAACTTAAAATATCGAAGCTTAGTCTGAAACAGTTAAAAGATCTAAAAATAATCAATAAATATCTCATTAATCTAATTCTCCATCAAAAGAATCTATAGAAAAATAAATTGCCTAAAGGCATTCTCCTAAGTCCTCTAAATCTAATAAACAAAATGGTATTTCTGAAGATAAGAAAGACGAAGTAATTAATGAGGAACAATTAGAATTAAATTAATGGTTAGATCCTGTATTTTAAGACTTCATCAAGAAAAATTTCTCAAAAGAGCAGAAAAAGAGACTTATTTTATAACTTTAAAAGTAGATTTCTTGTGATGGAGAAGATTTGTTGGATGAGTAAGAAGAATCCAAATAGAGTCCATAATCAAAGCAGCATGTAGTTAAAAAAATACAAAAGACATCCTCAAGCTCTAGATCACCTAAAGGATCTCCAACTTAGTAACAAACTGAGTAAAATAAGAAAACTCTGAACTTATATGAAAGATACAATAAACTGAAGCATTAAAAGATCAAAGAAGACAATAAGTAAAGTAACAAGCAGTCTCAAATAATAGACATTAAAAACGAAGAACAACAACTTGAATATATTCAATTTAGTTAAAGATGTAAAGAGGAATTAGAAAAATAACAAAAAATGTAAAAATCCAAAATAGGAAAATCTGGATTGATCTCAGAAAATGGAATAGAAAATATAAATCATATTGTTGAACTTAAGAACAGACCAAATATTGTTTAATCAATGGAAAGTCTTGAATCAAATGAAAATATGATTATGACAAAAGAAAGTAAGCTGCTTTTGCAAGAAATTTATAACGAGGTCTAGAATGCTCTCAAAAAGTATGACTACATAATCCAAGAGAACTAAAAAAATCGCAAGAATCAAGATTAAACTAGAAAAGACCAAGGTAACTAGAATAGTGATACTAATTCAGACATCTTAAATAATGGTATTACAGCATATTCACTATAAAGTAATAATTCGCAGATGAGATTTGAAACTCAGAATCAAGAATAAGAAGATTAAAGTTAAAAATAGAAAAAATATGCTTCTAACAAAAATTACTATCAAAGTAAAACGCCTTAAAATTTCAATAGAAAGAATATGAATTAAACTAGTAAATCTAGCTTATCAAGCGTTATAAGGGCAGATAATAAAAATCTATCTATTAATATGAACTAACATAGTGACTCTCATAGCACAATTATAGCTTCTCCAATTCCTAATTAAGAAAACTCACCAACTAAAGATGATAAAAGTAAAGGAAACTCTAGAGGTATGAGCAACTTTGATGGATAAAGGATATCTAAGATGGATGAAAATGAAGCTGAGAGTGCTTTTAATAATCGCAAATAAGAAATCATAAAGGTACTTTAGCATCATAGCAAGCAAAGAAAGAATAGTATTTAGCAAAAACCAATGAATCATTCTATTTCTAAAGGAAATAATCTTTCATCCCATGTTAGAACTCCAAGTAATAGCATTTCACAACGTAACATCCAAACCATAAACAATTAAAATAACGAATATGATCTTAACAACTCTTCAACTTCAGGGAATAAATAAAAAGCAAATTCCCTTTTGAATAAGTTTTTGTCTCCAAAGAATAACGTAAACAAATCTAAATTATAGTAAGAAGTAGGGTCTCCTTCTTAATCTTTAAAAGCATCTCTTTTTTTAACAAAAGATAATTAATCAGTTAAAAGTAGCTAGCATTTTGATAAAAAAGCCTACTAACTCTCTGAGCAACAACCTATAGATATCTCATAAAAGAAAGAGAATGAGTAAATTATTTATTTATTTTTTTATTTATTTTAATTTAAAATTTATTGTTCTTAATAGCAAAAAATAGTAGACATAGGATGATAAATAAAAAATGAAAGCTATAGATGTAGCCACAGTTAACTCAATTATTACAGACTCGATTATACCATTAGAAAAAGTAAAAAAAGCATCAAAAGGAAATGATGAAAGCAAATAAAAGATTAGAAAAAAAAGTATCTTATAAATTAATTTACTGGAAAAAGAAGCATTTGAGATAAATATAGCAGATTTAGACAAAAAGAAAAAGTAATCAATAAAGGAAAAGAAAGAAAAAATAGAAAAAATTTATAATTAAGCTCAACAATCAATAAGTAACAATGAAAAGCAATTAATCCAAAAGAGATAAAGCTAAGAGTAGCCTAATAGTGATAAAAATATATAACTAAGTTAATTAGAAGTAGAGGGCCTAGCTAATTCTAATAGCTAAAGGCAATTCTACTAGAATTAAATTCTAAGCAATAAATTTATCGAAGAGAAAGAAAATAACTAAAATATTTAAGCAGATCCTGAAAGACTAATTAAAAGAAGCAACAGTGCATCTTATAACATTTTGCAGTAAAAAAAGCTTGCTATTTTAAATGATATTGAAGATTTAAATAAGATGATTGAATAAGAAAATCAAAATTAAGAAGAAATATTAATTTTTGAGCAGCCTTAATCTTAGCAAAATATTTAAAACAACGAAGAAAAGAATGTATAAAATAAGTAAAATTAAGAATAAAAAAAGCAAGGAAGTAGATAGAGTAGTAAGCATTAGAGCTAACCTTTTTCAAGAAAAAGTTCAACAAATCACTATCAATAACCTCAAAACTAACAAGAAAATCAGTATCCAAAATTAGCAGGGTTTACTTAAACTAAAAGTGTTACAGAATTCTACAGTGACAATTAATCGCATACAAAACTTGTGGCTCCACTCATACCTCTAACAAAAATAAGAGATCAGTATAAAATACTTTATTTTATTTGCCATATATTTATTTATTTAAACATATTCTTTTTTTATTTTAATATTTTGAATGTATTTATTTATTAATTAGGGATTCATCAGATGTTTAAAGTTTCTAAGAAAGCAATAATGAATAAGATAAGGATGCAAACTTCTAATTGAATAAAGAAAAATTTTTACAACAGCTTAAGTAACAAAACACCTAGTCAACAGTTTAAAAAGAAGTAAAGAGAGTTAACAGTTAACATGTAATCTAGAATAAAGATTCTTATTAATAGATTGATAGATAAAGCTATGGCAATATTAGAAAGAAAGAGAATTAATAAAAGGAAAATAACTAAGCAAACAGTGCTTCAAAACCTTACTAGAAGAACTAGCGAGGTAACATTTATCAAAGTTAAGACGAAGTGGACTAAGAAGAAGAAGAAGTTCATCAAATAAATATATACCGTTCTCTAAGTCCAAATAGATATTAGCAATCAAAGTAAATAAATTATAATAATATTTTTTACTAAATAAATTAAATATTTAAAAAAAATATTGAATAAAAATATTATTTATCTATCAAAGTTCTTAGACAAATTTCCATGAAAGAAATAAAAAATGGCTTGAAGATAAAAAAAGTAAGATGGAAGAAACTTAAAAGAATTACAACTATAAAGAAATGAAAGAATGTACTTTCAAGCCATAGACTAATAAATAGCTGATAAAATATAATCCTTATATACATAAAGATTAGATAAAATAATAAAAAGGTAATAATTACTAATAAAATAATAAATCTTATAAGGCAAGCACAAGTCCAAGAAATTTAGCTCCTAATTATCAGTAAAAGAATCCTGAGTAGCAATAATTGACTTAAGAAAATTATAAATAAATGAATACTCAATCATCTAGAAACAAAAAAGATTCTGAAGATTTACAAAGATTGGTAAGATTTTTTATTTTATTCACTATCTTATTTTATTTTGAAAGTAAAAATTTTCAAAGATGCCAAATATTTCTAAATATTTTGTCAATATTTAATGAACCAAAATATTAAACTTGATTTAATATAAATAATTTAGTAAGGTCTACAATCCCCTATAGTGCAGAGATACAGTGAAGTAGAATTTTGGTCATAGTCTGATGCTAGTGTATTCAAAGCTATTAATGACATTGATACGTAAAATATTAACCATTATAAATAAATAAAAATATGTATTTATATCATTTTGCTATGAAAAGCTCTTATTAAAATGAATTGAAGAAAGAAATAAGTGATGTACTAGACATAATTTAAGGTTTTCAAAATAATGTGAATGAAAAAACCGGTTCAAATAGCAAATAACCTCTCAATAAAAAAAATAAAGGTATAAAAAAATTATAAAACTAAAATCTAAAGATTTTTAAAATTTTTTTAACAATATTTAATAGTTTCAAAAGAGCAAACAAACAAACTGATAAACTCTTAAAAATTTAAGATATGAAATAGAAAAAACAAGCTATATGTTTGAAAAATAAATTTATTGGTATGTAAATAAATTAAAAATTTATTTGCTTAGATAATTAAACGTGAGTGAAAAATAAATATGAAAAATTTATTAAACAATTGAAATAATTTATTAATATTATATATACTTAATTTAAATTAGAATAGGATAACTGCTATTAAATTAATTAGTAAGCAAGTTATTATTATTTTTTTTTATTTCTTTATTAATTAATTAATTTTTAGTTAACTAACTTGCTAACTTTTATGTTTGTATGTTTGTTAATCAAAAAAATTATTTTTTTAAAAATAATTAAATATAAAGGTATAACTAACTCATAGTTAATCCTATGGAAGTAAATTCTAAAATACTATTTTATTCTTTTAAATTGACTTATCATTCAGTTTTTCTAAGATAATACTTTATCCAAAGTTATTTTCCAAAAAGGATATTTAATTATCTTGGTATTTTTGTGGTGAATTGCTAAGTCTTTTCAATAGTTTGTTTGATAAGTTATTTTAAAATACCACTTAAGAGTTATTACTTTAATCACATAAATCTAAACTTCCTTCTTATTCAAATATCTAATTTTAACTTTCCTTAAATTTTTTCATATTCACAGGCGAGAAGTTAGAAAAATCAGATAAGGACGATTGAAAACTATTTTGTTTGTTTCTATTAACTTAATTATCTTATGCTCTGCTTATTCCATTTTCGTTTTAATAATCAAAAGATATGAGATTTAATAACAGTTATTCTCCTCCCATAAAGGAGCTTCTTTTGTCATTATTTGGGTTAGAGTTAAAGTTTTCATCATCTTCTGCTTCAACTTCTTGAATGTCAAAATGAGTGTTTACAGTCTTTTTATGTTTATTATTGTAATTATTATCTGTAATTTAATTGGGTTAAGTATTTGTTTCTTTTTTCTTTAAGACAGTTGGAGTGAGTTCAATGGATTTTTAATTAGAATTATATTGCTAAGAGACTAAGCTTTAACTTAAAAGGTACGGACTTGTAATTGAATTATGAGTTAAATTATCATTAGACTATTTCCTTTTTGGATTTATTGTAAGATTTTTATTCCTATTAGGTTTATAAACAATTATATTACTAAAATTAGTATTGTCACTAAAGAGACTATTTTTTTTTTTTTATTCTTATTGTATTTCGCAAGAATCTGCTTGCTGCTAGCTGTTTTACATGAATACTTTTGCCATATCAATCATTTTTTCTTCAAATTTATTATTCGAAATTCCTCTTTTATTGTTTTTTAAATCGTCAAGCTTATGCTCACGTCTACACATAGGGCAAAATTCCTTATTTATAAACCACTCATCGAAACATTCAATATGCAGCACATGATAGCAAATACTGACACGCACCTTTTCTCCATTTTCAATATTTAAATGGCAAACTAAACAGATAAATGGTTCTGTTAATTCTCTTTTTTATTCTTTGAGCATCAGTTTTGCCTATTCCCATTATTAAGAAGGAAGATACTTTTCAAGAATTTTTTTATTAATTTTCTTTTTATCAGCTTTCTTTTAGTTTTCTTATTATTCACTATTACTTTCCAAAATTATAGGATTTTCAAAACTAGAAGATAAGTTATCGTTTGAATGTCTGCTTCTGCAGTACTAAAAGCAAATAAATACCATTGTAAATGTGACTAAAAATGAACAAACAATTGAAATTATCGTTATTACATCATCAGAATCTACATAGCTATCACTTTAATCTTCGAATAATTAAAATTGATAAAATATTTGCTAATCTTCATATTAATTTTTTAAAATTAATCCTATTGGAATTACTTATCCAACAGTGAGGTTAATTGGCCCCTCTGTTAGGATAAATTATTAATTTTATTAAATGGAAGTTGGCCCTAAGCACAGATTTTTATTGAAGTTAAGTATAGTTGGAATCTCTGTACTTTATAAATTATTAATTGATTAGTAAGGATTCTAGTATAAAATGCAAGTAGTCCCTATTTAATTATTTAGCTTAAGACTTACTTTTAATTGTTGCAATGTCATTAAATTATCAGTCTTCATGTAGACATAGCTAATTATATTGGGTTTTAGTATCACTTAATTATATTGAGTTTAATTTATTTCTACTTTTTAAGCACTTTGGGAGCAATCTTCATCTATTTAGTTTTATTAACACCTATTTTTTAATTAAAAATATAATCAATTAAATTATCATTTGGCTTAACTATTTCACAAATTATTAATTCAAAATAGCCAAAATACTTCGTTAACTAGAACAAATTTTATTACTTATTTATTTATTATTTGTATTATGATAGTTTTTGATAGTAAAATTAATTAAAATCTTTATAATTTTTTATGGTAAACATTTAATTCTTTTATGGATAGCTTATAAATCTTTAATCTTAATTTGGTGGTTAACTAAAACAAAGTATATCAAATTAATCTTAATGTTATTAGAAAAAATTCAAAAATAAATAAGATATTTGTTTGTTTTTATTTGTTTATTTATTTGATTAATTTTATAAATTGGCTTAATTTTTTATTCTTTATAAAGTTGATTTGATTTGTTTGTTTGTTTATTCTCTTAGCAAAAATTAAATGAATTAATATTACATGCATTTTCCTTAGACACATGATCCAAGACTTAAGCAACCAAAAGGACATGGTTTTGAGTTACTTTAACCAATAATTTTGATAGTAAATTAATAATTAAGTTATTAATTTAACAAAAAGGATTAATCTAAGAGAAGAGTTAGATATAAAGTGTTGGTTAAAGGTGTATCTGAAATTATGAGCAAGTAAAATCTATTTTTATTTTGATAGTATCCATTTGAGTCAAAGTATTAGGCTTTGATTTCAGTTTGGTTTTTATTATTTAAGTAAAAATAAGGAGCTTAATCAATATTAGCTAATAACCGAGGAGTGTTCAAATTATTATAACTTTAAAAATCTTAGCTATTATCAAAATAAAATTCGATGTATGTATATTTATTTTGTGAGTAATTACTAATCTAAAAAGTAGCATTTTAAACACGAAAGTTGAATTTAAAGCTTTAGTTAATCTATAATTCTTCAATATTTGAATTATCGTAATTAGTATATTCACCTTCTTATGTATATTAATTAAATAATTTCCTGATTTAAACTTTACTCACATCATAATCATCAATAGATTTTAATGAATTGCCAAAATCTAAGTTATCTTTATTTTCTTTTACTCTTAATACATTGAGTTATCCGTCCGCTTAAGAGCTGCAATTTGCTTAAAAATTACAGTTAAACAAAATAATTTGAATAATAAGAGCAGTGAATATTGATCTAGATGTAATTTGAGCAAATTGAAATATTGTAGAGTACATATTTTGGAGATAAAACAAGATAGATTTTAATTACTAAGTATATTTTTTTTTTGTTTTATTTGATTTGTATTATTCAGATCCAAATTATTGTTACTTATAAGTAAGTAAAAAAATTAATTAAAGGATTTGCAAATAGAAATGTATTTAATAATTATTTATTGCATACTATCATTTTTTGATTATTTTTGATTGATCATTTTATGGTAATTTGTATTTTCTTTTATGAAATTAGGTATTATTTTTTATTTTTGATGATTTCTTAACCAGATGTTTTTATTCAATCTATTTGCTGATATATAAAAATTTAAGCTTACTCGAAATGTAACTTTAAAAAAACATTTTTTATTCATCTTTTAAATTAAAATGATATCTATTAAGATATTTATAAGAAAATTTAATTGAATTACAAATTATTATTCATACAAATTTATATTATTTTAGTTTATTATTAAAAAAAATCAGCAGAAGTAAATTTATTATAAGAAATAATAAAATCATTTGACTAAAATTCTGCATCTATAAATACTTAAAATTAAAAATAGTTAAGACTAAAATTATTTAATAAATCAATAATTATTTTAAAGAAATGAAAATGCTGGTAATTCGGATTAATTAGTATTTTTCTTTTTTTAAAATTGATTTGCATGAATCTACTATTAGTAGAGAGAGAAATATTTAATTAGTCTTTAATTTACACTTATTTTGAATTGCTTGAAACAAATTAATTGGTATATTTTGACAAATTATCAGCCACACAAAAAATATTAACTTATTATCAGAATACTCTTGTCTCTTCCTAAATTTAATTAAAATAAGTAATCATATATAGATTAAAAATTCTTTGAATCACCTGCAAAAGAAATTATATTTTTTATATATAAAATTAAGTAATTAAATTAAAATTAAAAGAAAAAAAGCATGTTTATTTGAGGAAGCATTACTAGAAAAATTAGTTAACTATAAATTTACATTTTAATTTAGATTTTTTTAAATTTATCATGGAGTTTTAACACATTAATATTAATCAATAAATATAATCTTCTAAGATAAAAAATAAATAAAATATGTATAAAAGAATATATTACATTTAAAATGTCTTTTCTATATTTACAAAATAAAAATTATTAACTAAATTAATTGCTCTAAACTACTTCATTTATTTATCCTTTCTTAAAATTTGTAAAGTTTCCTCTTGTAGACTATAAAATTAAATAAATATTTATACATTAAAGTTAAGAAAGTTAAGGCATTAAGCAAGTATATAAATTATAATTTGATTTTAGCTCGTTTATAAATCTCTGTTTTTAACTCTTTATATTAATTTTATATTATTCGTAAGATTTAGAGAGGGAAATTTCTTTAATTCTTTTTAAAGTAATATTAATCTAAATAAACAACCAAAATATTATTTTTATTTTAAATTTGGATACATTTATTTTTCTATATTTGCCATAAACATCTCTCTCTCTATTAATTTTCTCAAACAATTAAATAAGAGAATGAGTGATGAGTAATTAAAATTTAATAAATAATTTGAACTTCATTAGTTATTACTTGAGTTTAAATAATTGAAAAGTGATTCGTAATATTATTATTACATTTTAATAAGGTATTTGCATCCTTTTTTTTCTTCTGTTAATTTTATTTCTAAAAAGTCATTTTATTTTTCAAACCTCTAAATATTTTAATACAATTATTCTACCTTCCCTTTTAATTTATAATGAGTGATCAAACCTTCATGAGCTTCAATCCTGTTGAATTTGTCTAAGATTTTCTTTTTAATTGAAATAAAATTATTCAATTTTTTAATTTATATTGAGAAGATATTTTATATTTCGTTTCTAACTGCTTCCACAGCTACAAATGTTCCATTATTTTCTTTAGAAGAATTAACTAAAATTTTTTTTTCTATTCTCATTATGCTTTGAATATTATTCTGTATTTAAATCAAGCTGTCATTAAGCAGATCAAAGTTACTCATCACTTAATTATTTCTTCTTTTTATTTCTGAATTAAATAATGAAATAGACGCTTTGTACTATTGGTTCATATTTTCATATATCTTCTTCTTTTCTTCAAAAAATTCTTAATGTAGAATTAAATTTTAAATGGCAGATTCTAATTCTTTGTCATAGTATTCTTTTTGTTCTTGAAGTTAATTCTTCAAAATGGAATTTTCTTTCATGATAGCCTCATTCACTTTAGCATCTAGACTGTATCTTTTTTAGTCATTCATTTTACACACTTTTAACTCTTCTAATATTTGTGAAAGGATTTTGTAAAACTCTGAAAAGTCATTAAATTGAGATGATTACTAAGTAAATAATGCAAATTTTTCATTAACTTTATACAAAATTTCTCTGCATTCTTACTAAATTAATGTTAGCTAAACATTTATTAGCTAATTTATATCTTGTTGAATTTATTTATTTTCTTTAATTAATTTTGCTTAAAATATTTTATTATTATTTTATTTGAATATATTTGATTTTTTATTTGAAGTTTATTGACTTTAGTTTTCACTGTAAGTGCTTTTCTCTTTTTATAGTTCCATTAATTGATGGCTTGATTATTAAGAAGTTTAAATAGAAATATTATTTAGAATGTTCATATTCATTCCATCATTTTTCAGTTAGCTGTTATCCAGTATTTTATCGTTAAATTTAATATGATCTCTATTTCCCAACAACTCTGCTTACTAAAAGTTTACTTTTAAATCATCTTAGCTTTATATAATACATTAAAATAATTATTTTTTTCTATTAAAGTATAAATTTTACTACTACAATTCATGATCTTAATTTGAGTCCTCCTTTGATATTAATAAAAAAAAAATTTAGTTAAAACGATAAAATAATTAAATAAAGTGATTACTATTCTTAAATAATTCGTTAAATCTGATTTATCATTATTTATTAAATTTTATTATTGGCTTTGAATAAAATATTATTTGTCTGTTTAATTTACATTTTAGTAATATCTATGAATGTCATTATGATCTTTTTCACCTTTTAAATAAAAAGATATATTGATGAAGGTTTCAATAGAAATGATTAATTACCTTATGTATTGGCTTATATTGATAACAATCTATCTATATTTTACTATAGCTTAATGGTTACTTCTTATGGTAGCTTAAATTCTTTTATTTATCCTTGATTATCTTAAAGGATTTTTTCAATGAATTAATTAATTTCAGAGAAAGATTTTTCCAAATATTCTAAATTAAAAGTTTTCAATTACAGATTGGCATTTTATTATTGAATTTTATCTTTCAAGAAAGAATTAAATTCTTCTTTCGACACAGTCTAATTGTTTTCATTTAAATTTATTTAAGATTTTATCTCTTAATTAGATTAATTGCACATAATTTAATTCTTAGAAACTTTTGGATACTTTGTAAGATTTTCAAATTACTCAACTCTTTGTTTAAATCCCTCAACTTTTTAATCAAATGATTCTGAAAAAAGGTTTAACTTTTAATAAAAATTTTCTATTTAAACCACCATTTATTTATTAAATTCTTTTATTTAATCGTATAAAATACTATTATTCTTTGCATATATTTCTTACTGCAAGCAATTTAGAATCTTAGTAAAATATTCACTTAAAACATCAATTTTTATATTGAATGGTGTCATTTTAAGTTCTTAAAATTCTTTTTATAAATCATTGTATGTGATTTGCATATCACTACAAAGCAACTATTTATTGTCTAATAACTGCTTACAGCTTTGATATTACTCGACATTTTAGAAATTATTTAATTATACTGGAATATCTTGATAGCTTTATTGATCTAAAGCAATAGGTCTTTCCTTTTTATCACTAAGTTGTGAATCTACGAAAAACTGCTTCTTCATTATATTTGAAGGAGTTTAACTCTTCTTCAAAAATATACTCCTGTTTTGCTTGCTTTTTTTAGCTGAATTATCATCAGTTGAGGTGGTATTTTAATCAAGTTAATTTATTGGTTGAATCTATTCAAGATTTTTTTCAAAATGTGATTAAGTTAGTATTATTGGTTATTTTATAATACCTTATCGCTTTACTTCTAGCTACTGACTAGACTTCTCTGAGAAATGTTCACCTTGGTACTACTTTTCCTAAAAATTAATTTTTTACATGTAGATAATTTGAGTACTTCCACATTTTGAGCAGCAAACATCATCAACAAATTAATTTTTTGATAGCTTCTGTTAATTAACAGGTAATTATAAATATTTTTCTAAAGTTTTAACCACTTCTCTCAACTAATTAACTTCTTCTTAAAGTGATTGTTCTCTTTTTTAACCTAAAAATAGAATGTCTTCTATACGATTCTAAAGACTAACATTCATTTGTTCTAAGCTTTAAACCTTTTCCCTATAAATATTAGACAAATGATTATGGTTTTACAAAACAATATTAATTTCTTCCTATTTTAAGTTTATCTATCTCTAGTAGTCTTATCTTTCAATAGATTATTACTCTAATAGAAAGTCAATTTCTTCATCTTTTTACTCAAACTGTTTCTGCAATTGCATTAAAAGTTTTTCAACTTACAATTGTAGTTATTTGCTCACTTGATTCAAATTATTAATATAACCTTTTTAAATGCTATCTTATAAAACACCATTATTCAGTTCATCTTTACTATTTAAGCTTTAAACTTATATACTACTTTACTATTAGTTTGGATTAAAACTATGTTATTGTATATTATCTTAGAAATTAAAAGAATTATAATCATTATTTTCTGAAATATTATTTTGGAGATTAGACTCCTCAACAAAAGCTTTCAGTTTATCTTCATATTATTTAATTTATTTGTTGGAGTTCGTTACTTGCTATATGCATTTTTATATTTCATGTAATTAACTTTGAAAATAATCTTTGAATTCCTAAATACTTTCATAATAACTCTCAACAGGAATAGCTTCCACATTCCTAAATTACTTTTAAATCATTTCTCTAATTAATTTATTATGCACTGTTTCTATGCTGTTGTTTTCCTAAACACTCTTTATCAAATCTTTTAATTCTTAAGTATAATCTTAAATTTTCTGAGCAAAGTAGATTTTTTATTCCCCTATCACACTGGTTTGCTTTGAATTTATGCAAAATTGCTTTTCATCCCCAAAATTTATGGCATCATTATCTCCCTAACTTTTATTTGTAATCTACTAATTTGGAGTCTGAAACAAAATTGCTTTTTATTCAGAATCTTTTTTTGAATAGTTTTCTTTATCTACATCTGTAGTCTGTATCTTGTTAATATTGCCATTGGTTTGATTTACTTTTTAAAAATATTCTTTAGAATTTTAACTGCTGGATATCAGCTGCTATATATAATCTCTTTTTTATTGGTTTTATCTCGAAGTAAAAAAACCTCCTGTTTGTGCTGATGAACTAGGGATGAAATTCCTTAAACTCTTTTAATTTGGTAAGTTTTCTCTTTGAGAAAAGCGATTAGGACTCATGCTAAAACTTCTAAAAAAAACCTAATTTCCTTATGTCTAATGCTATAATTTTGAGTTTGTATACTCCATAACTCTAGAAAAAAATAGATCTTCTTCTTCTTTTGAATCGGCATTTTGCTCCTGCTAATTGCCAATCATTTGAATAATTAACTGCCAATTTAATATTTGATGAGAAAATAAATTAATTAAAAAAATCAATCAAAAATTTATGAATAAAAATATCTATCTCTTTCTAATTCTATCAGAGTTAATTCCAAACCATATATATATCTTTGTTTGTGAATTATATCTAGATTTAACATTTTTTATGAGAAAGCTAGTATTTTATTCTGATAAATTGAACCAATTTCCAAAACAATTAATTAATTAAAAGATTAAATTAAATTACTAAAGCATTCAAATATATGCAAATATATACAAACAATAAAACTTGAGTTCACATAGATCAAGAAAGGCTTGGTCATATTATTATATTCAAAACAAAGTGTTTTAAAATTATAATAATTCAATTATATGTGTTTTAATTTATTTAATTAAATTCATCACCATTATCTTCATTATCATCATCGTTGTCTTCATTTTCATTATCTTCATTGTATTCTTCTTCATTCAGATTATTTTGGTATTATGAATAACAATTAAAAAGCATCTACGAATTTTAATTGTTAAAAGAGATGTTATTCTAAACTTTTGATATTTAATCTATCATATTGTAAGAGGTAAATTTAAATGATTGTTGATTAAAATAACTAACATTATTTTGATTAGGTTAGTCTTCTTAAACATAATCAGTTTAACCCAACAGCTCATTTATTTAAAAATCTCCATTATCAAAATTATTATTATTGTTATAGTTATCGTGATTATTCTAATTATTGATCTAATTGTCATATTAATATGTATAATTGTTGTAGTGCATTTATTAATTTTGTTAAAATTCATAATCTTGATTATAATTTTGAATTACTTAATTATTTTACAATCCATTATTCAGCTCGTGCTTCTATTATTCATAAATTTCTAAATCTTACTAATCTTATTATTATTACAATTATTGTTGTTATTATTACATATCTTCCACTTAATTATTATCATTAACACTATCTTCTTCTTCTTCCTCCCCTTAAATTTGATTACTCTGCTAATCTTATGCTTATCCATCTTGTTTTTCTAGCTTGTATTCTTTATTTAAAACTTCTCTAATTTTTTCACTTATATTTTTATAATCTTATATGGTTTCTTTATCATTAATTTTTATTTTTTATACAAATGCTTCTATTTTATCTTTCTTTTCATCTGGGAGGTCATAGAATTTCTAGATATACTCAGAGACAAAAGCGATGAAAATACTTACTTAATTTGCAGGATTGAGAAGCTGTGCCCATGCACGAAGAAGGAAATCTGTCTTCTCTGATATATCATTCCTATCTTTAACGCAGAAATTAATAGTTTAGTAAATATCTTTCCTTCTCTCCTCATATATTTCCCAATTATTTTTTTCAACTTTATCAACTGAGGTATCACCAGTATAATTTTCCTTCATTTTATCACCAAATTTAATGATTAAATTATTAAATAGTGGATTCCTATAGAGCTATAGTAAATCCCAAGTATTATTATCTACACCTTCTGGTTTTTTTTCTTTTTTTTAAGGATTTTTCTATGCTTTATCTTTGCTGGTTTCTGTATTTTTTGGCCTACCTGGTTTGACATTTCTTTCTTTAGCCCATTCAGCTTTATTATCATCATGCTTAATTCTTATATGGTTAAATAGTGAAGATTGTAAACCATAACCTTTTCCGCATTTACACATGAATTTATTTTCTTTCTTCTTGTCATCTTCATCATTTGCAGAGCTATTCTTTTAACTTTCTTCTTATTAGTAATCTTAGTCTTGATTTGAATCTTCTTGTGGTCTCTTTTTACTCATTTTCAAAAAAGGATATTTTTAATTGCCTCTTAAATTAATTTCCTGAATAATGTTTAAAATAAATAAATAAATAAAAAAATAAAATATGATGCTTCTTTTTTAATTTCAAAAAAGAAAAAAATGAGGTTTAATTAGAAAAAAAGAAAAAAAAATACTTTTATTTTTGATATGATCAATAAATAAATAACTAACTAACTAAATCAATAAATTTAAAATATTTATGAACTTTCTTCATAATTAACTTATTAGAATATTATTATAAAGGTTTATATAAACAAATAAAAGTATATTTAAATTAATCTTTATCAATAATATATTAGTTTTTTGAAAATAAAATAATTATTTAATTTCTAAAATATACCATAAAACACAGAGATTTAATCACTTTCGGTAAAATCATAAAAATAATAATAAGATAATCACAATACCATTAAAATAAATTGAATTTTAATATTATAAAACTTGTTTTTGCTAGGTTTTATCCTATATCATTCTTTATTTAATATATATTAGCATATGAATAAAGAGATTCTAATAAAATCACAAATATTTGTTAATATATGACAAGTTGAAAATAAAATAGAACCAATTTATTATTGTAAATAGTAGGATTATTTTTATTAGTTAGTTTAATTTTCAGAAATTATTGAATTATTTATTCAAAATATAAATTTTTAAAATAAAAGAATTTTTTTTATACCAGATAAATAATCAACTAACAATCTTAGGTCCCTTGCTTTAATCTCCTGAGTAATGGAAATTCTTTTGAACTTATTCTATAATAATCTTACAAATCTCTTCTTTTTGCTAATCATCATCGTATGTAAAATCAACCTTGGCCCAGAAATTCTTCTTTTTTTCGTTGTATTCAGTATAGAAATTAAAATCAACTTAAAGGTCTTTCTTAATTTCTTCGAAAATGGCATTGATTGATTAAGTCTTGGATTCCTTTTAATCAGCTGCGATTTCATGCTCGAATAAACCATAAATCATGATTTTTGTATTTTTTTACTTGATTTAGTTGTTTTTTTAGATATTGAAAGAGATATTAGAGTTAGGAAGAGAAATCTTACCATTTTACTCATGTTCTTTCAAAATTTTATCGCATGCTTCTTTAGTTTCGAATTGAATAAAACCATCACCTAAATTCTAGTTTAATTAGTCCTTCTTAAGTAATAGAGAGCTTATTTCACCATACTTAGTCATAAAATTGTGTAAAGTAATGGTTTCAAGATCTAAAGGAACATTTTGAATTAATAAGTTATAATCTTTCTTTTGCTCAAGTTCATCCTTAGTTTAGTAATTAATAATATTAATTTCCTTGCCAAGAAGCTTTATGTAATTGAGGCTTTACTTAGCATTCTGTGCTTCTTCAGGAGTTTAGAATTCAACTAAGGCTGTTCTGTTCTTAGGGAAGTGCTTCAATGACTCGATAGTACCAAATTTCTTGAACTACTTGAAAAGTAAATTCTTGGTAACATCCTAATGGAGTGATTGGATAAAAAGAGTAGTACTCTAATTTTATGAGGAGTTTTTCTACATTTTCTCTCTTATATCTTTTTTGTTTTTTTAAAGGTTTATTTTTTTTTGTTTTTGATCTTTTTTTTAAAGAAAGTTTTAATACTAATAAATATCTACATAGATAGATATATATATCGAATTATATTAATAATAAAATATTTTTATTTGATGATATATTTTAGTAAAGTAGTAACAATAATGATAATATAAAAATGAAAGATATATTTTATTTTTAAAACAATTTAGAAAGAAATATAAAGACAGTATTTAAATTAATTAAATTATGTTTTGTTTGATATTTGATAGATATATTAAATTTTCTAATTAAGAAGAGTCCTAATAAATGTTTTGATTGTGTAAATCATGAGACACTTTTTTTTATTATTTATTATACGAATTGTTTATTATTATTTGAATATTTGCAAAATACCTTACAAGTAATATTTACAATATTCTTATCTTCAATCTCTTAAATATATTTTAGTACTTCTTATTAGGATTCAAAGTCTTATAGGATACTTAATAAATAAAATAAAACTATTGCCAGACATATTTACTTAGATTCTTTAGGTTTTTATTGAGATAGATTTTTACTAAAAATATCGACCTATTCTGTAAAGTTATTAAGCTTTTACTCTGTTTACTCATCAAAAGTATTCATATTTTTTTTTAATTATTGAATAAATCTTTTAACATAGGCCTGACAATCAATACTTTGAGTAAAATTTAAATCACATTCTTGATTTTTACTTATGAAATAATCTTTAAAAAGCAAAGTAGCTTAAACCCATAATGGGTTTCTAAAGAAGTCTAATAAGACTTATTCACTTTTTTAATACTTTAATTCTACTTTTTATATTTTAGGTTTATGAGGCTGCTTATTTTTACTAATCCTTTTCGATTTTTTTTAAACGATTTAAGAATTTTATTAGTTCATGCTTCTTGTCTTTATTACATTTTTCACTGAGGTCTTCATAAGTTCTTTTGTACCATTGATATCTTTCTTCTATTAAATTTAGTTTTTTTTTTAAATATTTTTTGATCTCATTATTTTCGCTTAAAATAGAACTTATGTTTTTTTTTATTTAGATTTATATCAATTTTTTTTATTTAAAGCATCTTGTAATATAAATAAATGAAAAAGTAAGTATAAAGAAAAGTATTTTATTTATACATACTTACTACTACTAACTAAAAATAAAAGTGTTTTTTTTATACGCTTTGAAGTGGATAATTTTTACTCGTTTATTCATGTTGAATGATGAGAATAGAATAAATTTACTTAATTTCATAAATTTTTGATAAACTAAAGAAAAACTAAAACTTTTGCTTAACTAAAAAGGAATTTGAATACCAAAAATTTTATTAAACTTAAATAATTTTTTTGTGAAAAAGTATTAAATAAATAAATGTTGGAGGTTTAATAATTTATTAGATTTTACATACAGATATTAATGATACTTCACTCAGCTAAATAATATTTTTCACTCTTTTTGTTGCTCTCGACTAATTATTTTGCAAGTAGAAAATATATTTAAAGTAGAACAATAAATATTTATTTTATAAATAAAAAGAAAATTTAAAAGAAATAAAAAAAATATTTTGAAAAAGGTTTCTAACCTGTTACAAGAAAAGATAAAAATACTTAATCAAATATTTAATTTTTATTAAATATTTTTTATTTTTTTGTTTTTTCAGTTTCAAAAACCTGTTTCCAAATATTTTTTTATTAAATTTATTATCTAAAATTTCAGTGTATAGCATTGAAAAAGACAGTACCCTAAGGTACTCTTCATATATATATTTATAATAATTAATTATTATTTAGCATAACAAAAATAGATTTAATGAATTTTATTAATGAAAATGTTTTGATTTCAATAAAAAATTTCGTTTTAATAAACTACAATATAAATATAAAACTGTTCATCAAACTATTCCAATTTATATCAACAAAGCAATTCTTATAATAAAAATTATGAAAATTATTTTTTACAATAGATATTTTATAAATAAATAAAAATTGAATTAGCTTTTTTATATAAATTTAAAGTATCAATATTAATATTTAGTATTGATAAGAATTAACTTTCTAAAATTTAAATTTAAGTCAGATTTCAACTATGTAATTAACGGAGAAAAAAGTTTTTTACTTAAATATGAGACTTACCAAAATAAATTTCAATTTTGTGTACTTTAATTGTATTTTATATTCAGTGGATTTTTAATGTATATTTAAAAGTATTTTTTAATTGTATTTTTAATTCAGTGGATTTTCTTAAGTAAAGAGAAGTAAAATTAAATTTGTAATTTATTTATTTATGTGAATTATAAATATGGTGCAACTGTTCCAGTTAGCACACCTTTTATTGACCAACTCTCATTATTTGACTAAATTTTTGTAAAGCCAATTTAATGAAAATAGGTGAAAATACAAATTTTGTATTCACACTCTTTTTTTACAATATATTGTAAAAGTTAATTAAATCAATATAATTTCAGACATGTAGCAAACTAATTTAATAAAAACAATATGTTATGGCATAGAAATATCCAAAAATTGTGTTTGTGATATTTCAATACCAGACTGTTATATTTTTTAACTATATAAGTATAATAATAGGCTAAATTATTTTATTTATCATTTTACTCGAGGACAAGTAAATCTAAATTTTGTTGATTTTTAGTAATTATTTTTGTTTTACTAATTTTTAAATTTTTAGTAGATTAAAAAATAAATTTTTTCTTTCTTTAATTTACAATTTTATAATAAGAAAAGTATAATAAGAGAATGAATTATTTTATATATTTTTTTGCTTAAAAATTAGTTAATCTAACTTTCTTTAATTTTAAGTGATCCTTCAAAATTACAAATTATAAAATAATATTAATACAAATATTTATTATATTAATACATACTGGAAATTGAGAAAATAAAATTATTTTAAAGTTGTCTATGAAAATTTATGGTATTGTATTATTCAATACTATCTGTGAAATAGATCTAATCTTTTTGCAATTTATGTAAGCTATTTGAGTTTAATTTTAAATAAAATAATGATAATTATAAATAAGGTTAGTTTATAATAAATATTATTGCTTTTTATAATAGGTAAAAAAATGAAAAATATTATTTTACTAAGAATTGAATATTCTGGTCATTTATATTTTCACTCTATATTTATTTAATTTTAACAGATCAGAAATAAAGAAAACACATTGATATTTTTTAGTTATTATTAGTTTGTTTCATTAGAGTTGATATGTCTTGTTCGCCATTAGTTTTGAGACATGTAGGAGTTTGCATTATAAATCCGAGTATCGATTGGGTATTTCATTTTTTGAATAGAATTTTGTATATTTGAATTTTATATAATATTGATTAATTAATTAAGGAAAAATTTTTAATTATAAAAAGGATTCTATAAATTCCTATATATCCGTTTAATTATAATTTGCAATTACCAAATTTTGCTTTACTTAGTGATTAGATGATCAATAAATCCTATTTAATATTAGAATTCCTGAGACGTATTCATTAGATAAAATAATACAATAGCCTTACAAATTTAAATCTTACATCATCTTTTAAGTTGTAGCTAAACATATTCAGTTGCTAAAAAAAAATCATCCTTTTCTTTTTAGGGTAAAGGATATGATATATCTAGGTAATAGGCTTCTAAATCATTTATAAAGTTTTTAATCTGCTCATATAAGCTTCATTCCTGATTCAATATTAGATGTAGCTTCTCTAAAGTCATTTTTAAACTCCAAGAAAAATAGTTACCTCAATTTATTTTTATAAAACCCAAGAATAGTCTCAGCTTTAGAGCTATTTTCAATCATAAGCTCTTCATTATTATCTATTTTTGAGCTTTGTTTTTTTGTCATTGGCCTTCTTATACGTATATGGTTAAATAAAGAACTCTATAATCAATACTTTTTGTCACAATTTGTGTATTTACACCACCAGTTAAGTTGCCTTTCTACTCTTTAGCTCTCTTGTTTATCTTCTCTGTATTTTTATTAATTATCTTTTTTCATTAAGATTTTTTTTTAATTAAAAATAATTAATACCTAAATATTCCTCCTTATATAAAGGATGGATATTGACAAAGTGAACCCATTTTTATAATCAACCATTTTCTCATTTTTACACTTTTTATTTGTAATAATCCATATCCAAAAATTTTTTAAAAATACTACATTTTTTAATATTTACACATTTTTATCTGTAATAATCTGTCTCATCAAATTTTTAAAGCAAATTTTTTTTTTTAAATTATGAACAAAAATTTAAGAACAATTAATATTATTTTTTACAATAGATATTTTAAAAGTAAATAAAAATAGAATTAGTTTTTTTTATAAATTTAAAGTAGCAATATTAATATTTAGTATTGATAAGAATTAACTTTCAAAAATATAAAATTAAGTCAATTTATGATTTCAAAATTAAAAGAGAAAAAAGTTTTTTACTTAAATATGAGACTTACCAAAATAAATTTCAAATTTTTCATTTTTATGTTGGTATATCGAAATCGATTTATTTATAAATGAATCTTATTGTAATATGCATTTTGAATTTTTAGTTTGTATTGTTTGAGTGATAGAAAAAGTAAATAATAGAATAATAAAATATATTTTTGATGCAAATACACTGATTTTAATTAGAAAATAATAAATAAGGTTAGTTTATAATATTATTGCTTTTTATAATTGGTAAAAAAATGAAAAATATTATTTTAATAAGAAATGAAAATTATGGTAATTTAATATTTCGCTCTATATTCATTTAATTACAAACAAGAAATAAAGAAAACACACTGATGTTTTTTATTTATTATTAGTTCCTTTCATTAGAATAGATATGTCTTGTTCGCAATTAGTCTTGAGACATGTAGGAGTTTGCATAATAAATCTGAGTAATTGAGTATTTCATTTTTTTAATAGAATTTTGTATATTTAAATTTTATATAATATTGATTTTTAATAAATTTAACTGGATAAATGGGATTTATGAAGGAAAAATTTTTTAATTATAAAAGGGATTCCATAAATTCCAATATATCTGTTAAATTAAAACTTGCAATTATACAAATTTTGCTTGACTTAGTGACATCCCTTAATAAATAAAAGTTGGAAAAAGTGTTGGGTTAATCACTTAGCATAGCTAAAAGAAGTATTATTGCTCGTTTATATAATTTAAATTTTCAATAGAGATTTTATTAGTTTTCTAAAATTAATCCTTAAAATTTACAGCTACCGTACTTAGAGTCGTTGATACTGCAAAAAACTTTACATATTTTGTTCAAGATTTCTTAATCAATTTATTTTAGATGATCAAGAAATCCTATTTAATATTAAGATTCCTGAGAGGTATTCATCAGGTAAAATAATACAATAGCCTTACAAATATTAAATTTTACATCCTCCTTTAAGTTGTAGCTAAACATATTAAGTTGCTAAAAAAAATCATCCTTTTCTTTTTAGGTTTAAGGATATGAAATATCAAAATAATAAGCTTCTAAATCATTTACAAAGCTTTTAATCTGCTCATATATTCCAGATTCAATATTAGATATAGCTTCTCCAAACTCGTTTTTAAACTCCAAGCAAAATAGTTACCACAATTTGCTTTTATAAAACCCAAGAATAATCTCAGCTTTAGAGCTATTTTCAATAATAAGCTCTTCATTATTGTCTGTTTTTGAGTTTTGTTTTTTTGTCATTGGTCTTCCAGGTTCTCTCTCGAGTTTGTTGAAAACCAAACTCTTTCTTTAACACTCAGGATGCTTTATACGTATATGGTTGAATAAAGAACTCTCTAATGAGTACTTTTTACCACAGTTAGAGTATTTACACCACCAGTTAAGTTGCTTTTCTACTTTTTAGTTCTTATCTGCTCTTTATTTTTATTAATTATCTTTTTTCATTAAGATTTTTTTTTAATTAAAAATAATTAATATTTTTTTATACCTAAATATTCCTCCTTAATTTTTATTTAATTAAAAATAAAACAATTTTATTCTTTATTTATTTAAAAGAACACTTAATAGTATTTCAAAATAAAATATTTTTTTTTAACTAGATAAACTAAGTTAATCTATAATAATATAGCTATCTTTGAAACAATTTTAATTTATTTTGGGCTTTCAATAATTCCTTTGCTTCATTAATTAATTATATCATATGCTAAATTCTTTATTTCTATCAAAAAAACCATATTTTTATAAAATAAGAAACTTACTAGATAAATAGATTTTTTTGAAATTACATTCTTTACTTATAAAAGCGTCTAATTATTTCAATTAAAATATATAATTTTTAGAATAGATAATAGAATACCCTAAATTAAATTTATATTGATTTAATATAAGGTAAAGGTTCATTTATAAAGGCCACCTCAATTTCAGTTTATACATCTCACTTATTGGCTTTTTTTTTCAGATTTTTAACATTGAAAATTAATAAAAAAATTCTAAATGCGTAGTAGTTATAATATATAATAGGTTAATGTTATAATCAATTAAATTATAAAAACGATTAAATTGATATAAAACAAGGATTTATCTAATTAAAGCCTCTATTACAGTTTATAATAATTTTAGAGTTGTATCTATTATATATGCTTTAATGTAGACTAAATTATTGTATTTTATCTTTTAAAAACCAATTAAAAAAGTAAGGATTTTATAATATTTAAAGAAATACTTTTAATTTTTCTATTTTAATTTGCAAAAAAATTAAATTATTTTAAATTTTATGAATAAACAAAACATATGAAGATCATATTAATTTAAGTGGATTAATATTTATAAAATAAAAAATTATTAAAACTCTTTTATGTTAAGAAATATTCATTTTGATATTAATTCATAAATTTTTCATTAAATAGCTAAAATAAATTTTTTATCTAATTTTCAATTTAATGATTTTTGATTTTTTCAGCAAATTTTTGGAATGTGCTTTGATATATTTAGAATTATTTAAACTGTAAGCCTTTATAATCAAAGAGATGATGATAATTTATTATTAAACAATTTAGTTACAATTTTAGAGTTTTAATTATTTTAAGTATATTTTTTTTTCAAAATGTAATATTAAAGAAGGTAAGATATTTAGTTGTAAAACTTAATTATTTTTGTTAATAAATAAAAATTTTCAGTTTTTTTCAATTCTAAGGAAACATAAACAAACTTGATTTTAAATAAAATTTATGAATTATATCTGTTTGTTGATGTTAGTACTATTAGATCATTTTTATGCACAGTTTTTTATTTATTATTTATACTATATTAAAATTAAATTTAAAATACCACTTTATTTTAACATCTTAAATAAAATAACTTTGTATTAATTAAAGTTATTTATGAAAATAAAAAATTGAATATTCTTTTACTTTAATAAAAGTATTTTTTTCTTAGTATGTAATTATTGAAGCCTATTTATTTTAATGCTATAAACCATTTAAATATACATATCTACTTATTCTTTCTATTTGGTTATTTTACTATTTTATTTTATTCTATTTCTTATTTTCTTGAAAATCAAATCCCTAAATCCATTATAATTTTACATTTTTATATATTTAAGATTTATTTTACACTTCCATGTGAGCATTCAGCTTAAGTATCTTTTTCTTTTAACGTCTTTTCTAAAACATGTTTAAAATCATAAGAATCACTTCTTCATCTAGATATTTTAAAGAATAATAACTATAATTTTAAGTGTGAATTTAATTTTTATTTAACCTGAAATATCTAGTTATCTAGCTAAGAATTTAATTGAGTATATCTTTTATTATTTATTAAAATTTATTCTATAAAATTCTCATCAATCGCACAATGGAAAATGTATTTGCATATATTTTATTTATGCAATCATAAAAAATATAAGTTTAGGATGTAATAATTTTTTAGATTTGCCCCAAGAGTCACTAATTTTTAGAGTAAAACTGGCCATTATATTCAAAAATATTCTTGCTAAAAATTTATTGAACTTTACAAATAAGGTTATTTTATTTAATTATTTTTGAAATTTTAAATTGATAAAATTTTGATATTTTAAATTTTAAATAAATTTTATCATCACAATTATTATGATTTTATTTTAAAATGGCCATGCTATGATATTTATTTATTTAATAATAAACTGAATTTAAAAAATGTTTTATTATTTTAGTTATTTTTTATTTTACAATATTAAATTATGTTTGTTTTTCTCATTTTTAAATTTTTAGTAGATTTAAAAATTAATTTTTTCTTTCTTTAATTTACAATTTTATAATAAGAAAAGTATAATAAGAGAATGAATTATTTTATATATTTTTTTGCTTAAAAACTAGTTAATCTAACTTTCTTTAATTTTAAGTGATCCTTCAAATTACAAATTATAAAATAATATTAATAAAAATTTTATTATATAAATAAATACTGGTAATTGCGAAAATAAAAATATTTTAAAGATGTCTATGAAAATTTATGATATTGTATTATTCAATACTATCTGTGAAATATATCTCATCTTTTTTCAATTTATGTAAGTTATTTGAGTTTTATTTTAAATAAAATAATGATAATTATAAATAATTAATATTTAATGGTATATCGAAATCGATTTATTTAAAAATGAATCTTATCGTAATATGCATTTTGATTTTTAGTTTGTATTGTTTGAGTGATATAAAAAGTAAATAATAGAATAATAAAATTATTTTTGTAAACAAATACACTGATTTTTAAAAATAGAAAATAACAAATAAGGCTAGTTTATAATATTATTTCTTTTTATAATTGGTAAAAAAATGAAAAATATTATTTTACTAAGAATTCAAAATTCTGGTCATTTAAATTTTAGCTCTATATTTATTTAATTTTAATATCTAAGAAATAAAGAAAACACATTGAAATTTTTTATTTATTATTAGTTCCTTTCATTAGAATTGATATGTCTTGTTAGCCATTAGTTTAGAGAAATGTAGGAGTTTGCATTATAAATCCGAGTATCAATTGGGTATTTCATTTTTTGAATAGAATTTTGTATATTTGAATATAATATAATATTGATTAATTAATAAATTTAACTGGATAAATAGGATTTATGAAGGAAAAATTTTTAATTATAAAAGGGATTCCATAAATTCCTATATATCTGTTAAATTATTTACCAAATTTTGCTTGACTTAGTGACGTCCCTTAATAAATAAAAGTTGGAAAAAGTGTTGGGTTAATCACTTAGCATAGCTAAAAGTAGTATCCTTGTTCATTTAAATAATTTGAATTTTCAATAGAGATTTTATTAGTTTTCTAAAATGAATCCTTAAAATTTACAGCTACCGTACTTAGAGTCGTTGATATTGCAAAAAACTTTACAGACTTTGTTCAATATTTCTTAATCAATTTGTTTCAGATGATCAATAAATCCTATTTAATATTAGGATTCCTTAGACGTATTCATTAGGTAAAATAATACAATAGCCTTACAAATTTTAAATCTTACATCCTCTTTTAAGTTGTAGCTAAACATATTCAGTTACTAAAAGAAATCATCCTTTTCTTTTTAGGTTTAAGGATATGATATATCTAAATAATAGGCTTCTAAATCATTTACAAAGTTTTTAATCTGCTCATATAAGCCTATACCACATTCAATATTAGATGTATCTTCTCCAAAGTCATTTTTAAACTCCAAGCAAAATAGTTACCACAATTTGTTTTTATAAAACCCAAGAATAATCTCAGCTTTAGAGCTATTTTCAATCATAAGCTCTTCATTATTATCTATTTTTGAGCTTTGTTTTTTTGTCATTGGCCTTCCAGGTTCTCTCTCGAGTTTGTTGAAAACCAAACTTTTTCTTTAACATTCTGGATGCTTTATACGTATGTGGTTAAATAAAGAACTCTCTAATGAGTACTTTTTGCCACAGTTTGTGTATTTACACCACCAGTTAAGTTGCTTTTCTACCCTTTAGTTCTCTTGCTTATCTATTCTTTATTTTTATTAATTATCTTTTTTCATTAAGATTTTTTTTTAATTTAAAATAATTAATATTTTTTTATACCTAAATATTCCTCCTTAATTTTTATTTAACTAAAAATAAAACAATTGTATTCTTTATCTACACTTTATATTATTTAAAAATAAAATATTTTTTTTTAACTAGATAAACTAAGTTAATCTATAGTAATATAACCATCTTTGAAACAATTTTAATTTATTTTGGGCTTTCAATAATTCCATTGCTTAATTAGTTAATTACATCTTATGCTAAATTCTTTATTTCTATCAAAAAAACCATATTTTTATAAAATAAGAAACTCACTTGATAAAAAGATTTTTTTGAAATTCCATTCTTTATTTATTATAGCATCTAATTATTTCAATAAAAAATATAATTTTTAGAATAGATAATAGAATATTAAATTTATTGATTTAATATACGGTAAAGGTTCATTAATAAAGACCACCTCAATTTCAGTTTATACATCTCACTTATTGGCTTTAATCCAGTAATTTTTTTGTTCAAAAAAAAATAAGAGATTAAATTAAAAGGAAGGAAGGAAGGTATTTATTTATTTTCAAATTTTGTAAAAAATTAAAATTTCTTTATAATATATAATAAGTTAATGTTATAATCAATAAAATTATAAAAACGATTAAATAGATATAAAACAAGGATTTATCTAATTAAAGCCTCTATTACAGATTAAAAATAATTTTAGAGTTGTAGCTATTATATATGCTTTAATATAGACTAAATTATAAAAACAAATTAAAAATATAAGGATTTTATAAAATTTAAAGAAATACTTTTAATTTTTCTAAATTAATTTGCAAAAAAATTAAATAATTTTAAATTTTATTAATAAACAAAATTTATGAAGATCATATTAATTTAAGATGATTAATATTTATAAAATCAAAAATTATTAAAATTCTTTTATGTTAAGAAATATTCATAATAATATTAATTCTTAAATTTTTCATTAAATAGCTAAAATAAATATTTTTATCTATACTTTAATAAAATAGCTTTGTATTAATTAAAGTTATCTATGAAAATAAAAAATTGAATATTCTTTTATTTTAATAAAAGTGTTTTTTTCTAACATGTAATTATTGAAGCCTATTTATTTTAATGTTATAAATCATTTAAATATATATATCTACTTATTCTTTCTATTTGATTATTTTACTATTTTATTTTATTCTATTTCTTATTTTCTTGAAAATCAAATCCCTAAATCCATTAAAATTTTTCATTTTTATATATTTAAGATTTATTTTACACTTCCATGTGAGCATTCAGCTTAAATATCTTTTTCTTTTAAAAAATTTTCTAAAAAATGATTAAAATCATAAGAATCACTTCTTTATCTAGATATTTTAAAGAATAATAACCATAATTTTAAGTGTGAATTTAATTTTTATTTGTCCTGAAATATCTAGTTAGCTAGCTAAGAATATAATTGAGTATATCTTTTATTATTTATTAAAATTTATTCTAAAAAATTCTAATCAATCACACAATGAAAAATGAATTCGCATGTATTTGAATAATGCAATGATAGAAAATATAAGTTTAGGATATAATAGTTTTTTAGATTTGCCTTAAGAGTTACTAATTTTTCGAGTAAAACTGATCATTATATTCAAAAATATTCTTGCTAAAAATTTATTGGACATACAAATAAGGTTATTTTATTTAATTATTTTTGAAATTTTAAATTGATAAAATTTTGAAATTTTTAATTTTAATTTACAACTTATCGCCTAATAAATAAATAAATTTATAAAATAAATACTTTTTTTATAATTTCATTTTTTTTTCCAATTAATAGAATACAATTAAAAAAAATAAAAAATTTGCTTAATTTTTAGTGTAATAAATTAAAATACTATTTAGTTAAAAATAATTATATCAAAAAATGTTTTTTAAAGTATTTTAATAATAAAGATATTTATTTTATAAAATAAATTATGTTTGATTAAAATATATTTTTTATTAGTAAAATGAAATATTTATTTAATATTTGCTAAAATAAATAAAAAGCAAGTTTATAAAATTGTCTGCCCATGTTATTTCATATTTAGAAAAAGGATCATTCTAAATTATCAAAATTAATGGACTAAACAATTTTTAAATGAAGTCAAAAAAAATGTACATTAATTTTACTATCAAAGTGTATGAAGAAATGCTTGGCAGATATAAAATAATTGAATGTAAAAACGAGCGCTCAAAAAAATTGCATTAAGAAAAACGGTTTACGAGTAAAAAATAACAAAAATGGATTATAAGTAATCTATTACTAATTCATTAAAAAACAAGGGTTTTTAAAAACTTGCTTATATAAATAAGAAGATCTACCAATATAAACTTGAATGAAAACTTTGCAAAGTTTATTCATTCATATTATATATATTTCTTGGTTTATTGATTTTTTGATAATTAACTAAACAACAATCAACGCTTTGTTTCTATTCATTAGACAAATAATAACAAAAAAGTGAAAAAAAATCCAAAAATACTATATAAGTATACAAATCTTTTTACACATAACTGGTATTAAAAAGAGTATTTCAAAGTGGTAATGTATAAACCCCGCAAAGGGCATCAACAGTTTTTCTGGTTGAGCGCCTTCTTAGTTAATATCCTTTTGATATCTCTTTTGGTCGGACAAGCTAATGCTAGTAATATTCTAAACATTATTAATTATATATCACTATTATTAAACATTATTTTTGTTAGTATTAATTTGCAAAAAATAAATAAATATAAATTAATCTACTTTTTTATAAATACTTAGAAGGTTTACAAGGTACATTTTAAAGTCTTTAAAAATGAATAGAAGATATATTATATTTAATGCTTGTGTTTGACATTTATAATTTATAATTTTATTTTTAATATTAGATTTGATAGTTTCATCATAGAAATTTAAAGATTAAGCAACAATAGATAACAGGATAGAAGATTAAGTATATTAAAGAGATCCTTCTTTGAATTTATAAAATCAAAATAAAATAAACTTAATTTAGACCAAGAGTAATCCATTTTCTAGCAGAATATTAAGCGAATAGATCGTTTCTGATAATAAAATTCAAAAAGATTAATACTAATAAGAAGAATTGTCAAATAAAAACTAATATTCAGATGAATAAAAAACATCACCGGATGGTGATTAAAGTGCTGATAATATCAATTTACTATAAAAAGAAAGCACTCCATTATCAAGGCTAAGAATGAGTATGTAAAAATAAAATCAATAAAATGACGTACTTTTGTAAACAGGTGAGAAATTGCAAATAGATATTCCTGATGTTATTCCTTTGACTGAAACGGCCTTTACTTTTTAAGATAACAAAATTATTCAACCTGATCAACAATTACTTAAAACGATATAGTAAAATTTATAATAATAAGAAAGCTCCTCATAGAAAATCGAAAATTAATATTAGTCTCTTTCAGATGAATTCGAAAAGTTAAAATAAGAAGAAGAATAAAAGAAGAAAAAGGATGATTACCTTTAGCAATTACATCAGTCTTTGAATTTAGATAAAACTGGTAACTCATTCTATTCGATAGATGATGATGTCAAAAAAGTAATTAAACCCTAACTCTTAAACGATGTTGTTTCCCAAAACAAGCAGCACGGAACTGATAATACTCTTATGAGATTGTAAGAGGAATAAAGAAAAAGAGAATATGAAGCATTCTTGAAAAATTAGAAATCAATGGAAGAGGAAAAAATAAGGGCTGATAAGATAAAAGAAAAGCTTATGCTCGAAGCTCAAAAAGAAAAAGAATAAATATAAGCTAGAAGAAAACAAATTGAAGAAGAACAGTAAAGAAAGAGAGAAGAAGAGAGAAGAATTTAGTTAGAAGAAGAAGCTTAGAGGTTAGCTGAATAATAAGAGCAAGAACGACTAAGAGTAGAAGCTGAAAGATAGGCTGAAATTGCAAAGTAAGAAGAAGCTGAGCGTGTTAGATAACATATTGCAGAACTTGAAGCCTAGCATGCTGCTGAGTTGGAAGAGGAAGAGAGACAAGAGGCCCAAAGACTTGCTGAAGAATAAAGAATAAAATAAGAGGAGGAGTAAAGAGCTTATTAGGAATAAGAACAATAAAGAATTGAAGCTGAAAGATAACAAGAGTTAAAAGTTTAGGAATAGATGAGACAAGAAGAGGAAGAAAGAAGAAAGAAAGAAGAAGAACTTAGAAAATAAGAGCAGGAAGCTATTAGACAATAATAAATCGAAGAGGCTGAGTATAAAAGATAACAAGAGATATATGAGAAAGAGCAATAAAGGCTAGAGGAAGAGAAAAAAAGACTTGATGAAGAACAAAAGAGATTAGAACAAGAAGAATAATAGAAAGATAACCAACTCTTCATGACTGTTAAAAACTCTGCATAAAAAGAATAGTAAGTTGCTGACTCTATTGACTAAATTTATTACATAGACCCAAATATGTATGATGAAGACTCTGAAGAATAAGAGTAGAATTTGGAAACACAGTTTGAAAATGATGAAGGAGATAATTATTCTAGCTAAAATATTATAACTCAAGATGCATAACAAACTTCTTTCACAGCAAATCAAAATAAATAAACTCTTGATACCGTTAATTAAAACACTGATTCATCTAATGAGCAGTCTTTGAAAGATATTGAAGATAGAAAACGTTAATAACTTAGAGAATAAAAGGAGTTAGCTAAAAGAGCCAAGGAAAGCTAAACCACATTTACTTCTACAGCTAATGAAAATACAGGATCATAAAGCAATTAAGCATAATAAAATAAAAGTAATAATGATACTATTCCATAAGAAAGTACTCAATAGCAAGTCATTAAGGTTTAAGACTAAAGTTAAATTTCTAATAACGATGGAAATGGTGCCTCAAATACTGAAACATTTGAAGTACAAAAGAAAGTTGAAAGTTCAAATGATGCTTCATAAGTCTAAAATACATAAGAAGATTAAAATCAAACTATCGATAATAGCTTATATGATTCTGATGAATATATTACTTAAGTAGATGAATTTGGAAAAGAATATAAATTCAAGAGAGCTAAAGAAAGAATTCCATTAGTGCTCCCAGGAGGAGAGACTAGCGATAACTCTGTAAATTACTCTTTGGCTGGTATGAAGTTGTAGACCAAAATAGTTTAAGAGAGTGGACACCATTTAGATAAAAATTCAATTAAAGAATAGAGAGAAAAAGCAGAGAAATTTTAATTTATTGCTTCAAAGACAAGAAGTTCTTAGGTAACTCCCAAAGGAGATAAAATTGAAAATAAAGACAATGGCTCATCCAATAAATAGTTTACTAACACTCCAATTGATAGTTCAACACTAGCTACCAATGTTGCTATTCTTTGTAATGACAAAAACAAACTCGTATAATGATTTTAATTTTATTTTATAAAGATTTTTAATTAATATTCGATTTATTTTGTTATTTAGGCCTCAAAGTCTGTTTAGCATGTTTGCGAACTTTGCGAAGTTGGAGAAGTATTTTAGTTGACAGATGAAAACTGGTTCAAAGTAGGTTTGGCCCATAACCACAAAAAGGAGTACTAGGATTTGCTTAATTCAGTAAATGATGTATTTGGAAAGCTAAATTTGATAGCTGGTTTTTCTAATCATGGAGACATTTGTTTTGCTAGTGATTAGATATTTAATCCTGTTAACATCGATCTTACTTTGAAAACATTTACATATAATTCTCTTAGCTAGTATCAGCTTAAAAATAATCCTATTTTTAACTTCTAACAACAATATTAAGTTGATGAATTCAGCTTTAGAACTTCATTTAATAAAGGTTTTTGAGTTTTATTTTAATATTTCAAAATTCTAAAAATTATTATGAATAATAGAAAAGAGAAATGGTCAAGAAGTGTTAATCCCAGAATATAACAACTTTTAGATGATTATAAATGGGCAATTCTTTAGAAAGATAGATTCATCTACTAACTTGAACATCTTAAATATTGTTTTCTTGTAAAGTAAGTTGACTACATTCTATTTTGGTCAGATCAGTATTAATAGTTACAGCTCTTAAATTCACTTTTAGCATGACATAGATGACCGTGAGCACGATACTATTAGTATTCTTACTGAATTACCTGCTGACTCTATCACATTCTAAAGATAAGCCTTTAAAATGTTTAGTCAAGATAACCTTTAAAAGATTGTTCAAGGCATGTAGTTAGACCGTGGAGTACAGAACATTGAAAATGTTAAAATCTCTTAGATGTTAGTTACACTTAACTTGAAAGCCAATTCCTATCAAAGTATTAATTTTGTTTAATTTGGTTAAATTAATTATAATAATAAAAACTATTTTAATCATAAAATAATTAAATTTAATTAATTTAATCTTATTTTCTAACTTGTTATTTTAATAATAGTAATTATGAATTATGACGAAATTGTTGATTTCTCTCTAAGCTTAAATTTGGACTTAAAAGGATGCTTTGGATGGATTATGATTCAAAAAGATTCTGCTAATAATTAATTCTACCTTGAGTCAAATAGTTTAATTTGCTAAGTTGAGCAGTTCCCTGCTTATTGCAGACTTAACATTAAAAAAACAAATACAAATACATTATATTTCCTAAGGTTTGCTGATGACGAGTATCCTTTAAAGTAAGTAGATCAAGAAATATTTTATAAGATCAATGATTCTTCTTTGAATGCAAATAAATTTGAAGAAAGTTTGTAAGGTCTCATAGACTTTAATAGGACTTATCTTCACTAATTAAATATTTAACTCTTTTTCGAGCCTAAAATTGTTTATGAAGCTCAAGCAAAAGTTGGAGGAAAAGATTTTAAAACAATTGGAGAATTCAAAGCTAAATTGACTCGTATTAATGGAAGAATAAATACCTTTGCTTCATTTACTTTTGGAGCTGAAAACGTGAATAGTTTGTTCAAAATTGAAAAATCTGATTTAGTTTCCACAGTCCCTAAATCTTTATATGTTTTCTATTCAGAGTAATTAATTATTTTTTATCATTAAATTTGTTTGTTTTAAATATAAATAAATACAATATATTTAGATAAGACATAAATGTCAAAGACTTGCCATATCTTTCAAAAGGAGCATTCGGACCTTTAGATTAATAATAGTGGAGCTAAGGACCATACATCTAGTATGTATTTGATTTAGAGGATAACTGCAATATTGGCAAATTCTTAAATTACCACAAAACAGAAGTTAAAAACTTGCACTTGAAGGGTTATTTCAAAGATTAATTCATTTAGATTTCAGGTCCGATTGAAACTAAGGTAACTGTTGCAGCACCTATAGTCTTAGAAAATATATATTTGAATGTTGTTATAAATTTAAATGGCCAAGAAATCTATTAAGGAGATAACTTAAGTAAAGTGGAGAATCTATCGAATATTTAATTTGGCAGACTTTATCTCTCAGCTGAATTTAAATTGAATGTCTAGGAAAATGTTTAAATATAATTCTAAAGCATATTAAATTATTTGAATGTAAATTTATTATTAATTAATTATTTCTAATATTTTTTCATTTATTGAATTTAATTAAATAATTAAAGGATGGATAAGGTTATCTTTTAGCAGAATCACCATAGCCTTGGGATAAAGCTTTAGATTAGGAAAATCTATTACTTAGTGAGATCATGTTCAAAGGAAATTTGAATGAAGATTTATTCAGAATTTAATCATTCACGTTAAATTCTTTAAGTATGTTTGGTGATAACTGCTTTGTTGAACTAGCTACTGACCCAGTTCCAAGATTTGATAGCAATAAATGCTTCTTTGGTAATTCTCAAATTAAAGTCAACTTTAAGGATTACAGCTAGAATTTGTTTGTCTCTTATATAAATTAAATTAATCCTTAAAATGTCCTTCAAGTTTTGATGGGATATAATTAGATTCAATTCGCAACTACAGTTTCAAAGGCTATCTCAAGTATGGAGTTCCCTAAAGGTTTAGCTGTTACTTACACAAAGTAAAGTATTAAAGATAATAACGGATTGATACATATCCCTAAAGGTATTATTTTCTTAGTTTTAAAATAAAAATGTTTATCAACTCATAATTTTGATTTAAATGTTTTCATTTAATTTTTTTAAATTATTTGATACATCATTAAGTTAGCTTTATTAATTATTCATTTATAAAATAGGATTTACTTTAACTGGACACGCTCAATTACTTGGCTTAAAAGGTCATGTTGTACTTAATGTAAACCAAGATAAATATATGTTAGGAATTTTTAAATACGATGAGCTTACTCTAGCAGGAGGTAATATCGTGATAGTTGAAACAGAAGGCACTCAATAAAATAATATCATTTTAAGATTGCAAAAAGACAGTCCTAATTTAACAGAAATAGATTAAGTATTTTTCAATCCTAGAGCTTTCATTTTTAACTTGTAAAGAAATATTTAAATTTCTGTTACTAAGGATTCTGGGTATGTGATTGAGGCTTTAGATAAGTTCTTTGGCTGTGAAAACGATATTGCAGTTAGATTAACTGCTCCATTTAATTTAGATATTCAATAAAGTTTGTTTAAGCTTGTAGCCATGTTTACTCCATAACATTTGAAACGTATCAATCAAATGTTAATGAGCTTAACAAAGGAGTGGATGAACAAAACTCAATAATTATTTATAGATTTGGCTTAAAGAGTATCAGAAGTTTAAAAGGATTTGATTAATTTAAATAGAATGCTCTGTGATAAAGAAACTTGCCCATATCATCAATAATGTATAGGAAATCCTCGTAGTGAATGTGTAAAATATCACTAAAAGTAAGTATGTGTTACTGAGTCTGTTATTTGCCTAGAAGAAAAGATAGTATGCAGTCTAGAATAGTAAATATGTTCTGAAACAGCTATTACCTGCACCTAGTTCAGTGCTACTGATCCAACAATTTGTGAAAATTATTAGGAGAGCTGCGTTTAACAAATAACAAAGTGTAATTAATACACTTCTATATGTGTATCAGAAGAAATCAAAGTATGCACAAAGGTAAAATTTTAATTTATTAAAAAGTCTAATTTAAAAAACAAATTTTTTTTAAAAAGAACTAATATGTGGATGACGCAGAGAGATGTATTGAAAGATAAATGGTTTGCGATGTAGAGCAAGTCAAAGATACAAATTGTTAGGAAGAATGTGAAAGAAAGAAAGAAGAATTCGAATTAAAGTCAGTCATATTTGAAAAGTTCACAAACGCCTTAAACAATTTCTAAAGAAGAAACTCAAAGTAAATTTTATTTTATTTAAAAAATTTATTAAATTTAAATAATTAAATGAAATTTAATAGATTCAGCGAAATGGTCAATTATTCTCTCGACAACGAGGATTCTTTCGTTAGTATAATAGAAGGAAAATTCGAGTAAGAGTTAACTCAATTTGTTAGTGAGTAAAGTCTTTCAGTAAATTTCAATGTAAAGAGTTTCACAATAGTGGAAAAAGTTGGATAAGATATCTAAACTTATGTTATAGACAGATATGATTTTACCAATGAAGAGTTGATGATTCGCAATCTCTTTAAATAGATGTAATTATACTGGGCTAGTAAACATTCAATTGATGATATATTGATTGCACCAGACTCAAATATTTAACTACATAACATTCTAAATAAAATTAATAAACTTGCTCAAAGCGATGCTGAAAGCGAAGAAATGATTGAACTTCTATGTAAAATAATTATCTTATTAAATATTTTTTAATTTTTATTAATTTATTCATTTTTAAAAAGAATTAGGGGCAAATAAGAAAAACAATTTTAGCAAAGCTGAGAAAAAGAATAATTGATTTTGAATTTTTTTATTTTAAATTAAAGTATTTTCCATTTATTTCTACTATAAAATTTGTAAACTCAAAAAGATTTTATGTTTTTTGTGGTTGCACTTAAATTATTTTCTAAATACAATTACATCAAATAAAAATTTTATTCGCTCATTTATTTCTTTATTATTTATAAGATGTATTTATTTTGATTTCATCATAACATTTATAATTATTAATCTAAATAAGTCTGAAGTAAAGCATAAAGAATTTTATTGAAATATTAATAGCAAATATAAAATAAATTTTTTGTTTTAAATTAAAAATGCCAATTTGTAAATAAAATTATTATTAATAAATTGCGAGAAATTTTTATCTATTTTTGAATGTTTTTATTTGTATTAATTTAATGCTATATACATTTATAATCTAGTACAAAATTTATAATTAGGACAAATCATTTAATGAAATCAACTAAACTTCTTATTTTGCTTATTTCATTATAGAGTTCATTAAATTATTAAAGATCTAAATCCATTTAAAGAGTTTCATATTTTTAATCTTTATCTACTGTAATTAGCTTTAATTAAAGGAAGCAGTCACCGTATTGTTTTACAGAGCTATTTGATGTTGCAACTATTGAATAATTAAAAAAAAATTGACTTCTAAAGAAAATTATTTCTTTTATTATCTAAAATGTTACTTGCAAAACGCCATTCAAGATCTGCTATCTTTTTATCACATATAAATTCTTATATTTAAGCGGAAGCACTCATTTCTCCTTTTAACCTAAATTTATTGATAAGCTTTATGCGATTATTATGATATTTATATTTTTGATGAAAAATTTATTAATATTAAAATATTAAATAGATGAATAGATTGATTAATAGATACAAACATAAATACACTTACTATTAGAATCAAAAAATCTTTTACTAATTTTGTGAATTTTTATTAAAGAAATAAGAAACATATGAAAATGATATTTTTTTATTTTTCTGATCTATTTATTAATAATATTTTATTAAAATTTAGCAAATTTTGCTCAAAACTAACTAATTAATTTAAATTATTTGAAAAATTTAATCTTATTTTGCTTAAATTATGAATATTTTTGATTAACTAAGTAACCAAAGATATAAAATAAATTATATTTTCTTTTACTTGATATGTAAAATCAAATATTGTGAAAATTGAATACAGCAAGTAATTTTTTAATTATTATTTTTATCTTTTTTTTGTGTTTGTTTTTTTAAATTTTTACAAATAAAAAAATAATAATTTACAAATCATTTTCTACAGTGAGATTTTGTTGAAATATATATTATAAATTAAATATTAATAAGAACTCAATCGTTATCATCTCTTTCATCAAAGACAGTGTCTTTAAAAATTTTATGCTATAGTGGATATATATTTTCTATTTACTCTATGTGTAAAATCAAATATTATGAAAATTGAATACAGCAAGTAATTTATTTAATTAATATTTTTTCATTTTTTTGTGTTTGTTTTTTAAAATATATATTTACAAATATATAAATAATATTTTGTTATTTACAAATCAATTATCTACAGTTAGATTTTTTTGAAATAATAGATAAATAAATTTAAATATTAATAAGGATTCAATCATTATCATCTCTTTCATCAAAGACAGCGTCTTTAAAAATTTTATGCTGTTGTGGATATATAAAATCTGCATAGTGAGTTTTTAAATTATCAAATTCGTCTGCAGTTAAAGGTTTCTTTTCATTTTCTTCATCCTTATAATCGAATTCATCCTCTTTTTCAATATATTGTTAATTCTTTTCTAAGCCTCTGAATCTATAACTAAAATTTTCCCAATAATATTATCTAGGATATTCTAATATAAATATACTACCACCTTCTCCTATAACACCTACACAGCCTTCCCATCTCATATTTTATACAAAATTTCTTGGTTTATCAGCTTGAAGGATAACAATTTGTCTCTTAGAAGTCTTTAAATTTAAGAAGCACAAAGAGCAATTTAAATGAGTGTTATCGACTAAAAGAAAAAATATTTGAATAATATAAATAAATGTATCAAAAATAATTACGATAAACAAAGTATTCAGACTTTTCTTTATCAAAAGGATCTCTCCAAAACATAGGATTCATGTATCTCTTTGTTTGGTCTTGACTCTAAATAAAATAAAAATTGATATCAACAATTAATCTTTGTAAATAAAATTTAAATGTTTTTTGATAGAATAAAATTATTTGATTCAATATATTATTAATATGGTGAAAACTCATTTCTAATTTAAATGATTTTCTTTAAATCATTATTAGGTAAAATGATCTTCAAATTAAATTCTTAGTCATTATAAAATAAAGTTAAAATATTACTAGATACTCTTCGGGATAAGTACAAATTTACTTTTCAGAATTTATTTAGAAAAGATGCATAAATTTTTTATCCAAAACTAGTGCAAATTTGTCATTTTAAATGTTAGAGCACATTTAAACAAATTACATATCATACTCATGGAGTTCATTTAACTCTAATCTATTTAAAAGACTGAATGAAACTTCTTTTTCTTCACTCAATTTTATTTCATAAATAACAATTTATCGGTTTACAAAGCCTAAAATAGTTTTTTTTGTTTTTGAACATCTTTATTTTAAGAATGTCGCATAACTATTAGAGTCTAACAATTTGGTCTCTACTTCTCCATTTATTCCATCGTTATTGTTGTTGTTATGGGTGCTATTGTTGATACTAATATTAGTCCCACTTTAAAGTGCTAAATTATTTCTTTCATTTGCTTTCTATTTATAAGATTAGTTTCCTTTGTTTGAGCTCTTTTTGAAATTAAGATTATTGCGACTGGTATTGTTTATTGAAAGGTTTCCTTTTTTTGAAATTTTACTATTTCCTTCAACTATGTTTTCTTCTTCTGGGATAATCTATCCAGAGAGATTATGAATATCTTCCATTTCTTCCTCATCCTCCTCATCTCCGTTCTCTGATTTATCTTCATCTTCTCCTTCATTATCTTCGTTTTCTTATTGTTAAAAAAAATCTTCATCACTTTCTTACTCCATATCTTAAGCTCCTCTTTATTTTGCCTTCTACTGTTAGTTCAAGTTATTTATTTTAGAGTTTTTAATTCCAACCATATTAATTTTAGATCCTTGTTCTATCTAAACATCTCCTTAATTATCATCTTCTTTAACACTATCTTCAGCATTTAACCTGTTTTTACTTAACAATTAATTTCATAAATATACCAGCACATTCTGCTAACTAAATTATTTTTTTAACTCAATTATTATAATTTAAAATTAAGCGCCTTAAATAGTCGTTTAATTTTAATACTATCAAGATAAAATTTAGTAAATTCTATATATTTGTATACTTGTATTGCATTTAACTAGATACAGATTTAGGAAATTTAGTATCTCCATCTTCGGATTCTGTTTAGTCACTTTGAAAATCTTCCTCTAAATTATCATTCGAATTTACAATTTAAACTTCTATACTTTATCCTTCTTCTATGAATATATTTTTAAGTGTTTTTATATTTCCATATTCAATACTTTTCTATCCAAAAATAAAAAAGTTTTTGCTGAATGGATCCATTTCAATAAAAGAAAGCTTTTCCTGCAGCTATAGGCGATATATTGGTTTGGTATTTTTAGGTTCGCTGATCCTTATAATTAAAAAATCACCATAATTTTTAAGATAAACACCTAGATAATTAGAATTTTTTAAAAATCTCATAATAACATCTCCACATTTATAATAAGCACTCTATTTAATTGAATTTTCTATTTTAACATAGTCCTAAATATTAATCTCAGTCAATTAATTTCTAGTAATTGCGTCATAAATGGAAAGCTTTAAGTTACTAGCTAGCACAGCCATTATAGTTTGATACTAATTGATTTCTACATGTTATGCATTCTTTATTTCATTAAATATTTTATATTGGTCAAATTCTATTTGCTTTTCAACTATAAAATAGAAACAATAATAAAATAAATTATATTTCCATTCATTCCCTTAAAACAATTTATACTTTACTGCTATCTAGGTTATAAGTTTCCCTTTGAATTTTACATTGCTTATTATTTTAATAATCAAAAACTTAAAAAGAAAATTAAACTATATCTATTTGGTTATCACCAATATTTATTAATAGATAATAATTTATTATAAATATATATTTATATGATAAAATATCTATCTAGCACATTAAAATTGCATTTAAAACTATAATTAAAATGTATTTTTAGTAAACAAAAAGAAAGCCTCATAAATATAATATTCTATAAAATATAATTCAAAATTTATAATAAATTTAAGATTTTATCAATCAACATATTTCTAATTATAATAAAATTTTTAATTCATTTTTAAATAATAATTTAAATTAATGATTAAAAAACTCAATTATAAAAAAATTATTAAATTTACTGCTAAATTATTTAAAATTTAATTTAACTTTAGATAGATAAATAAATAGATTGGTTTATAGTTTAGTGTCTAATTTTCTAATTTTAGTCATATAGTAATAATTTTGCGAAATCAAAATGTATAAATTATCTATTGTTTAAATTGAATGAGTGTAAAATTTATAATATTCTGATCTGATATTCTCATTCATATTACTAATTTTTTGTGATCTCTATTAGAAATATGAATAAAACAATATTCTAACTGTATAGTAGAAATAATAAAAAAGATAAAGAAATTAATTAATTTTATATGTTAAATAATTTATTTTAAAATATGCTTTGTGAAAATACATTCTTTCTTTATTTGAAAAATATAAAACAAAAATAAATTTAATTAAAATAATTAATTTGCTTTCAAATAGCCCTCAATCTAAAAATAATTTAGGTTAGCATACGACATGATCATCAAAATATTCATTTATTTCATTTGTGTAATCACAATCTAATATTTTCTCAAAGACGACTTCTTTATCATTAACTTCTAATTCAAAACATTCTAATTTAAGCTATGGAACTCCACCATAGACATAAAAACATTCTTTACCCTTGTAGGTGCTTTTAGAAATTACTTCTCCGTTTCTTACTTATAAACTTGATTCTAAAGCATTAATTTGCCATTTTTCTCCTGCAATTTCAATTTAAAACACTTAAACAGATTATTTTGCTTCATCACTGTCCTATTTTAAACTTGTTCCTCCTATCAAAAGCAGTTGATTTTTGTAAGACAAAAGCTTAAGTTGATGATTTACTAAGTAGTTGAAGGAAGGTTTTAATTTTCTTTTGAAAGTTAACTTTTCCCATACTGGATTTTCAGCAGCAGTATTGAGTCTTTCTAGAGTTGTATATTCAAATCCGTTTTATTCGTCATTGAAGTTAGTCTTTTAAAATAAATATTTTAGTTACTTTTAAGTTAATTTTATTTTAAATAATATTATTTACTGTGTTACCACCAATAACATAAATGAAATCACCCAAGGAAGCTGCACTTAAGTTAATACGAGGAAGATTCATCTTAGGCATTTCTGACCAAGTATCACTTATAATATCATAAGCATACACTGTGTTTAGCAAAACTTATTAGCAAACTCCTCCAAATACATATACCTTTCCTTTGTGGAAGATGCTAGCATGATTACTCAAACATTTTGGCATGTTATCTAAATATTTTGCAGTAAATTCATACTATTCTTCTTCAGGATTAAATTTGAAAACAACTTCAATTACTTCTGAGGAGTAAGGGGAGTATTAATTAAAAATAAGTGCATCTTCAGGCAAATCTTCTTTTTATCTGTATTCTATGTTATTTTCCTCACAATATTTCTTATCTAGCTTTACCATTTCTTTTTCACATTTAAGTTTTAATTTATGGATTTCATTCTATAAAATTTAAGCAAACAACTTCTTTTAGTTTTCAAATTCACCCTCATCTTCCCAAGCAACCTCACTCTATTTGATTGTTGAAGCTTTTTCTACAGCTTTAAGCATTCTGATTCTCTATCCTTGTTCTGACTCTCCTTCTTGCTTTGATTGAAGCAATTTTATATATTCTTGATATTCCTTTACTTTCTGTTTACATTATTTACTCAAAACATTCTTTTGTTAAAATACTTAGATGTAGTCTAAATTCATCTTAACACCTCCAGTAAGAATATATCTGCTTTGGGAAATCCTACAGCATGAGCTATACAGATTCCAGTCTAAAGGTTAAACTTCATTTTCATCTGAGCTCTTTATATCCTCAGGGAAGAAAGAACAAGGAGATTCATAATCTTGAATTTCGTAGAATGTGAAATTATAGTATGGGACACCTTTGCTGTTCAATTGGCTCTCGTTTATAGAATCCATAAACTATTAGTAATTTTATTCAACTAAAAATTGCTTAACATCTTCATCTTGACTATCCTTAACTTTGATGTAAGGTTATGATAAACAAACAAATCCCTTAGTGCGATCAAATTAGACTTCTTCCTTTAATTCTTCAGCCATCCTATCCTTTTGATATGCTTAATTATTCAAATTATTTAAACAATATTTAATCTAAAGTTAATTAATTTATTTATTTTAAAATAAATTTTTCTATCTAACACTAATTATCAAGCAAGCAAGCAAGTACTTACCTCTAATCTAAATAAATTAATAATAGATAGATAGACATCGGATTTTAATTAAAATAAAAAGTATCTAATCTAAATCTTATATTAAAAGTTTTCATTATATATTTTCAAAATAAAAATCAGTGCTAGTTGAGGAATGAATCTATCAATATTTCTTCCTTAATTTCAACAAAAAAATTTAAGGAAATATTTTTGTTTAATTAATTTCTAGTTTTTAGCAATTTATCAAATTTATTATTTCTTTATTTAAATAATGAAATAAATAAATGTTTAATTTTATTAAGTTATGGGTAAATTTTAATTCTAAATCAATAACTTACTTACTTACTTAATAATTTAATTTTGTGTATTTTAATAAATTTAAATAAAATATTTAAAATATATGATTAATGATTAAAAAATAACCAAAAAATAAATCCAAAAAATAATATATTTTTAAAAGAAAGTCATTTTATCAAATTTTTATTATTAAATGTAAGAGTTGATAAGGATGGACTTTTATACCAATTTTTTTCATTTAAGTTTCCAATATATAGTTTTTCCAAATATCACACTTTATATAATTATCATTTGCATGAATATATTTATTTGCATTCCCCTATTCCATTCCATCTGTCATTCAACTATAAACTTAAAAAATTTTTTCTATATTTTATTTGTTTTCAAACTATTCACACCAATCACATATGTATATTTTCAGAAACTAGACCTGTAACTATAACTTATTTTGCTTTCATTAATTTCAACAGACAGTAGGAATAAATAATTTTACATAGTTGTTTGCAAAATTATGCTTTTTATTGCCTTTGTTTAAATTACTCTTTACGTATTAGCTATTTTAAATACAATTATTTTATTGAAATTTTAAATTAACTTAATATAAGAATTACTAATGAATTTTTAAATTAATTTCATTCACTTAAGATTAAAAGTTATCATTTTTCCACTTAAAAATCCTACCATTATCATCAATAAATTTACCCACTCTATTCCACCCGTTATTAAGCCAAAAACCAATATACAATTATTTATTACTTTTTCTATTATAGCAGTGTCCAAAACCTTCAAATTTTCATTTTTATAGTACCCTTTTATTTTTAAATTAAATAAGCTTCTACAGAATGTGTTAATTACTCCATTTTACTTATATTCTTGCCATTTAATTATGTTTTATTATTTTTATATTTAGTTCCTACACTCATAGAAGTAGATCTAAATCATTCATTTTTAGAAATATAAATATTTAAAAATATCACTTATTCATTAACTTAAAGAGTTTGTATAGTTTTTTAATTCATAACTATTTCTAGTTAATTAAATCTGATGTAGATAAAAAAAGAATCAGAAATAGAGAGGATGAATGAGATTTAGGTTTTATCTTTCATTCAAAAAAGTATTGTACAAAGCAATATTTTTTTAGACTATTCAGTAGTGGTTACTGAAAATACTAGTTCTAATAAAGAAAATCTATTATTAGATAGTATAAAAAATAAATTAAAATAGAGTTAGGTTGGTACCTAAATTTAAATTTGCTTATCTAAAAATGGAATCTTGTGCTAAGATAATTGCACTTAATTAGCATAGATCATCAAATATATTTTTAGCTAAGGAGAAGAATGTAATTTAAACATTAAAGTTGACATGAAGAAAATCTTAGAGGCAGGTGGGATTCATTACTATTTTGAAAAATAGATAGATTTACTTAATAAATTTTTTGAAATAAGAAACCTATCCTTAAATTTTACTAAAGAATAGTTTAACACTTAATGTGTTGGAATTATCTCAAAAGCACTAAAATAAATTATGAATCTTGAGTCTTTTAAGCTTTAAAGTGAAATAAAGTTAGACCATGCATCTATATTATAGTTTCCATTTTTAAATCTGAAGTAAGTTAAGTTAGAGCTCTAAGATCCAGACCCTTTAAATTTATTTAGTAAGCTTTTGGATATGAAAAGTCTAGTTTATTTAGATATATCTTTTCATAATTGTGATATTTTAGTATAGGAATAACTCATTTAATTTGTTAGTAAAACTAAAATTTAACAGATAGCTATCTAGTTAGATTTTAAAGAGTAATTTCTTTTAAAGAAAGACCTGTTTTATAACAGTCTGAGCAATTTTATTAAGTAGCTAAATATTAAAAAAATTAAACTTATCAAATACCACATTGATTTAAGCTAGTTAGAAGACAGTGGTATCAAATAGGATATTCTTTAAGAATTAAACACAGGATTTATTACAAATTCATTAACTTAGTTAACTTTAATTTTTAATGTGGAAGCATAAATTAAAACTTTGTTGATTTCTTTTTTATACAAATTAAGCAATTTATTATTAAAATTGGAAAATTTAGATAGATTAGTATTGAAATTTAATATTTAATATAAATATTTAGACATATTATAAAAATCTTTAAATCAATCTTTATGGAGATTAAAAGAATTCATATTTGAAGATACATTTTAAAAGAATTAAAATATGTTATTAGATATAGAATAAGAAGATAATTGTAACTTATTAAAAATCTAAGGCGTGAAAATAAAAAATAGCATATATAAACTTAAATATTTAACAATTTATGAATAAATGAACAAATAAATTCATCCTGATTTAAATAAAATATAAAAATTAGATCCTTAAAGTTATTAATAGTTATATCTATTTTGTAAAAGAAAGCTTATTTAATAAATTTATGCCATAAAAGTCAATATTAACTTCAAGAGAAAGGAGATATATGAATAGCTGCTGTTACAACTCATTGCCTGATGCTTATTTAATTTATTATTTTTTTGAAAAAATATAAATAATAAAAAAAACTTTTACTTTCATTAAGAATATCAATGCTTGGAAATGATCAAAACAAACTGATTCTCGTCTTTTTAAATTTAAATCAACTAACTTTCTATTTATATAGATTGTGTTTTAAAAATCTAATTCTTGATATTTCCACATTTAAGCTTATTAGAACTATTCTTAAATTCAAATTGTAAAGATACCAATTAATTTAACTGATTGTAATAAGTTGTAATTTATTTGATTTAAACTGTCTAATCTATCTCTTTTATGAAAGGACTGAATTAAGGTTTATTTTTTCCAAAAGACAACTCTTATATTATTTCTGAATTACAACCTAAAAATTTGCTTCCATCTTCAATCTCTGGAACTTAAAAGTAATTCAATTTTTATACTTTGACTTCTTCTCCTTAATAATTAAATGGTATAATAACTTAAGAGTATTCTATTTACTATTATTAATTAGCCTAATTTATGTTTTTATATTTTTAATCTTAAGGTTAATTCGTTTGGTTAATATCATTTTAACTATTTTAATTGAGTATTATTTAAGTTGAATTCAGATTAAGTAATTGTTTTTAAATATTTTCTAATTATTATTTTAATTCAATTAATTTACTATTATCTTCTTCTAATTTTTTTGCAAGTTTTTAATTTTCTTATGAGTAAACTTATTACAACATTTAAATTTACTGTTATATTTCTTAAAGCTGAGGTGCTTATTTATCGCTGTGTTTGATAAATTTTTCTAATTATAATTCTAAATTTTATTTCAATTCACTGAGATCTAATTATTCAATTTTGATTTCTTTGTTTTTGTTTTATGCTTCTAATATTTTATTTAGCATAGAGTTCATTAACATGACATCTGCAGATAACTTTTTAATTTAAGTTTCTTCAGCTAATTAGTGCTATTAACCTTAACTATTTAATTAGGTTATTGTTTAGCTTTATATAACTTAATTTTTGGTAATATTATCTAATTACTATGCCATCTAATTAATTTGATTTTAAATTATTTTATATTAATTTTATTAATTTTGATCTTCACTTTTACTTTTTTAGCTTATTTCTAATGAAATATTTTAAACATCTTGAGTAAGCTTGTTGATTACTAGTTAAATATCCTGATAATTTTATTTAGATGGTTGATTTTAAGTTAATTATTAAATGAGTTAATTTTAGTTATTATTAAACTATTTTAATAAATTTAAGTCTTAATAAATTTTTGTTAAATGTTATTCAAAATATTCTTTCATGTCAGAATTAAATAAACTACCTTAATTTGTATTATTATTAACTTAGTTATTAGGCAACTGTTAGTTGTTAACATTTAATTAATTTAAACTTAATCTTTCAAAAAGTTATCTTAGCTTATTAAGCTCTTATTTTATATTTTCAAATTCATTTCCATAGTCTATTTAATTGTTTTTGATTTATTTTTGAATTTATACGCTAATTTATTCAAATAAATTATCAAATTTTTTTTACAATTCTACATCTTATTGAGATAATTTTTCATTCAGATTATTATATATTTACTTTTGTTATTATTCAGATTGTTCCTTATTTAATTAAATTTGATTGATAGCTTATTCGTATTTTTGAGAAAGATTATTACTTTATTTTTATTGAGCTATTTACAATTCTTACATTTGTTTATTTAAATCTTTTATCTGTATTAAAATTTCTTCCATTGATGTTTTTAATTCTAAATTGTAAGTCTTAATTAAATTTTTTACTTCTTTGTTATCGTTTTGTAAAATTTACTTATTTTCTTCTGAATTTTAGCTTAGATTTTTAATGTCTGTTGTTAAAATTTTCATTTATTCCTAAAACAATATTTTATTGTTATTTATTTAATGATTAAGATTTTAATGAATTGCTGTGATATTGCTTTATAAAGTTTCATAAAATTGTTGATACAGTTTATCGGAAGTCTTTTATAATTAGTTTTATTCTGACTAAATCTCTTATTATTATGTTTAAATTTGTTTAATTTGCTATAATTCATGATCTTGTTTCTTAATAAAAAGATCGATACTGCTTAGATCGCTTACCACTTATTTCAATGCATTATTATTTTCAGCAAGCTATATGCTTAATTATCTCTCTAAAATTGCATCTAAATCACTTTTTATTTGACTTATAATCATTTGATTATTTTATTCTATTTTTTAATCATTTGTACTAAAATTAGATTTAAATTTTGTAAAATCATTTTGAAAGAATTCTTATTTTCTTATTAAATCTTTTAGGCTGGTTTCATAATCTTGCTTTAAATTATTTACAGCTGCTATTATCTTGTCATTTTGCTCTTGCACTTTGCTTATAATTTAAGTTTTCAACTACTCATCCTAACTTTGCTATAATAATTTTATGGAGTTGATATAGTTTTCTATATTCGATTTAACAGAAGTAATTTCATTCTGCTGTTGATGCTAAAAGTTGTTGTATTTTTCTCTGATTTAATTTAAATACTCTTAAATTTCTTTTTGGAATTGGAAAGAGTCTTTATAAATTTTAGAGATAGTATTATCATTTATTTCTTATTTTGTTTGCTGAGTTTAAGTGTATTGGTTAAACAATAACAAAGAAAGAAGAATTAAAATAAGAAATGAAATTCCTATGATCAAATGTGAATTATTTTGACTAATGCTTATCACTTGCTAAGGTTACACTTATATCGCATTTAACTAATTATTTTGTTTATCAATACTCTAGTTGTTTTAATTTATATAGCTACTGTTATTTTATTCGTTGTAAATACCACTATTATTGTTTGAGCCTGTTTGTCTATCACTGTTTCTAACTTTTTATAGTGATATTTGGTGATCTACTTATTTATTACTTTCTGTTTAATTTAATAATTGACTCTCTTCTTCTATCTTACTATTTTCTAAATACATTTATTGCTATTACCTTTACTCATTTTCATGAATGCACATTTCTTCTATTTAGTTCATACTGTTGTTTTCTTATATCTGCTATAAAGTTGGATTTATGTATGACAAACTATGAGGAGAGTCAAATCTACCCTTATTTTGGTTTTATTTAAAATTTCTTACATGAATTTTTTCAGAATTTCGCTTAGGCTTTGCATTTTTATTGGTTCCAAATTAGTTGTTATATATGTTCGCGTTAGAGCCACCGATTGAGGGTAAATCTGAGAAAGTTTTTAAATCACTTTAAAATCCTAATTGTGATGGACGAATTGAATCTATTTTATAGATCTAAATTAATATTTTTTAAATAAAAATTAATAATTACATTCGGAAATAGATCTATTATTATCCATTTGTATGCTCTGTAACTAGCATAAATTTTTATGCAAGTCAGACTAGTCATAAATGAAATTTTCTCCACAATTTAAGCAAATTTTCATTCTTTTAGGACAGTTTTTGACGTGGTCTTCATACTCTGCGTATGTTATGATATCTTGACATCCATTCTTTTTATAGACGCAATCTACATTTATATCTTGGAGAAACTTTTAAGTATTGTAATCTGGTTTAAGCTCTGATTCTTATGTAGAAATGTTAAATGATTATTGATTCTGACATTTGGGACAAACTTTCCTCAATTCATTTCTAGATTCCCAGCTGAGGATGCAACCCTTGCAAAACAAGCCTGAACAGCTAGTGCATCTTATAGGTTATACAGCTACATTGTTACAAAGAAAGCACTAAAATGGTTTGATCCATTCACTATTTTCGTAGATGTTTTAGAGAGGTATTCCACCAATGGTTATGTTCTTATTTTCCTCATCATCATCATATGAAAAATCATTTAAATTACTTTCTTAAAGATGAGATACATTATTACTAATATCATTTTTACCTCCATTGGAATAGAATTAATGAATTTAGCTATTGTTGTGGCCTTAACTCCATATTTCGTCGTCTTATCTCTTCATTTATTCAGTAATAAAAGGTGAAAGTAGCTGCTAAATGTTCTCTTCTGGACAGCTTGAAGCATTTCTTTCTAATCGCTGTTCTGATTCGGTACCTTTCTAGTCAGGTAAATTAGAAAAGCTGTCTAATTGATTTAGAGAAAAAGAATTTTGAGTGATTAATTTCTTCATATTGGTAGTTTTCCTAACAAAAATATTTAAAATATAAATAGTATTTAATTTTGATATTATAATTTAATAGTGATAATTTTTTTTCTTTATTAAAAAGTTTTGATAGCGTTAACTAACTAATTAACTATTTAATAACACATCTTAATTAGAATAATAAACTCAAAGTGATAATAAAATTTTTTTATATTAACAACAGTGAAGAAATTTTATTGGGAAATAATACTTCAATTTTGGGTCACTTATTTAAAGCAAATTATCAAATGTAAATAAAAAAAGCAGCATAATTTGCTCAGTTTTAACAAATTATTCATGAGACTAATTGAAAATAAAATTTTTTAAATAATTTTTTAATCTTCATAAAAGAACTCATCTATATATTGTAGCATCCTCTTCGGTTTTTAAAGTTTTAAGTTTATTTACTTCCTTTTGAATTAATTTTTATATTAAATAATAATAATAAAAATTTAATTACAAAACAAAGATAAGTTATTAATATTATTAACTTAAATATTTTTAATATTTTGATAAAAAATAAAAATTATTCTAATAGTATTATTTAAAGCAAAAGTGAAATTTAAATTTAAATGTAATTTAGGGAACTTATTTCAAATATAAAATTTAATAATTTAGTTAAAATACTTATGAAAAATCACATTTTTATTATATTTATCATAGTAAAAATATTTAAAATAATAAATTAATTTTAGATGTGTGTTATTCTATTCGATTAATATTTTTATTGATAAGCTGAAGTAATAAAATCTGCATTTCAATAATTTTTAATACCTGTTTTTTTCATGCTAATTATTGTTTTAATAGCTTAAATTATTTGTATTAGAAGATATTTTAAAATATTTCTGTTAATATTTTTGAATTTTAATTCAAATTAGCTTAAATTTCATATTAAAATTTATATCTTGTAAATAAAACATTTTAAAGAAAATAGAAATTTTTTTATTTTTCAATATAAATTTTTACAAAATTTTTAAAAATTAAAAAAATGTAGTTTCTTAAGGTGTTACTAGTAGAGTGTATATTTAAACAAATTTTTAAATCGCTATTAAATTATATTTTATTTACTTTTCAAGTATGGTAACTTTATAAAAATGAGTTAAACAACAAATAAAAAAATTGAGTAATTAATCTATATTAATACATTTTAAATAATAGAAATAATTAAGCTTTTTATCATTCATTAACTTAAAAATTAAATATTTTTTTAAGACATAAAAATGTTGAGGAAAGATTAAAAGAAAGATTAAATAAATTTTTCAACTATATAGTTTTCTACTTTTATTTAATTAAATACTTTTGTTATACTTAGAATTCTAAAATTCTGATATAAAAAGAATCTAGAGCTGTTTGTAGAAATTAAATCATTATTTAAATTGATAAATATATTTGTAAGCAAGTATCCTTCATTCAATTATTATTTATTATAAAATAAACCATAGTAAACTCTCATAGAAATGAAACCTATTAATACTTTTGTTTTGTTAGTAGCCTACACTTTACTTCTTTATATTCAACAAGCTTTTACTATTGCTTAAGATAGTTAAATTCAATGCCCTTATTTAAAATCTTTTAACAATATTTGCCATTCTGGAAAAATTAATGGAGCAGTATACGAATAAAATAGCTCTTTACTTTTCTCTTATGGTGAAAACTCAGAAATAATAATATGGAATTTGTCTAAGAACCATTATGCAAGAGTTATAAATACTTCTTAAAGCTCAATAGTAGCACTTAAGCTAGATAAATTCAATCAAGCAATCTTAACTTTGCTTAATGAAAATGGAGAGCTAATTAATATAAATTATTTAACATAGTAATAAACTATAACAAATTTACCGAATTTAAACTAAAAAAATAAAAAGATACTCTAAAATGAGATCAGCGAATTTCACCCTTGCTTGCCTATAATATACTTTAAGTTATTATAAAACCAAGTAATTTTTATATAGCTTTATTTTTATAAATATTTCATTTATTTAATTACTCAAAATCAAATTTAAAATATAGATAGAAATATATGATTACATGAATGATTAAGTCTTAACAAATATATCTTTTGGATAGGATGATAATATAGAAGGATTAAATATGTTTACAGACTGTAATAATTAGAGTAATTAAATTGACTTTATTTGGTCTAAATAGAACTATTTGAGAGTCATAAGCTATTTCTAAAATAGTAATGGAAGAATTAATTTTTAATTAGTTGATCTTACTTTGAGGAATAGTATTTATTAAGTAATAAGTGCAAGTAATGTCATTAATTAACTATTTATTTATTTATCAGAAGAAGGAACAGTTGAAATAATAAAAGCTTACTGCACCACAAACCAAATATAATTAAAATAATACTCAAAAGATTTAAATGTTATACCATCTTAATTCTTAATTATTTAATAAAGAAACGAAACTATTTTTTGGCTATCACAGAATAGTTTGTTGATATATTCTTTGATAACATTTGATGAAAAATAATCACTTCTGATAAATCCAATAAAAAATGATATAAGACAATATATATTAATCAATAATTAAAAGTAGTTTGCTGCTGTGGATAATGAGGGAACAATTTATCTTTTCAACGTTCCTACTGTTGGAAGAGATTGGGAAGAATTTTACTTTGATCCATTCAAGACAGTCTCTTTATCAAGTGATGTTGTTTTTTAAATATAAAACTGGGGTAATTTTATTATCGCCTATGCTAAAAATAATTTGGAAAAAGAATATTTGATTGCTTATGACATTTAAAATAATACAATATCCTAATTGTCTTGCTTAGAAAATAATAACCTTAGCACAAAAATTGATAATTTATCAGGTAAATTATTTTTTGACAAAAAGATATCATAAATTATGTATTAACTAGGTCCTTTAGATATTCATGGAATAATGATTGATGAAACCATGAAGCTCTTTATAAGCTATCACAACTCCTATGTAAAAATTTGGAATTATCAAAATAAACAATTACTTATGGAAGCCCATTTTACTGAATAAGGATAATATTAACAAGCAATTAGTTTATTAGATAAAGGATTTATCATATTTATAAATTAAAAAACAAAGATGTTTTTTTGGGATTATTTTTCTGGTAAAATAAAGACTGAATATTTATTTGATTAGTAATTGAATCAATTCTTATTGCTGAATGAAAAACTAGATATAAATAGCTTAGTTTCATTTAATAGTTAAAGACTTTATAAATTTTAGATCAACTTAAACTAGGATTTAGATAAAAATATATCTCTAAATATATTAGAGTTTTTTATAGACATAACATCAAATCAGAGTTAGCAGTAAAATTATTTTTATTTTTATTATAATTTATCAATTTATTTATAAGTTTGTAGGACTGCGTTTTATTGACGGATTAGCAAATTCCTTATTATATTTGTTCAATAATTGACTAAATACACCAAAATAACAGTTTAATTGTCATAGATTTATAAAATATGATAATTTAATTTCGTTATAGTCTTAGCATTAGTCCAAATTAAATTTTATTAATTTAAGCCAATTAATAGATTTTAGTGTTCAGTTAAAATGATTAAATGCTATTGTTGTTATCATATTAAATAATACCTTTTTAAATGACTATAAATTTGTAAGTTAGTACAGCTGTTAGTTAAAACTAAAATAGCTAAATTATTTTAAGTTATGACTAAAACTTATCTTAGTTTTTAGTTTAAGTAGATTCTGATTTTTTTATATTCGACTCCAACCTTCAGATATTATACAACGATTCCTTAAAAAGTGAAACCAAAGTGAATATTCAAAATTCTATTTAGAAGAATATTTTTATCTTAAATTAACATTATGTTTTCTACAATCAATTTTCTATTGCTATTATAAGTAAATCAGATCTAAGTAGAGTTGCTTATAGGGAATTTGAAGATATTTCTTATATAAAGTCAATTATTGTCAATGAGAAAAGAATTGTTTTAAGCACCTAAGATTAATAAGTAATTACTGTTTTTTTTTAAATAAATATTCAATTATTTTATTGTTAAAAAGTTTTACATGTTTGCAACTCCGAATTTGTTAAACATTATTGAAAAAATACCTATAGAGGCTGACGAAATTATTTACAATAAAGAGACTAGAGAATACTTATACTAAAATGATTAAGGAGAAACATTTTCCATTTATTTTAATGATTACTTGATAAAAAAAAGATTTTAAGATTTTCAGTAAATAAATAAAATGTAGCTTGATAGTGTAACAGGCTAAATTTTAATGTCATCATATTATAACAATACAAATATTTAAAAAATAAAAATATATTCTAAGTAAATTTTAGAAGATTCTTAAAAGCTCTACTCTATTGATACAAATGTCAATATGATTCAAAACTATACATCTTTAGGATTCGATTAGTTTTTGATTTTAAATAAAGAAGGAAGTGATTATTTAATTGCAGCTTTAAAATGGGTATAATATGACACAAATATGAACATTACCAGCTCTTTGCATTCTTTAGTTTTCTATCAGTATAGTTCCTATAAAATGCTATTTATTTAGATGAAACCTCATAGTAGTTAAATACGGTTCTTAATATAAGGTGGGAAAGATGAAATAATAACCGTTAGTTCACTGAATTCTATAAAAATATGGAATTTAACTAATTTTTAATTAAATAAAAAAATTAATAGACTTCAATTTTAAATAAACGATGTTATTTATGATTAAGTAGATGATATGATTATAGTTTGTACTTCGCAACCATAGCTAATTTTTTATGATTATCAAACTCTTCAAATTCTATAAACATTTTCTAAATTTTAAAGAAGTTGCGATAAGATAAGCTTGGGACTTTTCAGACGCAACTTAATTGCTACTGAGAGTGATGGGAGAATCATTATCTTCAACTATAAAACGATGTTACCTATATAATAAATACATTTAGACACTACAGGCTATAGTGTATTATTTTTATATCCATTGTTTTCTTTAGAAAAATACAATTAGATTCTAGATTATACTGATTAAAAATATAAAGAAAAAGAAAATGAAAAAAAAATAGTAATAGGAAGTTAAAGTGGAAATATTTTTGTGCTTTCTTGGAAGAAAATAGAATTTTCAAATACAAATAATCCTTAGATGTACCTAAAAGAAATTTAATATGGGATATCAGAGAAATATGAATACTAACTAGAATTTCAAACACTACTCAACTCTGAAATAAAGGCTATTATTGTAGACGAATAGCTAGACTTAATAATCTAATGTTCACGTGATTAATTGTTGGTTTCTTCATATTAAAATGGAGAAGAAATACAGAGAATAAATATGGATATTCCAGCATATTCTAGTGGTTGCATGAAAATTATTATTATTCATGAATACATGGAACTTTATATTTAAACTTCTGACAATATCCTTATATATAACTTGGCTTATATAATAAATGGCCCATTCTTTCAAAAATTTCAAAATCGCTATCAAGAGAGTACAAACTCAATAAAACCGATCAACTCTAAATTAAATATGTATTTATTTAGAAACTCTGAATCTAAACTTATCCTTATAGACCAAAATACTCACAATAGTTTTTTGATATATTAAAATTTGCAAACTTGCTCAGTTCAGGACTATTTTATCTTTTACGACAATTGTATTTTGATGAAGTGTTCCTAATACAAAATTTTATTATATTAGCATCAAATTAAGAATACCCAGTTAGAAAGCTTACCTATAAACTCTATTTTATAGTAAAAAATACAGATAATTTAGATATTAATTTAGTCGATCTTCTTCCCACAAGTTTTCTATATTATTAATGCTCCTAATGAAATTTTAGTTCTTAGATTTTAAAAATTAAAGTCATCAAAAGATGTTATGTTTTAATGCATTCAGGCTAGCATTCCTCAAAAACAGCATATTAAAGATATTTTAATGATATCTAGATTGATTACTATAATAGCTTATTTCGACGGTTCATTCTAATTATGCAATCCCTTGCTGAGTAAATGCAATTCTCTAATTGTAAATGATTTTACTAGTTTCATAAATGGATTTGCAATTAATCCTTTAAATCCTTAAAAAATATTCTTTTATTCAAATTCAGGGCAAATAAATCTTTATTAAATAACTTTTAACTAAGACTACTTCTTAAATGTTAATTAAGTGGTTGAGGAAGAAATTAATTGCAAGAGCCTTTCTAACATAAAATATCCTAATTCTGATTTTTTAAGCTCTCTTCCTATTAATTATAAAGAAGCTCTAAAAAGTTATTTAGAAAAGTAAAGTAAAATACAAGATATGAATGACTAAATTTAGTTGGATGAAATAGATTTTATAAATGCCGAATTAATTTTTAATACTTAACTGATAGATTAGAAAAGTATTATCACAGAGGGTATTGATGAGTTTCACATATTTCAAAATATTAAAATATTCATCACTCCTGTTTTTTCATAAGGCTTAATTTATATTTGGGATTTAGATAAATTTCAACTGCTTAATAACATTTAAGTTCCAAGTTTATCTTTCAATAGCTACATTAAAATTTGCAGTACTTTTAATTCCTTTTTTTTAAGCACATGTATAGGCTTAAACTTGTATCAATATAATCAATAAAATTCTAATTTTTTGTTGTAAGATTCATTTTATAAAATAAATGATCCTATCTTAAATCCACGAACCAATTTTCTAAATTACTTTGCTGACTTTTAGATAGTAACTAGCCTCAAAGGATATTAGATTATCAACTTCAATAATAGCATGATTCCAAATACCTAAAAATTTATTTAGAAAATTAAAATAGTGAATCCTATAATAGTAAGTGTTGAAATGGTTACTGATCAACCTTTGAACTCATAAGTGAATTTGATTGTTTTTGGGTTTTCAAATCACGAAATTTTTTGGTAAATTATAATTATGAATGAGTTTTCTTTCTAATTTAAAGTTTTATATTGAATTTAGGCATTATATAAATTTGAAGTAAATTGATTCTTGCATAATGAAACTTGACAGTTATGGCTTGAATGAAATTTAAGAGGAGTTAAATTCGATTGAAAAAAATTAAGAAATTCAAAATTTCAAAGTGAGTAAATTTAAAATAAATTTATTATTTTAAGATGTTTTTTATTTGCTATATAATATTCCGATTTTCAAATATTCTAAGCAGAGTACTTTGAATATCAGCGGAATATCACAAATTAAATTTTCAATTGCTTCTGAATTAAAAAATATTTAAATATTTTTAAATTGGAATAAGCTAATTTTATAAAACATAAAAATTGATAATTCAACTGTATAAATAAACTCATCAATTTCAATTATTGCGAAGGATGTTAATAACTCTCTTATTTTTAACAATGCACAATTTAACAATTTTAATTCAGATCTGTTATTTAATATTCAATACTTTAATAATATAACATTTGATGGTGTTATTTTAATTGGAAGTTAATTTAATAACCAAACTCTATTTTAATTTTATGAATGCAACTTTATTTCTTTGGTTAATTTTGAGGTGGAAGGTATAACTGCTAATAATTTCACTATAGCATAATTCTTAGGTAGGTTTACAGCTTTATCATTCTAATATCTTTTTATATCATAGCTATAAATTATGAGTTCAAACATAACTAATAGCGAATTATTTGTCACGTAATTCGGTTAGAAAGCAGAAATAATTAGTGCTAAAATTAAAAACAATGTGGCATCAGCGTCCATTTTGTTTGATCTTTAAGGAATAATATAAACAACTATAAGCAAATCTTTGTTTTATAACAATACTTCGATATGTTTGCTAAACTCTTCAAGTGAAATCGCAATAGACTACGACATTTACTCTTAGTTTTAAGTTTATTAATCTAACTTTTATTTAATTGACTCAGAGATTGAAGAGTGCTAAATAGATAGTAGTACGTACAGTATTTTAAACTTCAGAAAGCAGAAGGTATTTATAAGTAATTTAAATGTATCAAAATCATCAGGAATAAATGCTCCTATTCCTTTAATATTTTAAATACCCTATTATAACTCATCTGTTATTTTACAAGAAAAATAAGATGAAAATTCAACTTAAATTTTTGAATAGTAACAATAGATCAGCTTTTCAAATTTATTTACTATAATAAAATGTTATGAGTTAATACATATGGAGATAAAAAATAGTAATTTTATAAACATTAAAGGAATAAATCATGTTATTTAATCTCAAGATTCTTAATTAATTAATGTCATTGGTTGCAATTTTACTTAAAGTGGAGATAAATACTCAACTAATGGCTTGATTTATACAGAAACAAGTATTTTGCAAATTGAAAACTCTTCTTTTGAGGATAATGTTTCTTATAAGTGTACAAATATTTTAATTTTAAATTCTCCTATTGATGCAGCTAGTAGTTTTGTCAACTTTATAAATAATACCAGATTAATTAACAATAAGGCGTATCTTTTTGGAGGAGCATTATGCTTTTCTAACTCGTAGCTAAATTTATTTAACACGGATTTCATCTAAAACAGTGGCTAATTTGGTGGAGCAGTATTCTATTAAAATTAATATGATTATTTGCAATAAATTAATAATTCTATCTAAAAAAATATTCATAAAAACTTAAAATTTATCAATAACTCAGCAGCTATTTTTGGGATTAATTACGATAGTGGCTTAAGCTACATGTAAGCATATGATTTAGATTTCGATGGATAAAACTATGTGATCGAAGATTTTAGAAGTGGAGACTCATTAAGCAGTCTCAAAATACTTCTATTTGATTAAGAATAGTAGCTTATTTCAAATGATCAAACAAATTCTCTTAATTTCAAAATAAAACCAATTAAGTTAGTCAATCTTAAAATAATAAATCAATCAGATTTTGAATAGAAAATAGAAAGCGGAATTTCTTATTTGACTAATGATAGGCTCCGAATATTTGGCATTCCAGGTGAAGTTGGTTATATTTATTACACTTCTGATTTTATTGATAACTCTTAAGTTGACGGTTTATAGAAAAATCAATAACCAATCCTGTAAATTAAGCTTAAATTTAGGAAATGTTTAATAGGAGAAATATAAAGACTGGAATTTGTGGATGAATAAAATAAAAAAAATTATTATTCGTGTTTTTAGTGTCCAGAAGGTAAGTTGATAGTTTCTCATTACTTTATAATTAATGAAAAATATATATTTATAAAATAAAGGTAAGTACTCCTTAATTGAGGGAAGCTATGATCCAAATAATAACAAAAAAATGTGCTAATTATGTCCCAGTGATAAAGCTACATTTTGTGAAAAAGATATTATAAAGATAAAAAGCGGTTTTTGGAGGGAAAATAACATGACTGATATAATTATAGAGTGTAAAAACAATCCTGATGCTTGTTTAGGAGAGGATAAATGCTTAGAAGGACATATAGGTAATATTATTCTTGTTTTTTATTTATTATTCTTTATAAATTTAAATAATAAAATTTATTTTAAAAGGTCCATTGTGCGAAGATTGTGATATTACAGGAGAAGTATATGGAAAAAAGTAATAAAAAATATTTTAAATTAAATTTTTAAGGAAAAATTATTTAAAAAGGTACACAAGAATCAACAATGAAGTTTTTTCATGTACTTAATGTGAGAATAATTTTGCTTAAATCTTTATCATGTTTTTACTGCAGGCAGCTATTACAGGTTATTTAGTTTGGTCTATCAAAACATCGCTTGATCGTTCAAAGCAGATTGTCATGGCAGATTTAATGAGAAAGATGACATTAGTCAGCTTAGGTAAGAGCTCCCAAACTAATTCAACTTCGGCATTTATAAAAATTATCGCTCATTATGTGTAGGTTATATCTTGCTTGAAATATTATCATCCTTAATACCCTTCATTTGGATTGTTGTATGTAGATTATATTGGAGACCCTGTAGACAAGTCTACATTCGCTTTTGATTGTATACTGATAGATTTTGAATACCTGAAAATACCTTTTGAGTACTTGATCATAATATGGTCTTAGATATATTAAATCATATATTTGGTTCTTTATCTTAGTATTTACTTTTGTCTTATTAAAATGAAGAAGGTACAATACAAATAATATGCAAATCGAAACGCTATTATTTTCTTTATCCTGTATATATAAAATAGCGTTATTTCTTAGCTTGTTTCATCAATTTCTTGCAGACGTATTGGAGAAAATAGCTATATTAGATCCGCAATTTCTAAAATGTGCTTTACTCATGATTTTTATGATTACTCTTTTAAGTTGATAATTCCTCTTCTCTTTTTTTGGGCTTTGTTAGTTCCTTTGATAGGATTTTGTTTAATTTTTAGAATTAGAAAAAAACTTTTTACATTTTTTAATACTTTAAATTACGGATTATTATATTTAGATTATAAACCTTAATACTATTATTGGGAGTTCATAAGAATAATAATCAAGATTACCTTAATTTTTATTGTCAACTATTTCTATTAGAGCATTTATTACTAAGGCATAATCTCTCTTTTGATTATATTAATATATTCTTACTCACTTCAAAATTTATAGCCTTACAAAGAAAAGTTTTTTAACGAATTAGAGCAAAAATCAGCATTTATTTAGTCTACCTTCTTTTTCTTAGTTTTGGTTTAATCAGGCTTAGAAATTCAGTAATATTCTTATTTGAGTTGGGTTATAGTCATAATTAATCTACTCTTCTTAGTGTATCTAATATATCTCTGTATTTCCTATCAGATAACAAAATAGCAAGTCTATATTTTCTTATATAAAATACCTTTTCTTAGAAAGTGTGTAGAAAATAAAATTCCTCAGCAACCAAGAATATTTAATGCCTAATAGCTATGGCGCAGCTTATCGTATAGTTTTTTCAATAAAAAATTGAAATTAATATAATTTTAATAATAGAATATATGTAAGAGATTTCATAGAAAGGAAAAAGCTAAATAAGAATGCAGAATTTTATGTTTAGCACCTGTAGCTTGGAAGCAGTCAATCAAATCTTTATAGAGTTTCATAAGTGAAAACATCTTAGCAATTTAAAGAGATTTTAAAAAAATCAACACAATTAAGTGTGTTTTTAGGAGACCAAAGAGAAGTTGATACCAAGCACGATACATCACTAAACCTAAACAAGCTTTAGGTTAATGAAATAATAACAGAAGTAACTTTATAAATTTAATTTAAATAAAAAAATAATCTTTTTTTAAATTACAAACAAAAAATTATATTAGTCAAGAGTTATTGGCAAATTCGATGCAATTTCAGAAGAAATCTAAGAAGAAGATCCTGAAATTTAATCTGAAAAGAATAATGACTAAATTCCTTAGCAATTAAATTAAATAATCATTCCAGATTTTTATCCAAATCAAACAAAATTACAAATAGAATAATAGTCAGACAGAATTAAAACTGAAGAAATACTTGATACATAAGCAAATGAAGAAAATAAGATTCTCAAGACAGAATAATCATTTATTAACAACGTTACTTAGCCTTCCATAATCTCTCCTTAAAAGTAATTTCTATTATTTGAAATTCATTTCATTAACTTTAATAATGAAAAAAGCAATTTAAGCAACTCTAACTAAATGCTAATTAAGCAACTATTTCAGCAGTAGTAAAAGACCGAAGAAGATTTAGATTTAGGGCATAATTAGAATGAGTAGACAAAGTAAATACCAAGAAACTTTAAAGTTAAAGAAAATAACTTGAATAGGCAATAATAAATGTAAAATATTACACAATAATTAATAAAACTTATTTATTTATTTTTAATCATAAATAATAATTGTAGATAAAAACTGATGAAAAAATAGCAAAATAAACAATAAAACTAAACCAATCACTTTTAGCAGCAACAAGAATCTAAAGTTATAGCATCTTTATTCACACCAAGAAATAATGAAAATCAAAGCAATAATCCAGTATAATCCTACAGAGAAGCCTTTGCTGAGAAGATGAAAAAAACAATAAGTTTCAGAAGTGCTTAAAAGCAATGAAAATATTTTGAGTTTTGTTTTTAAATTAATGATAAATAAATGCATTTTTTGTTATTTTATTTTATTATTTTTGAATTTAAATTATCTGTAATTAAGTATTTTCAAATTAAACTTGATGCATATTTCACCAATAAATTGTTGTGATGATTTATTTTAATGATAGAGAGAAATGATTGTTTCCAAATAATTGTTATTATTTATATTGCTATTTCTACAAACTCAAATTCTTTAAGAAATTTTAATATTAATTGAAATTTGATACTAGCAAAAGAAATCAAAATATTTATAAATTCAATTAAAAAGTATTAATTAATAATAGAAATTCAAACACTTAAAAAAATATATATCATGTAAAAAGAAACAATTTAACTCATTAAAAGGGGCGAACGACTAGATAGGAAGCAATTTATTTTACTTCGAAAAAATTATTCGAATAATTATCTTGATAATATTATTTATCCTGTTGACTTATTTGATAGCAACAGCGGCTTGATAGTTATCAAGTATAATACTTTAACAGAAATAGAGCTAATAGAATGTCGCATTGATATTCATCTTCTTAAAGATATAATATAGCATAGTCTCTAAAATCTAATTAATATTTCTCTTATTTATTGTACATTTTACTCGATAGAAAAACCTTTTATGGGTGAAACTTTTGAATAAGAGAGGCATTTAGCTGATTTTCTAAATTTGATAAATTTTGTTTCTTTAATTAGAAGCTTTCAATTCTAGCAAATTAAGAACATTGTGTTCAAGCCTTTAAAATATAGCTCTGTATTCTAGTATTAGATTAAAAAGCCCATCGATTATGATGAGAAGAATAGGAGTAATTTTACTATATACAATAATAAAAAGGGAGAATAACTTCTTCCAATCAGCATAAAAAAATACGAGTAATAAATATTTAGATATTAAGCTACTTATTATTAAATATTTTATATAAAAGTATTAAATATTTTTTATATTTTTTAATAGTGGTAAGTTAGAATAGCCCATAAACAGCATTAAAAGGTAATTTAAAAAAATGTGATAAAAATTAAAAGGTTTTACTTATTAAAATAGACAAATTGAAGTTACTCCTGAATTAAAGAAGTAAATAGCTTAAAAAGTTAAAGCTTTAGATACTTCTTAATATGTTTAGAATGAAATTGAGCTGAAGCAATTTGAAATTTCTAATATGAATTCTTAGGGGCAGTTTGATGTTGAGGATCTTATTATAAATTTGCATAAAAATAATGTATAAAATAGTAAAGACATCGATCCATAAGGTGTTTAGAGCTAGTGTGATCAAATGATTTCAGACATTTAAAGAAACATTATTGTCTACACCTAGTAAATTAAATTTTGTATGCAAAATATATAAAAAACACAAGTTCTTATCATTAAAGATAACATTCTTTCTTTCTAAGACTCCTTTGAACAAATTAGAATTTTAATAGAAAAAGAAAAAAAAAATATCAAAAGAATTATCTTTTCACAAAACCACTCACTTTCAAAGTAGCTTTTTTCATAGTTTGTAGTTGAGCTCCATAAAATTGAAGACCTCTAAGAAATTTCTTTTATTCAAACTGTTCTTTAAGAAAACGCATTTAATCTGCTCCTAAATCTAGTGAAAATTAAAAAGATAAAATACATAATTATTTATAAAAGCTACTTTTTATAAAATGAAATAGAAATTTTATTAAACTCTCAATCTTAACCTATTAATCATAACTCATATTTTTTGCTTGATATCAAAAACAAATAATCTCATTAATTTTTAACTAAAGTATTGCCTAACTATGATATGCTATTATCATATGAAAATGAACCCTTCAAATTGAGTCAAAACGAAATTGTTTATTTAAATTTTTAAAAATTAAGTGAAGAAAAAAAAAACTTAGTTCAATTTTATATAAAAAATAATCTTTTAGATATTAACAGTGACATCAGCGAAGAGTTTATCAACAAATACAAAGATTTAATTTATGATTAAGTAACCAACTAAATACAAGATAACATAGAACAAATAATTTAAAATGAAGATATAGAAATTTTAATTAAATAAGATGATATTAACATTCTCAATTTTCCTATTTTAATTTCTATCTTATCCTCATTTAAAGAAACTTATGAAATTGAAACACTAAAAAAACATTATTTAAAGCCTATATCATAGCTAAAATCGATTAAATCTAATAAAAATTTAATCAAATTTTTTGACATTAAATACTTCTTAAATAATTCAAAGCAAGTAAATTCTTTTATTCAAATTACATCACTTGTACAGTTGAATCTCTAAATAGGATGATGGTGTATTTATTTAATACATCAATATAACTGATAAATTTCCTAAGTCCTAAAACTTTTCCAATTATATATATATTTCAATATTTTACTTTATTTTTTGGAATTTATTTCTTGAAAGACATAAACTGGATAAAATAATTTGGCTCAGTTAAATCAAATTTAAGAGTTTTAACTGTAGATTCTTTTTGAAATTTTAACAATTATTCATAATGCAGCTATTAATATTCAAAATTTTATGATTTTTTTTATATTATAGGATGGCTAACAAGATATCTAGGATAGCTAGTTTAAAATGAACTATGAAATGTTTTTTGACTTTTACAAGTGCTATAAATACAATAAGCAGTTGCTAAAAGGAGAAATAGTTTAAGAAAAAATAAAAAATATTCACCCATGGGTTTTACTTGATCCTGATTTTAAATGTATAAGCTAAAACGTAATATAATTTTAAGGCAACAGAGCTTTGTGTTTTCTGAATATTTTAAATGAAATCAATATAAAAGTTATTGATTAGTTAAAAATAGGAATTGATTTATCTGATCTTTTTATGAACAATATATAATTCGATTTAACTTAATTTAATAAAATAGTTGATAATTTAGTAGAATTGCATTTGGAAAAATTTAATTTTTTATTTGACATGAGCTTTTTAAATAATGTGTTTGAGAAATCTAAATTTTTAGAGCTTTTAAATCTATCTGACATGAGTTTAACAAACGATAGAATAAAGGACATTTCATTCAGCAAAATTCCTAAAACACTAAAAATTTTTAATATATCTGAAAATTCTGCAATTTAAAATCTTTCTTTTTTAAACAGTTTATTTGCTTAGTGCTCTAAATTAGAAGCTTTAGGTTTAAGAAATACTGATTTATTTTTTTAATAAAAATTTTCTACAATATAGTTTTAATTGATACCAGAAAGCTTAGAGAAAATAGATCTTTCTTTTAACTAAATTTAAAACCAGAAGTAGACCTAGCTTGATTTCATCAACTAAATAATTAGGAGATGCTTTAAGTTAACTCATGTTTTTTTAATAAGCTGTGGTTTAACTAATTTTAATATTGCTCCAATTAACTTTGAACTGCTCAAACAAAATACAAACTTTGCTAAATTTGATATAAAAGGTAATAAAAGCTTTAAGGGCTTGAATTTTTTGAATGGAATGCTAGATAATTGTCCTAATTTTACAAGCTTACAATTAGTTGACATGAATTTAACTATATCAAAAATCAAGTCTATTAATTTTATGAATTGCAGAAACTTAACTTAATTAAATTTATCTTAAAATTAAAATATTGACAATTTCAGCTTTTTAAATGAGATATTTTATTTTGCTCCAAAATTAACTTCCTTAATTTTGCAAGACGTAGGTTTTAGTCAAGATAAACTAACAAATTTAAATATTGAACAACTTGGCAAATAGCTTACTGAATTGGACATCTCTTAAAATAAAAGTTTTGATGCTTTTGAGTTTTTAAACGCATTTTTCCCTCTTGCTATTCAATTAGTAGAATTGAATCTAAGTGATATTAATTTAAATGACTAGCAAATGCAATTTATAGCTTTTGAAGCAATAGAATCGTAGAATATAACTTCTATTACTTTGACAAAAAACCCAATCAGAAAAAACTTTGTTAGAGTTTTTTAACTTCTTAAAAAAAGAGATTACAAAATTTTTATTAATTTTGAGTATGAAAAAATTGATAATTAAATGTTTCGTAAGTTTTTAAAGATAAGCAATACAACATTTGAAAAAACTCTGGCTTATTAAAATTTATTGAATGACTAATAGCATGTTGAGGCTGAAGCTTTTTTGGAAAGAGAATAAAGAAAATATTTGTAAACATAATAGGAATTAGTTTAAAAACAAAGTAGTTAAAATTTCTATCGCTCTAATGGACTTCAAAATGAAAAAGAAAAAAGGGTTTAAAAGTTAGAGCCATCATTTTCTCAAAAAAAATTTTTAGAAGAGTTTATAATAAATTAAATGTAACTAACACAGAAATTAGAGGAAGAGTATATGAAGGGATCAATAAGCTTTTACGATTTTGAATTAGATTAAGCCACTAACGGGAAGTGGAGTACCATTAATTTTAGAAATTTAAAATGCTTAAGTGGGATAGATATTTACAGCTGTAGAAAAGACTGTCTTAAATTTTTAATTAAATTAGACATGACTGGCTTTTCATGCAATCAAGGATCATTTTAATTCATGAATTATTTATTTCTTTATGCTACTCAGCTGAAAGTTTTAAATTTAAGTAGATGTGAACTAAGTGATGATGACATATAATCTATTAATTTTAAATCAAATTCTCTTGAAGAGTTAGATTTATCCTTTAATGATTAGATTTAAGATTTCTCTTTTTTGAATAAACTTCTATAGAGTTGTCAGAAATTAAAAGTTTTAAAACTTTAAGATATGGATTTGAATGATGAAAAAATTAGCTCTGTTGATTTTAAATACTTAAGATTTACAAAGTTAAAGATTTTGGATTTCTCGTATAACTATAGCATTTAAGATTTCGATTTTTTAAATAGAATTTTAGATCATGCTCCTCATCTGGAAGAGCTTTTATTTTAAGACATAGACATAGTAGATCAGTAAATTAATCAAATATTATTTTATAAATTGAAATATACCAACTTGAAAAAGTTTGTTTTAAGTTAAAATGATTAATTGACTAATTATTTCTTTCTCAACCTGATAATAAATTATTCTCCTTAACTTGACCACATATTAATATCTTATTAAGATATTTATAAAGACCTCAATTACTATTTGTAAAAACAAGAATGTGCTCTATAAAATACTCATGCTGTTTCTTAGTCTCCAGATTAAAAATTTTAAGAAACCTCAACTTCTTAAATTACACCATTTTAAAACTCACCTTAAATGTAAAGTTCAATGACTTAGTTTAATTAATACAGTAATAAAAAGGTTGATCATTTACTATTATCAAAATACATGTCTCAAGATTAAAAACAAAATTAATTAAAAGAATATAGTGAGAGTAATTTAGATTTGTAAAAAAAAACAAGCTTTAATAGTTTAATTGTGTCAAGATTTTAACAAGACCAAAGTTTATCTGCATATCTAAATAAACATTAAGAAAGTAATTATATTGAATAATTCAATGAATCGAATTACTTTCAATAAACTAATAATAATTTCTTTTAATAAAATTAAGCTTATTCTAGTAACAATGTAAATATTAATCAAAATAATATATAGTAATTATAAAATTAGTACTATTAAAACAATTAATAATCTTTTAATAATTCTCAAATCATTTAAGAGAAATAATTTGAGGAAAGCATTAATAGGATGAACTAAGATATTTATGATTTATTATCTTCAGACTAACTAGGGTTTTCAAGGAGAAGAGTATCACAAGGATTCATTAAAAATAATGCCGAAGAAACGAAATAGTTAAAGGAGGCTGAATTAGAATAAAATAATATTATCGAAAGAGAGTAAAGTCCTTAAGAAGATAAAGCATAAGAAATTAATTCATAGAATTAAATAAATAATGAAAGAAAACTTTCTTATTAATCCAAATCTTCTTTAAAATAAAATTTAAATAAAAGTTAGATTGAAGATAGCTTTAGACAAAGTTAAAATGTAAAATGGGCAGATTAAAGCTAATAAGAAATTCAAAAAGAAGATATTAAAAATAATTAAATAGAAAGCAATAAAATTAATTGTTCTGACTAAATTATTCAAAGTGAAGCTACTTCTAAAAGCAATAATACAACTTAAATTTAATAGTAAAATAAATAAAAGTTAGATTTAAATAAAAATTATATGCACTAACCTCTAATTACTACTAATTAAGAATCAAATAAAGGATCAAATTAATAAAAATCTGGCAGTCTATAACAAAAAATACTTGAAAATTATCTAAAAGATAAGTAAAGTCCTGAATAAAGAAATAATACTGAAGAATTCTGCAATTCTTAAAACACTATAGCAAATAACATTTCACCAGATAAATAAAATAATCATGAAAAAAATTAATACAACAGTCCTTAAGCAATTAAGCAGTCGAGTCCTAAATAAAATTAATTATAAACTCCTTCAAAAAATAAAAGTTAAAGCCCAAAATCAGATGCAAAAAATAGCCCAAAATTAAATTTGAAAAATAGCCCAAAAATAGAAAAAAATAGTCCTTAAAGTAATAAAAAAAGTAGTCCTTAAAGTGATAGAAAGATTAGCTCTTAAAATGATTAAAAACATAGCCCCTCAAATAATAATAATAATAAGATTAATTCTTAAACAAATAAACAAAACAGCCCTAAATTAGACAAAAATAAAAAAACATAAGAAGAAAAAAAGTAGCACATTTTAGTTGATAAAAAAAATAAACAAATGAAATAAGAAAAATAGGAAAATTACAAAGATTAATCAAATTTAATAGATAATAAAAATGAAGTTATTTAAAATCAATCTATTGTTTAAGAGAATGACAATTAAGATGGTAGTTATTAAATAGTAAATATGAATGATATGTAAGTTATTGTTTCAAGTTAGGAAATGTAGAAATCTGAATTTTTAGATTGTAAATAAGGTGAAAATAATTAATTTTAAACTGATTCTAAATTAATTTCTTAGGAATTTGACGATTTAAAATGTTATTAAAACACCTTTAATTTATAGTAATTTTTATCTAATCAAAGTCCACCTTAAGATGCAAATAAAAACACTCATAGATTAAACCAAGATGATTATTCTATGCCACATAAATCTAGAATAAGTTTAGATATATTTAATAATCCAAACAATCCTAAAAATACTTCAAATCCTGTAAATCAAAAAGTTTAATTAAGAGATAAAAAAAGAAAAGTATTTTTAGAAAGGGGAGAAATAGCTCCTTAAGTTTAATCTAGTTAACCAAAAAGTATAAAATAAAATGATGTTAAGCTTTAAAAAACAAATTTATAATAATTATAACAGGCAAGCTAATAAGATTCTACTTCTGACTAATTACCACAAGAAAATTCTGTTTATATCTAATAGAAAAAAAAGGAAAAAAAGCACTCAAAAAAAATTTAACAAAGATAAAAAGTTATAAAAACACCATATGCATTTCTAAAAGATGTTTTCCAGAAATCTTAACAACTCTATAATAAAATAGAAAAAGAAGTTGAAGATAAAGGAACAACTTGTTTACAGAGTAAAAAATAAAATAAAATTAAATTGATTGACTTTAATTAAGAAGTCAATAATAGAAACAAACATTAAAAGAGTGTTAATAGCAAAAAATAAGATATTTTTTATTCGGATTATTATAATTAAGGAGATTTTAATTAGAGTTCATTGGATTACTATAATAATAATTCAGGAAATTACAATTATGGTTAAGTTGGTTATAATCAATAACAAATTGAATAATAAACTCCACAAAAAAATATAAAAAAGCCTATTCAATCCAATAAAAAAAGTGAAGTAAAAAATTAAAATTAAGCTGAACTAAATTTTGCAGAGGAATTTGAATAAATGATTATTGATAATCAAAAATGGTAAAAAATTTAATAACAAAAATAGAAAGAGGAGTAATAAAACAAAATATTTTAGAATAATTTAAGGTATTAAGAATAATAAATTGTTAATTCTCCTTACAGAAATTATTTTCTTTAAGAAAACAATATCTAAAGGCCTTATTAAAGCTCTAGTCAGTTCAATTAAAGAGATTATACTTAAATTAATTTTATAAAACCTAGAAGCCAGTAACAGAATCGTACCAACTAAAATCGCTTAGTTTAAGAAGCTCAGCCTCATTTTTTAGCTGAGTTAAGCTAAAAAAAAAGTTAATTAAACAACAAATCTTTATATGATAATTTAGTGCAAGAAAACTTAATTCAAATTTAAAATTAGATCGAAACTCTACAAGGAACATAAAATTAATAGTTTTATAAATCTAAACCTTCTGCAACAAATAATTCAGTATAAATAGAATAAAATAAGATAATTTAAAATGATATTCAAGCAAGCAACTAATCTATAGAGTAAAATAAAAAGTAGATCTAACTCAATTTACTTGATTCAAAAAGCTCTTCCTACCACATTTAGTAAAAATAATTTGCAGAGAGTTCTTAAAGTATAGGAAAAGATAGCTTATTAAATCATACAAATTTGAATAAATTAGATTATCAATAAAATAATCTAAATATAAATAAAAATAGCATTTTAGTCAATTTAGAAAATTATAGCCTTAAAAATAAAACTATTTAATAAGATGATAATATTCAACAAAATGATTCACCTACTTAAGAACATTAAAAGTACTTAAAAATTGGAGATTTATTAGATATAACATAGTAAAACCCACTAGAGAAATAAAATAAACCAAAAAATGATGATAAACAAAGTAAATAACATATTATTTAATAAAAAATTCAAAACGATTTTTAAACTCCCTTAAATGGTGATATTTCAGCCTCATAAAAAGAAATTTTAAATTAAAAGAATAAATAAGTTTAAAATTAAAATCAATAAAGATATAATGATTCAGTTTATAATAATTCTGATGTTATTTTCTTAGAATATTAAGCAGATATTAATAGTAATACAATAAGTTAGTAATTATTATAAATTAATGAAGATGATAATCATTAAAATTAGTTTGTAAAAATTTAAATTAAAGACAAAGAATAAAATTAGAGTTTATAACAATAAAATTCATCATCTGAAAATAATTAATAAGGTTTAGTTCATAATTTATAAAATATTTAAAATTCTTAATAAAAAGGTGTTTAAGAATAAGATCTACAAGATAAATAGTAAGACAATGGTTTTCTTGTCTAAAAAGAGGATAATAGTAATACAGATGTCTTAATTAGCGAAATAAAAGATAAGTAATAAGAAAATAGTTTATTGATCTAAAAAGAAGATGGTGATAAAAATAATAATTAATAAATTTTAACTAATAATCATTCTAATTAAAAAAATGAATCTATAAATGAGATAAATAATTTTGAAATCAAACAATAATATAATTCTTTAGAAAACAAAAATAAAAATTTGTCAGAACAACCAAATTAAAAGTAGATTATACACTCTGTATTAAGTAAACCATCTGAAATAGCAAATCCTTATTTGACTTAAGAAATTGAATTTGGATAAAAAGATTTACAATAAAAATGTAAGGACAATTAGCAAACACTTTAGGAATTTACTTAGGTAGAGTTTACATAAGCTAATGAAAATAGCGTTTTGTACTAAAAAAATTTGGATATGTCATAAATTGATAATGATTAATCAAATATTTTAATAATCTAAGCAGATGAGTAAGATTAAATAAACGATGTTACTGAGGTCAAGTTTGATTAGGATAATCTAATTAACACTTCAGAAATTTATTAAATGAAAAATTAATATCAGGAATTGGAAGAAAAAATTATTGAAATATAACAATAAGATTAGAAGGAAGATGAAATGAGTGATTCGCAATAAAATTTTGATAATTTTTAAAAGCAACTTTAAAAGTTCTAAGAAGATGAAGATGAATATTTATAATATTTATAGTAAGAGTAAGAACTTAATTTTAAAAGTATAAAAAACAGCTAAACAGAAGTGATTGAACTGTGCAGTTTAAAAGGAGACTTAGTTTAAGAAATTATTGAGTAGATAATGTATAATGCTAGTAATTCTCTTAAGGTACTTAAACTTGAAGATCTAGATTTAAGCAATTTCAGAGACATTGATCCTTCGAAATCTAAATTGGATCTTTTAGAGCTGAGCTTAAAAAAAACAATTATTCCTAACTTAGATTTTTTAAATATAATTGCAGGCTAGTGCAACAAAGATTTAATTCGACTGAATATTTAAGATTTGGAAATAGCTCAAAAAAAAGTAACATCAAACTTATAACTAAAAATATTCTAATAGCTTTAAGAGCTAAGCGTATCTGGTAAATCAACTCCATAAATTTTCTAGAATTATAGCTATTTCAATTTAATATTAAATAAATGTTAATGTCTCAAAAAATTAACAATTGTGAATTCCCATTTAGATTTTTAAAACATTAAAATAATTCATTACAAAAGCCTCTAGGAATTAGATTTTTCTTATAACTCGAAGATTTAAGTGAATTTTTTAAATGATTTAATAAAAAATTCAAAAAATTTAATACATCTTAAATTAAATGGCATACAATTGACAAATGAAAAAGCTAATCAGCTTAATTTTTCAAATATTTCTGGATAGCTTTAAACTATATCTTTTGCAGACAATCCTTTAGATTTTTCTGATAGTCAACAGTTGAGTTTTTTAAAAGAATTAGTTAAATACACAAAAAACTCATTACAATACTTTGTAATTGACCATGTATTTACTCAGCCTTATCATATTCTATAAAGATTGTGCGTAGAAGAAGATACAATTGAGATATCTGAATAAGAAAAAATTTAATAAGACCTAAATATTTAAAAAGAAACAGGGAAGTAAAAAAAGATTAAGTACAGAACATTGGTAGAATTTATAAGCAGAAACTAACTGAGTTCACCTTAACTTTACTTAAAACTAAATGAAACTTTTGAGGATAACGTTATAGATATTATTTTTAAAGATCGTAGCACCTGCGAAAACATTATTTTAAATGATTTAATATGTGGAAGCATAATTCAAACATAAGATTTTTACTTGCAAAACCGTAATCTTAAATAGAATCTACTTATTTTTTCACCTTTAGAAATTAGGTTCTAGATGATAAATTTTAAAAGAAGACTAACTTTAAACATGTTATCAAAATTTACATCTGAAGGCTAAAATAATGCTTACAGCACAATATTTCTAGGTAACAATCCTCAAAATTATGAAGTCCGTTAAGATAGTTTATAAATGATTTCTAATTGCCATGATTATATTTTAGGTTTTTCACCTTAAAAAAATGAAATTTTTGAAACATTTTACAAATAATTTGTAAATAAATAAGATTGTACATATTATTCTCTATATTAAGCTTTTAGTTCAAATTTGTACAGCTAATTAAAAAGAGTTTATTTGCCTTTAAATTTAAGTTTAAATTTGAATAAGAAGCAAATGTCAGAAGTATAAGTTATTTAGATGCTGAATTTTATGCCTCCATAGTAATTGATAATAAAAGAAAGAGTCAGTAATTAGTTATTAAAATGTTGGTATTGTATAAATTACTTGTCTCCATTAACAATCAAATCAAAAATGAAGTTTTAACAAGATGAAGAGCAAGTGACTTTAATAAAAAAATAACAATTTTGGTACGAAAAATCAATAGCTAACTACTTTATTGAGTACTATTATAATAGAAATACAAGTAAAGCTTAAGGACCTTTAGAAGTTGTTAAAAAATATTTGCTTTATTTTTTATATTTATTTTTTAATGCTCTTTCAAGTGCTCAAAAGCCATTTTTATTTGATTTTACTGTTATAGAGTTTAACAATAAGCTTGAATACAATTCTTAAAATGAAGCTATGCTATTTATACTCTATATAATTTATCTCTTAATAATAGTTGCTTGTATTACTTTATTCAATATGATTGGATTGTAATATCAATCGAACATCTCTTAGATCAGCATTAATTCAATAAATCACATTATTTTTATAATTTACTAAATAGTTATTTTTTTTATAGACTTAACTATTGTCAACTCCTTTAAGCATTCACTCAAAACAATTTCATAAAGATCTATGAGTTTTCACAAATTTAAATACTTATCAGTTGAAATGAGTTTTTACATAATTTAGATGAGATCTCTGTTATATGCTTAGATTATAGCTTTCTCATTTTATTTTAACTTCTGTTTTATAACAATAGTCATAATAGCAAATAATAAAACTTATATAATACTTGCTGCCTTATTCTTTTGCTTATCAATGCTAATAGATCTATTTTCTGTTTTTCACTTGATGACTAAATTGTGGTTTTCTAATAAAAAATATTAGCTATGTACTGAAAAAATTGATAAGTTGATAATATTAACATAGATTACTAATCTTATAGCTAGCAATAACTTTATCAGAGAATATTCTCCTTCAAATTACATTTAAATATGTAAAAAATTAATAGATAAAACAGTACTCTCTGAGTAGTTATAGCTTGTATTTTACTCTCTTCCTTAAACAATTTTGTAATTAATCTTTTATAAGGGATAAGAAGGTTAAAAAAATAATGTAATTGAGGCCTCTATAGCTTTCAATTTTATTTAACTTATTCTAAGCCTAATTCATGTGCTTAGCTATAATCCAACTCAAGTAAATCAGGAAATGTTTGATGAGTTAAATTAAAAAAAGAAAAATGAGCTTCTTAACATATATGAAGCTAAGCTATTTGATATGCAGAAATACTTAATTAAAAAGCAATACCATGATAACCTGAAATATATACGTTTTTCTTAGTAAAAGAAAAGAGAAGAACTACTAAAGCTAGGATCAAATAGGATCATTTATAAGTAATACTTTGAATAAGATTAAGAAAAATACTAAGATTTAATGAATGAAATATAGTACAATCTAGATATTACTTAATATTTTGAGTAATGATCCTAAACAAATTAACTTACATAAAAATTTAAATAAAATTCTAAAAACGGGATTTAATTTTATAAATAAATATTAAGATTCTGTAATTTTTTTATATTTAAAAATTTTAAACTTTTAAATGTTAGTTATGTTATTTTTATTTATATCAATCTATAAGCGTTTCATTATTTTAAGATAAAATAAAAGAATATTCTTTTTTAAAATTTGGAATTTATTTTGAAATTTTTTTATTTAGAAGATAAAAATAGAATAAATTTAAAAAGAGAGCAAAATAAATGCAACAAAAAAATTTTTTGTATTTAATTTTTATTTTTTTCTGTGATTTTAAAGTAAATAAAAAACTCATAAAATAAAAAGATAAAATTTATTTATTTATTTTAAATATTTTTTAATATAATTTTTTTATGTTAGAATTTTTTGAATATGAATTACTATGACAATAAATATATTTTTATTTACTTTTTTTATAGAATTTGCTATATTTTTTTCGATAAAAATGGAAGTTATCTTTTTTCAATTTTTTTATATTTTTTTGAACCAGCCTCCAACTAAAGTGTCTAAGAAAGATCTAGTGTATTTACCTTTACAAATACCTTATAAATATGGAGTAGAATTCAAAGCACAGTAAACAGATTTATTTATTGATTTGTAATCCTTGTTATTAGCACCACTATAATAATTATTTTAGAATTTATTGTATGTTTCAAGATCGTTTCCAATTTTTTCTGATAACAATTCAAAGCCTTTAAGATCTGATATATTATTAATACCATATTCACTATTAAAATCATAAGCAAGATCAAAATCAAGCATGTTGATATCTGTAATACCCATTTTATTATATTTGTTGATGTCTAATCTGTATTAGAAATAGTTGACTGGTAAGAGTGTTTTCTCATCTATTTCAAAAACTCTTAATGAAGGATATAGATTACTATATGTTGTAAGAGAAGGAGCTATGAAAGCAACATTATTTATATTTGTTGTATTTCTATCTTTGTAGATTTTAAAGTGGTCTTTATGAGTATGACCATAGAACTAGGCGTTAATAATAGAGGAAAATCTTTAGATTAATGCATTGTATACTTCTGACCATTCTTCAAGCAAATTATCTGAAGGGATGTGTCCCATTATAAATACCTATTTAGATTAAAATAGTTATTAATTAATTATAATTAAATTAAAATTATTAAAAATAGTTTTATTTTGAACTTGATTTAAAAAAATTTTACTTTTTCATTTTGTTTTTCAGCAAGAGTGAGGATTTCTTCTAACCATTTAAGTTAATGTCCAGGGTCAGTAGGATTCTAAATTAAAAAGAAATTACCAGGATTACCAGCTTAAGTATTGACAGCAATTATTCTTAAATTTTATCCGTTTTTGGTAATTACAGTGGAGTAGTAACCATTTTCTTTAAACTAGTTAGCTGCTTCCTTTCCAATCCAAGATTCCCAAGCTTAAGCAAGTTATGCTTTCAAGTCTTTTTCTCTATTAGTTTCATAGTCATAAACATTGCAAGGGAAACTCTCGTGATTACCCATAATAGGGAAGACTTTATTTAAATTATTTATATGAAATTAGTTATTTTTAATATTAATCTTTTAACAATAAAGATAAAAATTTCAGGTGAATTTATGCTGTTTATTTATGAATTTTAATTAAAAAGATAAAAAATACGTACTTTTAAGAGTAGGGATTTCTCTTTAAAAAAGCTAAGTGAGCTAGATAGTGCTATTGATATTTTATTCTTAAGTCTATTCCCAGATGAAGTGATTTGTGTTGTCACCAGTCCATAGAGCAAAATCTATCTCATTAGAAAGATTTCTCTTAATGAAACTAACGTAAGATTCAATGGTTCTGTAGGGTAAATCGCATGGAGCAATAGAACCCCAATATCCTGCAGTTATGCTTTTATTACCTTAAGAAGGTGTAGATTCTTAACGACAGCATGTTGGTTGTTAACATTGAGCATAAGATCCAACTTAGTAATCCCAATCAAAGTGTAAATCAGTCATATGAATAATTTTAAAAGTGCTATTCAATTAGGGTGTCTATCTCTTAACTTCATGAGAAGCAGCATCTTTAAGAATATCAAGAACAACATTTTCAATATCAATTTTTTCATATACTTAGGGACAAACCTTAATCTCTGGACATATAAAGTCAGGATCAAAGTAACGCTTTTAGATATTCTCAACTACATATGGTCCCATTTCACCAAATGCTTCTCCACATACGTCATCTCCTAAGATTCCAAACTTATCACAAAGAGCGCTGACTAAAGATTAGATCTTGTCGAAAGATTTTGTAAAGTCAAATTTTTACAAGTAAGAGAAAACAAGCTTGCATGGAACGCATGTAAGGACGGATTGCTAAGGTAATTCAAGGGAGGATTAAAGAGCTAGGGAAGCTTTTTAAAGTTTTTCTGGCAAAATTTAGTGAACTTACTAAAGTCCTTCCTTCAATTGCAACTCAAAGGAATAGACTGTAGTGCACAAAACAAGAATAAAGAGAATTGACTTTTTCATATTTTGACTATGTTTTGATTTATTTTTTGTTTTTATTTTATTTATTTTTGTTGTTTACCTTTAATTTGATGAATTTAAAAAATACCAGTGTTTAAAATATGTAATTAAAAGGCATAATTTCTACCCACCTATAAAACTTGAGGGATTAACTAATATTTATCCCTTCATGATGTAATAAATGATCTACTTATTCTTTACATAAATTAATTAGAAATAAGGCATTTATTTTCACCAAATAAGAATCTTATTTCCGATAACTTAAACCTACCTGGAACCAATAAATATAGTAAAATTTAAATAAGTAACTTAATTATTGTAATCTAATTGAGTGTAAATTAAAATATTAAAAAATTTTTCAATATTTTTTAGAAGTAAAAATTATTTATTTACATATTTATATCTATTTATATTTAGTGTTAATATTTATTTATTATTTTTATATGACACATTAAACACCTATGATCATATATGTTAATAAAAATTTAATTTTAATATATTATTTATTGAGCTTTGATGGCGTCAAGTAGATTATCATTGGTGGGCAAGTACATATTTTTTCTTAGAAATGATAAGATAATCTTTACAATTATTAAATTTTTAAACAATTTTAATAAATTAAAAATATCTAAAAGAAATTTTTTTCAGGTTTTATCTGTTTTGATAATTTTTAACTAATAAATAAATACTTTTATCCATTATAAGTAAAAATTAATGAATGAACAACTAACTAATTTAAAACAAAAAAAAGAAATTTATTTCATTTAATAAAATTTTTTTTTTTATAAAGTATTACTTTTTTTGTAAGTAAATTTATTTTAATTATCATTTTAAAAAATTTGCATAGATTTTAAAATAAATAAATAAATTTTTGCTCTAAATGATTTTAAGTTAATAATATTGAATATTGTTATTTAGATGTGCTTTATGTATAAAACTAATATCTTTTTGAAAGGATTAGTAAATTTTATTTGAGTTTTAGCTATAGATATCTTAGAATTATTAGTAATGAATTAAGATTTTTTAGTGTTGTAAGAGTTTAGAGAAGATGGTAGAAAAAAAAATGAGCTGCGTAAAGTAGATTGCATATTAGGATTTGATTAAACTGTTGAAGGATCTTGTAAATTGATTTAAGGATTGACTGAAATAGTTTGCTTGATAAAGGGACCTCATAATGTATTTATTAACATTATTAAATTTAGTTAAATAAAAATAATTCTATGAAATACAAAAGAAATCAACTAGAAGAGAATCAGAAGGATTTTTAAATGTTTAATATAATGTAGCCCCATTCAGTGGAACTGATAGAAGAAAAATTTCCAAATTCGATAAGTAATAAATAGTTTAAACTGCAGATGTTTTATCATTTATATTATATAATAATGTAGGGATTGGAACGAATTCACTGAAAATTTAAGAGTCAGTTTTGAAAGTGTAATTCTAACAGAGCAATTAGGTTCAGGAGAAATTGATATTATAGTTTCAGTTATTTAAGCTGATGGTAGTGCCAAAAGCTCAATTTTTAATGCCATTTCCTTAGCTTTAATGGATGCAGGTATGCTTTTTTAATTAATAAACTTTTCTCAAATTTTAATCGAAATATTTGCATTAAATAAGGTATTCCAATGAAGGATTTCACTGTATCTTCAACAGTAATAAGCTTAAACAGCGAAATTTTATTAGGTAAATTATATTCATGAAGTTTTAAAAGTAGTAAATAAAATATATAAAAAAGATGCAACATACTAGGAGTAAAAAAAAGCTAGTGCAGAATTGATAATATCTTATTTACCAAGAAGTGATTAGGTAGATTTTATGGAAATGAAATCAAGTAAAATAAGTTAATAAGATACTAAAGAGATGTGTAAAATTGCGGTTGATGGTTGTAAATAAATGTATCAAATATTAAGAACTTTCGTTTTGGAAAGCTCAGTAAAAACTCTTTTGAGCACAAGATGATGGCAAATAAGATAACAAGAGTAAGAAGAATAAATATAAATTTAAAGTAAATTAGAATTGCTATTTAAACCTTTAATTATAATTTTTATATGATAATATATGTGTGTTTTAAAGATCAGTTAAATTCTTCTAAGAGAAAAATATGATAATTATGAAAATTAATATTGCCTAAAAGTTTTAAAAAGATATTAATAACTACTTATAAGTTAACATTAAATAAAACAAATATACATTATGGATATAAGTTAGAATTAAATAAGTATATTCTTTACCAAAGGAGTATAAAAAATCTAAAAAATTAGTTAAAATAATAAGTATTGATGCATTCATATCTTAATTAAAGTAGTTAGGAATAGTTTTATTAAGTTACTCAACTCATATCAGCATATTAAAACTTTAAATTTTAGAATATTTTTAATAAAAATAAATTTTGATATCTAATTCAATTAAAGACTTTATGTTAAATAATATTTTAAATTCAAAAAATAGTTTAATATTTAAAAAGAGGAATATTAGAAAAAAAATTATTTATTTTTAGGCAAGGAATAAATATTAGTTGATATTTTATTTTGAAATCAATGCAGTTAGCATAGAATTTTTTTAACTATTAACTTTATTTATTAAAGATATTTACTTGTTTATGTAAAATGATTTAAATATAAAAATTATATAAAGTATTAATTTAATTTTATAATATGGAGAGTATTTATTAATTCATATATGAATTTTTATTTTTTGAAGAAGAATAAGAAACTTAAAACTGCTAATTGAGTTTATATAGATTATTTTAACTGCAAAAATCAAAAATTTTAAAATCAAACTTTATTTTAAATAATCTACTCAAAAATATTTAATTTTTTAGTAAATGATTTTAAATATTTACAGTTAGTATTTATACAGTAAAGTAGAGTTACTTTCATTATATTTTTTAGCTGTTAAATAAGTTGATGAATTCATATTATCCATATAAAAATTAAATTTTTTAATATGGGTTATAGCAAATAAATAATTGAATTTGATAATTTATAGACTACTTGAAATAAAATCATCACTTTGATAATTACTAAATAATTATACTTATAAATCTTTTCACAAATAAAGTAAAAGTTAATTAAAGACCTAAATACTTTAGATGATGGAAGATAATTCCAATTTAAACTAGAAATAATTAAGAGGTAGTGATGATCAAGTAATCACATACAAAATTACTGAAATAGGTGAAGAAGAAGATTCATAATTTTCATAAAATTAGGAAGATGAGACGTAATTTATTTAAGTTTAGGTTGTCATTTTTATTAATTTTTTTTTAAGTGAAATTTAGGATGATAAAAAAGCATCTAAGTTTGATAGTAATGTATGTAAAAATGATCACACATAATAAAGCATATAATAAATAAACTAAAGCTATAATAAATATGTTTTACACTAGAATAATCAATAAAATGATGAAGAGGATAATATGAATTTTAGTAAAAATATTTTGAGTTTACATAACACTATAAAAACCAATTAGAGCCAATTAGCAAACTAATCTGCCATACAAAATTACAGATATTCTTAATAAAATAATTCAGATTATCACAGTGGCTAAAGGAGATACTCTCCAATTAGATATTAAATCGATGCAGAGGAAATAAAATCTAAAAGAAAATCATTAGAAAGAGAAACTATTAGAATGGAAGAAGAAGTTAAGTTCCTCAAGCAAAATTTGTTAAGTGAACTTTACAAATAAAAGCAGTATGAAAATTCAAGACTTTACAATCTCATTTACATACTTTACGTAGCTTCAGAGAGAAATAAAAAAGTTCTTTTAAAGGAATCTTTCTCAGCCTTAGCTAAAGCATATTATTCAGGCGAAGAGAAGGCGGAGGAGGTATTAATATAATCGAAAAAGAAAATTCATTTATTCATTTTATATTTTTTGCATTTTATTAATTAATTAACAAAGTGCATTTATTTCTATCTATCTATCTTAGAAAATTGTTATTCTAATTTTTAACGTATTAATTTTAATTTCTTAATAATGAAAAAAAAAAAAATTTGTTAGATAGATTAATATACAATTTATTTTTCTAACTTTATTCAATATCTTTTTTGGTATAAAAAGTTCTATTAGCAAAAGTAATTCTAAAAACTCTATTATATGTGGAATAACTGGAAAAATTACATGTTAGACATTAAAGTTAATACTTTAAGACAATTAGTTAAGTAAAAAATGATTAGCACTGAAAAAATATATGAAGTAAGAATTTAAATTATTCTAAAATAATAAGTAAGTATTTTATTTATGATTAAAAATAGAAGCAATCAGTGCATTACTACAATAAAAAACTTAAAGCAAAATCATTTGCTGGCTGGTTTTATTTCTTTAAAAAAAATAAAGAATTACTGGCACGAAAACGCTAAAGAGTAAATATTCATGAGATATTTTCTAATTATAATTCTAGAGATTGTTCTCCTATTCGCTCATTAAGTAAGAACAAGTAATCTGAACCAAATATTTTCTATGATGAGATTCTTTAAAATAGTAGTGCAGAGAAAAAGAATAGCATACAAAGCAATCTTAATAAACCTCGTTTTTGCAAAGTATGCAAAGTACTAGATAAAAAGACTCAAGAAAAATATAAATGTTAAGGGGACTCTTCTTGTAAGAATAATTAAAAAAGTAAAGAAAATATACTGAATTAAAGCAATAATAACAGTGCTTCAAAATTAAAATAAAAGCTGTTACAATCTCTAAATATTTAACAAAACCCAAGTAAAATATAAGATAATAATAATGTACAAAGTCAACCTGATGTTACTTAAAAACTAACAGTTAAGAAAGAAAAAAATCCTTCAGTAAGTCCAGTTAATAGGTCTGGATTAAATAGCAGAAAACCTTCAATTAAAGTCAATATATATAATGAGCCACAGTTCTTTGAAAATTAAGAAATCTAAAATAATAAATAAAAAATGCAGTAAGAGAACGACTATCAATCTCCACAACGTAAACTACAAGAAGTTATAGCAAATGCAAAAAATAAAATCATATAATTTTAAAATTCTGGCAATCCATATTAAGAATAAAAGTAAAATGGCTATCTTTTAAGAGAATAAAATGACGAAATTAATCAGAATCCTTACTTTTACAACTAGCAAAATGAATTATTCACACCTTAATCATAGACCATAAGTAAACTAACTATAGAGCATACCATTACAAATAACTAAAGTAGTGATAATATGTTTGCAACTACACTTAAAAAGAGAAAAAATATTGATGAAAACGAATACCGTAGTACTGGAAAAATCAATGTAGGGTCAATAATTTCTTAGTAAAATAGTAGAAATAGAAATTTAGAATTAGGAGAAAACAACTCCTCAGTTTTAAAAGATAGCTCAAGTGTATTTTAAAATTAGATGAATGTGCAAAAAAATATAGGTTAGTAAAATATATAAGACTATTACAATTAATTTAGAACAAACAATATTCAAGCTTACAATTCAAACCAATAATATAATTAATCTCCTAAATTTAACACTTTTAGTGATAATAAAGTAAATTTTGGATAAATGAATAAATATGATTATGATGAATAAGAAAATTAAGGTTATGATATTAGTGATCATAAGATAAATTCAAAATAAGCAAAGTAATATCATGAGAATACAACTGATAAAAAGGATAAAAAATAGCAATAAAATACCTCTTAAGGATTTACTACTTTTAAATAACGTTCTAATAGTATTAGTTAATACTGCAAAAATAAACCATCTAGCTCTAATGGAAGTTTATATTCATAAATAACTTCTAGAAAAAATTCTCTGTACTAAAATTAAAAGTAAAATAATAGTAGAAAACCTATCTAGACAGATGGATTTTAGTTTGTATCTCCAAACAACTAATGCAACGAAATGATATCAAATAAGAGCTTTTATTAAGAAACTAGGTCAAGTAGTATGAAAAAAAGAAATGATTCCTTAGGAAATGGATTATTAAATTATTTTAGTTAAACAAAAAGATCAAATTTAGAAAATAACTCAATAGTTTTTAGCATCTACCATCCCACTAACAGCAAAAATATCAGAAATTTATCAAAATCACCTCTTTAAAGCCGTCTATTAGAAGATGAGTAACTTTTAGAAGAATAGTAGAATGAATACAACCCAATTTCATTTGAGAACTCTTTGAGAAAAGACAACAATTTAAATCTTAGTTTCATTAATGGCAGTAACAATTTTAACAAGTCCGGATTTTTAGACAGTTCACTTCACAATAAAATTCTCACTCCCAAAGAGTAAGATAAAAATTTAAGGTTAATTGAAAAAAGAGCACAAGAAAGAAAAAAACGTTTGGAGGAGTTAAAAAAGAAGTAAAAAAAATTAAATTGAATGATTTGAAGTTATTTTTATTTAATTTATTTAGATAACAAGAATGGAAAAAGTAGAAAGAGAATGAAGAAAGATAAAATGAAGAGAAAAAATTGGAAAAGGAAAGAGACTAATACAAAAAAGAATACTTAGAGTATTAGGCTATAAAAAAAATATAGAAAAAGAATAAAAAAACTCCAGAAGAGTTGAAAGAAATAGAACAAAAAAATAATGAAAAAGCTGAAAAGTTTTTTGAAAAAAGAATTTAAGTAAAATTTTATCATTTTAACTAAAATCACAAAAATAAATCATAAATAAAAATAGAAAATATCCTTCTAAATACTCTAAGAAAATTAAGAATGCCATGGGAAATTAGACACAGCTATAGACTTTTATCTCAAAAGCTTTACTAAGAGGATCTTCAAAGCTCTAGTGAACTAAACAATAAATGAAAAGGATAGACAAAGGATAAAGGAATAGCAATAGCTTGAGAAAGCTATTACTTTTTACAATTACTAGTAAAAGAGGTACTTTATTTATTTATATTTTATTTAACTTTTAATTACCACAATTTAATTTTATGAATACTACAACAAATCTAGAACTAATAACAAATTTAATTCATTAAAAAGGCAATATACCAAACCAAACATATATTTTTAAAAATTTATTTTATTAAATATAAAATAGAAAATGCCTCGGGTAAATTAAAATATTCACCTATGAAAGCTTAGTCCAAAAAGAGAATTTCGAAAAGTAGAGAGAGGAAATTATAATGAGGACTGCCTTCTAAAAGCTATTCTAAAAATTACCTATTAAGAAAAAGACAGAGATAGATGTTGATAAAGTCATTAAACAATTCAGAAAGGTTAGTTATTAACTTTATATTAATTTAACAATTTTTCTTTAAACAATGATATTAATTTATAATGTGTGTTAATAAAGCATAAACTGCTTATTGAAAAAATTAACAAAAGTATTGTTTGAGTGGCTATTTATTGCACAAAGAGAGTTCTAATCAATAAATTTTGTTTTTAAAAGTCGTAATTAAGACAAACAAATGACAATTATTAATTTTTTTATAAAAGAAAAAATGTATATCTTGAATAAATTTCGTACTAATTAATAAATGACACAATTATAAATGCGTAAATAGCTAAATTCAAATAAATTTAACGGATTATTATCATTGTTAGCGAATTACGCAAAATGAATGATTCATGACGATATCATTTTGACTTTCAATATTCTTTACAAAATTATAAACATGAAAACAAATTATTTATTATCTTGCCACATTTTAAATATTATGTTAAATTTTAAAGGTTGTTTTACTGGAAAGGTGCTTCAGAGGATGGAAAAATTTTTGCTAGTGAACTTAACTTGATAAATAGATTTAGTTGGGTTATCAAATGTAATAAATAAGAAAACTAATTGTTGTAAATAAAATTGTCTTTTAGAAGTTTAATAATAATTTCTTTTCCATTGTGAACTATTATAATTTATAAGATTAGAAAGTAGAGGATTTAAAATTGTTTAGTCAGAATTAGATAATTTATAAAATATTAGCATATTAAAATTGTTTGTATATATTATATAAAACCAATCAATCTATTTTGTACATAAATATTGCTTGCACTATTAACTACATATAAAATTTAATTTTTGATGCAATAAATGTTAATTTATTTTTATCTTCTTTAAGTAAAGATTCTATTTGTACAATTTTTAATAAGATTTATCCTACTTTCCTTTTATATTCACGAATTTTATGAGAAGTGAAATTTCTTTTAGTTTGCAGACAATTCATTCAAATAAATAATCTCTTAGCTAAAAAATTAAAATAGTAAAAGAATAAACTTTATCATGCGAGAAAATTGTATGATATCAATTATTACAAAGTAGAATAAACTAACAAATTTTTTCCCTCTTTACTTGTATTCTCTTTATAATTTTGAAATTATACAAATGAAAAATTTATTTATTGATTGATTGATACAAAAAAAGTTTTCTAGGTTTTTCTTTTTTTAAAATTATACTCAATCTTCTGTTTTACCATGAAGTCCTTTCTTCAAGGAAAATCTTTTCAGATGTGATTCATAATAATAAAATTTTATGATAATTGAATATCTAGGAAGAGAGAAGATAAGTGTGACAATTAACAATATTAATATTTATTTTTTTAAAATATGCACGCAATAAAAATTCTGTAAAATGCTGGCAGATTGCCAATTTTATAAAGATCGATTTTGACAGGAAGAAATCTATAAATTGGAGCAATCAAAAAATTTAGATAATTTAATTTAGTTTAATAAAACAAATATTTTTTCAGTTTAAACAACCAAGAGAATAACAGCAACAATAAATAATACTAAGAAATGGCTGACCAAAAACCCGAAGTTAAAAACGTCGAATAAGAAATCGAAACTGGCGAAAGCAAGCAAAGAGAAGGTGAATCAAAGAACGCCTACAAGGCCAGACTAAAATAAGAAAAGTTAGAAAAGGAAAAGGCTGAAAAGGCTGCTAAGAAGGCTGCTGAAGAAGCTGCTAAGGGTGAAAAGGCTGCTACTAAGAAGGTCGATGAAGAAGAATTAGACCCTACTGCTTACTATGAAAATAGATGCAAGGCTGTCTAAGATTTAATGACCACTGGTAAGCCTTATCCTTATCCTCACAAGTTCGATGTTTCTCACAGCATCTCTCAATTTATTGAAGAATTCGACCCCAAGCTCACTGAAAACGGATAAACTATTGACACCATCGTCACTATTGGTGCTAGAATTACCAGTTTCCGTGCTTCTGGTAAGGCTCTCATCTTCTACCAAGTCTAACAAGAAGGCAAGAAGCTCTAGGTACTTATTTACTTAAATTTCATCTAACAAATTCATTTAAACAGGGTTTAGCTCAATAAAAAATTAGCAAACCCATTTTCAAAAGATACAATTAAAATCTTCTTTTTATTAAATTTAACTTGTAAAATTTAAAAAATACGCCAAGATTTTTCTTTCAAACAAAACTTTAAGTTTTTTTTAAAAAATCAAAAATAAAACGAAATGGCTTTAAATAATAGTAAATATGTCATTTTAATTTTCCATTTTATGTTAATAGGTCTTAGCCAACAAGAGCGTTTACACTGATGCTGAATACTCTTTTGAAGAAATCAACTCTCTTTTCAAGAGAGGTGATATCATTGGTATTACTGGTAAGCCCACTAGAAGTAAAACTGGTGAATTGTCTATTGCTCCCACCAAGCTCTAACTCCTCTCACCTTGCTTACATATGTTACCCAGCTTACATACTGGTTTGAAGGATATGGAAACTAGATACAGAAAGAGATATTTGGATTTAATTATGAACAACAGTAGCAGAAACAACTTCATTACTAGAACCAAGATCATCAGCTACATTAGAAGATACTTAGATGACAGAAATTTCCTTGAAGTCGAAACTCCCTAAATGAACATGATTCCTGGTGGTGCCGCTGGTAATTATTATTAATTTATTTTTACTAAAACACAAATATAAAAGCATAGCAAAACAAACTAATAACACTCTTTTGTTTCATTCTTAGCAATGTTAATAGAGCAATTTTTAAAAAAATAAGCAATAAATATATAAAAAAATACAAGCAATCAAAATAATTCAAGCAATAAAATCAATCAATCTATTAATCTAGCATTATAAAATTATTTAGTTCTACAGCCTAATTAATATTTGATTTATATTTCTATTTAATTAATTATACTTTTAAATTATTAGCCCGTCCTTTCGTTACCCATCACAATGATTTGAATATGGATATCTTCATGAGAATTGCTCCCGAATTATACTTAAAGAATTTAGTTGTTGGTGGTTTTGAAAGAGTTTACGAAATTGGTAAATAATTCAGAAACGAAGGTATTGACAGAACTCACAACCCTGAATTCACCTCCATTGAACTTTATCAAGCTTATGCTGATTACGAAGATATGATGAAACTTACTGAAGACTTATTGTCTTCTCTTGTTATGAAGCTTACTGGTTCTTACAAGATTAAGTTCCACCCTGAAGGAAAGGAAAATCCCGATAACTCCTACGAAATCGATTTCACTCCTCCCTTCAAGAGAGTTCCTATGATGGAAACCCTCAGTGAAAAACTCGGAGGTGTTAAAATGCCCGAAAACTATGATACTGAAGAAGCCAGAGAATTCTTCGACAAGTTATGTGTTCAACACAATGTCGCTTGCTCTGCTCCCAGATCTACTACCCGTTTGATTGACAAGCTCGTTGGTCACTTCATTGAAGTTGACTGCAAGAATCCTACTTTTTTGATGGAACACCCTCAAATTATGTCTCCTCTTGCTAAGTATCACAGATCCAAGCCTAACGTCACTGAAAGATTCGAACTTTTCGTTAACTACTACGAACTTTGCAATGCTTTCACTGAACTTAACGATCCCTTCAAACAAAGAAAGATCTTCGTTCAACAAATTGAAGAAAAGAACAAGGGTGATGTTGAAGCTATGGGTTACGATAAAGATTTCTGTGATTGCTTAGAACATGCTTTACCTCCTACTGGTGGTTGGGGTTTAGGTATCGATCGTCTTGTTATGCTTCTTACTGATAACATCTACATCCAAGAAGTTCTCCTCTTCCCTGCCATGAAGCCTATCCTTGAAAACAAGAAAGAAGAAGAAGAAATTAAGGATAAAACTGAGTGATTTTAATAAATAAAAACATGAAGTTAGCGCTACTAAGCCATAATTATATTGTATATTAAAATATTAAAATAAATAAATCTTTTTTAGTTGTTACTTATTGTCTACCTTAATAGTTAAATGCGCTAAAATAAATACTTATAAAGTATAAATTAAAATAAATTTAATTATTTATGTTTCATCAATCAATAAACTTATGTAAACAAAATTTTTTATAAAAATAACAAATTTTATTTTTTTAAAAAACAGTTTAAAATAAATACATTTTTTTTTTTAATTTAAGTGTAATAATAAAAAATTAAATTATAAATTTTGTTTCAAGAAACATTATTTTATTTACTAAAAAAAGCAATTTTATGAAAAAAAAATAATTTTATTACCATCAATCAGAGAATATACAATCGAAACATTTTAGGGCCAATAGGTAAAAAAAAACCTATTAGCTTAAAATCATAAAAATTAAATGAAATTTTACCATCTGTACCTACACAGTTGGTGATATTTTAATAACAGGATTAGCAATATAAAAACAATAATAAAATCTATGTATCTATGCGTCAATAAAACTTTTTCAAAATATTAAATAATAAAACAAATAATATTCAATTATTCAAGCATTTAATATTTATTCATCCTTTTTTTGCCACTTGTTTATCACAAGATGAAATCATTTTCAAAGACAACTAATCTTTTTGATTTAAGACACTTGATTTTTACTTTGAGTTTTTATTTTTCATTAATTTCGTTATTACTTTAGTAGTAAATTTGTGTAAATTAAAAAAAAAATATTAAATAAAATAAACTTTTAAATTAAAAATTGTTTCTTAAATTAATAAATAAATAACATTAGTGGAATAAAAAAGATTAAAAAAATAAATCAAAAAAGCTATAAAATAAATTCAAGGAACTTTTTTGTTTAATATTCATTTTTATATTTAAAAATATCACAATCCAAAACAAATAAACTGTTTTTACCCAAGGTGAAGTGTCAAATTTGAGAGATTAATGCAATTTGCTAAAGCAGAACCTAAGTCTAATGCACTAATTCCACAAATTTAATTCCTACTTTTTAAATATTGAAGAAGAAACATATAATTAAATAGTTAATTAGAAGGAAAAAATTAAGAAAAAATATGAAATAATAAGATTAATTAATTAATAATAAAAGCAAAATTAGAAAATAAAATGATGAGTTAAATTAACAAAGAAAAAAAGAACAAAATTAAGCAAGCACAATAAAAAGAAAAAGAAAAAAGAGCTTTATTGTTTTTAATTAGTTTTTATCATTAAATATATCTCAACCCTAAATAAATAAACTGTTTTTACTAAAGGTTAAGTGTCAAATTTGAGAGATTAATGCACTTTGTTAAAGCAGGACCTAAGCCTAATACACCAATTGCACCAATTTAATTCCTACTTTAAATATTGAAGAAAAAATATATCATTAAATAGTTAATTAGAAGGAAAAAATGAAGAAAAAATATCAAATAATAAGATTAATTAATAATAAAAACAAAAGTTGAAAATAAAATGATGAGTTAAATAAACAAAGAAAGAACAAATTAAGCAAGCAAGCACAATAAAAACAAAAAGAAAAAAGAGCTTTATTGTTTTATATTAGTTTTTATAATTAAAAATATCACAATCCTAAATAAATAAACTGTTTTTACTGAAGGTCAAGTGTCAAATTTGAGAGATTAATGCACTTCGTTAAAGCACAACCTAAGTTTGATGCACCTTCATCACCAATTTAAAAAAGAAAAACTTTCCAAAAACTTTAATTAAGATTTGAAAAAAAGAAAGCTAAAAAGTAAAACAGAGAAGTACAAATTAATTAAAAATAGAGGAAAAACAAGATTATACAAAACAAGCAAAATATCGAAAATGTCTTAAAAAAGAGGAAGCTACAAAAAGAAAGATACTTAAGCTAAGAATGGTTCCCTAACAATGAAACTCATAATATTCAAGAATTCTATATTAATACAGAAATAAATATATATAAAAAAAAGTATTAAATTAACATAAAATATAATACCTAAGATATATTCTGAGTGCATTTATATGTGCGAGTATTTCCATTCCATTCCATCACCAATTTAATTACCTCTTTTTAAATATTGAAGAAAAAACAAAAAATTAAATAGTTAATTAGAAGGAAAAAATGAAGAAAAAATATGAAAAAATAAGATTAATTAATTAATAAAAGCAAAAGTCGAAAATAAAATGATAAGTTAAATTAACAAAGAAAGAACAAAATAAAGCAAGGACTATAAAATAAAAAGAAAAATGTGCTTTATTGTTTTAAATTAGTTTTTATAATTAAAAATATCACAATCAAAAGCAAATAAACTGTTTTTACCTAAGGTAAAGTGTCAAATTTGAGAGATTAATGCACTTTGCTAAAGCAGAACCTAAGCCTGATGCACCTCCCTCACCAATTTAATTGTAACTTTTTAAATATTGAAGAAAAAATATATAATTAAATAGTTAATTAGAAGGAAAAAATGAAGAAAAATTATGAAATAATAAGATAAAGCAAAAGTAGAAAATAAAATGATGAGTTCAATTAACAAAGAAAGAACAATATAAAGCAAGCAAAATAAAAAAAAAAAAGTAAAAAGAGCTTTATTGTTTTTAATTAGTTTTTATAATTAAATATATCACAATCCAAAACAAATAAACTTTTTTACCCAAGGTCAAGTGTCAAATTTGAGAGATTAATGCACTTTGCTAAAGTAAAACCTAAGCCTGATGCACCAATTGCACCAATTTAATTTCCACTTTTTAAATATTGAAGAAAAAATATATCATTAAATAGTTAATTAAGAAAAAATATGAAATAATAAGATTAAATAATAATAAAAGCAAAAGTTGAAAATAAAATTCTGAGTTAAATTAACAAAGAAAGAAAAAACAAAAAAAAGCAAGCACAATAAATAAAAAGAAAAAAGAGCTTAATTGTTTTTAATTAGTTTTTATAATTAAAAATATCACAATCCTAAATAAATAAACTGTTTTTACCAAAGTTAAAGTGTCAAATTTGAGAGATTAATGCACTTCGTTAAAGCACAACCTAATCCTTATGCACCTTCATCACCAATTTAATTGTCACTTTTTAAATATTGAAGAAAAAATAAAAAATTAAATAGTTAATTAGAAGGAAAAAATGAAAAAAAAATATGAAATAATAAGATTAATTAATTAATAATAAAAGCAAAAGTGGTAAATAAATTAATGAGTTTAATTATTAACAAAGAAAAAAACAAAAAAATAGAAAGCACAATAAAAATAAAAAGAAATATGAACTTTATTGTTTTAAATTAGTTTTTATAATTAAAAATATCACAATCCAAAACAAATAAACTGTTTTTACTAAAGTTTAAGCTTCAAATTTGAGAGATTAATGCACTTTGCTAAAGCAGAGCCTAAGCCTGATGCTCCTTCGTCACCAATTTAATTGTAACTTTTTAAATATTGAAGAAAAAATAAATAATTAAATTGTAAATTAAAAGGGAAAAATGAAGAAAAAATATGAAATAAAAAGATAAATTAATTAATAATAAAAGCAAAAGTTGAAAATTAAAATGATGAGTTAAATTAACAAAGAATGAACAAACAAAAGCAAGCAAAATAACAAGAAAAGGAAAATAAATCAAATAAATTAAAAAAGCTTTAATGTTTTAAATGAATTTTTATAATTAAATTTATTACAATCCAAAACAAATAAACTGTTTTTATCAAGTATAAATGTTAACAGCGAAAAATAAAAAAAAAATAACAAATTATAAAAATAAATAATAAATAATTTAAATTTAAATTTAAAATGAAAATAATTTAAAGTAGCTAAAAAATTTTTGTTTTAATAAAAATCAATGAATAATGATGATAATTTCTATAAGAAAAATTATTTTTTTAAATAAATTGAAAGTTAAATAAATAGAAAATAATACTAAAAAAAAAAGTTTTAAATTAAATATACCTCAGATCAATAAGGAGAACCTAATGAGATAAAAGTGAAGAGCTTAAAAACTTTTTGTACTAATATTTATAAATTTAAAGGATATTAATAAATAAATAAATAATTACTTCTTCTAATTTGTAATATTATTTAATCTATTATATCATTTATTTTATTTTTTTTAAATATTGAATAGAAATTTATGGAATTTAATTAATTATAAATGGATAAAAAGAACAATTAAAATATAATAATTAATTATCAAATATTAATTTATGAATTTGCTTTTATGAAGAGATATCACAGAAAAATTAATTAAAAATTGATTATTTAATTTTAATATTTGTATTTAAAATAAACGCTTAAAAATATAGTAGGAATTAGAGATGGGCAGTTAGTCATATTTTAAAAAATTATTTTAATAAATTAATGTTCATATTTAAAAAAATAAATAATATCCTAAAATAAAAGTTATTGATGAAATTTGATAGTTTAAAGTTTATTTATCCAAAATGAATTAACAAATTTTGAAATTAGCATTATTAATGAATTTAGATTATTAAAAATTTTTACTGTTTAAAAAATAACATTTTTATTGATTATTATAAAAATATAACACAAAATATGAAATTTTATAAAAGATAACTTTAACTTTTTTTATGTCTTTGCCTCAATTATTTTATTTTTAATTTTCAGTTTTACTTGGATGGATCAGTAACCTTACCCATAAATAAAACTGTTTCACTCGGAATATGAGTTATAGCATATATAAATGGTTTGTTAAATATCACAGAAATTTCAGATTCTTCACATTCTATGAATGTAATTGCTGTAGCTGCAGCAGCTTCAGCCCCTTCTTCATTAACTTCAATCATAGATTTATGAAAAACATTTGATATTTATATATTTTTATTTGGATCCATGATTGAAAAGTCAGCATTACAAGAAAAGGCTTCAATAAGACCCAATTCGTTTAAGATTTAGTTTAAACTCATTGTATTTACAGGCTATAATTTAAATTTAGGTAAATATAGTGTTAAGTTTCTATTATATTTATTTTTTCTTGCACTCTAAAATGTATCTTCAGAGAGACTCTATTCAAATAAATTTAGTGATTCTTTTGGTAGCATCAATTCCATAAAATACTCTCCTCCTTTATAAGGAATTTATACATATTGATAGCTACTATTTTAGAAATAGTAGTATTCATCTTCTTTAACCATTGTATCAGTTTATATTTTTTAACCAAAATTTTCATATTCTAAATAGAATTCTTTTTATTCAGTCAACTTAAAATCAAATTTTTTTAACCAATTACCTTTAAAATAAATAGCATTAACTAATACCATGGCTGTAGATTGATTTAAACAATTTGGGGGAAGTAAATCTTTAATTTTTTCTTTAGTAACTTCTTCTACCCATTTATTAATTTCAACCCGAATTTACTCACAATCAGAAGCAAAGTTAACTTTTTGTATCATAGAATCAAAATGCTTCATCATAATTTTATAATATTCGATACCTAATTAAGGTATTCCTTAGTATATTTTGTTAGCGATTTGAGTAGTTATCCCTTATTAGTTTTACTATAGAATTTTCAATAACAATCCTATATTTTCAGCTAGCTAACTTTAATTACTAAACCCAAGAATATCCTTGAATTCTAATAATGTTTAATTGTTTGAGCCAAGAGCAGCCATTGAAAGAGCAATATAAATAGATGCAGGAGAGAAAATTAAATTTTGGCTTTTAGCTAATTTTTTGTAAAGATTGAATGTAAATTTAGAAAAATTTTATCCAAGCTAATCATTTAAAGCTTTGCATTGTTATTTATTTAAAATCTGTGATTCACTTTATTTATTTCCCATTTTTCTTTTCAAATTCAAATTAATTTTAGTAATAAATAATAATTTAATTAATTTAATCTGTTTTGTTTTTTAAAAAATATAAATTATTTTGAAGTAAATTTTGTGTGTCTCCTTCAAATTGATATAGCCTAATTAAAGTTTTGTTATAGTATCCAAAAAGAAAATTTATTATAGAAAAAAAATATTAAGTTTAAATATACTAACCATATAAATTAAATTGATTGATCAAAGAATTAAAATAGAAGGTTGTAATTAAAAAATAAGGAAGATTTTAGTTATAATCTATTGTTTAGATGCAGAATATAAGTAAATATTTAGTAAAATAAATAGAAATTAATTCATAAATAAATTATTAAAATTATTTAAAGTTAGGATTTTATTTCAACTTAATTTTGAAGGGTCTGTTACTTTCCCTAAAAATAAAATAGTCTAGCTGGGTATATGTGTGATAGAGTAAATAAATGGTTTATTACACAACATTTAAATATCTTTTTAAATTGATAATTGCATTACTACAGCTGTTGATGCAGCTGCTTCTGCTCCATCTTCATTAACTTCTATAACAGATTTATGATAAACATTAGATAAAACCACTTTTTTGGTTGGATCCATAAAGGAAAAATCAGCATTGTTTGAAAAAGCAGTTGTGATTCCTAATTACTTTAGAATATATTGTAAGTCTATTACAGATTCAGGTTATATTTTGAATTTAGGTAAGTACAACTTTAATTTTTTATTAAATTTATTCACCCTCGCTTTTTAAAATACTTAGTCAGAAAGTGTTTACTCAAACTATTGAATTGAAGATCTTGGCAAAAGTATTTCCATTGAATATTATCCACCTTTATAAGGAATTTAAATATATTAAAAGTTTCCATCTTCATAATAATCAAAATATTCTTATATAGACATGATATCTGTCTTGATTTTTTATCCAGCATTTTCATATTCTAAGAAAAAGTCTAATTTTTATGTCTTTTTTTTATCAAATTTTTTAAACCAATCTCCTTTAAAATAGATAGCATTCACCAATACCATAGCTGTTGATTAATTTAAGCTACCTGGAGGGAGTAAATTTTTAATTTTTTACTAGGTAACGAGTTAAACCCATTCATTTATTTAGGTTCTGATTTGCTCAAAATACTAAATAAAATTTACTTTTTCAATAGTTGCGCCTAAATTTTAAGATACAATCAGCTAATAATCTGCACCTAATTCAGGTAATCCTGAGTACACCTTATTTGCAATATGTGCTTTAAGATTATTTTCATCTTTTTATAGTATTTTTAAAATGCTTGCTGTGGCTTTAGAAAGTTAATTGATATCATTAAAATCAAGTAAATTTTTAAACTCCTATAATGTTTGCTCTTTAGATCCTATAGCAACCATAGCAAGTGCCAGATATATAGATGCAGGAGAAAATACTAAATTTTAAGAATTAGCAAGCTTTTAATATAGGCTGAAAGCTAATTTGAAAGTTTGTTGACCTTGAGCTTGTTAAGTCTATTAAATATTATTAAATATTTGCTTCGATATTATTTCCATTTTTCTTAGATTTACTAAATTAAGCTTTATTTATTATTAATTTAATTATAAGTCTAAATAAGTATTTATCTATTTAAATAAAATAACAAACATTAAAAAAATTATCACCTTCAAATTTGTCAAAAAATATCAGACAAATAGAATATTAAATATTTATAAAGCCAAATTTTTCTGAAAGTCTTTCCTGTTAAGACATATTAATTAACTACTAATTAATTTGCCTCTATAACTCTTGCATCAGCTGATCAGATTAAATAAAAATAATATCTGATCAGATAATAATTTTTAACTAATTTTTCAATTAAATATATTTGAATATTTTTAATATTTTTTTCATATAGACACATCCTTAAGTTAAGTTTTTTTCTATTATATAAAAGTAAGTTTTATTTAAAAATCGTAAATATCATTGAAAAATGTTTAATATAAATTAAACTTTAAAAAGTAATTTGTATATTAGAATAAAACAATAAATAAGAAAAAAAAAAAAAATTAATTTTTATTGATTTTTAAAATTATGATAAGATAAGAAAAAATAAATATTACTAAGCTAAAAATTTAACAAATACTTCTTTCTGATTTTAATATATATTTTCGAATTTTATCCTTGATCAAAAAAGGTAAAATGCCTTTTGAAATAAATGTATTTATTTTGACTTCTTTAGGTATAATTGACCAAATTTACGAAATTTTTTACTTACTTAATTGCTTTTTTAATTCCTTACTATTTATAAAAATTATTTAGCTTTGATATAATACAAAAATAGTATTTTAAATTAAATTTATATTAATATAATTTTTCTACAGTAGATACAAAAAGAATATATTTATTAGGGTTGAGCTGTTAGAAAAGTTTATAAATATTTTTTTAGTTTCATTATATTTTATTTGCTTTCTTTTCATTCATAATAATTGGACAGAATTAGTAGTGAAGAATCTATAGAATTTATTATTGATTTTCATTATGATTATTTTTATTAAGCTCTTCTGTGAATTTTTATAATAATTAGAATGATCACGAGTGTTATGAATCTACTCTTTGGTCTTTAAAATTTTATAATAAATAAATAAAGTACTTTGTTAAGTAAAATAGCTATAATCTTTTAAAATTTGATTGAATTAAGTTGATGATATTCTTTTTAAATAGAAATTTAGTAAACTGAATTTTATTTATTTATTTTTACTAAATTTCAATACAATTTAGAAACTTACTTTAAATGTTTTTATTTAAAAAAAAAACTAAATATTAAGGAATTAAATCATGTATAAGCAAGCACAATATATATCGTAAAATATTTAGTAGTTAATATTATAAAAAATAAATATCTCTTAATTAATATAATTATAAAAAATAAATATTTTTTTAAAGAGTATGTTTTTTATCATGAATTTATTGGCTTATTAGCTTAAAAAACTAAGACAAGATTTTTATTTTAATATTTTATCTCACACTCTATTTTTATTTATGAAAACTTATTAATAACTCTAAATTAGAGTATTAGTAAACTGTATTTAATTATTGCATTGCGATTGGTTTATATTTTATAAAAAACCTCAATAAATAAACCACTAATTATACAAAAAGAAGCAAAAATTAAATACTAATTATATATATACTAATTTAACAAAAATTCTAAGAATTAAATTATAAAGGAAGTAGATGATTCGTAAAAATAATACATAGATAGATTCATCTAAAGGGAGCGATTATTTTTTAAATAACAATAGCACTTTTATTACAAACTCCAATGGATCTATCAAGGCTCAAAAAAATATATTTTTATCTTAAAATAAAAACTTAAAGTAGATAGAAAATCATTAATAAAGATCATTACAGAATCATGGGTTAAAAGTAAGGATTTAGACAACAGACATGAATACTAAAAACAAAATTAAGATAGGTAATCGTGATATTATCGATTTTGCGATGAAAATATATTTGAATCTAAATTTTAAAATAATATTCTTAGGTAATAATTTTTTATCTACGAGAGAAAGCAAAAAGGACTATTCACCATCTAATAAATTGAACGTTTAAATGAAGTAAATATAAAAACATAGCGAACAAATAAAATTGATTTTTTTATTTTTGATGTAAAAGATAGAAGAAATTGCCTTATTTGCTTAAATAAAATTACAACAGTAAAAATAAAAAAGATCAAGCTAATTTACATGTTTAAATTAATAGTAATTTTTTTATTTTGCATTTATCTATTTTATTTACTTTGAAGATTAACATAAATTGTTCTTATTTGATTAAAATATTTGCAAAACTTAATTATCTATTAGATTAACTATCTTAGAGTAATGGAAGAATTACTCATAGATTTTCAGGATTGAAATAAAGCAATTCTGAAAAAACTATTAAGAAACCAGATAATTATGAATAGTCCTAAGTTTTTTTCAAGAGTAGGAGAATGGCAACTATTCAGCAAAAGAGAGAATAGAAAATATATTATTTAAAGGATACTTTTTAAAAGATGCAAGAATTATATGATGCTGAAAAATATAGAAAATAAAATACAAATACAGTGTTAAAGGATGAGCTAATATAAACTGCTACTAGAATTTTAGATTCATAAAGTAGTGGGTCAAGTGATTAATTGAGCTAGTATGAGCAAAAGCATAGACAAAAGCAAGCAACAACCGACTAAGAAATAGTTGAACCTTAGTCATCTGTGTTCTTTAAGCACTTGAGAAATGGAAATTTGTAAGCTGTGCTACAATAATAGCACTAATAGAATAATAAATAAAAAATGAAATATAAAAAAGTTAATCTTAATCAATTAAGAGTTTAATATAGCCCTTTGACCTAGAAAGATCACCCACTTCCTATTGAATTGCATACTTTCGATGAAATATAAAATACTTTATCAGGAAAGAGTAAAAAATTTTTAATAAATAACTATAAATCAGAAAAGCTAGGTTTACAAATGAAAGTAAACACTCAGGCAGATAATTTTATGGATTAAATTAGTTAAGCTTACAGCAAATACTACAAGCAAAAAGAATTAGATTAGAGCTCTTATTCCAAAGAAGCTGAAAGTACTATGACAAAAATTTCAACCATGAATAAAATAGGTACTTTAAATTAATTAAATGATAACTACATGGATTAAGATTAGGAAAGGAAAAAAAAAAAGTTAGGAGGAAATTATAACAACTTTCATTATAAAAGAAATTAGATAACAATATCTGATATAAGTGAAATAGATGATATTCATATTTAAGATATTCCAATTGTTGAATCAAAAGCTAATTTAGTCTCTAACCAAAACAAAAAATAGAAAAATAAAAAGGAAGAGAACAAGCTGCTAAAATTAATAAATATTTACTAAAAAAGAGAAACAGAAGGAGAGAAATAACCTGAAGTATAGCAATTTATAAATCTAAAAAGAAACAAACTTGAAGGTACTTGGCCACACAAAGAATAGAATTAAGGAGATAATTCATTTCATTCATTCACAGAGGCATAACTAGATACATATTACAATCACAGCCAATCTATATAAAAGAATATAATAGATGATCCAAATATTCAGAAATCAATCAAGAATTTGCTCAAGCTAGAATATTTTTTTAAGTAAATTTTATATATAAATTTGAATTTAATTTTAATTTGAAGCAAATTGATTTTTCTTATAGCACAAATTTTAAACAAAGTCCATTAAAATTATTTAAATCACTTAAAAAATAAAGAATTGGAGCTTAATTTAATTTAAAGATTAAAGTATCAATAAAATAAATTAAATTAAACAAATCAGTTTTATTTATTTTAATTTTTTTTAATAGTTTTTTTAAAATAAATTATCAAGCAAAACAAATAAACTTGCAAAAAATAAGATAGGAACATCTAGAAGGTGAAATAAAAATCAAATAAAAACTATTAATTTACTCTACTGATATAATAAATTTTATATATTTATTTTTATGTTTCTACTAATCGTTTATTGATTTATTTACAATTTAGTATTATTTATTTAGTATAAATTTTTAAAGATAAATAATTAAATACTTATTTTTGATATTTTATGTTTAAGTTATCAATTTGCCTCGTTTTTAAATTCTTATTCAATATTAAATAAGAGTTAATAATAATTTTATTTATTTGTTTGTATTTTAGATTTTATTTTTTCCTTAATCCTCTCTGAAATTATTGTTGATTCGTAAGGACTAGGACTAATGATCGATGCATTCCAGCATATTTGCTGAATACCAGAGACAGCCTCATAGCAAGCTATAGTAAGTGAATCAATATTATAAAATAACCAATTAAAATAATTATCATAAAGCTATCCAATGGTATTAGTCTGACATTGAATTTAATTCAATTTTTCGATGTAATCTATTGTTAAGTAAGGGATGTCAGAGTTAACTAAGTGGGTGAAATTAGTTAAAATATCTTTTTATATCTATATTCTGGTATCTATTTATTAACTCTTTTATATACGATGCTAGTACCCTGATAATTATATAATATCACTTCTCATATCTTAACTGAAAGAAATGGTTATTTCTGCATTTTTAAACATCAATTTGTTATTGGCATTATCTCTGTGAATTTAATCATAACTGAGAAATTTGAATATCTTCTCTGAAAGTTCAAATATTTCCTCCTTTTGTGGATTTATTCCTTATCTATGTAATTCTCTAAATTCCCTAATGAGATTGCTACCTCTATTGTTACAAAGTTCATCTAAGATCTTTTCTGTATTAAGCTTTCTCTCATCTTAAATTTATATACTTTCTAAATAATTGGGCATACTTAAATCATTTATTTTCATTTTGAAAGCAGTCAATTCATCCTTTTAGATATCCATTTTTTAAAACTTTAATATTATTATTATCTATCTATTTATTTTTCAATGCAAAGAGAAATTATATCTAAAAACTAGAAAAAGTATGTTAAAAATCTTTAATCAATCTAAAGTTAAAAAATTCTTGAGTATACAAAATAATTAGAGATAGATCACCAATAAAAAATAATCTAAATATTATAAAAAAATATTTTAATTTGAAGATAAAAATATAAAAATACACTAACAGAATACTTAATTCAATATAAAATATGTCATTTAATGAAAAAGGAGCTAATTTAATAATTTACATATTTAAAATTTGCTTTTATTTTATTTAAAAATAAATTAAATATAAAATTTTTAATGATATATTTACTTAAATTATAATTATAAAGATTTTAATATAAATTTAATGTATATCATCATAAATTAAAATATTGCATACATTAATTGATTAATTAATTTATGTAATATTATTTATTATCAAGTAGGATAAAATTTTTGAAATAAAATAAATTGTAATTTCAAAGAAAAGCAAGAAAATAAAAGTTAATTAATTTATATAAAATAGATTTTATAATTTAAGTTAAAAAAATAAGCTAATCATAAATATATTAGCAACAAAAAGTTTGGTGCCTTGACTTACAACAATAAAAAAAGGATGAAAACTAAAAATCTATCAAATTTTTAATTTTAATTGTAGTAAGTTAAATAAAGGTTTTTATTTTAGTAAAAAGAATTAAATATGAATTATTAATATTAAAATAAAAAATTTAAAAACTGTAGATTAAATTAAAAAAAAATAAGAAAAATAAAATGAGGTAGTTTACATTATTATATACAAATTTATAAAATATTTTTTACAATTTAAATTATTATTTATTGGTTCAATTATTTTTTAATTAATTTTTTTTAATTTCAAATTAATGAGCATTATTTTATTTAATTATATCAAAGATTGGTTTATTCATTCTTTATTATTCATTCAAAAATGTTACTATTTCTGATAGTTAGTTCTTTGGAATTTTTTCTTTTTCTATTTGTTACTTTAAAAAAATTTTTTTTAACAAATTATTATATTAAATAATTAGCTTACTCCATTATTTTTATCTTTCCCAGTTGACCTAGGACCACTATTAGATGAGTTTCTTGATCTTTTTCTTGATTCTGCATTTCTTATTTTCCAATAATTAATTGAAGATGACGAGTTATTTACATCAAGCTCCTAAAATAAAAAAAATTATTTTTTTAATAATGATTTCAAAATTTATTTATTTATTTAATTACCTAATTGATCTTTTCCTATTTCAAAATAAAATTCTAGTGCTATTTATAAAGCTAGGTTATTTTTTCATGGGTTTTTTATCTTTAGTTTTTTTACTCATCAACTTAATTTTAATAATCTAAAAATATTTAGCTTGATGGATTTTAACTAAGAATTTTTTAACTGGATTTGCTATTCAATATCTTCTTTGATGTATTCGATTTCGATGTGTTAGCAGACATATTTTATGAGCTCATACATTTATCTGGAGTCAGTTTAGAATTTCTTTCATGTATCTTTTGATATCCTAAATGGTGATTTCTTCTGCTAAATTAGATTTAATTTTAACCAAATTACTCATATTAAATTGTATTAAACTAATTTTCATCATCTATTTGGTCATTTTTAAATTTGCTATATTAGTTTTAGTTGCTCTTTGTGCTAATTATTGGAGTGTTAAAATCCAATTGAATATTTATATTCTATTCTTGTAAAGCTAATAGTGTTTTCTTCTATTATGATTATTGATTTAACTGCTATTACTGTTATTTCTTCTAAAGCAATTCAATTAAATTAACTTTTTATTCTGGGATTTTATTTTCTTTGTCACTAACATCATTAAACAAAGACCTTTTAGTTGAAACTGAATTTACTTACTTAACATTTTTAGCACGATTTTATATTATTTACTTTGAAACAAATTATTCCAACGAATTTACTTCATCATTATGGCGATCTAGACTGCTTTATTAATCAATTTAATCATATTGCTTTTCATACTTTAATGAATTTTCTTAATTGAATTTTTATATATTGCTATGTTAATTTTACAGTGAACTATTATTTTTTGTGCTGTTGTTTGGAAAAGAAGCTGATGCATTTTACCATTCTTAAATAGACATTTCAAATAAGGGAGCTTAAGGCTAAATATTATATTAGTTTTTAAAGAAGTGAGCTTAATAATTTTCTTGGTTATGTTGATTTTAATTTAATTAGTATTAATTCTAAGCTAAGTATGCTTATTACTTTATATTTTAAAATTAGTCAAATTAAATTTTCTATTCGTTTTCTTTACTTGTTTTTTCTTAATTATTGATATAATGATTAGCTGAGTGTAATTACTCGAAATCGTATTAGCTTTATTAATGTTATTGTTGAGCTAGTTCATTTTACATTTATTAACTGTCAAGAGTTTCAAATTATTTGATGCTTGAAATCACATTGTTAGGATTTTCTTCGAGAATATGCATTATTTTAAGCAATTCCAAGTCTTTCTTTTATCTTTCGCCTTAGTTTGAAGAGTTAATATAACTTAATGTATTTATTTTTGTGTTACTTCTATTACTAGAGCTGCTGCACAAAGGTCCATTACTTATCATTTAGAAGTTTGATTCTTATCTTTTTATCGAGTTGTGATTACCTTGCAATTAGGATCTGTTTGTAGCTGAATTTAAAATAAATCTATTTGAAATTGAAGAGTAAAAACTTTCCTGCTGGTTTAGCTGCTGATCTTTGTTCATTTAGTTATTTTTATTAACTTATTACTCAAAGTAATCTGAAAATTATTGGTTGCTATTACTTATTTCTTAACTTTTCTAGAATTCTTATTTTATTTGAATATCGTTCATTTTAATTAAATTATTGCATACATATTTAGTGTTATTCTTAAAGAAATTGCCGTGCTCATTTTATCCTTCAGTTTTTAAGTTTTATTGATTGCTTTATTTACTTCCACTGAGGATGTAAAAATTAGAGTTAGTCTCTTCTTAAGCTTCATATGGCTCTTCTATCTAATTAAACATGCTTTAGTTATTATTAAATTGACTATTTTATTAAGCGTATCTTTTCAAACTATCTTGATTGTAATTGTTACTAGTATTATAGTTTAATAGACTTCTAGATATTTTATTATCATTTATACCTTTAGATTTTGAAGTTTGACCTAAAGTCTCTATTGATAATGCACTAAATTAGGATTCAGGCTATTCTAATGCAAGAGGCTAATCAACAGGCGTTAAGCTATCTTAATTAAAAATATCTCGATCTTGATCATCATTTTATAGATCATTTAACTCACAATTATTATCATAACTCTATAGATTTAGGCCTAAATATGATGCTATATGTTATTAAGATTGGCTTATATTTTAGTATTGTTATTAAGATAAAAATTTGGAAGAGGTATTCGAATTGGATGCTGTAGTGTAACTTGCAATTTTCCTTTGATTATTCTAAATATTTTAGATAGAGGAAATGTTGCTGATAGGTATTTGATTTAAAATAATATTAGTGCTATTATTTTACTGGTTAACACTGCCTACAAAAGAGTTTTCTTTGCTCTTTGACAATTTTTCAAATTTTATTTTCGTAAATATTTTAGCAACTTTTTCTTCTAAAACATTTATCTCACTTTAAATAGAGTAATCCATATTTCTTGAACGCTGCTTAAGATATTAAAGCTGCTAGCTGATCTCATCAAGACATTGGTTGTCTTTTCTAGATGTCTCTGTTAGGCATGTAGCTGTTCCAGATTCTTACTATTATTGGAAGTTATTTAAGTTATCTTCCTCAAATTCTATTTCTTATTCTTCATCATCTCCTTACTCAAAGTATTACTGTTTAAATGTATCTAAGTAAAAAGCCTATGATTATTGATTTTAATTAAATGTTTTATTGTTTTCTTCAGTTGTTTTGTTATGATTTAAGTTTTTGAGCTTTTAATCAGAAATTTTACCTTATAATTAATCATTCTTTTATTTAAGATTAGAATTGAAAATTTAACGATTTTAATTTTCATAATTAGAGACAATCTCAAATTAGCTTTAGTTTTACTAATTATCACTTTAAGTATTATCAAATTAGATAAATTTATTTTAATTTTACATTTTTTAATTCTCAAAAGATTAGTTAGTAGTTGAGTTAATAAATATTTAATTTGCTTGAGTGTTTTGAGTTTTTTTATTTTCATCTTTTTTTTATGATGAAAGGAGTTTTTGGTCTTAACAAGAGTCTTGTTATTTTCCCATTGAAGATTATTGTTGCTAGTTATTTTACTGTGCCTCTTTCATTTTTTTCATCATCTCTTTAATCTTTTCTTGTGATTCGTTAGTAAGTTTAGTATTTTATTAAAGGTTTAGTATTTTCATATCATAGTATTCTTTATCATCATTCTCGTTTTAATTTTTATTGAAATCTATTGAGTCATTTAACTTTAGGTCGTTCCTTTTGTATTTATTGTCACTATATTAATTTAATGATTTTTCTCTTTAGGATAACTAAGATGATTGCTTTCTTAGGATAACTTCTGATTATAATTAACAGTCAGATTCTATAATTTCCTTTTGTGTAGTTTATTAATTACAGTTGTTGAATTTCTGCTCTGAGCAAACTATTTCATGGTCAAATTATTATTCTTTTTGTTGGCTTAAATTAAAATCTGATTCAAATATATCCTGATTGCTCTGCTTTATTTATTCAATTAAAAATTTATTTCTCTAGTAAATAGTACTTTCTCTGAGATTATTATTTTCATTTCCTTCTATATTTTAAAATGTATTTTAAAAATTTGACGATTCTGTTTTTAAGCACCCAGTATTATGTTGTGTTTAGCTGGTTTTATGGCCATATTATAAGCTATCTCTTTGTTTAAAGTCGTTATTAGTGAAGTTATCAGTATTTTCTTTTAAATTTTGGATACTTATTTCATGTTTTTCTCCCATTTTTTTGTTTTAGATGATTTATTTTTATTGCTTTAAAAGTATTTGTTATTATTCTTCTTCTTGAATCAACTGGTTGATAGTTACGCTATTTTAATTATTCAGCTACATTTTAGAGTTGTTTAAAGAAACTTACTAATCTGATTCGTTGTTTATTTAAAAATTTTAATCACTCTAATTAGTTATAAAAGAGTTATTGTTAGATGATGATCTAAATTTCTTAATTCCTGTTATAGTTTTTCTAACTTCATGATTATTAGTCAAGCCACTAGCTCTGCATTCAGTTGAGCTGCTTCTATTTACTGGAGGAGCTTAGTTTACTAAAAGAGAGTTATCATTGCTTGGTTATTGTCTATCTCCAAACAGACACAATGCTGCATTTCTAGATAAGCATGACTAATTTGGAGTATTTATATTATTCTCAGACTGATCGTTTTATAATATATTTACTGATATTTATTTACTAGGAGAATAAATATAGCTAGCGTTAATTGAAGATAAAGCTCCTTATTACTGTTTTTTAGATGTGTATTGAATATGACTTTCATTTAAAACCTTTTAATTGATTACTTTACTGCTATTTTCTCTTTTAAGGAGAGCTTTACTACTAAACGAAGGAGGAAGACATTCAGTTTTACCTGCACCTGATTACTATATATTTGAGTGACTAAAATTTTTAGTTAGGCTTTAAGCATTCTAAGATAGTCTTATCAAAGAACTCATTGATTATATTTCTTCTTATTCATTTTCTTTATTTTATTGTTGCAATGCTGAGCGGGAGACAAACCTAGAGCTGCTTGATTCAATAATGCCTTTGCTTATTGGCGTGTTGGAAATACTTTACACATTTTTGCAAAAATATTTATTAAATTCATAATCCTAATTTAACTTTAATTCTTCATCATTTTAAACATTACTATTAAAATAAGTATTATTCTTACGCATGTTTTAGTTGATGCAACTGATATTTTTTATTTCAGGCTTTTATTAGCTATTCATTGTTTATTAGCTCTTTAGATCTGAGTAAATGCAGCTATCTTTTTCTGCTTCTGAGCATATTATTTTACTTTATCTTTCTTACTAGCTAACTAAACTCTAACGTGTAAACTAAGTTTGTATTTGCTAGTTCTATTGCTACTACATTTACACAGAATACATCGAAGGATAGTTAGAATTCTCAGTTTATTCCTAAATAGTCATAAATCTCATTTTATTACTACTATTGAAGCTAATAATTTAATTTTATTTATTTCTATTAGAATGAGATTCATAGTTTTCTTTGCAATTTAGAGCTTTGAATCCACTACTCTTTTATGAACAAACAGATTCATAAGCCCCTGGTTAAATAATCTGTCTTTAATTTTTAAGATTAATGCTTGCTTCTTAAGTGTTTTATTTTTAATTTATTTCTTCTGCAGGATGAGTTGTTAAATGAACTTAATTAATTTAAAAGCTACTATTTGTGTTCATTTAAACTTGTGTATTAATAGTAGGAATAGCATTCAACAATGACTAGTATTACTATTATGAATCCTCATTGATTTAGTTATTGCTACTTTATACTTGATATGATTGAATATTGTTAGAGCTATTTACAAAGCTATTTCTGTTATTATCTTAGTGTGAAACACTCCTTAGCTTTCTGAATTTTTTTTCAAAGCTTTAGTTTACATTTTGACAATCTCCATAACTAGAATTCAAAGCGCAATTAAAGCTATTATTCATCGAATTATTATAATTTAAAAAATAGTTGCTCTGTTCTTTACCACTTTTATTAGATAAAGGATTAAACTAATTAGGAATATTGTTCTGGCTGCTTTAATTTTTTGTGCTCTGCAATTAAGAGCTGAGGATATTAAGCTGATTAAATTTAATTTAGCTAGTAGGTTTAATAGTATTTTATTGATCATTTATTTAAGTGAATGTCTAAAAAACATTAGCCTTTTGCATATTTGAATTTTTAAAAGTATCTTAGCTATTATTTAAAAACACATTATTATTATTATTGTTACTACTCTATTCGTTAAGATTATTAGGATTAATACTATCCTACAATAATTAATTTTAGGATTACTAATTTGATCTAGAGTTAGAAGAGAAACTCCTAATCTTTTTAATAGGATTTTTAACGTTTTCATTATTAACTGAACTGCAAATTTTATATTGTATGCCCTATAAATTTATAGAGTTATTTAAACTTTACTATAGATTAGAACCAGTTATCTGTCCATTTGTATATATGTTATTTATATTTTAAAAGTCAGAATTTTATTGTTTATCATCGTTGACCTGATAAAAGCTGCTTGTGCTTCTGTTGTTTAACTAATTGTTTCCGAAAGTATTTTAACTAATACTTCTTTTCTTTTATTCTATTGACTTAAAAGAATTGTTAGTCCTGTACGAATATCCTTCTATGTAGCATTATGAAATGTTATCACAGCTTTCTAACTACTCTGTATAGACTATTGGGCCTTTCAAACTGCTAGCATCATTAATTCTGTTTGAAAAAGACTCTTTAGGGTAGTCACTTCTAACATTTTAATCCATTTATATGTTTGGTTTTTATTTAATGCAAATATTTTCGTTGGTTGCAGAAATATTTTATAATTTATTACTATTCTAAGCTTATCTTAACATACTATTTTAAGTGTTATTTTGATCTTGTACAAAGGAGGGGTTTTGAAATTTATTCTGTCTCATTTATGAGTTTTAAACATTTTATTTGAAATTGTTAAAAGTGCTACTGTTACTTTTAGGATCAAGCTATTCATAATTTTCATAAATATTTAGGTGGTCATTCTAACTTTATATATTTTCTCCTTACTCCACTTAATCCATGTAATTTTGAGCATTTTCATTTGCTTCACTTTCAAATGCTTGTTGTAATTATTTTACAACATTAAAAGAAGTTTATTGCTACTCTTCTAAATTATTTAAATTTTCCTAGCCCTGTCTGCAAGTTAATTTTATTTTAGATTGAGGCTGGTTTTGCATTTCGCGAGAGGTATTTTGCTAACTCTATAAAGTTTTATGGATGGTTTTTAATATATGATCTTCTTTAATTAATTCACGGAGAATCTCTAGCTGTCTTGGATTCAAATCTGCTTAGTTATTTGACATTTAACTTTCGTTTAAGGCTATGAAATTTCTAACCAACTCAACATTTAGAGGAGATTAAGCGCAAATACTTTCTTAAGCATTAGCTGAAAGTAAGCCATCTGAAATTTGTTTAGAGTTTTTCCTGCTTCTAATTAACTATTCAAGGCTTACGTATTTTTTTGGCACTTCTGCTGCCTAACCCTCGTTAATTCCTGCTTAATACTAGTAAATAGAGGAATTATTAGGGACTATGGAGTTATAATTTTAACTTAAATTTTCAACATGTAGCTGTTGAGTGTTATTAGACTCATAATTATTTTATTCATTATCAAACTAAACACTTAACTAATAGTTTTACTATCTACTGTTATTGCTATTGCAAATATTAAAATTATTATGTTTCTCTTACTAATTTTACAGGCCACCATTTTTATTTTGAAACTCTATCCTATTTTCAGAGTTTTAAAAATTAATCTCAGGAATAATGACATCAATATCTTAATAGTTTGAATAATCTTTCTCAACACTGTCTTCTGTTTCTTTTATATTTGTCAAAATTTAATTTCCACTTTATTAAAATCCATGTCTTCTTGAAGTTTGACCATTAGATAAATTATTATTAATGACATTATTTCTAGCTGATAATTCTTCGCAATTGAATTGCATAATTGAATCAGATTAATTACTCCTTTGAGATAAGTTTCGTGAAAATCCATTTTTAAAAATACCAGTTGGCCCAAAGCTAATTGAGCCATTTTTTGAATCGTTTTTAATGTTAAAAATCCTATTCATATGCTAAGAACTTGCTTTTGAATTAATTTATTGGCTATACTTTGTCCCTTCTTAAACACTCGATTGCTAAATACTTTCTTCGTTAATATTTTCTCCTTATTTTTACATGTGCTAAATAAATTGTTAATTCTTCATTGGTCCTAAGCTTTTTATATAACCAGATTCTATTTGCATATGTTTGAGTGTCATTTCATTTTCAGAACCTATATTTGCACAAGATCCCTCAAACGGAGCGAGATGATTTATATTTTAAATATATTTTTCGTCTTATTCTAATTCTTGAGAAATATTTTCCCAGCCGTTTTCAAATGCTTTTTACATAATCACTCTTTGAGCATTCTTATTTGATAATAAATCTCTTATTTCCTCTGGATGCACTTCAGTTCCATTAAGTTTTAACTTTCCTATATCAATAAAATGAAAACATGATAAACTAACTCTACTTAAAAAATCATTAAGAAGATAATAGATTTTTATTGAAGTAGATTAAATAAAAAAAGTAATATTTACCATTAATTTAATTAAATTAATAGCGATTCAGTAATGAATTCTATGTTTCTTCTAACTATGTTTAATTTAATGAGCTAATTGTTCCCTTTTTTAATATTTCAAAATTATTTGAGTGTGTTTAGAAAATAATCAACAAAGCAAAAATTGAGTAAATTATTTACTGAAGCTGATGGCTGATTTCCCATTTTTAAAAAATTATTATTATTAAAATTGACTTTAAGATGAAGTAGAAATAAATATGATTTTTTTGTTGAATAAATCTAGGCTAGCTAGTATTGATAACTTTACTTTTGTAGATAGTTTCTTTTTTCTATCTATTAAATCTCCTATTCGTTGAAACTATCTATTTAATATATCTTTTATTTTCAAATTTAATTGATTTTGACAAACATAATTAAACAAACAAACAAACAAACCTATTGGATTCTATTTAATTAAGAGAATCCTATCTATCATTCTCCCAATTATTAATTCACTTTTTTTAATTTCAAATTTCAATAGCTGCAGCTACTTTATCATTCAATCATTTAAAAATTCTATCTATCGTAACTTTGTTTAATAAATAGATATATAAATAGAGGTAGCTGTCAATGAAATAATTATTTCATTTCAGTTAAGTAAATCCTATTTAAATTTGTATAAATATTTTACACAAAATAAATAAAATTTGATTTAATATTAGTATTTTTATTATTTCTTTTCTATAAAATTAACTTACAAATAAATCAAAAATTTAATTTTTCAAATATAAAATGTTTTTATTCAATTAATTAAATTTAGTAACAAATTTTTGTACTATCTTTAAATTTAAAAGTCAATTTTAATTTTTTATCTTTAATTTCTGATTGGAGTGTTTTGTTATATTTGTGCAAAACAAACAGCAATATTTGCATTAAGTTTTATGTCAAGATAAATAAATAAAGATAGCTGTTCAATCAAATAATTATTTAATCTCAATTAAGTAAATTCTATTTAAATTTGTAAATATATTTTACATAAAAAATACAGTTTGATTTTTTTTTAAATATTATTATTTATTATTTTTGAATAAAATTAGCTTATAAATAATTAATTAATTTTTTAAAAAATAAAATAAAATATTTTTTATTAAATTAATATAAAATTAATTACTAATTTTTTATTAAATTAGCATAAAATTAATTACAAATTTTTTATTTTTTATTTTAAAAATAAACTTTAACTTTATTTCATTAATTATTGATTGGAGTGTTTTTGTTGCATTTGTGTAAAGCAGAAAGCATTTCTTCCCAAAAAGCATTTAAATCTAACCCAACAGCAACGTTTGTATTAGGTTTTCTACCGGTTGTTTTATATTCATCAACTACAGTTCTACCATCACAATATTCACTATTTGTTTCAATAACTACATTAAGGAATTTTACTGTAAATGCATCTGGATTTATGACATAATAAACAGCGCATGGATCATGAAGAGGAACTAAATCTAATCCAAATACAGTCTTATAAGTGTGTTTAAAGAAGGTCATTAATCCTACTATATTTTCGCCAAAATGAGTTTTCATTGCCTTTAATTTATCAAAAATATCTTCTGTAATTGAGACTTAATGTGTTAACTCTATAGGCACCATAGTTAATGGCAATCCAGAAGTGAATATGATTTTTGAAGCTTCGGGGTCAATACCTAGTAATATTTTTAGATTTTATTAATACAATTTGCGTAATATACAGACTATATTATTTACCTATATTAAATTCAGAACATGGGAACCAGTTTCCAATTCCAATAGCTCCTCCCATTAAAGAAATTTATTCAATGTAATCCTTAAAATCAGGGAAAGTTGATAAAAGTAAAGCAAGATTTGTTAAACAACCAGTTGCTACGAAGTGTATTTTCTTTGGTAAACTTTTTATCTTGAGATAAATTTAATGAAGTACATCTTCTGTAATTGCTTTTTAATCAGTATCAGGAAGGACACAACCATCAAGCCCACTATCTCCATGGATGCTTTCAGCAGTAGTCACCTTTCTAGTCAATGGTTTAGCCATACCCTTATAAACTGGAATTCCATATATACCTCCCATTCTTAATATTTTTAATGCATTGTTAGTAACCTTTTCTAATGTGTTATTTCCATAAACAGTAGAAATTCCTTTATAATTTTGTAATTAAAATTTTTTATCTTGAACAAAATTATTTACCAATAAGCTCAACTTTTTCAGAGTAAGCAGCCATATAAATAGCCATAGCATCATCATGACCTGGATCACAATCAAGCCAAAGTAATTTTTTTTCTGTTTAATTTGACATTTTAATATTAATTTATCACTATCACCTAAAATCAAATAACTAAATTTAATTATTTTATTGAATCTCAATACTCTTTAATATAAATAATATAAAAACTTAAAAGTATCTTTTTAGAAATCATATAAGAAATGCTGATTGTCAAAGTTAATATTCTTGGATATTCATTCTTTTTTGATATTATTAATTAGAATTAGATTTCATTTTTTTTGATACTTGAATGGAATGTCCTGTAAAATTAGATTATTACATTACATAAATAATTTGTTATTGAATTTAAAAACCTTTTAGAAATCCAAAAAAAACAAAACAAAATAAGTTTACTTACTTTGTTAACATAAATAACTATTTCTTTAACAATTCATTAAATACTATAAATATAAAAATTAATTTTTGTATTTCTAATTTATTTATTTATTAAAAATTATTCTAAAAAATTTTTTTGAAAAAGCATTCGCTCTAACTTTTAAAATCTTTGTGTGTTGGTATATCTTTAGTTAATGAAAAATTGATTGAAATTTGATAAATATTGAAATACTAAAATTCAGATGTTCTGATTATAAATATCTATCTATATATTACTAAAGAAATATGTTTCGTTTTAAATATTTTTATAAATTAATTTTTTATTGTAATTTACAACTTTTTTCAAGAAGTGTATTTTTATTTTTTAACAACAGGGTCTTTTTCAAATAAAGAATATTTTTATTCAATCATTTTATCAAAATTTTTTAATTTTTTAATTCTTCTTAATTTGTTGAACTTTTAAATTTCTTTTGTTTCTTCTTCCACAACGCTTTTAACAGTTTCAAAGTAGCTATTGTTCCTGCTCAAACTTAAATCTGAAGATCTTCTATTCGATTCTAATCTTTCTTATAATAATTCTAGTTATTTTCTAATGAATAAATTAAGTTTGTTAATGTCAATATCCTATCTTGATATAATCAAAAAGTATAGCTAATTCTTAGCTCTTATGCATTCCAAGCAAATTCTCAAATTTTTCTATCTAAAGTAGCATTCTTTATGATATGAGTGTCCACAATTAAAAATAATTATCTAGCCAGAATCCTCATCTTCTTCATTATTTTGAATAAAAGATGAATCATCAACTGAAGTAGATAAGCTTGAATTAGCAGAACTGGATGTTTGAAGCTCGCTTTTTTAAATAATTTATTTCCTTATTTTTCTTTTAACTTTATCCATTGAGTTGAGTTAATCAAAACAAGTTGAGCAGTGGCTAAACGAGAAAGTTCCTTTTAAAAACTTTTCTGATCCAGATTACATCTAATTTGTTAAATCCTATTAAATGTAAATCAGACAATTATAAAGGACTTAATAAGAATCAATGCTATTTTATAATAGCTATCTAAAAGTATCCTTTAGATCTGTTATGCTGATATCAGAATAGCTGCTTCTCAGCTTATCTAAAAACCTATCCATATCTACATTATCTGCAATTTGCATTATAGTACTTCCTATAGATTGAGAAAATATTTTACGTAGATTTATCAGAGAGTCCTTTGTATCTATATCAGGGAATTTTTTACAACTTTAAACTAACAAATCTAACAGCAAAAACCAAGAATCAGAATTATCTGTTTATTTATGTAGAGTGCATATATCAAACATTTTTTGCATTCTACAATTAATTTATTTTGTAAATTGCTATATTTTTTCGTTTGAAGCATTAGCATTCATTTGCATTTAATTTACGTCTGAAATATTGTAAGATTAGTTAAAAGTTTATGATTCCGTTCTTTAAATAGAAATGCTTACTCCAGTCTAGCGAATTTCTCCTTCTTCGTTATTTTCTATATTATCAAAATGAGTAGATTGATTTCTACCACCCATTAAATCGCTCATGAATACATTCAATGGATTGTTAATGAATGTATTTGTTGGCATATTCTACATCCTTTGATAGAAATCTTCTAAGTATTTTTTATACTAATAGAGAGAGTTATCTAACATTTTTATTTGTGACTTTAAAGCCTATTCTTATAGACCCATTCTCAAATATATAAAGGTGCACACTTCAAGATATTACTTCTCGAGACAAATTTTTAGAATATCCTACATTTTTTAAATAAATTTTAAATAAATAAACTCAAAAAATAATTTTGTTTGCTTACTTCGAATGGATAAAAATCTAAGCTAGTAATTTCATTTAGTACATCATCTTCGGGCTTATTCAATTAGCACATAAGCTTAATGTTTAGAATCAAAATACCCTTATCAACTTTTAGTGATTCAATTAGTTAAGGATTAGACTTAAGTTTCAATTTGTATTGCTTAATCACATTCTAAATGTAAAGAAGTTGTAAATTAGGATTGTTCTCAAGTTAAGAAATGATATCGTGCTCTGCATCATTCAAAAACTTTTGAAAGAGCTGGTGAGTCCTTTCAGAATCAATTTTAATAAAATCGGGTAACTTTACTCTCATTATATCTTTAAGCATTTCATATTTTTTAGGATCTTCGCTTCTACTTTCTGTCAAATTTTACCACATCCAGTCAAAAATTAAACGACTCATAGTTTTATTAGATGATTATATGTATGAGTCTATAGCTCTGTGATAGTGTCCTCTTAAAAATAAAATATGACTTCTGGCTGTAGCAAATTCAGTTAGGTCAAGGAGTTAAGATAAAAGCTACATCTAACCATTATCTTTTCCAATCACATCTAAAATATATTTAATTAAACTAAGTAAAAATTCACTTCTCAATAGCTATGAAAGCTCTCTAAAATCAACTTTATCATCTCTACCTTCAGAATATATTTTAGCTTACTTTTGTAACTCTTCTTAAGGAAATTCCAATCTATCTAAGGTTTTAGGGTACTAAGACAAATAGAAAACTATATCAACAACTTTTTCTTTTTTGAATTTAAATAAACCAACAAGATAATTTGAGCTGTAGCTGCATTAAGATTGGTAAATCATATTTGCTAAAAATAAATAAAAACTTGACAAAAGATTAGACCTACGTAAATTTAGTCTTCCATCAAACTCTGAGGGATGAGCTTTCTCCACCAAAAGTTAGTACGCTGTTAGATCTTATTCATCAGATCCATCTATATCAGTATTGATAGATTTTTAAATGTAAGTAACATCTTCATAAGTGTTACGTGGGAGTGTAGACCTCGTTACAAAATTGAATTGTGAATCTATTTCAAGAGTAATTGCAATGATTTATCGGAGAAGTACTTCTGAATAAAATACTTTTTTATTTGTACAGAATTCAGCAGTTTGTTCCCATAAATTTTGGACATTTAAGTCCCTTAGGATTTATTTGAGTTTTGTTTAATCTTCATCAATAATTTTCAAAGGTTTTTCAGAAAAGAAAACAGCTAATACTTAGAAAAACACCTGAGGCCATCTTTATAGACAAACTTTAATATTTTGAGGAAAAGAAATCCAAGACTCAAAAGTTAAGACTACTTATTTATAATCATTGTCATTTATATATTCTCCATCAATAAGTTTCTATTGAATGCATAAGCGGAAATACCACAAAGCTCTAAGACCAAAATATTCACACTTGATTTTCAGAGGGTCTTAAAGAAGACTCAATATCAGCTATTCTTTTAGAAAATCGTTTTCTTCTGGATCTATTTCTCTAATTAATGAGCTTGAAGGATCATAAATGGCTGCAGCTTTCTCTTCAGGATTTAGTAGAGAGGGGTCCATAATAAAGCTTTTTTATTTACCTTTATTCTTTTCTTCCCATTTACGCAAGGAAGCAACAAATTAATTCCAAAATATCATCAATGGTGATATGAAATCAGGATTTGTAGACCTAGTACTTAAATAAATCAGTGCTGTAATTAATTACTTCTCCATGCTTAGCTATACTAAAGGTTTGATATCTAAATTTTCAAGATCAAGACTAGTCAGTATCTACTAAATAATCCTTAAATTTCCTCTTGATTAATAGTAATCTATAATATCAGTTATCACATCATTATGTATATTTGTTATCTATTTATATTAAGTTTTTTAAATAGAAATTATTTATTTATTCATTCATTCATTTATTTTTTAGTTAGAATTTAAATTTTCATCCAAAATTTTTCATCAAAAAATAAATTCATTTTCTTTATGGTAAAATTTTTTTTTTAATCGAATTTTGTATATAAATTATAATAGGATTTATATCAAAATTAAAAAATAATTAATAAGGAAGCACAAAAAAGAAAGAAGAATTTCGATTAGTAAAATAAAATAATTTTTAATTGCAGCCAATAAAAGAATTAATTGATTTATTTTTTATTTTTAATAAATTAATTTGTTTGGAATAAATAAAATTTACTTTTCCTTCAAGAATAAATGGCTCAAGACACTCTATAAAAAAATCCATATTTCCTAATATTTTTCCACAACTTTAACGTATATCGTAGAAGATAGTTTCTTATAGTTGGCAGTTTACTAAAAATTCCATGGCAAATATCAATCTGTCATGCTCAGGAAGGAAATGGATATCACAAAAAGCAGATTAGTTTGATTGATTAGAAACCATTTAAATTGATGCAAAAGAGGAATGAGACGACTATGCTTTTTCTTCTTTTACAGAGAAAGCACTTTATCCAAAATTTTAAGAAACTTATTCTTCCCTTAACTACTTTAGCAGCTTATCTGTATAATTTAAAGCTGTTCTTTCTATTTATGGGACCAACAAATCTTTTATATCAAATTTTTATAAACCATTATGAGCAAATTTATGATAGCCTGAATATATAATATGTAAGAAAGACATAGCATTTAGGTATTCTCCTTATTTTAAAAGTTCTTCCAAAGTTGCTCTCCAAGAAACTAAATTAATGCAAGCAAATTGGGAACGTTTTGAGTCAGATTTATTATTTTCTAATAAAATATAGCACTTTTATAATAGAATTGAAAAGCTAACACTGTTTGAATATATTATTTATGTTTTAGACTCATTGATAATAACTTCAGATTAAGAATTTTTAAGTGACTATGATTTAATTAACTAATCTTAATCTTTAATGGCAGTTTATTTTATGCTAAGTTCTTATTATTATTTTACTGTTTTTTAAGCTTTCAGTTAATAAGAATCTAAATCATAAACTGTAGGTTTGATTTCTAACTATGGCAATTTCATTTTAAACGAACTGATTGAGACAAGACTTATGAATTTAAGAAAACTCGATCTAAAATCAGTTGTATTTATTAAGAATAATTAATCGTTAAAGTCACAGATCAAAACAATATTTTTGTATAATGCTCCAATAAATTTGATACTAGTGTAATGTCTTATTCTCCTTTTTAGTTCAAATGAATATTTATTCCTTATTTTCATTTTGCCTAATTTTTAGGAAATAATTTAAATTTAACAAATAAAACTAATTTGAGAAAGAATTTATATATTTTACCATAGTCTTTAATTGACTCTTCTTAGTGCTTAGACAATATCCCAACGTATAAGAAGTTGGTAAATGAAACTAAAAACATAAGCTAGTTTTCTTTGCCTACCTTAATTTCACTCCACAGAAAACTATTTTTTACCTTTTTAATGATTGTATCCATCTTTTCGACATACTTAAACATAGGTTTAGCTTTCATTTTTTACAATCTAATTCTAATAATAAATAACTTTTCTGGACTTGAAAGTCCAACTATAAAATCGTCTTCTCTATCATAATCGTATTAAAAGTATTTTTATTGCATAAGTTTACTGAGAACATTAATTGAAGTTATAGGAAACAACTATTTTTGCATCAAAAAAACAACTTATTATTCAAAAGACAAAAAACCCTTAAAAATTTTAATAAGAGCACTGTCTCCTCTTGCATTAATAGCAATTATATAAACTTCATCTTTCGCTGAGATCTAAGCAATTACTTTAAAGTCAATAATTAGCAGGTTGCTTTAGTTCATCTCTTCGATTTCGTTAGAGCTGTACTTGAAGAGGTTTTTAATATAGTAAACCATTTTATTATACTTAAAATCATACATACTAATAGCTCCAGTTCTATGACAAGCCATAATATGTCTAAAATCAGGAGTAAACTAAAGACAAACTATATCTTGAGCTTTAGCATGCTTATTATTGAGACAATAGTTTGCAAAGCAACTCACCTCGTAAATCTTTTAAGAAACAATATCCTTAACTATAATTATGCCATTAGAAAGAGCAAAGCCAAACATTTAATCATTATGCTATGTAAAACATAAAATTTATTATTTAAAATTTGATATTTCTTCATCTATTTCAAGACATTAATCTTCAATTATTAGTTAATTGAGATCGTTCTCTTTAAAAGTAGGTATATAATTTTCAAATGGGAAGACTCTCTTTTACTAAGTCGCAGCAACACTGTTGAAGGCTAAATTAATAGACTAGCTAAAACTTAATGAACTATTTTATTCATTTCCTTAAAGTAAACAAAGTTCCTTTTTCTCTAATCTATCTAAAATATTTTTTTGCTGTTAAAACTCTATGTAATTTTCTATCTCTGTAAAGTCCTCAAAATTATTATCATATGTTTCCTTTTAATGTTAAGATATTTAGCTATATTTATTTATCATTTAATTATTTCTTGGCCTTTAAACCTAAGCATTTCTTAAGTATTCAATCTGAAGCTGTTCTTATCTGTCTCTTTCTAATTTTTTTCTTAGCATATTTATAAACTACAAGCAATCGAATACAACATCCTATCTTCTTTCTTAAATATTTGCATATTTGATTAATCTCTACTTTTTTATAAGTCTCTTTTTATCACTTTCTCTCATTTTTTTCTAACCTATCTCTAGGAATCTACCTTATTAAAAATCTTGGCGCAGTTTTTCCCAAAGAAGTTTCACCCTAGATGGCTTTTCTTAAACAATCTCCTACTACATTTTCTAGTCTTCCATTTTGATCTTTTAAATCTTGTAATATTTAGAAAGAAAAGTTTATAGTTTTGAGATAATTAATTAATTAATAATCCTTTTTATCTTTTGGTATAATTATTAAATTAAAAATATTAATCACAAATTTAATAAGTATATTACTTTGGTAAAAAATTGTAATCTATTTTTCTGTATCAATCAATAATAAAATAAAATATCTATATTCTCACAATTAATTTCAGATTAGGTTTTGTTTGTTTGAATAATTTTTTGATGGTATAATCTATTTAAAATCTAAAGTTGATTAATCATTTGAACAAATTAGTAAATAAAGTTGAGATATAAACATTTTATTTGTATTTAAAAATAAAAATTAAACTTCAATTTTAAAAATACTTTTTTTATTTTAAATAAAAACATATATTTTCAAATGTAATTTTTAGATAATACCGTTTAATTAATAATAGTAAAAGTACTTTTTTTGAAGAATATTACAAATATTTTCAAATCTGAAGTTTTGAGTAATTACTAATAAAAATAAATAAATTCTATATTAGAATAATGAAATAAAATGTAATCACTAATACTGAAATGTCAAATAAATCCTTTTAAAAAAGTTTAGTGTTTACTAAAAATAAGAGTGTTTGTTTATCAAAATTAAAACTCTTTTGAATGGTTTTTAATTTTTTAATAATGCAAAGTATAAATTTAATTTATAAATTCATCTGAATCACATTTTAAAAAGCTTAACTTTTGTCAATTTATGGTAAATTTTTAATATTATATTTTCATTTTATTTATTGACGACCTTATTAGCTAAGTTTTATTTAATATTAGTTGGTCTTAATTATTTCTAAAGTGAATTTTTCTATTTATTGTGCAATAATTTTTATTTTTAAAAAGAAAATTCAAAATAATTTTAAAATGCTTTTACCTACTTAAAAACAAACATATTTAATAATCAAAATTTAAAAAAATATTTATTAAAATAAATTTGATTTAATTTTTTGTAAAATAATTTTATTTCAAATTTATAAAAATATTTTTTTTAATTAATGAATAATGTTTATTTAATTTGCTATAAAAATTAATGTTTTAAAAAATTTATCATTCATAGTAAGTGCTTTATATGATCATTAGTTCCTTTAATTAGTATTTCCTATTAATCAAAATTCTATTCAGATGCTTTTGGATACAAGACCTATAAAACAGCACAAAAATCACAATTTTCAGCAACCTCTTTTGTTCCATAAGTTAGCATGCTACTCTAAAGCGTATATTAATGAGTTATATAAATGACTACATATTTTTTGGGATCAAACTCTTAAAAATACTTTTCTTTCATCAATTCCATACCTAATGCTATCCTTTCATCAGCACGAGCTGGAATTTCTGGAAAGCGTGGGCGTTTTTTAGGTTAAAAAAAATTCCATTTAATTTCAAAGAGACTTTCATCTATATATTTATTCATTTCAGTTTGTCTTGAGCGATACAATATTGTATCTAAAGGGAAATTTTAATAATCGTGTACAGAAAGCCATTCACAAACATCTTCTTGCAAAAAAACTGTATTTTAATAAACTTTTTTTAAGTGTTTTGCAATTGCAAATGAAGTCTAAATTGTCCTAAGAAATGGGGATGAAATTATGATCGCTTGAATAGCTTCCTAATCTTTCATTTCTTCTATTCCATGCTAACTTTTTGCATATTTATCTATTTTAAACTATATAAATTTTCCTGTCTCCTCTGCTTATTTAACGCCTTTTTAACTCAAATGAGGATCATATAAAATCTAAATGGATTTTCGCTCTGGGTTTTTCTTTGGTAACCTGTCAGCTCTTTCACCGTGTCTAACCCCAAATATCATAATTAATTGATCTAGTAGAATTTATTATATAATTTAGAGAAATTAAATACGAACAATTCGGACAGAAACAAGTTTATAATCCTTTTTGCTCTTTTCTATATAATGAAACCTTTCAGAATTAGATAATTTTTTACATAATATATTATAATATATGCTTGTTAAATAAATAAAGAATCTTGAAACTATAGAAAATTGCATTAATAAAAGTATTAAAAGAAATCAGAATTTATTAATCAAATAATTTGTATATTTTTGAAAATTTAATAATTTTAAAATTTGATGTAATTTTTGTTAATAAATAAGAATAAATGCAAACAGATAATTGATATAAATCCTATACTGATTATTATTTTTGTAATTATTTAATTTCAAAATTAAAAAGAAAAGTTAATATCATATTTAAACATTAGGTATTTGACCCTTCATAAAAATAAAATGCACTCAGTTTAAGCCCTTCCTGGATAAACTCCAAGCGTTATCCTTCATCTCACTCATAATTTAACTATCAATAGAATTCCAGAAATAAGATTCGATCTTAGTATTACCATTAAATAGCTTAAGGAATAGATTGAAAAGAGATATGGTTCATCTTCAGATTAGATGGAGCTCATTTTGTAAGACACAAATGGTAATAATGTTAGTAACTTATCAGACGACACCAAGTAATTAGGGTTCTATTACCCCTAAGATAACTACATCATTCACGTTATCGATAATAATCCCAACTCTATTTTGAAAGATATCGATGATGTTTCTAAAGTTAATAAATACACTATGTCAGAAGAAGATTATGATAAATTACAAGATAATTTCAGAAAGTTCAAAAAGCAATTACTTGAAAACAATCCCGAATTAGCTGCAAAGTAGAATAATCCAGTCATTATCACTGAAGAAGATTATTTAAAGGAAGAAGCAGAATAAATGAAAAAAGGAGATAGATGCTAATTAAAAGAAAAAAAACACAGAGGTACAGTAGAATATGTAGGAAAAATACCAAATCTTGGCTAAGGTTACTACATCGGCATTAAATTAGATGAACCCTATGGAAAACATAATGGATCTGTTGGTCCTGTCTAATATTTTGAATGCCCTGATAAATATGGTATTTTTGTAAGACCTGATAAAGTGGAAGTTGGTGATTTCCCTGAATATGATTTAGATGATTTAGTTGAAGATGATGAAGTTTGAAAACAGCATAATTTATTTATCCAACACATATTAATTATCAAATCTTAAAAATTATTAAAAATATTTTATTTATAATTAATAAAGGTTTATTTATATTTTTAGCTTCTTTCTTATTAAATAATCTAATTCTAATATTTTTAAAATTAAAAAATAAGTAATTAATTAATTAATTAATTAATTATTTCTTCTCTTAATATCTTTAATTTTGTCAAGTAAACAAAATAACTTTAAATTTTAATACTATCAAAATTTTTTATAAATTAATATTATTAATTCAAAAAATAATATTTTTTATTTGTTTAACATAAAATGCATTTAAATTTTATTAAAAATTAATTTTTAAAAGAATTAAATCATTAATTATTTAAATATTTAAATTAATTAATTTAACTAATTTTTCTTTAAAAACATTGTGAACTTATAAATTAATATTGTTAATGATTTTGCTTATTTTTTAAATATTATTTTATTTAATAATTTTTTAACTTTTAAGATTAATTTTATTAAAATTTAAAGTAAATTAATCGTAAGAGTTTACTCATTTAAAATTAACAAGGACTAAATTAATAACAAATTAATTAAAAAATATTTTATTTTTTTTAAATTTTTAAGTTTTAAAAAGAATCTAATTGTAAATTAAAGATTTCAACAATTTTATTAAGTTTGCAGTAAAATATTTTTAAAATGTTTAAATCATTAAAATATAAATTTATTAGTTTATGTTTTAAATAAAATTCATAACAAAGTTTTATTAAAAAATATATTATTTCGATAAAAAGTTAATTGAATTTTATTCATTTATGTTAAGAAAGAAGAATTTTTTTAATAGAAGTTTTAAAATTATTTTTTTAGCTTTATAAGCAGTCAAGACACTTATTTTTCTAGTTGTTGGTATATTCTATTTAAATATTTTTGCAACTCCTCATTTTAATGCTCTTAGAACTCTTTTTAATACTATTCTTTATTGCATCCTGTATAAATACCAAAGTAGCTAATATGATTTTAAACTGAAAAATTAAGCAGCGAAACTTAAGATGAACATTATTCATCTTCATGTTAACACACTTTAAATTAATTTATACTATTTGGGTTTGTCATCCAAATTTCATATCCATGATGTCTAAAGTCTAATATTTGCTTAAATGGTAAATGAGGAACCGCGTCATAATAATTGACAATTCTATACGAATTAGGAATGATTTGATTTAGGTATTCTACAAAATTTTAATTACCGATTTTAGGAGCACCAAAAGTATATAAACTAATTTAATTTTTAGGTTATAAATATTTTAAAACCTCAACCGAGATCAAAGTTGCTATTGCTCCTCCTAAAGAATGACCAGTTATAATGACATTAGCATCAACATATTTTTCCAAAATATTTTTTACACATTAATTTATGTGGTTTTATATAGATTAAGCATGATCTCTAAATCCCATATGTATTTAACACCCATCACAGTCAGGAAAGTCTACTGGAAAAGCTTTTAAATTAGTGATCCAGTTATTCAAGTTAGCAGTTCCTCTAATAGCTATAATAATTTAGTGCTTAATTGGATTGTATCCACAAAATCCTTGTGAATTTTTTTCTTTGTTTTCAAAAACATTGATATACTGCATGTGAGGATTATGAAGACATTCATCTCCACATTTCCAATTTTACAGCGTTTCAAAACTGCAATAACTTGCTTTTGAATAGTAAAAAACATCCTTTATTAATTTGATATTTATTTTTTCTTGACGAAACTTTTTTTCTATAAAAGTTTGAAGATAGATATTTGAACAAAATGATTATGAAATAATTATTGATAAAAACAAAATTATTTTGTTAACCATTTTTGCTCTTTAATAAATTTTCTTTTTAATTATTTTTTTTACAATTTTTTATAAGTGAATCTGAAGAAATTTTTTAAGTACTTAATAATAAAGTTTTTCTAAAACGATACTGTAAAAGTAAATATTTGCTAGCTAAACTTATTATTATAGTAATTATTTATTACATTTTATGTAATATGACTTAAGTTAATATATACTAGAATATATTTTTATAAAAAAGAAACAATCATAGGATTATTCCATTGAGAGTATAGTTAATAAATTCGTTTTTACAACTTCTTTCATCATTTGTTTATCTAATTTTAAGAGTATTGGAATTTGAAAAAATCAATTCTATATCCTAAATAAATGCCCACCTTATAAACAAACAATAAGAAAAATAATTACTATCAGGTTTTTACTATATTTATTCAATTTTCTTAACTATAAATTTCACAACCGAATACCATTTTAAATTTTGTCACTAATCAATTTATCAATAGATTTACCTTAAAAGATTTCAAAAAATTGATTATTTTTATAAACTAATCTGATCTCTTAATATTTTATAATATATTTTCAAATATAAATTAAAAGTTTAATGTAAAGTATCAGGTAATTGAAATATAAGATACATCTACTTTATTTTAAAGAATAACAATAGATATTCAACCAATTATATTAAAATCTATTTAAAATATAATAATTAACCTTAATAATTTAAAAATATTTGAAATTAATATAATCTTCTTAGAATAGAAAATAAAATAAAATAATATATAAATTAATTATTGATTATGTGAAAGATATATGACAAAACTGAATATTATTCTTAGACTCTTGAATTTTTCTTATTTAAAATAAATTTAAAAATGAGATAATTGATAAACTTTTTACAATAAAAATATAAAAAGAGGTAAAACATTTTTGTGGTATTAAAATTTAATTTAATATTTTTAAAGAATTCATAATACTATTAAATACACTCTAAATAATTTATAAATAATTAATATGTATGATATTTAATACACAAATAGCAAACTAACTAAGTCAATTATAAAATATTTTTGACATAATTGAATAAATAAATATTTTATAATAAAGATATAAAAATATTCTATTAAATATTATCAAATAATTCAAAATAAATTTATATTAACAAATGCAACATCAAACAAAAAATTTATATTTCTAAGGTACTCTCTTTGATTTATCTTATTATAAAAAATGGTGGTTTAAATTTTGTTTAAATAATAAAAATATTTAAAAATGTATCTAAATATTATAAAAATGATACAAAACTATAAAAAAATATGTTATACTTGATATTTATTTAAAGTATTATAAAATAATGTAAAAATTTTTCAACGAACTGCAATAAGAGGGCTTAAGAGAATACCGCAAGTATTACCAGGAGCAAGCTTCATGTGTCCGTCCATACCCCAGGAAGTACTCCAAGAGTTTCTGATAATCCAATTTCCTTATTCATCATAACCAATAGCAACTACAGCATGGTTTAAGTTGTAAGTTTATGTATTTCCACATCCATTATAAACACCAGAAGAATAAGAACCCCAAGTGGAAGCATCGACTAAAACTGAAACAGGAATTCTGGCAACAGTGTTTTTTAAAGCATCTGCAGTCTTGTCAATAAAATAGAAAGATTAAACCTTAAAACCATCAGAAGTAGGTGAAGAAACTTTGCACTTAGAATCAACAGCTAAATAAGGATACTATTCTTCTTTGAGAATACCAAACTTAGCAACATACTTCAAGGCTTCTTCAGGCCAGCCACCAGAACAACCGTATGAATTAAAACCATTAGAATTAGTAGCACAATCAACTAATTGTTGTTCAGAGAAGCTAATTTTTTAACGATTTTCCATAAAGTAAAGAGCTTCGAGGATACCAGTGGTAGAGAAAGCCCAGCATGAACCACACTAACCTTAATCCTTAACATCAGATAAAATACCATAATCTCTCCAATCGAAAGAAGCAGGTAATTAGACATCTTAAGCAGTATGCTATTAAGTTGTAGAGTTATTATTTTAGGCTTAGACAGCGTTTCTAGGGATTAATTATGAGCTTTTCATAAGTACTCTACTAGCAAATTCTTCTTGGGGCATGTCAGAGAACTAGTTATGGGCAAGCTTGTAAGTGGCTTCTGGGTTACTGTTATGGTTTTAGATTCTTTCGTGAGTTTCGAAAAAGATTTGTTATCTGAATTGTTATTCTTCAAGGGAGAAATAGGTACGTTTATTAGCATATCTCCACTTATTGTAGGCAAAAAGAGCACTGACAGAGAAGTTGTTAGTACTATCAGCAATTATAGGTGAAACAACCAATAAAAGAGTTATTAAAGCAATAATTCTCATGTTTTTATTTATTTATTTTATTTTTTTATTTATTTAATTTTTTATTATATTTTATGTATTCTATTTGTAGTATTTAAATTTTATCCAAACAAGTGAAACAGTTGAAAATTTTGTGTTTACAGATAAATGATTTTTTAAATTGCCTATATTTTTATTTTTATTTGTAAGCTGGATGCTAATTGTAATTAATAAATTCAATGGCTGTGAAATAAAATAGATAAATATTATCAGGAGATTTTATTTAATGATCAATTTAGCATCTAGGAAAAGACGTAAGAATACTTAGACTAATCAAATTAACAAAGTTGTTTACATTCAGAAATCATCAATATTAAATTTTGAACTCAAAGAAAATCAGTACGTACTAAATTATATTCAAATTTTTTTCAATCAATATTAAAATAAAAATTTTAATCAAAAACATAAAATGATTTTCAAATCTCCAAAATTTAATTTTAAAATCATTCTTGACTTTATTAAACATTAATTATTATATTTTTGAAAAATATTAAAATTGATTTTTTTAATGAAAGATTACTTAGAATTTTAGTAGTTACTTTGCAAATAGATTAATTTATCTATTGCGTAACATGAAAAATTAAGAAATATTGGTGTATCTTTATTTGATAGATATTTTTGTGGTTAATTTAAAATAAATAAAATTTATGAGATAGAACTTTGTCATTAAACAAGTATGAAAGATTGATTTATAGCAATATATCTGTTATCATAATATTTTACTTATTAGTAAAAATAGATTTAATTCTAAAAAAAATAAATTTTATTTTATTTTTCATTTAAGAAAGAAATCTTTCTATCAATTTTAGCAAAAAAATAATACACTTACTGAGTATGATTTATTTTAATGGTTAAATTTAAATAGATTAATTTATCAGGCAATTTGTAGAAACATTTTAAGCTTTGTGAATATTTTCAAGTTAGATATATTTATTATGAAGGGTATGGTAAAAAATTATGTTTCCATAAATATTAACATTACTATAAACTTTAATGAAATTTAACTTTTAATAACCACATTTTTTTAATTTATATTTTTCTTAAATTAATTCAAAAATACTATTTAAATCCATCCTTAAACTTCTTGATTTGATTGAGTTAGAAATAGATATTTTTAGCATATTATCTTTGCTTTTAAAAATTGAAATACTAAATCTCTTTAAAAAAGTAAAAATCTTTAATTGTTATTAATAAATAAATATAACAATTTAAAATATTTTCATTTAATTGGGATGTTTTTATTTATATATTAAATAAATTTTATTATGCTAATTATGTTTGTGGTTAAAATTACTTTTTTTACAAATTGAATGGTTATTTAATAATTGCTTAGATATTTCAACCATTTAATTTGTCTATAAACTGTAAATACATTTTCATTGGATAAAAATTAAGTAAATAAAATTTAATTAACAAATTGACTTTGAAATAATATTCTATATCCAAAATTCATTTAATTAGCATTTAATTACAACAATTATTAAGTATTGATTCACTAGAAATAGTTAACGTTGCAAATAAATTTTGTAAGAAATACTTAATAAAGCATAAATATATTCTTTGTTGTTGGTGTTTTCATAAAATAATTTGTTTGTTAATGTTTTTTTAAAATTATATTACATAGAATTTTTTACTAAAAATTTTCCTATTTTTTATGGATAGAAAGCATTTAAATAATTTGACAATTTTAAAATCCATATCTTTTTGTAATAATTATTGCTTACTTATTTTACACAAATTATTTATGTTATTCTGAGGTGTGCGCCAGAATCGAAATATAAGGTTAGAATTAAAAAAGTATAATTTTCATAAATTATGAAATTCATATTGTGTTTGATTTCTATTTGGATAAATAATAAAATAAATTTATTGTATTTAAAAACGACCATGAATTTTCAATTTTAATATTCATTTTAAAAACTTTATTATTATATTTATTTCAAAGATTACTCCTTTACTAAGTATTTTTACTCTAATTCAAAAGGTTTTTATTGCTAAATATAATTTATTTTTCCTCGTTCAAACTAAATAGATTTTTATAATTTGGATTGTAAAAAATTCAATATAAAAAAATGTAAAGATTTAAACATAAATGCTAATTGATACTTTAAATAGGTATTACATATAAAATTAATTGAAATATTATTCAAATTTATAAGAATTTTTTCTTAAATTTAATTTGAATATAAAACACTATATTTCACTTTCATATGATAATTGTGTATTAAAATTATTTTTCTTTGATTGAAGTACATCCACTTTTATTAAATAAAATAATTAAAATTTTAATTTACTGATATTTATTAAAATTTACAACACTCAATACCTAACGACTTTTCGAGATTTTTTAATAAATAATGATATTTAAATTTTCAAAATTATTTATCTCCCTCCGTCCCTTATTTATATTTCATTTTTACTAGCTGTACAAATACATTATTTGAATAAAAAACACTAATTTTTTTAATAATTTAATATAATGTATGCGTAATTTCCTTGAAATAAAAGTAATAATAAAGAATTAATATTTAACCACGGCGAAGGAAAATATATTAAGTATTATTTATAATCTAAATATATATTCTTTTATATATAATTATTTTTTCTTATCTAAAATATTTTTATTTTTAAAAAAGTTAATTATTAATCTAAATATGCATGCATACAACCATTTGTTATGCAAACATAATTAATTTTTTTTAAATTTTATAATAATAAACTAATATAAATAAAACACTTTTATTAAATTTCATTTTAAATTAAGCAACCATTAGATTTTATCAAAAAAAAATTTAAATTTTAAATTGTCTATTTTATAAATACCTAATAAAAGAATAGTTTATCTATAGTATCATCCTTTTTTTAGAATCTTTTTTTATAATCACATTATTTTCAAAAAGAAAAAAATTAGTATGTAAAATTAATTCACTTAATTGATTCATCAAAGTTAGAAAATCTTTTTGTGAAATTTTGATCAAGCATTAATAAATACTATTATAATTATCAATTACTTTTTCTTAGTTTTTTTTGTTTATAAACATGTTCAAAAATATTTTTTTAGTTTGATCTAAACAGCTTTTGATAATAACGTAAAAATAGTATTCATATTATTTTATTACTTTAGAGAAATTCAACATAATGTATATAGATATGGTAATAATGTAAAATATTAAATGTATCTATCTGGTATATTAAGTAAGGAATAAAATAAATTAATATTCTTTTTTACCAAATGATTATTGAAGATTTTCTGGTATAAATAAAATACTTTTTTTTATGAAACACACACATCATTTTTAAATTAATTAATTAAAAATTTAAATCTTATTAGCTGACTTATTTTTTTTGATTTTTAGAATTTAGAATAATAGTTCATATTATAGTTAATGACTTATTTTTTTGATTTTTAGAATTTAGAATAATAGTTCATATTATAGTTAATAAGTAATAAAATACTTTGTTTTTTTACAAAACACATAAATTTGAAGAATAAAATAAATTAATATTCTTTTTTACCAAATAATTATTTCAGAATTTTCTAGGGTTTTTTAGAACTTTGAATAAAAATTCTGATTATATAAATTGTCAATTTTAAGAAATAAAATACTTTTTTTTATGAAACATATCAATTTAATTTATTAGTTTATAGATTAAATCTTATTAGCTGGCATATTATATAAAAATTAAAATAAATTAATCTTCTTTTTTACTTAATAATTTTTTTGATTTTTTAGAATTTATTTGGAATAAACCTTTATTATTAATAGTTAGTAATTAATTAATAAATAAAATACTTTTTTTGCGAAACACATAATTTTTAAATATATATATATATATACTTGTATTAAAAGTGGATATTAGTTTTTAAGTCATGATGAAGAATCATTAAATTGTATGATTATTATATTTAAATCTTTATCAGTACTTTTAAATATAGATAGTTCTTCTATTTAGTGAGGAACATAATATAGCTTTATAAATTCAGCATCAACTATATCTTTAAAAATCATAATTGACTTATTTTTTACTCTTTTAATATCTACTATCCCTTCGTAGATTTTACTTAAAACAGAATCCTGTACATTTATAGGTCCATATTCCTAAAATATATTATTAATTTTTATTTAGACTTTCTCATATGTAGATGAGAAGTATTTAATTTGTTTTTACTATGATCTTAACTCAAATCCAATATACAAAGGAACTTATGTTTCCATTATATATTTGACTGTTTATTTAATATTTTGAATATTGAGATTTTATTTCTAAAAAGTAGTGCTCATTTTTTTATTTTGTATTATTTAATGAATTTAAATCTTATAAAAATTCATTGGGTTTCTTGCATAATTTAAGTAATTAAAAGTATTTTATTTTACGTCTTTAAAAAATAAAGTTGAGAACATATATATAGGTTATTTAAAATAGATTGATATATATTAAAAAATGAAATGAGTAGCTTAAATTACTTTTATATTGTTAATACTTTTATTATTATATATATTATTCATTTATATTTAAAGCTTTTTTCATTAAGAACAAAATGCATAATAGGAAAAAACATTTTAACCATTTTTTAGCAGTTTTATTTAAATTACATAGAAAGAAAGAATACTATAAAAATATTTTATTGAAATTAAAATTGAGGATAATTTATTTACATATATATATAAGAGATTTAAGATAGATTGATATATATTAAAAATACTTTTATATTTTTTAGCGCGTTAATATTTTTATTATTTGTTATTAATTTATATTTAGAACTTTTTTTCACTAAGAAGAACAAAATAAATAGTAGGGTAAAGTTTTTTTCTTTACTTTTAACCATTTTTTAGTAGTTGAAGTTGAAATCGCTTATGATTTTACAACTTGTATTGTGGGACTGTTTTCTATTAAATTATTTATAGCTGTGGTATAAAAACCATCTTTAGTATTAGAATGTTGCTAATCATAACCTAAATTATTTCTGAAATTAAAAATATTTTGTTTATTCTAAAATATTTAAAGTATCTATTTATTTACCTTTTATTAGAAGCTGAAAAAATTCTTCTATGAGGAGGATTTGTTCTATTCATTATTGAAAATGTTTATCTCATTGTAAAAGAAGTGTTCAAAGAATTTAGCTCTGTAAATCCTTTTTATTTGCTAGGAGAAAGATACACCTTGCTAAACATTTGAGAATTGTTTATTTAGTTTTTTTCTCTTAATGTCATATTTTTTTCACCTAAAATTTCTTATTATAACACTTTAATGGGGGCATCTGTCTTCAATAGATCAGAAAGTTTGAATTTTATTTCTGGGTATATCTTTGAAAATACTTCATCAGATATATCAACTTCCTCTCTTGTTTTTTTTTATTATAAAATTCCTAGCTTCTTTTTTTTAGCTTCGTAGTTTTTCATCATATCATCTGATAATTTTTATATGGCCTCTTTTCTGTAGTCTTTATATTTCTCTTCAAGGCCCTCTTTTAGCCTTAATTTCTTTTCTGCTTTTTCTTCAATTCTTTTATAGTACATTTCAGTCGTAATATAAGTGCGTCCTTAAGATATATAAGATATGTTCTTACAATTAATTAAATACAACGCACCTGTATCATCTTAAAGCCACTCAGTTTCTAGCGTTTCCAAAGTCACACTATGAAATGTCTGAAGGAAGTGAAATATTTTACATGTAATATACTTTTAATATTCTACTATCTGATCATACATCAATTTTGTTTCGAATTCCTCTTCTACATCAATTGGAACAAATTCTGAGCTGACGCTACTAATTTCTCCATTTAATATTTATATATCCTTGAATGCTCTGTAAAATAGTTCATCATCCTTAACTTCTTCTTAGATAAAAAAGTAATGCTGATACTAAAATTTATTCTTTTTCACCTTAATGATATTTTGTATGTAATGAACATTAGACCAAATAGGGTCAATCTATTTTATATTTAAAGGTTTTTATTAAATTGTGTAATCTGTAATTAATTTAGTCTTTAATAAAATATTATTTGTTACAAATATACACATTAATTATATCTAATCAAATTCTCAATATTTGTTATTTTTGATTGTTCGTTCTTATAATAAAAACAAGAAAAATTTCTTTTAAGTGTTATTCACTCTTTAAATTAGATAATAATTTAACAAAAACTTACTTTTCTTTTCATCATCAAAGTAAGAAAGTCTGACTCATTTATGACTGTTGTGTGATCTTGATCGTACTTTGAAAAGGAATCAAGTTTGTATATTATGGCATCTTTATTTTCTATAGTCTAAAAAGACTAGTTGTTAGTGCTATTTGATCCTCCTAGCTATAGCTCTGATGGTCTATTTGTAATTGACTTAGATCTTTTCGCATCATTTTTTACTTATGAGTCATTCATCCCCATCGAAGCTTAATTTTATTTAACTGAATATGGTGAAGCAGAGTTTTTAGAGGAATCCCCAGAAGTTGGAGGTGCTAATTTAGATTTTTTAACATGACTAAATTTCGTTTAATCTTTTTAATTTGTTCCTGTATTATCATTTTTATTAGTTGGTGTAGAGTTAGAAGTGTCAAATAGTTTAATTTCTTAAGGTCTTTTAATAAAACGAGCTTCATTTGGACCAAAGATTCTCATTTCTTCCAGCTTTTACTCAACTAGTTATCTATATTTAGTTCTCCTTTCATTAAAAAATTTACGAATTTCATTTAACTATAATTTTTCTTTTTGCTTTATAAACTTTAACTGATTGTCTTTGTAATTTGTATGAACTAGCAACTTGGCTTCACCATTCCAAAATAATACTGTTTCGGGTATAAATACCCTCAGAGTTCTTTAAACTCTTTAAGGAGGTACCAATCTTTTTAAAATAAAATTTAAATCTGTATCGTGGTTTTTAGACGGAGAGCTGTCAGTGTAGTTGTTATTAATACCAACATCAGCTCCTGTTTCATTCTGCTTTCCAAACTATTCTAAATTTAAATTTGCTTCGCCTGTATTAAAACCATTACTTGCTTATAAATTCTACTAATGAAAACTCTAATGAGTGTATCTAAAAGGAGATGCTTAACTTGTATAAAATGATTTAGTCGTCTTATTAGGTGAGCTTTCTCTATTGTTATAAATAAAAAATATTATTGATTAAACTCTTATTGATTTTATATATGAATGCCATAAATGCTTTCCACTTTAATTTTAATCATAATAAGATATTTAATGAATTACTATAAATTAGGGTTTTTTTTCAAGCATATCTAGCAAAAGCATTTATATTAATCTCTTGCATGATTTTAAAATTATGAGTTTAAAGCCTAATCTTTTTCTTCAGCAAACAAAGAATCTAAATATTTTGAAGTTTAATCGAAAGGCATTCGTTCAAGTCTAGCATCCTTATCTTAGTTTTAATAATGAATTTATATTACGATTTTAGCTCAAATATTTCAAAATTATAAACCTACTTCTATTATATTTATATAAAGGAGATGAAGCTGGCGATAGAGTTTTATGCGCCATTTATATTGAGTTGCTATAGAGCTATAAAAACTACTTTAGTCTGTAAAAACCTAAAATTAATTCCTAATATATTGAAAATGAATATGATTTATTATGTTATATTTATTATTATATTTTGAGTATATTTTACAAAAATTGATGATTTGGATTTATCTTCATAAATAAAGTACCAAAGTAATCAAGTAATAATAATGATTGGATGATTTTGAGATATTAAAAAATATTCAATATCTAAAATTTACATTTAATAAAATTTAACAAGCATCATTTTGATATCAAATTATTGATCATTAGACCATGAAGGTAAATTAAAAACCAAATCATAGCCATATTTTTTATATTGAAACCAATTAATAATTTTTTCAATAAGAATCTAAAAATTTTTTACTAAATATTAAAATCAATTAAATTCAAAACTATTTTATAAAAGAAAACAAACAAATAAATATTATTCTTATACATAATTAAGTTATAAAACTATTAATTTAATTATTACAAATGATTATTTGAATGATAAAATAATTTTTTAGCAAAATATTATATATATGCTTTAATTATTCAGATAAAAATAATTTTTTTTTAAATTAAAAAATAATAAATAGGTAAATAAAAAAATAAATAGATAATATTTTTCATAATTAATTTTAATTTATAAATTAATTTTTGAAAATAATTTAATATTTTAATTCCTTATTTAATAAAATACGTTATCAGAAAAATATTATATGGTCCATTCTAAATTAAATCCAAAATATTTACTTTTAAAGTTTGAAAGTTATATAATACTAAATGAAATAAATAATTTTCTTAATTATTTCGAGTTTAAAGTTTTATTACCTAATTATTTTTATTTCTTTAATGATAATTAAGTCTTTTAGAATAACTTTAACCCCAAAAAATTTAGTTTATGATAGTTTCGTAAATTAAAAAATTTATTGCAAGATATAAAATTTAATAAAGATTTTTTTTGAGTTTGTAATATCCATTCAAAGTTTTATTACAAATTAATGCTTCTTATTTCAAAATATACATTAGCATTAGCAGATATTTTATAAATAATTATTGTTTTATCTATATGAATTTTATTTCTTGTAAATGAATATTTTTAGCTAAATTTTATAAAATACACTATAAATTAGAGAAAAAAATAATTAATTACTATCTAAACATTGATTTAGATATATATATATATTCATTTGTGTACTTTATTACTCCTTATTATATCGTAAAATTTATTTAATTCTTCTTCTTATGATTTTTTATGCTCTCTTGAGATCTATTATTATTTAAATAATCCATTAAAATTATTCATTTTATTTTTAATTTATTACCAAGCTCTGTGTATTTATACAATTTAATACTTATTCTTCAAACTCTTCGATAGCAGTTCTCATCCAGTGCATATCATCAGAAGTAGGTTTTATTCCCTAAGTATTATTTTCGTATGTATAATCTGAAGTTAAAGATTTGCAAAACGTAAATTTTACTTCTTCTTCCAATTCGAATTAGATATCTGACCATATCTCTCCCATTTTAAAGTGAGGGTACATTTAAATTACTTCTATTTTTTACTTCTCATCAGGAAGAAGCTCATTTTTATCAAATCCTGTTCTATATAAAATAGCAAATATAATTGCTCTTAAGTCATATTATTCAACTTTTTCTTTTATTTTTCTTACTAAATAAGCTTCAGTACCAGCTTCTGACTCACTGTCAGCTGCAAGAAGGGCTTCTTTAAGTCTTGCAAACCCTTTTGCACTTTACCCTCTCTTACTAGTTTAATTATTTCCTTGAGTTCCATTTTCGAACTCATTTACTACTTTTTTCTCTTCCATTAATAGTTAAAATTCATCTTGTTTTTTTTTAGGAGCTGTCATTGGATTTAAAGGTCTGTTTTTGTTCACAATAATACCATCATCATATTTAACCTAGATTATTATAAAACATGTTTGTTTATTTAATAAAATTTATTTAATTACTTAAAATCTATTGTCTTCTTTATTGTATATTTTTATAAGCAATTAAGTTGCATTTATCATAGTTTTCCCTGAGTTCCAATCACAAAAGTAGGGAGTTGCTTTTGGATTTTCAATTAAATAAGAAAGACAACTGAGGGCCATTTTTTTATGCATGTCATCACATACTTCTAAGAACTCAAGAAGTACAAATAAGCCTTCATTATCTAAGAAAACACTTTCACTTTTTCTGTTTCCTAAAATTGAGTTCCATAAACAGTCAAGAATGGAAACTGCATATAAAGCATAACGAGCTGAAATACCCAGATTGGGATCTTTCAAGGCATTGACAATCATATCAACACCTCCCTTTTATCTGAATAGTTTTTTATTTTTGTTGCAATTTATGCATAAATTAGAAATAATAGAAAAACAAAGTTCTTTTATATCCAAAGGGTTATCATTTTCATTTTGTAAGAATTCAATCAAATTATCCATAACTCCTTCATCTGTTATTTTAAGCTTATAAGGCTCATCAAATAAGGAAGCATTGTTGAATACTCTTAAGCATTTTTCTCTTTTTTCAGGATCATCTTGATTTGTTAAGAATTTTGTCAAGTAGAATAATCCGTTTTTTTCAGCAAAACTTGAATTCATTAAAAAATTTAAGTAAATTTCCACTATAAAAATTTTTAATTTTACTCTTCTTTCATATAAATGATAACACTTGATAATATAGTTAAGCAATGAAGTTGAATTTCTTTTAGCTAAGGATTCGACCAGCGATTAACTGCATAACTGTCGTTTAAAGGATCAATGTAAAGTAATAATGAGTAAATAAAAGCACTCTAATATAATAATTATTAATTATTGATCATTTTATTTAAATTTTCTAAAAAAATAATCTATTTGGTTATATTTTTTAAAATAAAAAAATTACATCTTTAATGGTTTCCAATATTGATTAATTTCCTGATTAAATAGCTGTTAACAATCCACTCCATATGAGCTTTTTGAATTCTAAATCTTCACTTGTTGTTGAATAGAAGGCACGATGATTATTGGTAAGGATCTTATCATTGTAAAACTCTATTTCGTCAACAGTTGCATAAACTAAAAGAGTATCTATAAATGTAGTTGGAGAGCTTACGTTAGGCATAGTGCTACGCTCATCAAAATATTAAAGAGCCTTTTCATCACTAAGTAAGTAGTTAATTAAGATTAAAAGCTCATTACGAAGACACTTATCTTCTAATTTATAGCCGTTACGCATCAAATCTTCGAAAACACGTTTCAACTATGTAATTATATCCTCAGCTGCAAACAACTAAATAGAGCTGATTCCAACAGCCTCAATTGCATTCCATATAATTTCGAAGCAGCTTTTTACAATGTAAGAACGGAAATCATCACAGTCAAAAATGACATATATTATATCTTTTAATATTCCGAAATTACAAAACTTTTAAGCTAAATCTTTAAACATAATACAATTAGAAATTAAATCTAATAAAGGTAAAAGATATTCGTAATTTTTCTAGTAATATTGCATAGTGAATATAATATCTTCAATAACATCTGATTTATTGATAGCTCTCAAATTTTTAGAGCCTTCATTCAGAAGCTTTTAGAGTGGACTTGGCTCATATCCTTGCATCTTGGCCTTTTCAAAATTTTCTTTAAATTAAAATAAACATGAATTATTTTAATATTATATAATAAATATCTTTTTTTGTTGGTTATATTTATTTGATTTTTAATGATTTCAAAATGAAAATGCTTAAATTAGACTTTCTATTAATTGATTATGGGTTATTTGTATTGCTTCGATTAAATCATAATAACTTCAGAAAATGCAACTTACTTTCAGCTTAGAGTATGGTATCTATTCCTTCATCTGAAAAGTTCCTTAAGAAAATAATAGCACTGTATCTCAAACTTTCAGTAACTTCTTCGTTCAGTATTATTTTCTCTTCAGCGTGAGTGTTATAAAGCAAAGGTCTATTAATTAATTACAATTTGAATTTATTATAATGAGCTTTTAGTTCTAAATAAAATATATATTTATTGCTTTTAAATCAACGAGGTTTAGTTGATAGGCTTTTTTCATACTAAAAGTATGACTCCCAATTTAAATAAACAAACTGCATTCATTAACGTATTTTCAAATCTAATAATTTATCATAATTTAATTAAAATGCTTGCCTGAATGTATTTAAAAACTATGGTAAAATAGGAACATATTTAAGTTCATCACTGGCTTTTGTTTTTTTGAAGGGGTTACTTGATGTTTCGCATAACTTTTAAATGGCTGCAGTCATTTCAACAACTCCTTTTTTTAAATCTGCAATGGCATACTCTACCATTTTGCAAAGAGCTTCAATTTCTTAATAATAAAATCCATCTGATCTTTCTTTGCAAAATCTAATGATTGAACTTGCTTTCCTATCGCCAAGTTGCTCGGTATACTCAGATTCAAACATCTGCAAAACTTTGTTTGCAGCTTCAAAATCAACGACTGCATTTCCTTGAGTATTTCCTAGAGTACTCATTACAAAATTTTGTTAAGTCCTTTTATTAGTTAATTAATTATTGAAACTATATAATTTGATAATTAATTTTCCTTTAAAATATTTAACTTATTCGAAACAACATTTCAATTATAATTTTTATTCATTTCCAATAATTAATGTTAATAAAGTAAATTATATTTTTATGCATTCATGCAAGCATAGCTATCATTTGCATATATTAGAGCTAGAATAAATATATAAAATAAAATAAGTTACAATAATATCTTTAAAAAAATTAAAATAAATGTATTATAAAAAAAAAATGATTTATTAATTTAAATGATTTCTAAAAATGCTTAATTAATTTAACCAAATCAAAGTTTATTTTGAATGATTTAAATTTATTTTTCTCAGATTTTCAAATAAGTTATTATGAAATTGATAAGTTGTTTTTAAATGATTTTTAATCTTCAATAAAATGCTAATTAAATATAAAATAATATTTTAAATATTTGAATGAGTTAAAATGCTTAATTTTTTTTATTTAAAAAAGATTAATTTAATTAATTAATTCTTAATCATTGATACAAAAATTTTAAATATAAATTTCAATAAACTAAAATTTTGTTGTGAATATTTTGTTTTAAAAAATGTTTATGTATCTTTAATACCTGTTCCTACTCTCTATTGGCAAAAAATTCAATGTTGAGACCATTCATACATATATTGTTAAGGTGATATTTTTTTTATTAGAATATTTTTTACTTGTATATATAGGAGAAAATAGATAGTATTTATTTCAATAGAGAGATTATTAAAAAAAAAATAGATCAAAACAAATTTTAAATAAAAAATAAGATATTTCTATTATTTTTGATATAAAACAAAAAAGTTAAAATGTTTCAATATAATAGAACTATTCGTTCATTTTATAGCAATAAGCCTAGCTATATTTTAACGATATGGATGTGTATTATAGGATTTGCTAAAGTTCCTTTTTTAATTTATGTTACTAGCTAAAATCTAATAAATAACTACAATGTCATTTTTTAATATAGTGATGACATGTTTATGGATTCTACAGTATAATTATTAATAGGAATTAGCGCAAGCATACTATTTTTAATGATATTTAGTTATAAAGTGAGCAGAAGATTAGTTATTTTTCTAGCAGAGGGATCTTTCATTGCATCATTAGTAATTTATATGCAAAAATATAATTATTAGTGTTACGCATTAGGATTTACTTTACCTATTTCCACTATTATATACCCTTTGTACTTGGATGAAATATCATATGACCGCGAATACTTTAACTTAACAAATTATTTGTAACTCTCTTATGTTATTTCCTAATTTTATCTAAGCTCTTCGTTTGAAAATAAAACATTTATCATTATTGGAATCTGCCTAGCAGGATTCAATATAGTTATTAGTCTTTCAAGCAGTATAAAAGAAACAACACTTTATTGGTATATGAATCATGAATCATAAAATGGAAAGGATATTATAGATTTGATGCATACTCAAGGATAAAATTCTATTTAGCTTAAGTTTTAAGAATACAGAAATAGAAAGAATAATTATTTTACAAGTTAAATTCTATAAAGAATGTAGGTAAAGAAGGATTTAAAGGTTTTGCTATTATCATTTTTAATTCCTTAAACTTAAGTATTTAATTATTTTAAGATATTTAACCCAGATATTTATAATGAATCTTACTACAAAATTAGCATTATTTTAGTAGCTTCAGTTGTTGCTCTCTTGCTTTTGTAATTCATCAGTCATCAATTTCTATAAAAAATTGGGTTTATGGTTTCTATATATCTAAATGTGATAGTAATTATTGAATACTAAATTAATGAAACTTAAGACGATACAACATTGCAATATGCTTTGTTTTTTATTTTGAACTTCTTTGTAGTATCTGTTTGGCTAATATAGAGTTTTTAGTAAATTCGTATCAGATTGATTTGGTTGCAGCAATTAGTATTTTGGTTTTCTATATATCTGAGTTGTTATTCTTAAGCAAATAATGGGTATATTTAAAGTAGCAGCTATCAACTCTAAATAGGATAATTAATTCTGTCATGCTTTATTGGATTTTTAATAGTATGTGATGATTGAAAATAAATAAATAAGTAATGTATTTTATATTTTATTTCAGATTTAGTTAAGTAAAAATTATTATTTTTTAATAATCAAAATAACAAAAAAATTATAAAAACTATTAATAAAAATAATTAATTGAGTGAGTTATTTTCATAAATATGTTTGAACAAAATTTTTTACTTTGAATTGATGTAAGCTTACATTCCTTTGATTTATAAAATAAATTATTGATTATTAAATTTTGTCCATAAAAATTTCTTTATTAAAAAATTTGATCAATAATGAATCATGTAATGAAAATAAAATATTTATGTGTACAAATATTCTTTATAATTAATTCTTTGAGAATTTTTCTAATAATTTTTATTTATTAGAACTTCATCGCCCCTTTTTCTGTTAAAATAAACGATCGATAAAGAAATTGATAGAAAAATTGTGATATTATTAATTGAAGATTAAATGTATTTTAGATTTTACTTATTTACGCCCTTAATTAAAAATATAAACGATCAAAAAAATAAAAATATTAATTTTGTTTGATTGTATTTTCTTTTAGCAATTTTTAAAGCGATAAAATGAATTTATAATAAGAAAACTTCTTTTTAAAGAAATTCCCTTAAGTAGGTGAAGGATCTAGCGAGTGGATTTAACTAGAATATGATCTCTAACTTGGATTAGGATCTATTTCTGCTGTTATTAAAGATATTAAAGCTATCAACAATCAATCTTTATAGTTTTAATTTTAGAAGCATAACTAAGTAAGTATATTTAATAATTAGTTCCCTTCTCTTTCAAAACTTCATAAATGGGTTTCCTAAAAAATATTTTATTAATTATTTTAAGAATAGACTTATCCTTGAATCATGGATAGATTACGAAGAATTGGAATAATCGCAAAAAATTGATGAAATGTGCTACAAGGGTTTTGAATTTAAAGATCCCTAAAAAGGTCATGTTTTCCCAACAGGATATATTGAGTTGAGAGATAATAGCGAATCTAAAAAATAGCATACTGTGATTATGTTTAAAATTGCAGTTGGTAGATCCTAATGTATACCTTATCGCAAAGAGGAAATATAAAGTAGAGATTACTTAAAAGACAAAAACAGCAATTTTGATAGTTTATATCTTTATGATGAAGCCAATGATTAATAAGGAAGTGTTTTCTTGCATAGATATGTCCTTTTTGATAAAGAATAAGTTCTGCCAATGTATCAGATAAAATTTGAATTCGATGATAGCAAGGAAAAGGACTTGCAGGTAAAATTTAAGATGGATAATATAATATTAATTTTAGTTATTCAAGAAAATTTATTTTAATACAAACTTTTTTGAAATAAAAGCCACTAACTTGCGACAACTAATGCTCAAACAAAGCTAAATTCTACTGTAAAAATGACGATGCTTACTTTTGTCATGACTGCAATTTTGATATTCACAATAATAATTAGCAAACATTTAATTAAAAGCATCATACAATTGAGATATCAAAAAAAGAAAAAAGTTTTGGTAATTGTAAGGTTAGTGATCATCAAGGTACTAAATTAGAACTGTATTGTATGATTTGTCATGAGGCTTTATGTGTTTATTGTAAAATTCAAGGCTCTCATAGTCAAGGTGAACCTGCTGCACACTAGCTTTTAAGAATATCAGATGCTTATAAAAAGGCACTACACGAATCAAAAGTTTTAGATCCTTAATTAGAAAAGCGCAAAAACGAACTCACTGACCATTTAACTAATATAGATCAAAAAATAAAGTAAAATATTTTTATTTAAGTCAATATAAAGTGCAACAAATGATAAAAAGATATAAACCGTTGCATTATTATATTTACTTTTATTTAATTTAACTTTATATATTACTTCTTAGGGATGTAAGCTCTAAATCAAAAAATATAGAAGATAGAATATACAAACTTTTAGAAGATGGCCTAAAGTTATTGCAATAAAAGACAAAAGAAAAAATGTGTATTTTAATAGGTGACTAGCTTGAATTAAAAAGATAATATGATCAAATTTAATGGATTGAATCATTTTTAAAATATTAATAAAATGTTCTTAACCCAGCTGAGTACCTAAAAGCATGGTCAAGACATAGTTAGCTGAGAAATAAAATTATAAGTGCTGATAAATACTAAATAGAAGAGATAAGCTCTGATATTCATATGGATGCTTAACCTATTAAAATTACAAGTGAAAATAATGTACAAAGTAGCTAGAATAAATAAAATCAGCAAGATCCAAATGAAAATTAAAGTAATGTATTAAGGGGGTAAATAAAATATTTCATATCAAAATCTTATTTAAAAACTCATTTCTTTAAAATTTAGTAACCCAAGTTCATAATTTAGAAGTTAGATCTTAGGTAATAATAAGAATTCTAGTGCAAAAGACAAGAATGTTTCAATGTCAAATTTCGTAGTTAATAACAATACATCTAGAAATTAGATTAAAGGTCAATCAACTTTACAAACTATTGGTATTATGAATAATGGTGCTACATCATCGGAAGGAGCTTGATACTGCTTAGTGACTTAATTCACTTAGATCAATTTTAATTTTAAAATAAAATTGTCCTGTCTTTAAAGCGCATTAAATATATAAAAAAATAAATAATTCATAAAAGAGAACTTTGTAAAAATTAAAAAAAATATTTAAAAATATTCAATAAAAATAATTTGTATGTAGATAAAGTTTTTATATAAATAAAATGCTTTTTGTTGTTTCTAAAAATTTTTCTTCTTTTAGTTATTCAATTAACAATTTAATTTTAATAAATTTTACTTTCAATGTTCTTATTAATTTTAATCTTAAATTATTTGGAATATGTATGCTCTTTAAGTTTCGACAGTCTTTATTTATCAAGCAATCTTTTGATATGATGAATATTAAATAGAGAAAGTCAACTTCATAATTAATTTTATTTATACACCAAATTATTAAATTTGTGTGGCTTTTAATTGATTTGTTAAACTTTAATTTAGAAGTTAATTTTTTATCTTATTTTTATTAATAAACCCCTTTTTTTATTCTTACCTCACCTTTTTAAATCTTACAAAATATTCGTTTGCAAAAAATTTTCATCTAATTTTTTAAATATTTAAGCATGTGCGTGCGATCTATCTAATCATTATTTAAATTTAAATATAATTAATTAAATAAATAAAAAATCTAACAGTCTTTTCATTTATTTTCCATCAAATTAATACTGATCGTAGGTGTGTGTATATATCTAATTTTTTTAATCAAAATTTTATTTGAAAATAAGAAAATTAAATAAAGCCTTAATTTTGTATCAACTATTACAAAGCAAAAAAAAGGATATTAAAATAAATTATCTAAAAGCTAAAAAATCTTAGCTATGAAATTAATTAAACATTTACCAACAAAATTGATTGCTTAAAAGCTGAATGTACTTCTAATTAAATAAGATTACCCTTAACTCACTAGAAGGGAATTAAAAAATATTAAGTCTATCTTCAAAGTAGAAAAAAATTAAATAGATTTTAGCACATTTTTTAGTAAATTTGTAATACATAAACAGAAAAACAAAAAAACAAAGAAAAAATAAGAAGCTTGTTTATTTTTTAATTTTAAAATCGTTTATAGGATAAATTATAAAGATATGTAACATAAATAGTTTCTAAATATTTGATAATTAATTTAATAACAAAATTTTTGCAGTTAGCTGTAGTATATTATATAAATAATTGAATATTTGATAGAATAAGTAGAAAGAGTTGTTTTTTTTGTTTGTTTATTTTTCTGTCTGTCTGTACTTTTAGAAAGAGTAATTATTCTTATATTGTTTTTTTAGGTTTAGTTTTAGTCGTTTTAGTAATGTGATTTATTATGAAGGATTGATATTTATTTTTTATAAACCACTTACTATTATTATTGAAAATCAGATAAAAAATGCTGATTTACCAGTAAGCGGTTGAGTTAAATTATTCTTGTTTGTTTGTTTGTTTGTTTTTTTGATTGATTGTTGTGGTAAATTAAGGTACTTTAAAAATAATATTTAATTTTAATAATTTTTATTTCTTGTGTCTGATTCTTTATGAATAGATAGATAGATATATTTTATATTTTTAAGATTTTTTCAATTAAAACCAGCAAATTATTCACCAGAACCTTACTTACTGTTCATTGGCGAAATTTATGAATCTTCTATGTTTGTGGCTGAGCGATATTTCAAGCAACGAACTTTTGCTAAAGCCTTTGAATCTTTTAATGAAAGAAGATAATGATTTAAAGCTTCTTCATGAGAGAGCTTATCCTTGATCTTTGAACTGTATATCCACTCTTGGGCTTTTTCTTTTAAGAAATAGCTAAAAAGTACATTAAATTCTTAATTCTATATCAATTCAACCATTAAAGTATTATTGTAATTCTTTTTTGAGATAAATTTCTCAAAATTCTTCCTAATACTGTTCAGTTCTGACATTATTTAAGAGGATTCAGATATTGCTTCTTTCAGAACAACCAATACTTCAGGCTCATCTGAAGGATTATTGATGAATCCTCTGAAAGCCTTTATAAAGTTCTTAACTAAATTTTTTCTGTCGCGCTTGTAGTTAAGATTTGTTAGGCTTGGAGAAGATGCTAATTTTATTGAATTTAAGTAGGAAGATTTACGAGGCTTAGCGCTATTGTTATTAGATGTGCTTTGCAAATTGGATGAAGATATATTGCATAAAGATTTATCAATGTTATTAGAGGATTTCGCTATTGCTTTCTTCACAATATTTCTTTTACGGTTAATCAGCTAGTTGTAGATTTTATCTGTTTCAATCGAGAAGTTAGATGAATCTTCATTTTAACTACAACTGCTGTTTTAGAGCATTTCGTTGTTAGAATCATGACCATTGTTGAGTTGCATCATGATAGCTGTTTCTAAGCTCTATGAAGCATTACGGAGTGGGGAAGCTTAACCATTCAAAGGATTATTGTTTAATTAAATAATTTAATGTTTATTTGTGTCATCTTCTCCTATTGCTTTAATTGGACTGCTATTTCCTGGAATTGTGATGAAATAATTATTTTTAACATTATTAAGAGGAACCTTAGCATCTTTATCGGGAATTGCTGAGCAAGAGATCTAGTCTTCAATCAGCATATCGCCGCTGTTCTTAGTGGAGGAACCGCAATTTGAGTTCATTAGACTTTCCTCAGCTTCAAAGCTCTACCTTGTTGTTTCATTCTAAGAGTCGTCTGTGAGTATTGAAGTTTTTTTTACTCTCTTCTTTTTGTCTTAATCTTCTATGATGTTATCGCATGAAAATGCAGGTACCATTTAATTTATTAAACTTTTATTAGCTTTTGAAATAGAGTAGTTGCTTTCTGAGTTATTAGTTGTGCTTCTTGTTGAGAAAGCAGAAACTTCTGAATTGAATTTTTTGGGAGATTTTGTTTTATTGTTGGCATTATCTATCCTGCTTTCTGGTTTATTTTCATTTACGTTTATAGGTATTTTTTTTATGAAGGAATAAAGAAGCTAATCACTTGATGTTATTTGTTATTGTGGGGAGCTTTCTTCTTCTACATTGTGGGCTTCTTCCTCTTAGTAGTCATCATCTGCCTCAGGATCATATTAATTATTTTCATCAATTATTTCATCATCTTCCGCATCTTCCTCTTCAATTTCTTCTTCTCCGCTACCAAACTCTGTACTCTTAGGACTTTCTGCCAAGGAAGATTGCCTGTTATTTGAAGATATTTTAGTTTACTTAGGATTGTTTAATTATTATTATGAAGTAGAAGAGGTAGCAGTTTGTGTTTAAGTAGCTGCTATGGGATTCTAAGGTTTAAATACTGAAACTGTTTGAACAAGCCATCCATTTAGAACGACATTATGGTATATTTCCATTTTATCTTAATTAATGCAATTGATTGAAGATGATATTTCTAAATTTGTAGTTGCATTGTTCAAAGAGATTCCTTTAGTAGGGGTAGCAAGTTTTTGTTTTGTGGTAGTAGTTTCTACTAACAACCATTGGTTGTTAAAGCTGACGATTGATGATTTAAAACTGTCTACGGTGGTCATTGAGTTAATGTTTATAAGTATATTACTGTTTTATAAGATTAATTTCACGATTACCCTTGTTTTATTTCCTTGTTGCGAAGTAGGATTTCTTTTATTTATATCTCTTTTTAATTATCAAGAATTTCGTTGATTTCTTGTATTTGAAAGTTGAAAATGATAGATAAAATAGGTGCTTTGCGTAAGTAAAATGAATGAAAAGGATAACTAAAAAAATGAAAATCTTTGTTTGTTTCTATATGTATAATCTATGAAATGACGAGCAAAACTTGTGTGTGATCTTATATGAAAGAGCTGATTGTTTTCGTTAAGTAGAAAAATGATTGTAGCTCTGTAGATCAATAATTTTTTCAAATAATAGGTTTCTAGTTTTTAATATTTCTTCTGCTTTCCTCTCTTTTTTTGATTTTTTTCTTTGTTTCTTATTAAATTTTTTGTTAGAAATTAACTAAATTCTCCCATCAATTTTAATATGATTTGATTCAGCTCTTCTTTCACAAGAAGATAATGTCCACTCACCAATCTTTTTTGTTTTTGAATTAACTATCTATCAGACCTATTATTTTTTGCTTGATGAAGCTCTCCCCCAGAAAAAAAGATAAATAGATAGATAGATAAATAGATAAATAGATATTGATCTCCTACTTACAATCAAAATTAAATTTGATAATTTTTTAGATTTTTTAATGCACAATCAATCAATTAATCTTATCATTGGAGTCATAATAAATATATTTCTAAAATTAATAAACTCATCATCTTTCCTTCACACAAAAATTAAAAATAGCATATATAAGTCTTCTCTTCTAGCTAATAATTACACCTAATTAAATCATAATAATTTCATGTAAATATATCGCTTTTTAATCTCCCTTATCGTATGTCTCAGAAATTATTTTATTTTTGTTTAGATTAGAACTCCATAAACTAACTCTTTTGGATTATTTTCGAAAGATAAATGGTAAAATTATTTTCTAAAATTCAAAAAAATTAATATATCAAACTCTTCAATATAATCTTAACCATCAGCAAGTTAATAATTATTAACTAGTTTCTTTCTATTTGTCTTAACTTCTCCCTGAGAGCTTTATTGTTATAAATCAAGGATAGAATTTCGTATTTATTTAGATATATTTATTTTTATTTTTTAGAAACCCTTTTAAATGTATAGAAGAAACAGTATTTAAATTTGAAGTTGCTTCCATAAAAACTCAACAAAGGCTAAACTGTCATTTTATTTATTTCATTTTAACAAAAAATAAAAAAGGTTTTTTTACTAATAGTGAAAGTAGGAATTTATAATTTTAAAAAAAGATCTTGTGAAAGTATTATTTTGTAGGATAAAGTAATTAAAAATATTGGAAATTATTGCACCTTTAACTCAGTGCCAAATCTATCTTATGCCTTATCGATTTATCTATATCAGAAGATAAGTTTTGAATAGAATTTACTCACTTTTAAAATATTATTACATTATCAAATGGTAAAAATATTTCATTTTCTAATTAGAGTTTAATGATAAATTTACAAATACTAAATGAAAATCTGTTGAAAAATTATCAGAATAAAAATAAATAAATAAAAAAATAAATCTTAGAAATTTTCATCACTTTTGTTTAAATAAATAATGAAAGAAAAGAAAATAATCAGATTAAAAGGATAAAAGCATTATTAAAATTGTATAAGCAGAATTAGATTGCTTATTTCCTTATAAATGCAAATGTGAGTCTACAATTTCTGATACCAGTTTAATTGCAAATAATTACACTATTTTATCAAATAAATACGATTTTCTACTTCGATTAACAAATTTATTATTTTGTCGTTTAATCTTTTTTAATTTTTATTTTTCTCATTATTAGCTTCAGTCAAATTTGCTCTTCATCCTTCACACTGATTCCACTATATTTATAATATTTTTTGGTATAATTGATAGAAAAATTCATCAAAAACAGTGTGTTTGTCTCATGAGTGCTTTTATTTATTTGCAAAGATTCTTTTCTTCATTATTTCTTTTTTTATGTCTTTATTGCTTTTTCATTTGCATCTCTATTGAGATGCTGAATTTTTATCTTTTTTATCTCTTTTTCATTTTCTTCTTTTACATACTCTTTTTACGCGTCATATGTCAGTAATAAACATAGATTCTATTTTTCTAAAATTCTTTCATTTATTTATTTACTTATTTAGCTTTTGCTTTCAAATCTTTTATTATAATTCCTCCCACGAGTGATTGGTATCTAAAAGTAATTTAATTCAATTTATTTAGCTTTAGATACGCATTTATAGCTTATGCATGTCTCAAAAGGACCCCCACTCTACTTTTAAAAATCCTATAATTATTTATTCTCTCTCATTCTTTTGCATTTATATAATAAATAAAATTAACTATCCAAGCAATAGAAATATCACATTTAAGTTCAAAATTTTTTATAATGAAAGTTGACTCGGTGTAGAATGATATATCAATACTCTAGCATTCAAAGTAGTAAAATTGTTAAGTATTAGATATTATGCGTAAGATCAACAATACGTGTCTAGAATAGTTGTGCATTTAAATTTTAAAAAGAATTTTTGGAACAAAGACTTAAAACAAGATTTTATATTAATCTAACTTAAAAGTTGAATTAGAATATCAATTACAGTTTATTAATCGATAAAAGCTCATATTTAAAATCTTGCTTTGACACTTTACTTAATCATTACTTAAACACGTAGAAATAAAAAAATCTGTTATAAAGACATCCAATCTAAAGAAAAAAAAGTAAATATCAGTTAGAATAATTATCAAATAATTCTACCAACTAAGAATCATTCTAAATACTTAAAAAAATAAAATTAAATAAAGGGAAAAGTGTAATTTTAATCAATTTTTTATTTTTAAATGTATATTTTACTTTTGAAACTCCAGTAAATAATATAAATAAATAAATAAATAAATAAGTGAAATGTTCAATCAAATAATCAAATGATCATTTAAAATAGACTTAAAAAATATCTAATTAATTTTATATTATTAATTAATATTTAGATTAACAAAAGTGTATTAAATTTAATTAAAATAAATTCTCATTTTTTTTTGTAGACATTTAAAATAATCAAAGTGATGGTTTCATTTTATTTTGTTCTTCTTAAATAAACTTGTTGTGTGCCTTGATCTTTCTTTATATATCATCTATAGCCACTTTAAGTTTTTTGATTAGCAAAAATCCATACTCTTATTACTATTTTGTTTGCTTTTAGTTTTTTTCTACTTTCTCAAGTAGAACTCTAAGTCTATCGCATATATAGCTTATATTATCATCCCTTGGAAATAATTAGTCAAAGAAAAGGGAAGCATATTCCTTCGTTTATTTTTAAAACACTTTTTCAATTGAATTAAACCATTCATCAGTAAATTTAGGATACTGGTTTTGTAAATTAAATGCAGACATGGCAGCTTCTTGCACTTTAAGCGATTTAACTTGAGGATATTAAATAAATGTTTCCCATAAATACTAGCACTCCTACAAAGTAAAATCCTATATCAAGCACCTTTGAGAAATGGTTTGGTTGAAAATGTTGTTATTAGATAAAAGGTAATTCTCATAGAATTTTCTTTTTTATTCTCTAGAATGAAAATTGGAAGAGTGTATTAAAGAAACAACATTAGAAGTTCTCAGACCAGCTTTAGCTAATGCGTTTAATCCCTTATGAGATTTTTAAATTTTTATTTGTTAGAGATACGAGGATTCAACTAAATCGATAGAATCCTTAATTTTAACAAAGCTAGTAATTATTTGTCTCAAAGCAATTATTTTATTCTTTGAATATAGATTTTCTCTCATGTATTCCTAAATAAAATTAAACATATCTTCTGAGTATTTAACTAGATATTAAGGAGGAGTGTAACTGAATAGTACTGCTTTCATGTACATAAATTGGTTTATCACTATTGAGTCTGTCCTTTCATTCACAATATTCTTTTTGAATATGTCCAGATACTCGTCAGAACTAATTCGTGCATCTCTAACCTTTTTTTTAAATGAAAAGATGTCTATTTTTTTAAATTGGCTGTTTATATATAAGTTACCATCTCAAATATAGATCTCCAAATTAGTGTTCTTGTTAGGTCATCATGAATATAATGAAGATTTTTCTTGAAAAAGCTCAAACTCTCTTTGTCTAAAACAACTTTTACAAAAGCGTGGTCTTCGAAGTTGAGAAGGACGGCTCTGATTCTGAAAGGATACTTGTATTTAATAATTGTATCAATCTGGGGTAAAACATAAATAGTTTAGTCATGCATGGTAGCATTATCATCGAAGAAACATATTTTCATTTTGTGTCTTCTTAAATTGAGATGACTCTACAAAGCACAAGACTAAACAATAGTTAGTGTGGTTTGAGAAGTTTCAGGATCAAAGTAAGGCTCAACAATATTCAGACCAGCTGTCTAAATGTGCATTTTCTGCCAACTTCTAAAATCAAAATCCATCTTCTTTACTTTTGAATATGTCATACTTAAAGACTACATAAAATCTTCTAAAGTCGCATTACTAAAAGCATTTTTTCCAAAGTAAGTAGCTAAACTCTAACTAAATATCTCTTCTCCAATAACAAACAGAAGTTATTTTATTGTGCTTGCTCCCTTTGAATATGTTATTCCATCAAATATTGTTCTTGCCACATCAGTATTAGGAACTTTACCTGCTATCGGATGAGTAGTAGGCAACTAATCCTCACGATATCCCCATGATTTTCTAAAGTTAAACTACAGCCAAATATTTTCTCGAATACTCTCAAATTTTTTAATGTTTATCTTGGATAGGCAAAAATGTGATATGAAATCTGCAAAACTTTCATTAAGCCACAAATCGTTCCACCACTTCATCGTTACTAAATTTCCAAACCACATATGAGCAAGTTCATGGATAATTGTATTTGCAAAACTGCTAAGTTTTTATATGTCGACTTCTTCCTAAAATAAATAGTTATCATTAAATGTTACTGCTCCTACATTTTCTAAAATATTTTATAAATATAAAACTTTTAAAACTAAAACTTTTTAAAATTTAATCATATATATACCCATAGCTCCAGAATTAAATTCTGGGCAAAATATTTAGTCGTATTTGGTAAACGGATATTTATATTGAAAGAATTTCTCAAAGAAGTTGATTCCATTGCAAGTAACATCAAATATAAAATCTTTTTATTTTTATAAGCTTTGTTTTCTTGATTATGTGCAGTAAAGACTCATAGGAATATCCTAGTAAAAGTAAATAAATAAATAACATGTAAATGAATGAAGATATCTTAAAAAAAGCTTTAACATACACAATTGAGATGGTTCATATTATTATCTTCAAGGTCAAAATCTATTTGGTAAAATGGACCTGCTATAAAAGCATATAAATAAGTTGATATGTATGCTGTAGGATTGAATTCGATTTTCTTGTATTCATTTGTCTCAATAGAAGATTTTGCAGATTCATTTGCTATAAACTTCCAATGTTTAGGAATGGTTACAGTGAGTAATAATCTTGCTTTAATATCGGGTTAGTCAAAATTAGGGAAAATCATGTTGCAGTAATAGGCCTCGCATTAAGAATAGAGATATTAATTCTAATCCTTTGGATCTATATAAGAATGTAAGCCACAACCATTATTAGAATAATCATTCTTAAATTGAATTTCTACCATATTAACTCCATTATCAATCAAATAATTATATTTTAATTTCAAAAATTTTCCGTTCCATTCAACGATCTTTATAGGGTGTCTATTAATCTTTAATCCTACTATTTTGTCACCTGAATAGTCTATATAAATGTCTTTTTTATAAAGTTTTGTCACTTCAAATGTGACTTACACCTTTCCTTCATACTTAGAACCTTCTTTTAAAGTTAGAACAAGATCATAGCTGACTGTTTTGCTAACTATTTAATTAGCTCTTTATTTTGCAAACGCTTAAGTAAGAGACTTCATGTCTTAACAATCTATCTCCTTTTTCTTAAAAAAGTTTAACATAACTCAGAATGGTTTGGTGTGTTTTCCTATTATGCTATATCAAAAAATATTAAAAACTTCTTAAATTCTAAATATTAATATTCCTTATATTTTAAAATCAAATAGAAATTGATATCAAATATTACGTCAATTACTTTTTATTTAGATATTATTAATAATTTTATAATACGATATTCATTCCTTTGATTTGCTTTTATCAATATTTTATTTTTAATTAATATTGTTTATATATTAGAAATAATCAATAAAATTTTGCTGTAATTAAAATATCAAATCAACAAATTACAACTTTAATATGGTTATTCCCATTTAAAAATAAAATAAAATTATTGATATTTTTGATATTTATAAATTAATTTATTAAAACTTAGCTAATCAAAACGCGAAAATTATTTAAATTAGAACCGATTTAATTTAAAATAAAATTTTAAATAATGTAAATACTTAAAATTAAATTTCATTATTTAACTTAGAGAAAAAATATATTAAAAGTAATATTTTAAATTCAGTTCAGTTTGATGTTATTTTGTTAAAAATGAAAAAATTAATCTTAACTTAGTAGAATAAGTAATTTGTTAAAATATCTATGTAGGAGTTGTAATGAATTTTATAATAAAACATGTTGATATCTCTTCTTTTGCGGTGTTTTTTATAATTTATTTTGTTGATTTTTGGTAAGGAGAAGTATTTTACAAAAAAGGATTTTGAAACAAAATTAAATTTTTTTGAAATTTGTATTATAGCATTAGGTGAAAGGATGAGGATGATGATAAGCTTTGCAAAGTATATAGCTAAATATATAGTAAAAGAAAGTATTATTTAGGCGAATATAAATTTTAATTTGTGAAGAAAATATAAGAATACCAAAGAATCTAAAAAAATATCAAATATTTATAGATATCTTTTGATTTAACAATTACAAGTATTAAAAAAAGTTTTAGAAATATTAAATATAAGTAGACAAAGGTTAATGCAAAAAGTGCTTAAACAGGGTCTTCTTGCTACATGTAAGAATACTCGCTCTATCTATAAATATGGCATGAAAAACACCATCAAATCCTTATGCTAAAAAAATATAAATTAAAAAACTCAGCTATAAAATTAGTTTATTTCATTCAAATATTCTACAGATCCTAACAATAGCGGTAATCAAAAGAGCTAAAATGATAATAATAATTTTACTAGAAATGACAAAGATTAGAGCAAGAATACACAATAGCAGTAAAATCCTCAAAGTGGAAGATTTTTTTATTCCCATACAAAGATGAGTAGTCATTATATCCTGAAAGAGGATGAAGTTTATGATTTATTAAATAAATTTGACATATAATATAAATAGTCTTTAAATAACTCGTAAATATAAATTGAATGGTGTCCTTTTTGCTTAAAACCTCACAATAATGATATTTCAAATGCATATACACTTGGAATCAAAAAGTAGTCTGGATAATTCAATTGTTTTAGATGTGGTATTCATGGTTCTTGGTGGGATTTTAAGAATCTTCTTTATAAAAATATATCTATAAATGATTTTAGAAATTACAGTTAAAATTATTAATAGTAATAAGAAGAGCGTATGGATGATTCAGAATATTATCTCTATCATAATTAATTGTTCGATAAGGAAGTGTATAAAGAAGAGCTAAATTATATATGTGGAAAAGAAAACTCGACTTAAAGACATATTAATTTTGAAACATTAGTCAAATACAAAATAGGAATAGGCAAAGAGGATTTTATAAATAAAGAAGGAGATGTTATTAAAGTACCTGTTGTATACTTTCCTATGTTTAAATTTGAAAAAGTTGAAGCTGAATCCAGTGACGAAGACAAGGCCAGAGATGTCTTTTAAGATGAAACAAATGGTAACTCACAGAGAATAACTATTAGTACAAATTCATGTAAGTTAATTAAATGTAAAATTAGAGGAATAGGATCTGAAAATAAAAAATACATGAGAGTAAAACCATCTGGATCAAAGAGGTAAATAAACATCAAGCTGTTTTATATTGTTTTTATCGTTTTGTCTTTTATCAAAAATGTTAATTCGTTTGAATATCTAGAAATTTCTGAAGTTTTACAATTTTGAATTAATCAATAAGTAGAATAAATAAAAAACTATTTAAATTTCATTTATTAAAATATCAGTTATAACCAAAAATATCTATTAATCGATATTGGTTTCTATTACACTTTAGAGCTTTTATGCTTCTCTATTTTCTATTTAAGTTAATTTACTCTTTAGATACATCAGTTTTATTATTTTAATATTAAATTTTAAATTTTAATTATTTTAGCGGTATATTTGGTTTGAATACAGTACCATAAAATGCTAAAGAATTAGTTATTACTGAAGGAGAATATGATGCTATGGCGGTTAATTAGGCAACTGGCTTACCTGCTGTTTCTTTGCCTAATGGTGCCTCGAATCTCCCTCTTGAAGTTATTGAATGTTTAGAAAAAATTGAAAAAATTTATTTGTGGTTGGATAATGATGAAGTAGGTAGAAACAATAGATAAAAATTAGCAGAAAAGTTAGGAGTTCACAGGACCTATATTGTGAATACATTAGGAGAAAAAGATGCAAATGATATTTTACGTTAAGATCCTTCTAGAATTATTAAATATATTTAAGAATCAGCCACTATTCCAGATTAAAATATTCTTATGTTTAGTGACTTGAAGGATTTAGTTCTACATAGACTGCTTAAATTTGAGCATAGTTAAGGATATCGTTCAAGAAGATTTGAGTTCTTCAACGAAACAATTAAGGGATTAAGAAGAGGTGAAATGACTGTTTTGACTGGTCCTACTGGTTCTGGTAAAACAACCTTTTTATCTCAGCTTTCATTAGATTTTTGTACTCAAGTAAGTTTTTAAATTAAATTTTTCTTGAACATTCTAAAAAATACTTCATTCATTCTAATAAAAGATTTATTTATTTATTTTAATTTTTTTGTAAATTTTCAATAAATTAATTATGTTTCTTTTATATTAAAAATTTAATTTAAAAAATAGTAAGTCCCAACACTCTGGGGTTCTTTTGAAATCAAAAATGAAGTATTAGCTACCAACATGATTATGCAAATGAGTGGGTAAGATTTATTCAAAAACCATAATAAATTTCCTTATTGGGCTTAGAGATTTGATATGATACCTATGTACTTCATGAACTTTTATGGTTCTACAAATTTAGATTAAATTATCTCTACTATTGAGTATTCGATTTACAAATACGACATATAACATGTTGTTATTGATAATCTATAGTTCTTGTTGGGTACATAAGCTAAAGGTTTTTCTAAATTTGATTTGTAAGAAAGGGCAATTGAAGCATTTAGATAATTAGCCACTAAGAAAGACATACATTTAACCCTTGTTATCCATCCAAAAAAAGTAGATGAAAATGAAGATTTGAATATCTCTTCAGTCTTCGGTTCTGCAAAGGCAACTTAAGAAGCTGATAATGTTATTATAATGCAAAATAGAGATAAATATAGAGTTATTGATATCAAAAAAAATCGTTTTAATGGTGACATTGGCAAGAAGGCTATTATTTTTGATAAATCTAATAAAAATTTCTACGAAATGAGTTTAGGAGAAGTATCAGAAATACTTTCTAGCAAAAAAACTATTTCTGATATAGTTAAATTCAAGAGAGAAAAAATTTTGGAAAAAATTGAGGAAGAGGACTAAGTTAATCCAGTGGTAGATATCAAAAGAAATAAAAGTGGAAATCCTAATAATAATAAAAATAATGATGGCGATGATAATGGTGGAAGCAATACTCCTCCATCTTCAAGTAGTAATCCTCCTTCTTCAAACACTCCTCCATCTTCAGGCACTCCTCCACCTCCTTCCTCTTCAAGCGCTTCAGCAGCTTCAAGTAATCAAATTGAAGATGTCTAAAATGCTGATAAATAAAGTTTATTCTCTGCTTAAAAATAACAATCTTAATTGTGGGAATAAAATAATTAAAAATAAGATAAAAAAAGTGAAGATAAAAGTAAAATTTAAAAGAGTAAAAAATAAAATGAAAATATAGAAATTATTGATAAAGAAGACACTATCTTAAATGTAATGGATACCCAAGCTTAATAAGAATCTATAGATTAATAAAAAGATGAAGTATAGTTAAACTTGGAAGAAAGTTTAGAATAAATAGAAATAATACATAAAAATAATGAAGCAGTTGATTAGATAGAATCTAATCTATCATTGAATTATAATTATGAAGATGAAATGTAAGAAGCTATAAACGAAGAGTTAATTGAATAAGAAATATAAGGCTAGAAACAATAATAATAAATTAAATAAAAAAATAAAAATATTTACAAAAAAGAAGAATATGACACTGACTCCCTTGAGCCAATGAATTTCGATCTTTATCAATAAGAAAAAGAGGTTAAAACAACAGTTAATTTTTTCAAGAACTATTCTCCAGTCCCTCCTGAAGAAAGAGAAGATTTAATAAATGGATCATTTAAAAAGAGCAACCCTTATAATAAATATACAAACGAAAATAAAGTATTCTAGTTCACAGAAGAATTTATGGAATAAATATTTTCTGAAAAATATGAAGCTAATTCTGATATTTCTAATAAGATTCTGTCAAAATAGCATAAAAGTGAAGATGATTTATCAAGCCAAATTATAGAAAAAAAATTTTAAGAAAAAAGGAATAAATAAAACAAAATTTGAGATGATAGCAAAAATGAAATTTTCATTAATTTATTTCAAATTGACTAACATACCATACCATATCATACCATACTATTTTAATTTTAATTAAAAATTAATTATCCAAATAATCAAAAGAATTATATTTAAATTTTATACTATTAAAGTTATTATATATTTACTTGTCTAAATTCTCATTTTCCTTTTTTAAAAAACTCAGTGTTAATTAACTAAATACCAATAGAATCTATTTGCATTTACCAAACATTTCTGTACAAATTTTAAATATTATATTGTTTTATATTTAAAAGGATTATATATTTTAAATTTTACTAATTAAAAATTTTTAAATTCTCATCATTTTTTTTAAAAAGTTTAGTGTTAACTAAACATTGATAAAGTTTATTTATTTTTTTTATAAATCTATACATATTCTGGATATTTAATTTTTCCATATTTAAAACAATAATTTTAAAAATTTTTAATGATTAAACTTATTTAAATTCTCGCTTTTTAAAATGTTCAGTGTTAATTAAACATTAATAGAGTCTATTTTTATATTTTCAATCTCTTCATATTTAAGATATTTAAATTTTTCTTATTTAAAAGAATTATTTTTAAAAAATTAAACTTTTTTAAATTCTCATTTTACTTTTTAAAAATTTCAGTGTGTGTTATCTAATCTCTTTATTTATTTGTGTGTTCACTCTGGATATTAATATTTTATCATATTTAAAAGGATTTATTATTTTTAGAATTTTATGTTAATAAAGTTATTACAAGACCTGAAAATTTGTTTTAGTAAAAGTTTATCAATATTTTACTAAATAATAATATATTTCATGCTTTAAGTTAAGGATTTTATTTATAATTTAATTAATGAATCAAAGTTATTTTTATGTGTTTTTGTTGAGTTATGTTTTTAATTTTAGAATTGGTATTTTTCATGAAAATTGTTGTAATATGAAAGATTAATTAATATTAAGATAAAATATATGTACACAAAATAAATAATTAGTCTTACAAAGATAATACACTTCTATTTTTAGTAAAAATTTCTTATAATCTTATAATTTTAGTTTGAGATAAAATAAATTAGTTGATTAAAATTTGTTAAGATTTAAAATCGAAAGAATTTTTTCATTATTTAACATGATATTATTCATCATCTTAAATTAAAGATTGCTTATGATTTGATAGCATACTTTATTTGACGTCCTTAGTATCTTTAATTTTAGTGAAAAGCACGATTCCTAAAAAGATAAAGTATAAAACCATAACTACGAGAATGATATAGATCCAAGCTTCAGACCAGTTTACTTCATCAGGTACTGATGCGTAATAGTTTACTCCTACAATAGCAGCGGAAAGGACACTCAATAAAGTTAATTGAACTTTACCAATAGTAAATTCACCCATGAGTTCTCTATCCATTGAAAGCTTAAGAAGTGGAATAACGGCAAAGGGAAGTTGTATTGCTTGAAGAATATTTAAATAGTTATTAAAGTCTTCATCATCAGCAATAAAAGCTATAACAATAGCAGGAACGATTGCAATAGCACGAGTAATAAAAGCTCTTTTGAACTTGCTTACTCTCATTTTAACAAATCCAGACATGACAAATTAACCAGCAAGAGTACCAGTTAAAGTTGATGATTAACCAGCAGCCAATAAACCGATACCCCAAATGTACTTGGCAGCTGCACCAAAGTTTTCTTCAAGGACTGTGGCAGCAGAGCTTAAATCAATATCTGTTCCACTATTGTACCAATTAGCAAAAGTACCAATGACTGCCATGTTTATGAAGAAAGAAATTAGGAGAGAGATACCTGTTTCAATTTTGAAATAAAAAATGGATTTATGGAGAAGAGGTCTGTCATTTCTGGAAATCTTCTTTTCATAAACAAGAGATGAATGAAGATATAGATTGTGAGGCATGAGGACAGCACCTATTAAACCAACCATGGAAGTGAGTGCAGATGATGGGATGTAAGGGACAAACATTCCTTCCATTAATTCACCGAAATTAGGAGCAATGTAACCAAGATCAATAAAGAAGCAAATAGCCATAGTTCCTATAAGAATACCAAAGATTAATTCTAAAAAGCGCATACCAACATATTTTATTAATAAAATAAGAATAGTAGAAGAAATAGTTAAGATAACTCCGATCCATAATTTGAGTCCAAAAAGAATTTATAATGCAATAGCAGATCCTAATACTTCTTGAATATCACTGCCTATAATAGCGATTTCAGCCATAATCCATAACAAGATAGACATTTTTTTAGGATAATAGTAGCGACATAATTTAGCCATATCTTTTCCAGTAACCAAACCAATCATCATAGCACGGTTTTAAAAGAAGAAACCTAAGAGTGTTGATAAGAAAAGTACCCATAACAAGTGATATTTACCATTTAAACCTGCATCCATATCACCAGCCAAATTACCAGGATCGATGTAAGCGATAGCTACGAGTAAGCCTGGTCCAAAATATTAGAAAAATTCCCTTAATGAAAACTTTACATTAATTTTCTCTTAATGATCATTGCTGTTAACAGTTCCAGAATTGATATTGTTCTATCCTACTTCAGCCATTGTGAATGATTATTTATTTAATGAATATTGTATTTGTTTAAAATAAAAATTATAATATTGATAGATCTTTGTTTAGATGCTTATTATTTTATTAATTTACAATCTATTTGTATATTTATTTATATTAAATCATAATAAGATATGCATCTCATCAAGTTTTAAGATTTAAAGTCTTTCAAAAATTAATTTTTTGACTCATAAGCTAAAATTTATTTCAATATTTTTATGGTTTTTGTCCCCTAAAATTTCTTTTTTAATTAAATAATCTGATGATTTACAAGTGATTGCACTTAGAAATTTATCAAATTTTAATTAAGATCTTAGTTTTTTTACTATTGTTTTGCTTATTGTTAATTATTTTTGCGAGTCACTTGTAACGAGTCAGGTTTTATCATGTCTTTCAAAAAGTAATATCTCTTGATTGTAATTTGCCAGAATTTGTCAGGAACTGAATTATTTAATGAAAATACCCTTCATTTTCGTATTTTATATTCTTACTCTGCTATCTAAAATTAGATAGATTAAAGGCTAGCCTAAATTAATAATAAATATATAATGGCTAGATAGATTAATTTTGGTATACTATAACTTAATTTTGTCTATTTTTAGTTTTTGTTTGTGTTTCATATCTAAAAAGGAAATTATTAAAATAATAGGAACTAAATTATAAATTCACGCACTCACTTGCAAACAACTTTGCTATTGCTTACAAATTTAATTATAATAACCTTCTAATCTATAAACAATCATGAGCATTAAATATACATAAATTATTTTAAATTTAAATAAATTTTTATTTTATTTTCAATAAAAATAAACTTTTCTTGATACAATAAGACAGTGCATTAATATTTAAATGTAACAAACATATAGTTTTTAAAGCATAATTTATAAAAGATTTAAATTAATAATAAATCGAGACAATTTGATCTAATAAATTTATCAAGAGATGGAAAAATAAGCTTTAAACATATTTCTAATCTTGTTATAATAAATGCTTTAGATTGTTTTGGTGTTAGTGAAAGTGTCTGTGAAATTTTAGTATTTTATTTATTGTAGTACAATTTTATTTGCTTCACAAATTAGTTATTGCTTAAATTTATTCTTTAAATATTAAAGTTTAAAACAGAAAGTGTTTCTAATATTTTGCTAATTATTTATCTTTAAGAAATATACTTAGTTATAGTTGGATATATTTTAAAGGGTCTTTGAATATTAATTTCTATTAAAAAATAATTATTAATTTATTTTTAAATTTTATTCATATAAAAATATTTAATTATATATAATTGAGTACTAAATGTAAAATACTAAGAGATATTTAAGCACACTATTTATTAAGAATATTTTGTAGAAATTTATTTATTATAAAGTTTAAATTTAAATTTAGTTATTAAAAGAACTAAATTATTATTGTTTTATTTGCTTATTTTTTATTTATATTTTTTTAAGATAATCTTTCAGTTTATTTTTAAGTATGAATTAAAGCTAAATAAATAAAAGCATAATTAGATATTTTGATAGATAATTTATTTTTTTACTTTTAAAAATATAAATATATTTTCTTATGATAATAAATTATAATTTTGGTTTTACACTCAATATTAATTTTAGTTATATTAATACATATTTCTAAATATTTTTGTCTACTTTTACTTATATTATTATTAATTTTAATTAATCTAATTTTTATGAATGTTAACTATTTGAATAAATACTTTAATAAAGAATAAAATAATAGTGTTAAATTATTATATTTTTTTTCTGAAAACACTTTATATTATTTAACACCTAAAATATCAGAATTTTCAAAAAAAGTGATTTTATTAGGATTAAGGTGAGATATTATGAAAGAGATTGCTAATAATTTTTGAGGATTTACAGAAACTTGTTTAGAATAATTTTATAATGTAATCAAATTTAAATTTGATTAATTAATAAGTAAATGTTTTAACTGTTTTAATAAATATCTCTATTAATTATTATTGAAATTAAATACTTTGATTTAGATGAATAAAAATTTATTAGTTTATTCATAAATTTAAATTTATTGTTTTTTTTTTTTAGAGAACTTATTTTAAAAATTTAATATATAATTTAGATTTATAAATAATAACATAAATGATATTTGCATCATAAATATAAATGAGGGATGATTAATTTTAAGATATGTTTATTTATAATTATAATTTTTAGTTTTATATTTTTTAATAATTTATTTATTTAATTGTTTGTTTTTTTGTTGCAATTCTTAATTATATTTTATTGAAATTTTATTTTTATCAGAGTAATTTTAATAGTTTGTTTTGAGAATAATGAGCTTTGATTTCCTTGCCCTCTTAATTTACAAAGATACCTATACCTTCTACCATATCATTTAAGAAACCTCCAATAAATCTGTTTCCGTTTGACAAGTATAAAATACCTTATCCTTGCTTTTAGTCATCAAGAAATCCTCCTTCATATTAAATCCAATGTTCACCCATTTTGTCAAAGTCTGTAAAGTCAAAAGATTGATTTTCACCTAATTCTTCAGGTGTATCATTGTAAACAACTCCTTAACCTGTAAATTTGTCTCTTTTCCATTCTCCTTCATAGGCTAATTTTCCGGAGGGATAATATAGTTTTCCATACCCTTCCATGCATCCATCAAACCATGATCCTTCATATAGACCTCCATCTGCATACAAGAATTTTCCATTACCATGCCTCTTTCCTTTAAATTTCTCCCCACTATACACTGATCCATCTTCATATGTTTCTTCTATGACTATATATAACAAAGATTAAATGATATAAAAAATATATAATTATTGTAAATATTTATAAATTACCTTCAATTACTTATGAATTTGATCTCTATTAAATATAAATAGACTATGCTTCAATAAAGGAAGTTTGATAGTGACTATTATTATAGAATGACTATTGCTAATTGTTTGTTTGGTATGGAACTACTGAGGATTTTGTGTTGATGAAATTTGTTGTATTTGAGTTTTAATTTCCATTTCCCTCAAATTTAATTTCACTGATGTTAAAGAATTTTTTGTTAAGAGAATTTAAATTGTTAGTTTAATTCTAGTTATTTTATTATTTTGTTGTAGTGCTTTATGGATCAATAGCACTTATCATATCACCATCTGCAGTAACAGATATTTAGAGTTATGGGCTACTTTTTTGGTATTTTTCATTTTTGTCTTCATCAATAGGATTTAAATTATTTCCAAATAAATTGTAAGGTGAATCATAAGATTTGTTTTTAATGTTACTTTATATTTGTCTTTTTGGTGTATTATCATTAGTAGTTTGCTATATTGGTGTATTTTACTGATTTTGATTATTTAAATTATTTTCAGTTAAATATACACTTTCGTGAGAAGTATTTTAGTTCTAAGCTTAGGCATCTTAAGTATTTTCTATATTACTTTCATCTTTTAAACACTTTAATATTTCAGCATTAGAAGAATTAAAATTTTCTTTGTCTTCACCTGCTTAATCTATTCTCATGCTCTATAATAGGCTATTTTGCATTTAGGATATTGATTTATTCTTTGCATTAAGCTTTTAAGTGTTATTTAATATACTTTTATCGTTTTAGCTCCTCATGTTTGAATAAAAATTTTATAATTAGCCTTAAAGTTTAGTATTTTTTTTGAATTCATTCACATTTTTATCATTTTCCTTTAATCCATCTTGCTTATTTACATTAAGTGTATTTTAATTATAGTTTTCAAAATTTTCTTGATGCACAAAGCTAATCGAGTGTCTTGGAGTTATTGCTTAGTCAGATCTTAAATTATTTTATTATTTATTTTATTTATTTTCACTAATATTATTCTGTTATTAAAATTTATTCTTATTCAGAGGTGTTTATTTATCTCTTAAATTTTAATGGCTATCTAAATTCTAGATGAAAGGAATAAAGCTTTCTGCATTTGAAACAAATGAGTTGTTAGTAGGTAAGTTTTTATGATCAACGTTTAGGCTCCCAATTTTTTAAAGCTAAAATGTTTGATAGTTAATCTTGCAAAAATAGTTTTTTTCTTTTGTATTTTGCGAGCGATCAGTATTAACTGTTTCTTTTGATGAATCTAATTAATTTAAAATTTAAAATTAATCAGTAATATTTCGTCAACCAAAAAAAAAGATTGAAAAAATTTAATAAAATCCTCTAAAAATAAAAATATTAAAAAAAACACTCTTTTTTAATTAAGAAAGAAATACTTTTGTTTAACAGATCAAATTATCTCAATGGTCTAATTTGTTTTTGTGAAGCAGACTTTTTGTTTTAATCTAAATGAGAAATTTGGCTGATTGACTGATCTCCATTTATCTTCAACTACGATTAAGAAGTTGGAAATTTACTTGTCGAGCTATAGCCTTGTAAAAATTAACTTGATTACATTGGCTTGTCTAACTTAGTGTTTAAATTATACTTTGTTTCTAACTAAATAAAATCAAGTCTTTGCTTTTCATTAAAATTGGTCATTTCTTTTATCATAGAACTAATTTCTTCTCCATATGTATCTTCAATTTACTGGATATTCTTTTTATAATTTTCAAGATTAATTGTTCCTTCTCTAAAATCAAAGCATTCATCTTGTTCATTCAATAAGCACGCTTCCATTAACACGAAACCTTATAATTATTTAGTTAATTTAACAATAAATTTATAAATTTAGTGTCATTCAAAAAGATAAATATAGTATAGTGATAAGGAGTGTTTTTAAATAATTAATTATCAGTCAGTCATGTATTATAAAGAATCAAAATTTACCTAAAGAAAATGATTCTGATTTGTGAGTTGTTAATTTGTGTGGAATATTCTTTTGTTTTGCAAATTTTAAATAATTTGGTGCTAAGTAAGTGCCCTTTTTAGGCTTGGAAGTTTGCAATACTTAAATAAGAAGAGGAGGATTAGGTTCAAATACAGGATCTAAGATTTTAACCTCTAAACTATTTGTTAAGAGGATGTTTTAAGCTCGCAAATCATTAAAGTAAATACCATCTCTTTACAAATTAGCGAAAGCTGAAATGCTAGCAAATGCAATTTATTAGATTTCACTAACATCGAAAGGAATTTGTTGCAACTTACGCTAACGTATTTCTACTGTAAGGTCTTTTTTAATATACTCCATTGTCCATATCAATCTAGAAATAGAAGTACAAAAATTATCTTCACTCATCACAAAATACTCTAAAACCTATATAAAATTAGGATGAGTGTTGTCTCTTCTCTTTCTAATTTGCCCTAACTATTCCCTCAATTTCTCAAGGTTTTAAAATTTTCTATCTTTCATAGCTATAATCTATTTTTTATCTTTCGATTCCATTATATCGATATCTCCATAATGAATGTCTTTAACGCTTTCTATTTTCCTATACAGAAGGAGATACTCTTCATAATTTCTGTCTTTACTTAAAGATTTTCCCATAACTTATAATTAAATTCTATAGTTTATTCAAGTTATTAATTTTCAAATGACTGGCTGACTGACTGACTCTATGTATCTAATAGCTTTTTACCTTTGAGTACAAAAAACCACTAAAATCTTTCAAAAATATCAATTTAAAAGTTATTATATGATAATTTAGTATGTAAACTATTTATAATTTACAACCTTTAAAAGAGAAATTCAAATATAAGAAATTTCATTTAATTAAAAATAATAAATAGTGTTAATAATCTCATTTATAATTATACAAAAAAATTAATTTTTATGTCAAATAAACTCTGTGCTATTCATTCATTTACTATAATGCTAAAATTTTAACAACTAAAGTAGAAAATCTAATTTTAGTTTAATCTAATATTTATTAATGGGTAGAAAAATTTATAATTTTAAAATATTTAATCTAAAATTAGCAACAAAAAGAAAAGTTAATTTTTAAATTAAATATAACCTTTTATAATAAAATAAAATAATTTATATTAAAAATATTTGTTTATGTATAAATTTAGAATAAATAATCTAGTCTGATAAATAAAACAAAAAATTATATAAATCTCTTTTAGAAATTAAAAGATAGTAGTAGTAATAGTATAACTATAATTAGTGTTTTTTATATTAAATTAAAATTTATAGTAAAATACAAATCGTTTTGCCTTAAATTGAGTTTAAGTTATAAAACTTTGAAGATTGATAATTCTCCTAAGTATAAAAAAATGTTCCAAATATTGAATCATTAATTGCATATCCTTGAATAGTTAGTTTGAGAGTTTAGATCTTAGTACACTAAGCTAATTAATTATAGATAAATCATAAAAATATATGAAGTATTAATCTAAATAATCAGTGAAACCCTGATTATTATTTATATTTAGGAAAGTTCACTTTTATTTAATTATCTATTTATTTACTGATTATTAATCTGCTGTCACTTTAAACGCTCAAAATATAAATCTATGCATATTTTCAAATTTTATGTTATTAATAGTTAAATACATTTTAGGTTTATTTATTTTGAGGTTTAAATCCAAAAATGAAATCATCTATTGAGATATTTTCAAAGTTTAGGTTAATTATTTCAAGGTTAATAAATGTTTTCATATTTTAAATTAATTAAAAATTATTTTTATAATTTAAATAAATTCTTAATAGAGATATACCATAAAAACTTTTATGAAGCTTTGAATATTTTATAATGGCTATTAATAGGTTAATGTTAATAAATAATATAGATTATTGCTTGTTTAAAAATATTTTAGCAAATAATACAACTAATCAACACATAAAATTTAAACTTATGTCATTAATATGTATATTAATTCTTTTATATATCCTTTAATAACTAATTATTGCATCAAATTATAGATCAAACTTTAACAAAATAAATAGCTTTATTAATTATTTATGGGATTATTAAATTAGATATTTAGATTGATAAAACGGAAAATTAAAGTAAAAGACAAATAAATACATATTTTTATGAAGAACATTCATTATAAGTTGTTTATTTTTAAATTAAATTTATATAATAATTTTATTTTTTTAAATTAAATTTGTTATAATTTTTAGTTTGTAATAGGATCTAAGCTAGTATAATGTTTATGGTCATTTCTTAAAGTTTCTTTTTACTACAGGATTTCTTTATTTATTCATAATTTCGCTTTCAGTATAAGCTCTATTGCTTCTTATGGATTATGAAGACATATCTAAATAGCTATTATGACCTAAAGTGCCTGTAAATATATAGGAGCCTTTAGATTTTTTTTTATTTTTCTACTGAGTATTTGTTAATTTGCTTGAATGAATTTTTGCTTAACTTGAATCAAGAATCTCTTTGTCTATTTTATTGTTTAATGGAGAAATGTCTCTAATACTTTAATCTTTATTTCTATGATGACTTATTGTTTGTTGACTATCATCCATCGAATTTTGGTTTTAATTTTATTTCATGCTATCTTAAAAGTCATCATCTTCGGTATCGTGATCTTCACTTAATTTTTATTTCAATGTTATTTTAATGTCTCTAGATATATATTAATTATTTGGATCTTCAGTAAATGACTAATTAGAAGACTTTGAGATACTTTATTTGCTATAATTCAGCTTTGATATAGAATTTTGATTATTTGGATTATTATTTCCATGCTCGCTGTCATGCTTAAAGCACAATTACCCCATTATAAGTTTCGTTATTATAAATTAAGAGTCCAGTGAATAACTAGTTTACCTATTTACTTTTTCTTGTTAATTAAGTATTAATCTGAATATTTTTTAAATATAGATTACTTTAATTATTTTGTTAAAAATTTACAATAAACAAACCTTTGCACTTTTATAAAAATCCTAAATTGATTGATTATGATTGATATGACGCTTTTCTTACATAAATATGTTTATAAATTTTAATTTGATTAAATGTAATACTGGTAACAAAAATCCTCTTTATTATAGTAAATATTTTAATTTATTTTTAACCTAAAAAGACATTTCAATTAATATTTTCATTTCATTATATTTTTGTTATTTTGTCTGTAAGTATTTTCTAGTTAATTTCTAGATTATTTCTCGAAATATTATTTGAAAATTAATAGTACTTAACCAAATATTTTTAAGTAAACAAAATAAATATTACATAAAATGTAAAATGGTTAATTTATAAAATATAATTTTAAATTTTTTATTTTATTTTTTTTATAATATTTGAATAAATAAATTTTTTGTATGCATTTATAAAATAAATAAAATTCTAAATATTGTTTTTACAAATTATTTCATTAAATATTGTTTTTACAAATTATTTCATTAAATATTTTATTTAAAAATTAAATTATTTTATTCAAATTTTTTAACATTAAGTATGTCTTAATTCCTTTTATTTATTAGAAATTTGTTTTAATTTAAAACACTTAAAATAAATAATTTAGGATTCTCTTAATAAAATTAAATATTTTTGGTTATTTAATATCTATTTTTATTTCATATATCAATAGGTAACATAAAAGTTTTTAGACTAATGAAATAGTCAATTGATTCATAAAAAAGAAATTTAAAATTATTTAATTAAATTAACAAAAAAACTTAGTAGCCATATTAACATTTAGTTTTTCATATAATATTATAGAAAATTTTACTTTTCTATGCTTATAAAATCAGAATTTATAAGCAGTAATAATTAATAAATCATAATTAATAACTAAAATAAAAAATATAATCATATAAAAAAAAAAGTTAAATTAACAAGTTATGTAAAGATAGTAAAGAAAGAAATTATTGATTTCAAACAATATATAGCTAAATAACTAAAATGAGTTGAATTGTTCAAAAATAGAACTTAACTTTTTGCTCAGAAGAATAAATACTTACTTATAAATGAAATTTACTTAAAAATATTTAAAAGATATTCTAGAATATATTTAGATTGTCAATTAAAATAATAAAAAAATGATTAATGACTGTTTAGTTGATGACGAAAAAAAGGCTTAAAGCATTCATTTTACCAAACTAATATTAGATTTAAATTTTTCTCTTATAAGTAAAAATATAAAAATGAGTTGTAGTTGTGATGAATTAAATAGTGAATACTGTGTTAGGTGCTAAGTTTCTAAAAAAAAACATTTTTAGTTTGCTTATTTACATAGGAGAATGGTATTTGCTTATTAAGCTATAAAAAATAAATTATCTTTGCGTAAGGAGATAATTTAGGAAATTTTAGAATTAATATTTGATAAGTTAGAAAGGAAAAACCTACAAGAAAAACAAAAAAAATCATTTTAAATTAAAAAACATAAAAAAATATATTGATGAAATTATTTTGATAGAAAATATAAATAATAACAAATTTTTGCATACTAAATATGATATTATAAATAAAAGTACCATTTTTAATTAATACTACTAATTTAAATTTAAAATAAATAAATAAAAAACAGTTATATAAAATTAAATTTTGTTGATTTACCAACCAAAAATTGATTAAGTTTCATATACTGTAAATTGAGATGAATAAATATGTAGGTTTTCTTTATTTTAACCTTCAAAATTAAATGTTTCTTTAAACAAAATTGTGTTAAAAATACAAAATTAATAAATAAATTGGAAATTTATATTTGATTAAATTATTAAATATTAATATTTATAAGAAAAAAGCTATTACTAACAATCTTATTTTGTAATTTTAATACTTTTTTAATTAAAAAATTTTAGTATTTAAAATAATCTTTCTTTAATTTATTATTTTATTAAAGATAATATTTTAATATAACATATTCCTTATTTTTATCTTTTTCCTTTTCTAATATTATATATTTCTTTCTAAAAGTTTTTAAAACTAAACTAATATATAAAAGACAAGCATATTATAAAATTAAAAATTAGATTAAATTTTTATAAACATACAAAAAAATAAAGTTTCTATTAATATTTATTAAAATTAGTTTTAAATTTTTTTTATAAATGTAATATTTAAAATAATCATATATTTATTGATGACTTTATTATAGATATTATTTTAATTTTATTTTTATTTAATTATTCGTTATTTTTATCTCTTTTTAATTTAAAAAATGAAAAGTTCTAGCTAAAATTATTAATTCGAATGATGGATTTAGTTAAAGATAAACATATTATTGAAAAATATATATTTACATAAAAGTTATATATAAACACAACATTTATTAATTAATAAAGTTTATATTAATTTTTTATTAAAGTTTAGTTAATATTTAGTTTTATTAATTTATTTGTTGATATTTGAATATTTATATAATTGTTCATTAAATTTTTAAAATTATAGACATTATTTTTATTGAATTTATTCACAATGTTTATCTTCCGTTTAAGGCTAAATCAATAAGCTATCCAATAGATTTTCCTTTGTTGTTATTGGCTAAACTTAGGCAATATTCATAGTTTTTCTTAAGAAGGGCTGATAATTGCTTAGCCATAGATTCAACTTCTGGACTGTAGAATTCTTCAATGAGAGAATCCTTTAAGTTATTCTTTTATGAAGATATACCGATTTATTCCCAATAATTGAGAGGTTCTTCTGAAATAACAGTATCATCGGAGTCACTTAAGTTAACTATTTTTTCTTCATGTATTTTTTAGGTTTCTTTTTCATTTTAAATTTTAGATGAAGTTTTTTAATTTTCTTATTTCTATTTATCTTTTTTATCTTCAGAAGTTTATTATGATTTTGGTTACTATTCATTCATATTAACTTTTTATTATTCTTATTGTTACTTTTATTATCTTTTTTACTTCTTATTGGCTTTCTTTGAATTTTTTTGAGATGGAGTTTGATTAGCCTTTTATTATTTTGATATGTTTTCATATACATATTCATTTTCATCATCAGTAGTTGAAAAAGCAAAAGGATCTTAATCACTTTCAGATTTCATTTAATTTTAGTTATCCTTTTAATTTTTTTTGTTTGATAAGAATTATTTAACAAAGCTGTTTCTTAATTCTTATTCTAGTAACTCTTCTTCAAGTTTTTATTAATAAGCTCTTTGCAATTATTTAGCTCTTTGTTATTATAAATACTTCTATTGTTATCTTTATAATTCTTATTCTTCCTTTATTCTCTAGTTTCTCAATTGGTTATAATAGCTGTTTGTATAGCAGCTCTAGTTTGGAGTAAAGAAGAACTCATCTTCATCATCTGAAGTATCAAGGAAAGAACATTATTATCTGTATCTAGGAGCTCTTTGCTATCTTTATGGATAGAAAAATAAGTCTGAAGTAGTGAAGAACATTTTTTCTTATTCTTTTGAATTTCTTTATTGAATGATTGGTTGGCTATTATTAATTTTTGTATTAGTAATTGTTTTTTTATTTATTTGATTATCAATTTTTAGTGTTAGTTAAATTGATCAGATAAAGTGAAGTTAATGATATAGATACATCAAAAATAGAACAAATTAAGAAAGTTGAAGTTTTCTTTTTTTTAATAATAAAATTAAATAGATCAATTCTTTTCTTCTAGAAGAATTCTATTTTTCTAGATTGGCACAGTCAATAAATCATTATAATTATTAATTAAATCTGGAAATTGGAAAGAAACATAGTCAGATCATCCCCATTTTCAAGTTAAACATTCAATAAAACATTTTTTTTACATTTTACTAAATTAATAATAAAATATTTTTTAATTTATTTTTCTTGGAAAAATTAATTAGATTGCAATCAAATCTTCAAAATTTAAATTAAATATTAACAAAATTTTATTTTTATAAATGATAAAAATAATTTTATTTTATCTATCTTCATAAAATAAATTTAACTTTTTATAATCCAATTTTATTTTAGCTCTAAAATAGTTTTTTCCAAATATTAATTTTAAAAAATAAATAAGTAAATTGATAGATAAGTTTAAAGATATTTTAATTAATGGAAAAAGAAGAGTTAGTAATAAATAAATAAATGAAATAGATAATATTTTTACATAAATAATACAATAAATACAGTTGATAATTAAAATATATTATTTTATAATTTATATATAAGTTAGTAAATTATGCTATTAATATGCTATTTTCAAAGTTACTATCTCTTTTGCTGTTTGTTAAGTATTATATCGATATACATTCCCATTGTGTAGTCTGGATTTTACAAAATGACTTACAAACAATATGAATAATCTTTTTGTACAATCTTAGAGAGCTTTTCTGCTTTTTATTCGATTTCTTCTGGATATCTTTCTTCGATTAAGCAGTCTTAGAGGTTATTTTTATCAGGATTGCTATTTACTTCCTTCCAGTAGTTTATCTATTCTTCTTAAATATATGTCTTAGAGTCGACTCTGATAAATTTCGGTAAGTTATTTTATAAATTATTATTATTATTTTTTGAAGTCTGATCAGGTTTCGCTTAAGTATTATTTTGTAAACTTTCATTGGTAATTTATTCAAAAGAGCTATCGTGTTGGGAGTTAATTTATTCAAAAGAGCTGCTCTCATATTGTTTATCTTCATTTTCCATTTTATTAGGATCTTATAAATTTATTTTTTTATTCTTTACAGTCTTATTTTATTTTCTTTTATTTAATGAGGAATTCAATTTATCTACTTTTTCCTTTTCATCAAATGTTTTCTTCTCTTGTCTTCTTCTAAGTTCTTCTTCATAGGGATCATAGTTTGGATAGTGAGTAGGATAGTAATTAAATGTTGGATCATAATCATAATAGCTGCTATGATAAGGAGTAGGCTGATAATAAGGTTGCTTCCTTTATGGTTAGTGGTAAGGAGTATAGTTTCCATAAGAATATGGATTCCAATAATTGCTGAAGGGAGAATAGTACATTTATTTCTAATGATTTTTTTTTTTTTTTCACCTTAATTTGATTTTATTTTTTTAATTAAATTAATAAAAATAAACCAACAAATCAAACATCAGATTTTTGATTCTAACAATAATTTCTAAAAGAAAAAGAAAATAACCATGATATTTATATTATAATTAAAATTCAATATAATGAATTTAGATTCAAATCATCTAAGTTTCTATCAATTTTTCGAAAGCAAATTAACATCAAACTTAATTTGAGGTTATGCATCATTTAAATTGTAATTTTTGTTAATAATTTCTATTTTAGAAATAAATTTAATAATTTTAAAAATAGTAAAAATAATAAATCAATTTTGATAGGTTGAAAAACTTCTGACTTATCTAAATTTATATCAAATCTTCCTATAATTAGAAGTATAACTTTTATGTTTAAAGATAAAATAATATTTATATGATTTAATTTCTATTTAAAAAAATATTTAATAAAAAATATAAATTATGAAAGTAACCATTTAAAATATAGAAATCAATTGATAATATTGTCAAAAATATTGGATCGAGTAGACAGAAGCACTTTCTGGAACTTATTGATTTCTTGTTTTATTGTTTGTTTTTGATTAGCTAAGTAGTAATCAATTCATTAAATTAGAAAATTAATTATTTTCAAACATAAAAAATGATTAGAAATATCTACAAGTTCGCTGATTATATAATTCCAACTAGTAAATCTACACAGCTGTAGAAGCTCAATAAGAATATTTACAGCTTTACTTGGAAACCTAAGACCTAAATAAACTAAGAAGAAGATGATGAAAATGTGAGTTTCTCAGATCTACTTAAATAAGAAGAAGAAAAATTATAAAAGTAAAAATAAATGGAAGAAAACTAAAAATCATTTTCACAAAATTATGGAAATTATGATGCTAAACACATATATATGAAATCTATCAAAGATAAAGTATAAGAAAAGTCTTTAAAAGAAGATGAAATTGTTAGACATACTAAAGAGACATTCGTTTATTCCAATCAAGATAACCCATTCTTTAATCCAGATGCCGCTTCTATTCATAGAAATATGAATGCTGAAGAAGAAACTATAAGAGAGTGGTAATATTAATTCCAATTGAAGAACAAGAGAAAACCAACTCTTGCAGAAATGCAGGATGATCCCACAATTGGTCATATATTAGCTTAAAGAAAAAACTAGTTAAACATGCTTAAAGCTGTTGTCTTTAAGTATAAGATACATTGAAGAGTATTTAACATGTCAAAAAAAACAATTATTTATATATAAAACATAATATCAATTAGAAAATAATTTAATTTTGTATAAAAAAAATTATATTATATGTGTAAATCAATTAATTAATCATAATTATAACTATTTTTTAATAAAATCAATTTTTTGTTCTTGTTTGATATATTCTACCTGATGTCTGCACTAGCGAATAGGTGCTTTCAAAAATTTTTTTTGATTGATGCTATAAGGAGAACTTTATAGATAGAATATTGAGTATTATGCAAATTAAAAAAAATAATTAATTATAATTATTTGTTAACAACAACAAGTCGAAAGAATAGACAATAAGTAAAGGCAAAAGGGGCTTTTAATTCTATTAGGCTTAGGCAATCAGTCTAAAAAATAGCTTTAGAGATAGATTTTATTGAAATATATTGTATATCTATCTTCATAGAAAACTTTCGAAAAAGTAGTACTATTTGTATATAAGATTTTTATCTTTTCTTTTTCTTTCCTTTTTCTAAAAAAGCAGAGTTAAGAAAAAATATTTAATAAAAATTAGTGTAAATAATTATTTGAGTATAATTAATAAAAATAATAAAAAGTTATTTAAACCAATTTGTAAAAAATCAAAAAAGTTTTCTCTAATTTGAAAAATAAATAGTTCAATTTAAGCGAAAAATGATTGCAAATACCTTCAAGTGCATGAAAAATTTAAAGTTAAAAACTAACTAATTTAACTTATTAAGAAATTTCGGCTAACAATCTTAAATTGGTGCCATTAGATCTCTTGCTGTTTACAATAAATTCTACTTTAGTAACAACGAACAACCTACTGGAGTTGATGAGGGTTCTCATGACGACTTTGTTTCAAAGAAAAAAGTAGGAGGAGTTGATGGAAATAATTTAACTGATGAACAAGCTCTTGAAATGATTAATAAGGTACTTTAATCCTTCATTATTTATTATAAAAAAAGGTTATTCAATGCTTTAATTAATTATTTTTTTTTAATTTTAGTGGGTTAGCGGCAATAAGGTTTGTTTGTTTATGAAGGGAGATCCTAAGGAACCCAGATGCGGATACTCAAACTTCGTAGTCCAAACTCTTAAATTCTATAGTAAGCACACACATTTAAATTTAAATAAAATTTATAAAAACTATAAAACAATTTGAAAAAATTATTTAATGAATTATTCACAAATTATGCATCACTAATGATTTTTTGACGTTTAAAATTAGAAATCAAAGATTACAAGAGCGTCGATGTTTTGAAATATGAAGTAATTAGAAAATAAGTTAAGGTTTACTCCAACTGGCCCACTTTCCCTCAACTCTATGTTGATGGTAAGCTCGTAGGTGGTGCTGATATTGTCTAGGAAATGCATAAAGATGGTAGTTTGAAGGAACTTTTTAACAAGGTAGGTTTACTTGAACAGTGATCTTAAATAGCGAGATGAAATATTTATAAACAAGAGAATAATTAAATGGATTAGCACTTATTTTATATAAATTCATAAAAAAATTTTTATTGTGATTATTCCTTTTAAAAACTTATTTTTACAATCAATTAATTGCAAACTTAACAAAATTTTTGTCTTTCTTTTAATTTAGGAAATTTCTTTAAGAAATTGAGAATTTTTCTTTAATTAAAAAAATATTATTTTTGATTTACAAAATTAAGCGAAAAAAAAAAATATATTTATTATTTTTTCAATATGTTTTATAAAAGTCAAAGCAAAATTATTTTTATTTTTTAGAATATTTTCTTTATTAGACTTAGTGAATTAAAGAATAATTAAATAAGTATCTTTAAAATAAAATTTAGTTTTTATGAGATTATTTATTTTATATCCACTAAAATTATTAAAAAATTAACAATTTGATAGCAAAATATTATAATTAATCTTTTTTCCAGTTACTGATCGAAAAAGAAAAAAGAAAAAAATTTATGCAATTTAAAGCAATCAGAAAATTTTATAAATTATAGTAGTATTGAAGTTGAAAAGATAAAATAAAAATTTTAATTCTTAGTTAATTATATGCACATGCAACAGCATAGCAAAGATATTTTTACATTACAAGAAGCTGTTAGATTAAAGGTTTTGCTTCAAAAGCATAATAAATCTGAAAAGAATAAAGATGAAATTAATGGATTGTGCAAGGTATTATAATCCTTTATAGTTATTAATTAAGATAAAACGGAAGACTTTATATAAATATTTCAAATATTAAGCTAAGATCTTATTTGTTAATGTCTTATTTATTCAAATAGAAAATATTGCTTTTTGATCATTTGGTTGGCACTTAATTCTACGAATAAGTTATATCTAAACTAGAATGTAAAGAGTTGAAAGCTAACTATAAATTCTTTTAAAATGTAATAAAACAATTTAATACTTTTCTTTTTATGAAATTTTATGCTTAACTGTGTAAAATATTTCATAAACAAATGATTTATTTTGAAAAAAAAAAGATAAAAGACAAAGATTACATATATATTGTACTGCTTGGCTAAGTAGACGTAATTTTAGAACTATAAGACAAACTTACTAATTAAAAGGAAGAAAGGTTAATGAATTCATTTGGCCTAGGTGAATTCTTTTGGTGGGATGAAGATTAGTATACTGATCACAGAGGACAAGTTGTAGTTAAGTGTTTGGATGATGCGGAAATAATTTAAATAAACAAATCTTTATTTGATTCATACTCTTAAGTAATTAAAAATGAAAGCAAATTTATAAATTTGATTAATCAATTAAATAATTAATTATACAATTAACAAATAATAAATTGATTGATTGACTAATTATAAAATTATTTTTTATAAACTAAAAAAAAAAAGAAATTAGAAAAATAAGGTAATTAGTGTATAATTGACTTTATGAAGTAGGTCAAAGTCTTTGAAAATTTTAGCTAAGATGTCCTAAATGAGATAGTAAGCAAATCTACTCTTAAGTAATTTTAAGTAAATACTCTTATCCTAAGAGAGGAGGACCTTCCTGGTTATGTATATATAATACTAAAGGGGTAGTGTACTTGCTTGAAGAGAGTAGCTATGAGGAGATTTGACTATCCTCATTTGGAAGATTTAGAAGAACTTGTTAAATCACCATCAAAGCAGGAAATGCAAAATGGTGAATTCGATTATAAATTATTTGAAACAAATTTCATAAAACCTGGAGAATTTTTTGGGAGCAATGAAATAATTAATTAATAAGAAATTGAATATTCTATTCTAACAACTGAGCCAACTGATATATTGATGATACCTCGCCTGGAATTTTTGGGCTTCTAATAAAAAATTTTATACCGTAAAATATAAAATATTAATTTTTAAATAATACTATTGTTAAAAAATAAAAGCATTTTAGAAAGAGGCATAAAAAGTTAAAGAAGAGCTAGAACTAATAGAAATTAAGGGAATGACAAAAAAGGAATAAAAAGAACGTTAATTTTAAGAAATTAGATTACAGTATTACATGAAGAATAATTGGGAAACATTCAAAAAAAATACAATACAAAATACTAAGCATGAATAAAAATATAACAAAAATTAATTTGATAACTTGCTGAGATAGAAGTTCAACTTTAACAGAAAGAAGGATTACTTTATTCCTGATGAACAGGCTCATAAAAAAATATAAATGACAGTTAATCTACCACCAATTAATAATAACAATAAAAAAGTTTTTCGTCCTAATATATTTACCACAGAATCCGTAATAGACAGCAAATTCTGAATGAAACTAAACAAAATGTAATAAAATTTACTAAAAATTATTAAGTATATTAACAAATAAATCAATCAAAAATATTAAAAATATATAAAACTTAAGCTATCAATTGGTATTTTCTATTATCTAAAATATTTTATATATTATTTGTGTAAATAATTTTATTAATTACTATTTATCTGATTCTTTTATTCAAGAAATTAACAATCCTTCTCTACTTCTCTAGAACTAAAAATCTTTTTGTCAATCTACTAATTTGCTTGATTTAGAAAATAAAACGTTTAAAAAATAAATAGATAATAAGAACTAACAAATTTCCAAAAATTTATAAGTTTTTGTTACACCATTCCGTTTTATATACTTGTATGCTTTATACTTAAAGCTAAAGGAATTAATTACAAGTTTTTACTTTATTTATTAAATATAAAAAGAAATGGAAAAGTAAGAATAATAAATAACTTAAAAAAAAAATCAACTCATTATAGATTGATTGATTCATTCATGTATTTATATTTGTATCAAAAAATTAAAAAAAGCTTCGAAATAACATTTAATTAGCACTAACAATTAATTAATAATTATTAAAATATAAGTTTTAAAGGAATTAGTCATTTTATTATTATTATTATTGTTTGTTAATAAATATATATATTTTTTAGAGTAGTCATTTATTAAAAACTGGTTAATTTTTTATAAAGAGAAGAGCGATACAATGGGAAGCTGTTCAAGCATAAATAGTGTTTAGCCTAAATAAGAAGTAATAGTTAGAAGAGTCAAGGTTAATCCGGTTAAGATGAAACAGAGAGAAGATTTGAAAAAGTAGAAATTATCAAAAGATAGACTCTATTTAGGAGAAGATAGGACTGTTGAGGTTTAATTAGATTAATTTCTAATCTAATCTCATTTAATGTAGTCTTTACAAAGGCAAACTTCTACTTATTTAGGAACTTACATTTTTAATTCAAGAACTTAAAAAGCTTTCTAGCCTATGCTAAAGAATTTAGTTCTTGATTATTAAGAGTAATTTCCTAAGTGGCTCCTTTATGATGAATAGTTTCGTAATGATCAATTGCAAGAGTTTTTATAAAAATGCTAAGAAACAGCTAAATTACAAACTTAAGATGAGCAGTTTTAAAAAGATAAAAATGAGAGCGAAGAAGATGATGATGAAGATGAAGACGATGATGACCAAAGTGACGATCAAAGTGATGATTAATCATAAAATGAATCAATGAAATAATCTGCTAGCTAAATCAACAATAGAAAAAATAGTAAACCAAATATTGTAAGGAAGAGTAGAGAATTAGATAAGATAAGTTAAGGTGAAAATGATGGCAAGTAGGAAGATGGAAAATTATTGTCATCAAATAATTCTTAAAGCTAAATAAGAGGAAGTAGTAATAATAATGGCCAAAGTAGGAGAGTAAGCGGCTAGTCTAATAAAAATAACTAATTATTTACTAAGACCAAATCTTTTGTAGAAGAAAAAAGCCAGATCTCTAAAAAGAGTGCTGTACAAGATAGTGATAAAGAGAGCGATTAGGACAGCGAAGATGAGCGTAATAAAACTAATATGCATAAAGTGTAAGAAATATCAGGAATGAGAAGGCCATCGAATCATAAAAATACTTAACTATTATAAAAGCATGTATTTGATGAGGAGAACTTATTAAGAAGTTCTAATTCTGGCTAAGCAACAGGTAAAAAGAGATAAAGCAATGAAGCTCATACAATGCTTTAAATAGAAAGTAAAAGTCAAATTGATTCAAAACCCCCAACAAGCAGACAAAATCGTCCAAGCAATGCTAATAATACTTATGTTATTAAACAATATAATATTGTAAAAAACGAATGGATTCACTCAGCTATCTGCAAAACAGAGATTAAGACTCCTTAGAACTTATTAGAGTTTAAAAGGAGGTACTTTTATGAATTTGATAAAATGTCTGCCTTTCTATCTTACTTGCTTGCTTTAAAGCGTTAAAATTTTTCAAATTTGCTTACCTTTTCATACATATAGATAGGTGAGACTCAATATAACGGAGGAATGTTTAAGTCTAGAAAATAAAATTTATAAGCTTTAGCTGCTAATGATGCAAAAGGTAAATAGGGAGATATGCACTAAAGTGTTAAAAGAAGGTAATCACTGCTTAACAAATAAGATCCAGATGACGAAGAAGATAGCAAATTAATTATGTATATCGATAGAATTTTTCCTGAATGTGGCAAAACATTAGATGAACATATTCACTCAGTAGCTCCCGGAGAAGATTTAATTAAAATTTGTGCCAGGGCCTTCCAAGTATTTGACACAATTGCCAATACACTTTGTAAAATGCATAGAGCTGGTTTTTCATATAGAGTTCTAAAGCCATCTATGGTGAGAATATTTGTGTCAAACCGATAAACTCACGTTTATTTAGATAGTCCTGATTTCATTTGGAATGAATAGGAAAGCAAATACTTGCAAAGAAGAATATTAAATGAAATAGACTATATGTATTATGATTGTAAGTGCTTAAGTGCTTTGATGGTTTATTATTTCTAAACAGTCTTAGAACTTAGAAATAGGAGGAGAGACTCTAATCGTCCAAATATGAATGCTGCAAATTAGCATAACAATAACAATGGTTCTTTAAGTAATGCTAATTCTATGATTGAATTTATTGGTAACATAAAATCCCCAAGAAATAATTAGGAATCAATGACTTCAATACAATAAATTACAAATGTTTATAATTTTACAGAATTAGTTGCTTTAGAGGACTAAAATGAATTAGATTAAATATTAGAAAAAATAAAATTACCATAAATTGCATAAGAAGCCTTACAGTAATTAGTTATAGCAGATTTCCATGCATAAAAGCCCATAGAAGAATTTACAGTTAGACTTTAAGGTGTATTAGAAAAAGGGCCACAAACTGCTTTTAAACATGATTCATTAAGTGCTTTTCTCTCATACCATGGAGACAGAACGTTAAAAAATGATAATTAGCATGTTTATTTCCGCCGTAAAAACTAAATTCACTTCTATGAATTCGAAAGCAAAACTTTTAAAGTCATAAAGCTGATTCGTAAAAAGGCAAAATTCCCTGTTAAGACACATTTAACATTTTCTAAATATGACAACTGCTTCTACTTTTTCGCTGCATCAAACTCAAATAAAATTGTCAAAATTCCTTTAAATATAAACACTACAGAGCGTCATATAATCAACTAAAAGTCAGAAGTTATTTTTTTCAAGTCAATTAAAAATATGGAAATAGAGGATCCACAAATTTTAACAGTTGTACCTGATGATTACACTTTCAGACTATTCGTATTTAATGGTAAAAAAACTACTGATCCTGAGACAAATGACAATTATTACAATTCTTACATTGTTCAAGTCTAGTATAAATAGGAATAATTCGGATCTGATGATTGGAATGAATAAATTAGAAGTAATAAGTTTACTCAATTAATTTAATATATTTAACTTTAATTAAATAATTATCATTAAACCCAAAAAAAGTATTTTAAAATAAAATTAATATTTATAAAAACAGTTTATGAAGGACCACGAAATTATCTTTGGCGTAGGAAAGCATTTCATTTTTATGATCCTCACAATAAATTTATTTACTGCATCCTAGATTCATTAAATATTTTTGAAAGAGGAATTCGTTATTCTTATTTTGACACCTCTATTGAAAAAGGTGACTTTAAAGATGGAAATCTTAGGTTTGCTTGCAGTACAGAAGATGTAAATAATCAATTAATTAAATAATTTCTTTAACACAAAAAACCCATTTAATTTAAAAGAAAAATTTAATAAACAAACATTAATTTATTTAATTCAAATAAAACTTGAATACGTTTAATTAACAAATTTTTTAACTAACTAAAAAAATAATAGATTTTTAATTAGTTTTGCGATCTTAATATGAATTTATCTTAGTTTGAATTTTGTGTAGAAGTCTAACACGGAGTATTTTTGTTGTCTGCTTCAAAAAATATTTATATTTTAGATTTTAATTACAAGTGTTTTTATTCTTTTAGCACTTTAAAATAACTTTTAAATTTTGATAAGAATCATGAGAAATATCCTCATAGACATCAATATGCTTATGAAATTCTAAATCAACCATTTGAAGTAAAGTTTAATAATGCACTCAATTTAGGTAAGAATGTAGTCTTTCAAGAAGGGATGCTTCATATATTAGGTAGAAAGGAAGTTGAAACTGTTATATGCTCGTACGAGCTTCTTCCAACTTAAGGTGTTATGATTCTAAAAAAATGTGTTTCTTTACATTCTTTTGATGATATTCTATTAAAATCTCCTAAGCAGCTTTATGATATTTGGACTTTTTAAGAATTTAAAAGAATTGTTTATGAGAAAGCAGCTGGAGTAGGAGAGGATAAGAATGATACTGGATTAAAGCAAATGAAAACATTGATTAACATTAAAACTATTTAGAATGAAGGAGGAACTGGATAGCATAGCAAAATAAGTGGTAGCGTTTTAAGCCCAACACCATAAGCTTAAAAAAGTGTTACTATTTAAAAATTAAAAGCAGATGTTGGAGGAAATGAAAAATTAAGTCATTTTGCTACAAACAAGCAAAATACTTTATTTGCTCCATCACCTTAAATATTTGTTAATAAAAATGGCAATATTGGAAGTAACAATAACTTCTTACTTGCTGGCAATAATACTCCTTAATTAGATTATAAGATATTAACGCCAATGGCAGGTTCTAATCGCTCAAACAATACAAATGCTGCCTTGTTAAATGATTAAAAAAACTAGTTATCTAAGCAGGATGAAATAAGTATGAACCAATTTATGGCAAAACTTAACTATCTTAAATAAGTTCCATCTAATTTTGATGGAACAGTAGAACAGGATGGAGATTATTAACAAAATTAGTTTAAAATAATTTCATTATATTAACAAACTGGAGAGTATTAACTTTATCGTATATTACATTAATCATAGCTTTATAATTTGCGTAAAATTGGTATTGGAAGTATCTCTGAGTATGAGTAATTTGTCTAATTACTTGAGCTTAATGCGCAAAGCAAGTACCTAATTTAAATCAAGCAGTGTTTCCTCATGTAAGATGATAACACTGGAGCTCTTTTTGTCAACATTATCGAGGAAGATAGCGAATGGAGTCTTCTTGATGAGCTTAATAAGCGCATAAAAGAGTAAAATTATTTTAAAAGCTAAGAGCTTGGTACAATTTTAAAAGCCATTTTCAAGGCTGTTATTTCTTTATAAACAATTGAGTTAGTCCATGGAAATGTATCACCTCGCCTTATTTATTTCACAGGTAAAGGTTATATTAGACTCGCTGGGTGGTATTTAGAAAATAGAGAAACTTTTCAAAATGATTTTATAGATGCATGTACACTAATATATCAATTAGCAACTCTTGAATATGACGAGAATTTAACATTGACATCAAGCTACATCTAAGAAAATTAAGATAAACTTAAAATGTACCCAGGTCTTTCTTCATTTTTGATAAACAATATGCTCATCTTACAAGATGGAGATAATTTAAAATTAGATTAAATTAGTGAAGATATTAAAGAAATATATTAGAGTTTACAAGTAAGTTACATAAAAAATAACAAGGACACTCTCTCGAGTGATAATAAACGTATTTTTTGGATAGGATATAATACTAATTACTTAATATCTTGCCATTATGAAGAACTTACCTTTTGTAAAAATGATGTTGTTTATCTAAATAATACATAATATAAATTTTCTAAGCATAACATGTTTACTTTCGATCATGAAAGAATGATCTACATGACTGGTTCTTAAAAGTAATCAATCATTTATATATACCTTAAAAGTTACTTAACTACAAACTATGATATTTATTTATTTATTTATTCATTTTTTGACAAATTTTATTTATTAAATAGGGAAGACTTTAAAACTTAACAACAACCATTTTATTGTATGGATTTTTCCTTTTAACATTAGGCTAAAATTAAATTAAGATAGTTAAAAGATATTCCTAACTCTATTTTATAACCCTCATTATACTACTGTAATGATTTTGTTTACTGTATTGGAGGTTACTAAATTTAATTTGATGGTTCAAAGAGCATTTCAAAAAAAGCGTATAGATATTCTATCAAAACGGAAGACTGGGAGTAAATTTGTGATATGCCAATAGGTGTTGTCAGTGGCACTGTATTATCTGGAAAAGACTATGCTTTCTTATATGTATTTGGTGGTGTATCTGAGGAATTAGAACTTAGAGGAAGAGAACTAAATTACTTAGTCTATGACATTGAGTATGATGAGTGGGCATTGAAAGTTGATCTGTCAATAAAAAGTCCTTTTATTAATAATAGATATGTAAAACCTTGTATTGATCATATAGGCAACAATATTTTTGTTTCACTTTATCGCTAAAAAGACTGCATTTATGTTCAGTTCTTTGAATTAATAAAGGGAGGAATAAATATTAAGTTTAAAATTGAAGACGAAAGAGATGAGTTAATAAAAGAATAAGAAGAAGAAATAGATATATTCAATGACATCAAATATTAAGATTATTTTAAAACATATTAAGACGATTTATCTTTTATCTTTGTTAGGGATACAATATATTTCCTCGATGAATTTAACAATGCCCTTATAACATTAAATTTTGCTAACTTTAATAATATAAAATACGATAGAACCCCTTGTAGTATCATAGCAAATGAAAAAGAAAATAAAACAGGATTAGATAAACAAATTACCATAGATCGCAATACATCAATCGACAGTTTTTACTTTAATGGATACTGATTAATTGCAATTGAAAACAATAATTATAAATTAACCCAGAAAAGCATTTAATTAAAATCTTCTAATCCTAAATATTAAATTAATCTAATTTATTAACTTAGTTATTTGCTCATTCATTTTCATGAAAATTAACTACGAATATTACCTATCAAAATGAATATATATAACTACAAATATGCAAAGTAATTTAAAAATTTAATTTATTAAAAACAATTAACTCAAATTAATATCTACATTTATATTTTTTTGTTCATTCTATTTTGCTAGTTTATATCATTTTTTTGAAAGCATTTAATTCCTTTAATATCAATAAAATCCATAAATAAAATAGAATTTATTAAACATGATTACCCATTTCGATTGAAAATTAAATATTTTTGTTAAAAATAAAATATCAAAAAAAGAAATTTTAAATTAAAAATTAAATTAATAATGTAGTTTGCATTAAATATAAGCACTGAAAAAGACTTAACAGATTGTTTAAATTTATTTAGTTAAAGTATATTCTTCAAATTACATTAAGTATTATGATTATTCTAAAATAAATTGCAGTAAATTTTATGTAAAATAAATATTTATTTTAATTTAATTTGATATAAATAAATTTTATTTAAAATATATAAATAAATATACACTTAGTTACTAAACATTTTGGTAGAATAAAATCTATTGTATAATAAAATAAATAAATCAACATGATAAATTTACAAGATTCCTAGATTAATCATCTGAATCATCTTAATCTTTTATTTATCCATGAAAATTAGAGGTGAATATTTTTTCAATTTAATAATTAGTTAAACCTCTAGTTTCTTTAACAAAATAATATAATAGCATAAATCCTGCTATATTAAAAACAAGAGAACTTAAATAAAAGATAAATTAAGCATCTTAATTAAGCAAAGAGGGATAAGTTATCGCTCCTATTAAGATTGAAACCAAAGAGATAAAATTTACAGCAGCAACTCCTCTTTCTGGTAATATTTCATTAATTATAACAGGGATAACAGATGACTAAAAGCAAAATCCAATACAAACAATACACATAAAGAGAGTTATTATGTTAAGCTTAGATGAATATTCAAGTTCAGAAGTCGATGATAGACCTATAAAACCAATTATATAACAAATTTAACCAATAAGTAATATAGTTTTCCTTCCCATCAATTTTGCAAATGGAATTTAAAAAACTTATGTAAAGAGTAATACAGCCCCAATTATAAGAGTTCTATATTAGCTAATAAACTTATCATTACTGTAAGAATCTAAGGCTTTACAGGAATAAAAGAGGAAAAAGAATACACCACTGAAATAACAAAAAAAATTCATAAGGCATGAAATCAATACTCTTCTTAAATATCTTGGTTATATCATATCTTTAAGTTTTGTACTACCTTAATTTATTTATTTAGTTAGTAAATAAATAAAAGTAATTAGTAAAATATAATTTTACCTTCCATCTACCTTGCTTACTTAATTTCGAAGATTTCAAGAATTTTATCAGCCTACTATTCAACATAAAATAATGAAATAATTTTTCTAGCTTTTTCTTTCAGGTTTTTTTAAAGATAAAAAAATGGTGTGTCTTTTTTAAAAACAAAAAAAAGCAAAATTAATCTTATCGAAGATAGCGCTATTGGTAAAATATAAAAAATTTCTCCTATAAGTGTATAATTAGGCATACTAGAATCTTCATTCTATTCTTGTTTAATAAAGACTCCCCACACAAATGAAATAGCTATTCCTAAAATTACAAAAAAATGATGGGTTATTATTACTCTTCCTGTTCCAGAAAAGCAAGGTGCATATTCTAATAAATAAACAGGGATTATTGTAGAGTTAATTCCAACAGACAATCCGATAAAAAACCTATAATTATTGATTAATAATAAACTTTAAAATAATTATTTTTAATTTGCATGTATTTTTCAAGAATTTGATCAGATAAAAACTTGATTTAATTTACTTAAAAACAACCTAATCTAAACCTTATCTTACTTCTATTTCAAAATATTTTGATAATTGTCAAAAAAAATCAAATTAAATACTATTTTCTTGAGAAAATATAGGGTAGAAATTATTGGAGAGTGCATTTATTTATATCCAGTATATTATATTTATTTTTTTATATATTTATATATAATAATTTTCTATCTAAAATGGTTGTTTTTTGTAATTCAAAATAAATTTATTAAAATGATTTAAATCCCAAATAAATTACATTCCTATCATGATGCGAGAATCTGAAACATGTTCATCACTACAACAAATTATAAGTATACTTATTAAGCATCCAGCTATCTAAATAAAATCAGCAAATATCAAAATAATTCTTCTTCCTATCCTAAACACTTTACTAATGATAATTAAACATCCTATACAACCTCCTAAAGGAACCATACCCGAAAAAGAGGAGTTTATTAAATATTTTTTATCATCAGAATAGCTGCTTTGATCAACGATTTATAAAAATAAATTAGTAATTGTAATACAATATCCTATTTCTAATGAGCCTAAGCAGATTGAAAAAATTAAATACTTCAAATTATATTCTGTTCTTAACTGACTTGTATTCTATAAATAATCATCTTATTAGGCTATACTTTATTGATCAGAAGAAGAAGTATCTCTACTATTATGCATTAATATTATATATAAATGTTTCCTTTTCTAATAGCTTATTTAAAAAGCTTATGAAGTTAATTCTATTTTTATTATTTGGCTTTGAGATATTAATAATGAGTAATAATTATTTTTTTTATATTTAATTTTTTAATTACGATATTGTTAATAAAGTATAAGAATATTATGGATAATATTATACCTTTTAGCTATAAGCTGATTGAATAGAAAAATTTTGTTTAATTATTTATGTGCGATATTACGGATTCTACTTTCTAAAAATACTTCAAATTAAAAATTATCTCTACAATAAAAAATTTATTGATAAAATTGAGATGATATCTATTTAATTAGAATTCATTAAAGAACAAAGATTTATTTATTTACGCAATTTCAAAATTAAAAGATTAAAAAATGCTAAGTTCCTTAAATAAATTAGTGCATAGAGTAACATAGTTTTAAGCCAAAAAAACAAAAAATTTACTTTAAATATTTTTATACTTAATTTTTTGAATAGTTTTCTAGTTCAAATAAATAAATTTCCATTACTACTCCTATCTTTTATGTGAATTCTCAACCTCACATAGGGCATCTATATACTCTCATTCTATCTGATGCTTATCATAAATGGAAACTTATAGACAATTATGAATCTTATTTCTAAACAGGTAATTTTTATTAGAATTTCAATTTTTAAAATTGTAAACATCGCTTTTTAATCTACAAAGGTACTGATGAACATGGCTAAAAAATACAAAACTCTGCAAAGTAGGCATAAAAAGATCCATAATAATTTGTTGATTAAGTCAGTTAAAAATTTGTTGATTTGGCTTCTTAGTATAGCATTAGCTATGATAAATTCAATAGAACATCAGATGGTAAGAAAGAATGTTTTTTTCATAATTTTTTTGAAAATGATTATTGCCATAGCTTCACTGGAAAGTCTTTAAAATAATTTGTTTATCATTAATAGTATCACACAAAGAGGGAGTTTAACATTTTTGGAATGTGCTAGAAAAAAAGGGATTCATTGATATGAGTAATAAATATTTCTCCCAAACGATCAATCAATGTTTAATAATATTATTTGTTAGAGAAATACGAAGGGTGGTATCATACATCAGATGAAACTTTTGTAGGTGAAAAAGATTTAGTCAAAGACTCCTCTGGAAAGTTTGTAAATTACTTGTTATTTATTTATTAGTTTAACTTAGTTCTATTATAAAATTTATTAAATGAAATCTTTGTTAATAGGTAACACAATCTGGATAACCTGTTGATTGGGTTAGTGAGGAAACTCATATTTTTGTATTGGATAAAATAAGAGAAGCCGTTATAAAGTATTTAGAAAATGAAAAGCCTGTATACCCTGAACACTACAATAATAGTATGATTAAATAACTAGAAGAATTGAAGGTAAATTACTAAATTTAATAAATACTTTAAAAAATAATATTTATTATTTTCATGAAAAATTACGCATTATCTAATTTGTATTAAAAACGCATTATTTTATAATATTAAGGATATTTCTATTAGTAGACCTAAATCTAGATTAACATGGGGTATAACAGTACCTTCAAATGAGAAATACACAATTTATGTTTGGTTGGATGCTTTGACTAACTATTTAACAGGTTTGGGATATCCAAACAATAATATAAATAAAATTCATTTATCCAATAATTTTTTCCATATAATGGGCAAAGATATTTTGAAGTTTCATTCAATATTTTGGCCAGCATTTTTACTAGCTGCTGGGTACTCAACACCTTAAAAAATTTTGATCCATCATCACTGGATCAAAGACAATGTAAAAATAATTTTTAAAACAAAAAACCTCAATAATAATCATAAATTAATAAACAGCAAAAAATGAGCAAAAGCCTTGGAAATGTAGTTGATCCAGTTGAATTAGGAAATAAGTATGGTATCGACAGTGTAAGACTTTACTTTTTGTCAGAAGGTCCACAAGATTTCGATGCAAATTTTGATGAAGTAGATTTGACTAAAACATACAATTTATTTATTGAAGGATTCAGTAATTTAAATTCAATTAAAATAATTAATGCTAAACATAATATTTAATTTCTAGTTAACTTGATGTCAAGAGTTTTCAATAAGAAAATTATCAAAGATGGTAAGATTACTGAAATATCTTGGGTGCTTAACGAATAAGATCTCGAATATATCAGCAAATTCACAACTATCAGTAATAAAATTTAAGAACATCTAGACAAGTGTGATTTTAGAAGAGGTTATTTTGCTATGTCAGAGCTTTGGGGAATGACAAATAAACTTATGACAGATCATGCTCCCTGGTAAAAGGATATTTCAGAAGTAGAAAAACAAAAATCTTCATATCTAATATTAGAAAGTGTCAGAGTTCTTTCTATCTTCCTTTATCCATTTATACCTTAATATATTTAGAACGTCTATTAATTAATGAACATTAAAAATGATCGTATAAATACTAATTACTTACAATTTAGAATTGTAGATAAGAACAATCTACCTAAGTAATCTTTTGGCTTTGAAGAGTTGTCCTCTGAATTTTTGAAAGTAGATATTGATAATAAGAAGCTTATTTTTAAGCAAAAGTTTGACTTACAAAAAAAGATTTGAGGTTTCTTAAAAAATTAAAAATAATTTAACTTTCTAGCATAAAAAAATACAAAAAACAAATATATTTATTTCTTTATTTTTTGTGTAAATATTTATTGAGTAATAATAATAATAATAATTAATTTTTAAAATAAATGGATAAAAATAATTTTAAAAATTTTATTTTATGAATTTTCTTGAATTAATTTAATTTGTAACCAAAAAACTTTTAAGGAATGAATTGATAGATAATAATTTATTTTTTAAAAAACATAAAGATACTTTTTAAATAATTCTTAAAAAATATTAAAAAATAATTTATTTTAAATTAAAAATAATATAAATACTTTTACATTCTTATCAATTAGCTACCACTCCTATTAATATTTTTTGTTTGAATTGGGTTTAATTTCTAAAAAAATTGGATAAATTTACTTTTAAATTAGAAATAAATTAATGTAAAGTAATTTAAATAGTAAATAGCTGATAGAGGATTTGATAAATATGATAATGGTAATATAACAAATGATATATTATGTATAGGATACTTAAAAGATTGAAATTATTTGTTTAAATATTAAATTATATTTTTTGAGGGTTTTTTATAGTTAACTTTAATTTTTTATTTATTTAGATTTTTAATATTTCATTTTATTTTTAATTATTTATTGATATTTACAGATTTTATTTTTTATGTTTATTTAATAACTTAAATTTAGGTTTTTATTTTTATTTTATAAGAATTTTTTGTTGATTGATTATTATTTTTAGTAATTTATGTCTTTATTTTTTTGTCTTTTCTTGTATCTATCAAGCTTTACCTATAAAAGACCAGTTTTTAACTCTGTTTATTTTTTAATTTTGTTTATTGTAGTCTTAATCCATGTATCTTTACTGCAATTTCTCTTTATTTTCAGTATTAACTATGTGTTAATTAGCAAATAAAAATTAAGGGGGTTAATATTATTTTTCATAAACTCTATGCCAGTCTATTCCTTCAAAGAATTCGTGAGATTTTATTTATTAAATGGAATTATAGCCCAGTCTTTCTTTTGGATTCTTTTTTAATAATTACTATAAAAAAAATTTAAAATGAAATTTATTATATTTAAAGCGATTTACTATAATTAGAGTCTTAGCGGAGTTAGAGAGATATTTAGGCAACTAAGGGTCTTCTGATTTTATTCCACTGTATAATTATTTGATATCTTCATGGAAGAAAGGTGGTTGTCCTGTTAGCATTTCATATAAAACACAACCTATCCCGTAAATATCTGAGGCCTTTGAGAATCCCTTTCCAAGAAGCATTTCTGGAGATAAATAGGCTGGAGATCCACAAAAACTCTTAGTTACATCAAAGTCTGCTACATGCTCTTTTGAAAGACCAAAGTCAGTCAATTTGATATGTCCATCAGAACTTATCAATATGTTTTCAGGTTTTAAATCTCTGTATAAAATATTTTATGAATGTAGATATTCTATTGCAAGGATAATCTCACAAACAAAGAATCTGGCTGTTAGCTCACTGAATCTGCTTTCTCTTTGGATGTGCTAAAGTAAAACTCCACCATTGCAATAATCAAGAACCATATATAAGTGATTTGGAGTCTATTTTAAAAATAAATTTTAGATTAATTCTCAATATAATAATGTAATTAATACCTGAAATGCATAATGAAGTCCAACCACAAAAGGATTTTTACAGCGCTTTAAAATATTGCATTCAGTTACTGCATATTTAAGCTGACGCTTCATAATCAAACTTACTTTTTTCAACATTTTCATTGCAAAAAGTTCTTCAGTACTATTTTACTAGACAAGAAAAACTCTTCCAAATGAACCTTTTCCTAGTGCTCCGAGGATAGTAAAATCTTTGAATGCTAGCGAGTGACTAATTTCAATATGGAATGATTTTTTTACATGTTTTGCCAAAATTTCTTAGAAATTCATTCCGTTTTCAATATTGCTCATAGCTTATTACATATTCAAAGAATTATTTTAATCTTTCTCATCACATTTAGCACAGAAGTGTTACTCATCCTTGATTGTAATTACTTATTAATTAATTTAGATCGTTGAAAACATAGTAAAAAGCTTATCAGTAGATTATTGATCTGCTATTTCTTTTTCACGTAGAAAGCTTCTTAATTTTTTATCAACATAATTGGCATATGCAATAGCTTCATTTAATTTATCTATCCAGTGTTCAGCAGCTTCCTTAGTTTTGAAAGCTATTACCATACTGTTTTAAAAAATAATTCTGACATAAATGAGATCTTTTTGCATAGGCCAGTGACGAGGTAGTAAATCTACATCTAATATATCTGTTAGGCTTATTACTAATCTATTTTAATAAAAAAAGGTGTTAAAAATTCTTATTTTATATAAAAATTAATTAATTACTGTGGTCTTAACGGCACATCATCTTCTTCTCTGTACATTTACAAAGTACATGAATCACTGTTAATTTCTAAGAAACGCTTCTAACAAATGCATGGGAAAATATCATGCTGTCTGAATACATAGCCTCTAATCATAGGAGGCTTTTTAGGCATATCGTTAAAGAAGCTCTAATTATTTATATAAATGACAAAATAAGTAAAAGTGTATTTTTTAAAATTTAATGAGGATTTTAAAAAACTAAGTGACTCATGATTTATAAAATTTAATTATTTATTTTTCTTGTCCATCAAATCAAATTAATTAACTAAATTGTGCTAATGAGTATTACTCAAATTAAATAAAAGAATTTTTATATGACACAAATGATAATCACATCTAAATATCTTTATAATGCAAATTACATTTTGCTGAAATTAAAAACTTATCCTGTCACTTAATATAAATCAAAATTAATTTGCTTGAATTTTTACCTTTCTATTTTCGAGATAGTCCATAGCTGTTTATATATCAAATTTTTTAATTTGTCTATGTTATCTGAAGAAGAATCTGACTTTTTTAGTGGCTACATCAAAAGGGGATTTTCCTTCTGTTGGATGTTTTAGTCTAATTTTGTTGGAATAATTAAATTTAATACTCTAAATAGAATTTAAATTACTCTGGATTAGCATTTTTATCTAAAACTAGGTACTAAACTATCTTAATAAAACCTTTAGCGCTAGCGAGATGAAGCGCGGTACCTCTTTAAGTAATTTAATCTATAATTAAGTCGTCAGAGTCTGTTAAAACTTTTACTACTTTCAAATTATTTTTAAATACAGCAAGCTGTAAAGGCGTCCAATCATCTGAAGTTGGTTTATTCAAATCAGCACCTTCAATAATAAGCTTTCTGCAGATATCATCAAACTCTAAGTAAGAAGCATAATGCAAGCTATTCCATCCATTTGAATCTAACTCTGAAATAATATCTTATTATTTAGTTTTTTTATATTTTTTTAGCAAGGTAGTGTGCAAATCAAGGTATTATTTAGCTTCTTTCCATTTCCTATCTTGTATAGCCTATAAATAATACAAAAATATATGATAAAGTTATTCTTATAGATAAAAATTAATAGGAAATATAGAATATATTTTATTAAATTCTAAATACTTAATATTTACCTTAATAAACTACTATAAAATTTAATAAAACTTCTGTTAAGAGTAACCGTCTTCAGACTCTGAATAGCTATGAGGAGTTGTAGCTTTAGTCGATATAATAGAATTGTCAAGAGTTGTACTAAGGATATTAGAATCACTACAAGCATTTAACTAACTATTATCTAGAGACTAAATCTTTTCAATCTCTTCACTTTAACCAATAAGTCCTAACTTTCTATAATAGTGAGCATTAATTTATAATAGCTAATCTTGTACAACCTAATTTTAAAATAGGATTTACATTTCCAACATAATTTTATGTGTATTTTTTTTACTTTCTTTTAGCAAGAAGGGTGATTAAAATGGAACTCTCCTTTTCTAAAATCATGGACGTTAATTAGTTAGTTATCGTAAAACTAGTAAAATTCTAAAGTCCAACCTTCAATCACCTTTATCTAAACAAAATAAAAATATTTAGTAACCTAAAAAAAGTTAAAAATAGAGTAAAAAACTTCTTCATATTATTTATATACAACAGATTTAAAGTTTTTAGATAATGTTTTAATTTTTACATATTATCCTTCTACTATTGTTGTTAGGATTTAATATTAAATGGGAATTCCAGTTTTTTCTTCAAATATCCTTTTAAGAGAATTTATATCTTCTGTTTCATCAATATGAATTTAAAAAGCTTTGGGATTTTTAATTCCGCAAACTCTACCAATCAATCTCATTTTTTTTAAGTATGCAAAATTTTTTATATATTAAATAAGTAATGTTTATCTAAAAGATAGTTGCTACTTTATTAAAAAATATTAGTTATTATTAATATTTAATTAGCTTTTTAATAGTTTCTTTAATTAAGGTGTATTTATTTTCTTTAAATGTTCCACAAATTTTCTTGAGTCAATCTTAATTTTCTTTAATTCTTACAAATTTTATTATTAAAGTTTAAAATATATATACATGCTTGCATGAGCTAGATTTATGAATCAGTAAATTAACAAATACTCAAGAATTCCTACTAATGTAATTAATTGCTTTTATAGTGTTATTTCTTTTACACTTTGGATGGTAAGGTTTTTTTCTTTTATTGTTCTATTTGCACTTAAAAAGTTATTTAGTTATAAAACCAAACGACAGCTAAAATTAGGAAAAGTCTTTTACTTAAGAAGAAAGTGACTAAAAAAGCATAAATATTCAACAACAAAATATTTAATTAAAAAATCTTTTACAATTTAAATGATAAAATTATAATTGTAAATAATTGAAGCTTATTCTTTTATTAACTAACATTTTAACTCTTTGCCAAATATACAAAATTATAAATAGAGTTAGAAATTATTCCTTATTATTTCTAGAAAAACATAATCGAGTAAAATAGAAAATGAAACATAAAAAGAAAGAAATAGATTTTAATTAATTTTTCTAGGAATTAATATACTCCAAAAAACAAATTTTAATATAAAATTATATAATTTATTCTGATCATTTCCTTGAATTAAGATAGCTTGATGTGTAAGAATTAGTAGCCAAGACATTTATATCTATCAAGCTAAGCAATTAGACTGTATCATTCATTTACTTATGTGTAGAGTTATAAAAAGTCATCCAACCAAAGTAAAATGCTAGGATTAATGTCACTACTTAGGTGATAGCTAATGTAATTTACAATCTCATGTTAAAATTTAAAAATTAAAGACCTTATGTAGTTATAAAATCACTAAGGACTGATATGATTGTAATCATTAAATCTGTAAATTACGAGAGTTTTTTTATCTTGTACTAATCCTCCCATGTTACAAGAAGAGTTTGTCTCTAATCATAATCCTCAACACTAGTTATTTCAAAAAGTTCCTTAAATAGATCTAAAAAGTATTTAGCAGAAACTAAGAATCCTTATTTAAGTATTTCACTTTATAAATTGTTACATTTAGTTGAATTAAAATTATATTTCTAACTATCAATATATTATGAATTACGATCAAAAACATCACAAACATCGCCTTTCAAAATTTAATAAAAAAAGTCCTCATATTCATTATTATTATATCTAACTTTCGAACTCGATTCAGATTCTGCCATGTATAAATCCTTCAAAATTTTATCATTATTAGTAAGCACATCTGGAATACGAGAATCAAAAAATCTTTTATTGTAAACTAAAGACGTAGGAATAGATTATTTTACGTAAACGTTTGCATAAGAAAAGAATATGGTACCACAAAACTAAGATTTAACTGAAGATAGAATACCTATTTGATAAAATTAAAAAAATTTTTCATAAAAAACTTTAAAAATTAGTCAATCAAAAATTTCAATAATCTAAATCTAAAAACAATCAATTTTTATCGGTTGATTGTTAATGGTACTGTTAAAAATAAACTGTAAAGAAAATAAATAAATGTTAGTTAATTAATTAATTAATTTTACTTAGCATTTGAATGTTAAAATCTCCATCAGATATAAAATTTTTAATTAAAAAGTAATTGATAATAGGCTATGAAACGATAGAAAGAAATCCGATTATCCCAAATATCAGAATGTGCAAAGAAAACTTTGGTAGAGAAGAAATAATAGAAATATTTTTTTTCTTTCCATCTTTTTGTGCGTTTTTGAAGGTGTTTAAATCTTATTAAGGCTTAATTGTTTAAATCATCTTTTTTTCATTAGAAGCTGTTGGATTTTTACTTGAAAAAAAATTTTATCCTATTGAGATTTTTGTTGATGAGATTGGGATCTTTTTATATGATAAATCATGTTAACTTACTTAACCGATTAGCGTCTAAGTTGACTAAATTCTCTTTTTTGTTTAATTTCTTTCTTTAGCTTGCAAAGAATTTAGACAAGCGTTTTCCATGTTTTAAATATCTTATGATTGCATAGTAGCAAATAATTTTAAAACTATTTCTCTCTAAGTTTGAATAATTGCATTCAAAGGTATGACTGCACATATTATCAATAAAGCTAATATGATGCATATTATCATCAAGAGTTTAGTATTTTCTAATATTTGGTTTAAAGAATCCACAGAACTTTCATAAATATCACCTTATAGTTATGTTATAATTTAATTATAATTATCAAAGTTGTCAAATATTGTCCCTAAAGGATTGTAAGCATTGTATATTTTCTGTGAGAAAAGGTAGTGTGTTATTATATAATACAAAATGAAATATTATTGTTTAGTTTAGACTGTAAAATTCATGCCTTTGTAACTTGAGAAATCTTTTTTTAATATGAAAGTATCATCTGTATCTGCTAATTTTTCAAAGTAGGAAGCAATTTGAAAATCACCATTTTATTGATTATCATACATTTTTATTACTTCAGCTTGATTTTGATGTATGAAATCAATGTTTTCTTAATAATATTAAGGCCATGCTTTTACTAATGCTGGTATAATTTTTTAATCATTAATACCAATAATATAAACTCTATACATAATTTAAGATAGCAAAGATTGCAAATCCATAGGCCAAGTTATAAATTAGTAATCTATTTTAGCTTTTTAGAAGGTTTATATGATAAGCACAAAGTCTACTGATATTAAACCTATTATAAGCAGTAGAGAAGCTATTCCGAAAATATTTAAAATTTGCAATCCAACATTTCTTTATTTTTTTAATACTGAGTTGTAAATATGTTTTAATGATTAGTAAGTAAGTTATTGATTAGAACCTGTTTTTTAAGTTACATGAGTTCTTCTTGACCGCTTGTTATCTAAATCACTATCATCAGTATCAAAGCTGTTACTTTATTTGCTCCATGCATCAGAAAAATCTGAACCATCTTAATTATTAAATTGTGATTTTTTAGTAAAAAATATTTATTATCGGTTCTAAAAGGTATTAATTTCTTCATTTCCAATTAAGTGAGGGGTAATATCAGGATAGTTAAATCTTTTCATACCTTAGTTTGGGGTAAAATAAGACTAATCATGAACTAAGCCATTTGAATATATCAAATTATTATTATAATTATCTTATATTTGTTAAATACTTGGCATATCAACTTAGATTTCTTAATATTAATTTAAAACTTCTGTTTCAATAGATTTCTAATGCTGAAAATATTTCATATTTGATACATTTTTATTTTGATTAGATTGGTAGTTTATATATTTTTCAGAAGAATAGTAGCTTTCTTAATACATATTTTAGATATAATCGTCATCGAATACTTTAGTTTTATCATCATGCATATATATTTTAGTAGGAGACAATAAAATACCACTAAATTAATTAGATGTGCTAGGCGATAATAATTCGTTAATGTAATTAGTTTTTTTATCATGAAATGTTTCTTACATTTTTTCATGGTCTAGTAATTTCTATAGAGTCCTATTCCCTTACATCATGTAGTTTGTAGAAAGGAGATCTTTTTGTGAGCCTTCATACTTGTCCTCATCGTTTCTACTTCCTTTTCTTATAGTTTTATTCCATTTTATATTATTATATCTATTTTCAGAAATAGTTTCATCTATTAAAATATTTTATTATTTATGATATTTATTAATAAAAATTAAATTTTACCTTATCTTCCATTAGAGGGTTTTGAATTTTAGCTTTATAAAGTAGTGAGAAAATTGAGTTATTCAGCTTCTAAAATAAGTGAATCAATTTGAATTTTAAGGAGTTAGATATTTTCTTAAATTTCTTTTTGTTTTTTTATTTTTTTAAGAGAAAATATCTCACAAAGTAAAAGTTCATCTTCATAATTTTCTACTTCTTTTACATAAAATCTGATCTTGTAAAAATCAAATTAATATAGAGAATTTTAAGAGATCTTTTATTCTAATAGGTCTTGAATTGTTAAAGGAGTTTTGAAGTAAAATGAGTCTTGGTTATTCTGCTTATTTGGGAGGAAGCAGAGTGTATCAATAAATGGAGAGCCTTTTAAGATTCGAGAATGTTTTAGGAATATAGAAATTGGAACCAATTTAGAAAAATAAATAGTTGAAATTTCTTAAACTTTGAAGTATTTTTTCATAAATTCAGAATAAAAAACTGTGTTAACTAAATTTAACTAGAAATTTTAAGGGCTAAAGAGTGCAAAATAGTTAGTGTTGTTAGAAACTTCCAATCTAATTATTATACCAAACATATCAAGATGTGGTATATAGTCTAAGAACATTCTAGGAATTATAGGTATTCCCAGTCCTATATTTGTTCTGCATAAAAGCATTTTAATTTATTTATCTTATTTATTTTCATAATTTACCATGTTTGTCATATTGTCTATTCTTTGTTCGAATTTTTGTATCATAATAGATGGAAAAATTATGCTTATATCTTGAGAAATTATATTCTGAAATCCAAATATAGATTCAAAGTTATTTGAAGTAGCTAAAATCTTCCCTCTTTCCCCTTGTTGAATGCTAAAAAATACTACACAAGTTTTGTAATAAGATTTAATACTTTCGTTTTTGAAATAAGTTGTTTCAGACTCGTTTTTTAATTCAATGCTGTAAATGGATTCTGAGGAATCATTTGAAAAATTGGATGAGTTATAGTTATAATTAACTAAATTATCTTTGGTGTCTAAAAAAGAAAGACTAATCAGGAAACCATTTATTATTTCTTTTAACTCAGGGTTAAATTTGTTCATCATGGATAAATTTCTGATTTAGGCTTTTAGTTGATTTCTTTATTATAAAAGATTCGTACCTATCTTGTAAAGTGATTTTATATTTATTTCATCATTGTTAATAACTTAAAGGAGTTTTAATTTTTAGTTAAGGCATAATTCATACAAACTTTAAGTCTCTTTTACTTATTTCTCAAAAACTAAGGTTTTTTTACAAAAATTAAATTATCTGTTTTTTTCTTTAAAAATTTGTTTAGCTTTATTAAGTAAATAGTTTAAGTAGATTTTCTTAGAATTGTTCATTTTTGATCCATTTCTTTGCTTAAGCAATTATAATTAATAATAGGATGGAGCTTAGGTATTGCAAGTATCAATTAGAAAATTTATGTAAAAAAAGGAAATCGTTATTGAATTAGAGAATTATGCACTTTAGCAAAAAAATATCATGCTTTGAATATGATTCAAAAATATTTTTTTTCTCAATTTATCATCAATTATGTTATCCCAAATTTCTTATTTGGTTTCGAACTTTTATTTTCAAAATAATAATTATTTTTATTTTTAAAACTTTTAAATTATTCAAATTGTTAATAAAATGATTAAACTCTAAACAAACAAATACCTTTGACTGGCAAAAGCAAGTAGTCTCCTTCAAGCATGTAAAGGAATGGAAACAAAATATTTATTCTAAAATGATCGAACTAAAACTCTAAATGTACTGCACATACTGTTGATTTTACATCAAATATACAAAATCTTGCAAATAAAATAGAGCTTTCTTTCTTCTATTTACTTAACTTATATTCTCAAGGTTTGGAAGGAAATTCTGTATGCTTTGTTAAACACACTCTATATGGCTAGAAATTTTATACACACAAGGAAACATAATGATTAGAGAAACAAGTATGCTAAACTTCAAATCAATGAATCTAAATATCAAAAAATAAAAACTCCACAAAAGCATGTAAAGTTAAATAACTAGATTGTTTAAGCGAATAGTCTTATTTTAGTAAACTCTGTAAAGAAAATGAATAATCAAGTTTTTGATACATAAGATGACAAATAAAAGATCTTGAATATTTGCTTAAAATAAACCATGGTTAAGTATTAGCACCACTATATATGCAGAGTTAAATAAATTAATCCATTTTAAATTTCTTCTTGATAATGAGTCGTGAGGAAAAGGATTAAAGTTGTAATCGAAGTCATGAAAGTCACAAATAAATTCTATTTTTTCATTATTAAAAATAAATTCAAACAAAAATATTCTTATCCATTGGTTGGCTGTCATTCACTAAGTAGAAATTAATTTATTTCTACTTTGCTATTTAAGGTTAAAGTTATAAATCAAAAGAAATAAATTAAATGAGTAATTTTTTTACATACTATTATTGCCACAACAATATTAACATATGATAAGCTATTTTCGAGATACTGAACGGGTGTGGAAATGCTAGGAATAAAGATTAAGTAAGAATAAAATTTATAGAGTATGCTAAGTGTACGTTGAATAAATCCCTCTTTATTTTTAATTCTAAAGTATGCTATTTGTACAATATCTGTAACTTAGACTATTAAAAGCAAAATATTATACGCAAGGCATGCATAAAATATAAAATAGAAAACCTAATCATTATAACTAAAGGTGCTGTTAATGTTTTTAACTATTTAAGTGTCTAATTATTATAGCTAAGCTCTTTTATACTTGCCAAGCATCACATAAAATAATTGGCAAGCATGGAGATAAATTAAGAATAATGATAGAATCTATTTTCTGTTAAATATCATAAAGGTGCTATAAAATTGGAAAAAGTAATATTTTTTTAATTTTTATATAAAAATCATTTCCTCTGCCAAGGTTCAGATGAATTTATTAGTCCTTTACTATGGAGCAGGAATGAATTATAATTATACTTTACGTTTGATTGATACTTTTACTATTATCCAATAGTTATAATAAATTCCAATATTTTTTTTTAGAAATTTTGCATAGACTGAAATAAATAAATTAATTACACATAAAATCTATGTATCAAATTTTATGATTTTTTTTTTTAGAAGCTAAATGCTTACTTTCTATTTTAGGGAAAAAATATTGGTAATACTAGATCAACCAAGATATGTTTAATATTAACTAATTTATTCCAGTAAAACAAAAACAAATTATTATTTATTAATATCATACCACAAAAAACAAGCATTTAGTAATCATAACTATAAATAAAGCAATAAAAATATGCATCCTTTAGTATATTATTTCATTCCAATGTATATTGAATATTTTACTCATAAAAATTATAGTTGGTGTGACTAACTATGTAACCTATCAAAAAAATAATGCATAATCTAACTCTTAAACTAAAACTTAATGTAAGGATTAAAAAATAATTAGCATCAGTAAATATGAAAAAATAGTTTAAGAAAAGTTTTTATATTTTTAATTATTTTAATTTTGAAATGTAAATTTTATTGTTTGGATTTTTTAATGAATTTAATACTACTGGTATTTTGTTATTTGTAAAAATAAAAATAGTACTACTAAACACAAATATAAAAAATTTATTTATTGTTCTAACCATCTAAATATAATAATAATGAAAATGTGATAATTATTTTAAGTAAATTTATTTTTCTTATCAATAATTAGAGAGGTTTACTTTATTTTTCTTTTTTTCAATAGCTTCAATCGCGGCATCTTTAAACTTGTCATGGTTGTATAGCTCTTTGTTATCTAAGTTAACTTAGTCTTCGAGATTTTAAATTTGTTAGTCCTGATTAGGATTTTAAGTTTGAGTTTTGAAATCTTTAGGGGGTATTTAATCAATGAGTAAGCTTTTTGATAAATCGTTGTTGTCGTTATTCATAGATTTATATGCAATGAGGATATTAGCATAATACTCTACATCTGCAAGATATTACTCCAAATTGTTTTCAGTTAAATCAAATCCAAGCTCGTAGTCAAATTGTTTCTTTGGGTCTTATTTAAATTATGTCTTTGCTAATTCTACTAAGGAATTTTGTAAATGGGGCTTCAAGTCTTTGATTATGTTTCTAACTTGGTTAATTTCTTCTTCTTTCTTTTGTAAGAGTCCATTAAGTTTTTTCTTTATTTTTTCATCGTGAGGAGTTCCCATTAAGGCTCTTTTGCGCGATTCATTTTCAATCTCTTATTCTATGCATTTGTTTTCTAAATCACGATTAATACTTTCAAGGTTATCAATATCTTGACTCAAAATATCAACGTAATTATAAAGCGAATAGTTTTGTTCTTCACTTTTAATAAAAGTATTTGTTATTTCATCAATGTCAGTAATTCCACTTCCTTCCTTTATCTACTAGAAAGCTTCATCAATTACTCTCAAATTCTTTTAATACTATTCAATAACTCTGACTTTTTCTTTGTTGTTTGCAATAATCTTTTTCAAACGATGTTTCAATAAATTTTAAGTGTCCATAGTTTCAAAATTCTCTTTCTTACTAGCCTTTAAAATTTCATGCTTAGGCTTTTCTTCTTCTGCCTTCTTTTATACAATATCAAATTGCCTTTATTTTATTCAATATAATTTATTTGAATTTTTCAAAGAAATTTTAAAATTTATAAATTGGAAAATACAATTTAGGAATCATTTCAATAAATAATGTTTTAATATAATATCAATAAATCGTTCAATTAATTACTTCATGTATGTCTTTTTTTCCTCTTCGTTTTTATTGCGAAGCATTATTATTTCTGATTAAATTATATTTGTTTTGTTGATTTTTTCTTCATTTTGGTCAATAATTTCACGGGTAAGCTTAGAAGCCTTTTCAACTTCCTCCCCTAATTTTCTGCATACATCTAAATGCAGAACTCTTTCTTTACGTAAAGAATTAATTTGTTCTTTTAATTTTTAGTTTTCTGCCTAAGTTTCATTATACTTTGCTTATGCTTGTTCAATTCTTGCGCGTAAATTCTTGATCTTAGCTTCTATTAATTTGGTGGAAGTATTATTTTGCTTTTATTTTAACTCAGTAATCTTTTCCTTCTTCTGTTAATGCTCTCTTTTCACCATATTATAGGTTTCTTCTAAAGAGAAGAGCCTTCTTTTTTCATGTTCTACTCTTCTAGTATAATTATCAACCTCCTTTTAAAGAGTAACAATATGTGGTTCAGATAATAATGAACGTCCTGCGGCAGAAGCAATTGAGTAATTTAAACTCTTTGTAGAATGGTTATTATAACCTTAGTAACCAGTGTACATTTTAAATTGATTGGTTAGTTTTTTATCCTATATTTCTCTACTACTTTTATATCAAAATCAAGAGGATTTATCACTATCCTTTTAAATAATTTACTACACTATAAATAATTAATTATTCTTATTAAATACTAAATATTGCATATACTCAAAGCGTTTTTTTTTTTAAATAGATAATTAATTATTCAATAAGTTTTTTAATGCTTATATATATTCTGCATAATTATAAAAAATGGTTGAGTACTAAAAAAATATAATTAATTTTAACATATTTTCTTAATTGAATTTGAATAATATTTAAAATTATTTTCTACCTTAACTACCTTTTAAAAAATGAAGAAATTTGAATGATAATGTTTGAGATAAATGTTTTTTTTATCTGAATTAAAAAAAGGTATTTAATATTTATTTAGCTAGATTTAAAAATTTTTTGATTCATTAATAAAATGTATTTGATTAAAATTTTTATATTAAAATTATTAGTTTAATAGCAGAATCAAAAATACAATTAAATCAAATTATTGAATTTTGAGATAATTATTTCATTTTAGCATAAAATAATATTAAATATTTTGCCATAAAATTGTTATTTGTTAATTTACTAATGTATTATTAAGAAAAAGAAGGTGAACTTATCTAAAAATTTGGAATAAATTATGGCAAAGATATTATTTATTTATTACATTTGATATAATTTACAAAATTACTTTAAAGTAACATTATTGATAATAAATATTTAAAAAAAGAATTTCAGAATGGAAGGTGAGAATCACATAAATGCAAAAAATTTTCATAGATAGAGAAGAACATACTTCCATATACTAAAACCTTAACAAATCTTGGTTAAAGGCCTACAAATAAGTGACTTACTCCTTCATTTTTTACAATATCAGTCATTAATTAGATACTTCCCTATTTTCCATACACTTCATTTATTTATTTACGAGTTTTAAGTACATCGAATGGTTAAGTCAAGAAACCAGCAACACTGGCCCCGCAAATACCAGCAGACCAATTCAAAATAAAGTTTTTAATCAAATATTAAGTTTATTTGTCACTTCCACTACCTTTTTAGTAGGTTTTTAATTCAGAAAAATAATGCTTTTAAATCAAGAACTTCTTTACATTTTCGCTTATAGGCCAAAAGAAAATGAAAAATCCAACATTTCTTTATATGGAAACTATTAAGGCAGAGTATATTCTATTACCTAGTTAAAAGCCCTTTTTATTGGAAACTCCTTCATTTGATTATTATACAGTTTTCCAATATTCGAGTGGGAATGCTAAAGTAGTGCCAATTGATGTAGAGAAGACAGAAGTGATAAGAGGTTTATAATAAGAATTGCTTGTTATATTATGTTCTACAAAATGAGATAATCTTTCATAAACTAATAACATTGTTAAATTAAATCCAACACTTTAATAAACTGAATACTAGAGGCCATTAAACAGTGTCTTAACTCCTTCTTGCTTAACTATATGTTTAAGAGTTGATAAAAAAGACACTTTTCCCACCTTCTACTCCATAGATGACTTTTACAATCTAATTTTAATTACATCTAAAGGTACTAATATTGAATTAGTTATTGCAGCAGATGTCATTGAGCTTAAACAAATGTGAAGAATGTTTCTTTGCTTTTTTTATTGTTATGTTTGAGTACTCATTTTACAACCTATAATTTGCTTAATTAATTTAATTTTTTATTTGGCAATTTGATTATTTTTTATGTTTTCTGTGACAAATACATAATATTTCACTATCAGAAATATAGCCGAATTAGTAATTTTTTTTGCTATTCAAAAAATATCCTATGTTTATTTAAGACGATATTTCAAGTGTCTTAAACAAATTTATTGCTTAATATGAAAAGTAACAAACATATTTATTCTTTAAATTTTCTATATTTTTCAAATAAATTATAAAAGAAATCAATAAAAACTATAAATTTATACTAATAGAATGAAATTCCATCAGAAAGTTCATTTTAACCACTATATTACTTTCAAAGCCTAGTTTGAATCTCATAAAACTATTTTTAGAAAATGTTTAAATCAATAAAAGTAAAAAGCTATTGTCATAGTATCTTTATTTAAAAGCATAAAGCTTATAAAATGAATATTAATTTGTTATTAAAGTAGAAATTGAAAACTAAAAATACAAGAAATAGTTTTTATAACAAAAATTATTATTTTAAAAATTCTTTTATTATCAATAAAAAAAATAAAAGAAAAAAATATTAAAATCATAATTAATACCACTTTTTATCAATTTTTTGTTAAATTAAAATTACTTTTAACGTTTTTATCAATTATATTTAAAAAATTAAAATAATCTTTTAAAAGTACAAGTTAAAAACTTGATAATCAAATTAAATAGATAAACTTTATTCAGAAAAATTTATTGTTTAATTTATCCTCATTACTTAGTGACAATTTAATTTATTCTATTCAACAAATAAAATTTAGGTTAGTGAAAATATATTTTATTTAAGTCAAAATATTTTTTTTTCAGTCAAAATATATTTTTTTTTAGTTACCTTAATTTACTAGTTAAACTGTTTAGTAAGTTCAAATAAATTTGATATTCTTTTAATTATTTTAAAATTATTTAAATTTGTATTAATTTTTTTATCATAACATTTAAAAATAAAGATAAATATGATTCTAATGTAGTTATTAATTACATTTATTTCTGAATTAATTAGTTTTATAAATTATACTAAATATTTTAGGAAATATAAAAAGTAAAAATTTTCAATCATTTTATTTTAGGATATTTTTATTTAAAATTAAATTGTATTAAATAACAAGGATGAGAGATACTAAAAAGAAAATAAAGAATAAATTATGAAATATATGCGGAAAAAACATCTCAATAAAAATATTAAATAATTTTCCTAAATTTATCTAATAACATAAATAAACATATTTATGCATTAATTAATTTAATGAATTAAAATTTTCATATTACTTAAAATAAACTCTTCTTAAATGTAAATAATATTTATTTATTTATTTATTTATTTTTATTTTATTATTTTTGAAAAATATTTACAAGTTTCATTTTGTTATGTGGGTGCATTCAGACAGATCTTTAGCTTGCCTTTCCATTATTGATTGATAAATAAAGCATATACACTTTAAATTTGCGATGGTTTAATTCTTCTGTTCATTCATTTAATAGAGCAATTTAAATTTTATCCATCAATTTATTTTTAGTCATTACTAAATACTTAATGAACGAAGTTAAGTTTTAATATAATAATCTATTTGGGATTATTTTTTAATTAATTAATTTATTAATTATTTCAATTTCTTAATTATTTTTGTGATTTCTTTATCAAAAAATGAGTTTTAGTCACTCGTTTTCACATGATTTAAAATAACTATAAGCAGAACAGGGTTAAAAATATTGTACTTAATTTTAAATTAAATGAATACTTTATGTAAGATCGTCTAAATATTTTGATCCAATATCCGGAGGTTTTTTTTCATTTATTGAAGTTAATGTACCAGTGAGTATATTTTCACAAATTTAAAATTTAACTTCATCTACCTGAGATAAATCTTATCTCTAAGATACTCTAGGAGTTGTTTTAGTTATTTCACTATTTTTTTCTCTATATTTTTTAATCATTTCTCCAAGCACCTCCTCCATTTCATTTTTAAATAAAATGAATATACAATCGTTATAATCTTAAAAATATGGGTAGAGTTGATTAAATACAGAGTCAATCTAATATAAACCAATTTTTTTAGCAACTTCATCAAACTAACAGGATTCTCCTTTTTCTTTTATTCTATCTTTTATGTAATCAATATATCCTGAATAGTCTTAAAAATAGCTTTTCTTTAATATTTTATATATAAACCAAACTTTAACTTCAGTGCCTGAATAGAGATTCACAATTGTAGTAAAAATGTGATAAATTTCTGTTATGCAATACAAAATTAGAATTGGAAGTTTTTAATACTTCTAAGAATAAATATCTCTAGGTGATAATTTTAGCATTATTGTACAAAATTTTTTGCATTCCTGAAGCATATGCATAAGATTTATAGAGAGATTTTGCATTTCAGGTAAAATTTTTATTTTTTTAAATTGATTGCTAATCTTTTTTATGATTAAATCGCTTGCAACTAATATGTCTTTTTTAAGTTCGTATCCTAATTCTTTATCTATATATTTCTTAATGCTTATCTCTTTTTCTATAATTTATTAATGGAAGTTGGTTGAAGTTATATTAGCCACAACAAATGCGGTTCACTTCGATTGTAATTCATTAAATGACATTGCACGGGTTAATTTAAAGGCATACTCTTTTTACTTCTCAACTGTATGAGATCTCTCGCGTTCCCTAAATCCTTTCAATAATAACGAACTCGATTTAACACATCCCATTTTCAATTAACCTAACTATTTGCTTTTAAATTTTTATCTTATGAACTGTCTTCTCTCCTAATTATAGAATTTTTTATCCTTTAAAAGCAAGTTATTTTATATTATGATTGATTTTTATGTAATTAATTGTTTAATTGCTAAAAAATCAACGAATTTGCTCTATGTTTACTTGGTTTTTATTTACAAATTAATAGTATTTAAACATAAATTATTAATTTTTTATCAAAACTCTTCTAATCAATATTTTTGTTGTTAAATTATAAACAATCAATTAATTAATTTATCATTTTATTGATTGATTGATTTATTTCTTTCATTTATTTTTTACAATTTGCAAATAATATTTAAAATTAATTCCCAGTATTACTTTTTATATAATGAACATTTATTTTTTCATTTGATTACTTTTAAATTTTTTTAAAGCAAAAATATTGTACACATATAATGTTTATCTTAAAAAACGTTTTGAATACCAATAACTAGCTATCAAATACTTAATTTATTCAATAAATATAATGTTTATGTTAAATAAGGATTTGATTGTCAATAATTAGCTATTAAGTACTTAAAATAAAAATAATTTTAAAAATCAGTTATCTCATATTGTAGAAGGAAGGTAAGTCTTTGAATTTTATAATTTAAGTTTTATTAATAGTAAAATTTAATTCTTTTAAATAAAAAATTAAAACAATATTCTATTTATAAATTAAAAATAAATGCAGTCAGATAAATTTCCTTCCAAAATAGATTTGGTAAAAAAAATAATTTGTTTGTTATTTTTCAAAAAATTAAATTCTTAAATTTTTTAAAAAATGATCAAAAAATATTTATTAGCTTAATGAGAAAAAAATTATACAGAATTAATTAATTTATTTATTGAATAAATAAATAAGGAAGGAGATTTGATTTGATTTGATTTGGCTTTCTTTTGTTTGAAAAATATTCAAAAAAAGTATTATTTATGAATTAATTATCTTTAATTAATTAAAAGAATTAAATATATTTCAAATACTATTCATAGTTATACAAAAATTTTCTTTTAAGCAAATAAATATAAAAGCAGAGCTAAAGTAAATTTAATTGAAGCCCATATAATACATACCATATTTAAAATGGAGGAAGACGGTTAAAATACAAACTAGACTTTAATTCGCTAACTTATCGATTCTATTGAAGATAATTTAGCCAATCATCTGCCTTCAAATGCTGTGTTTTTAGCTGAGAGGTTACTCGCTGAATAAGATACAGAAGAAACACGCGGTATTTTAGCAGAGTGTTACATGGCTGAAAACAAGCATTATAAAGTTTATGATATCCTCAAGCTTTGCAAATCAGAAATGAATAGATACAGATTTGCTTTAGTTTGTCTTAAGCTTAACAAAAATCAAGGTGAAATCACAATTTAAAACATTTTTATTTTTTTAGGTGATAGTTTGTGCATGTAAATAAAAAACATAGGCAATCCAAATAAATGCAAAACGAAACAAAAAAATTTTATTTAATGAGTACTTTAACTCCTATTTTAATTTAATAGACGGAGAAAAAGCTTTGTTAATGGAAAATTACAACCCTTAGGATTAAAATATGTAATCTAAGCACAGGTCTTAAATGCTACCAGACTACGTTCCTAACGGTTGCTATGGATTCTACTTACTTGGTTTAATCTATGAAGGATAATAGAAGTTTTAGGAAGCAAAAAATTATTTTGTGAAGGCGTTAGAATTAAATCCAACATTATGGGTAGCATATGAAAAGATTTGTAAGATTGGTGATTAAGAAATCCTACCTTACAAGGTGATTTTTTATTTATAAAAAGCTTCTCGATTAATAATACTTAAAAAAAACTATTTAAATAAATAAATAAATAGATTTTCTGTGAGACAAAATATAAATAATATATCAATTCAAAGAAGGCTAAAGGCTTGTATAGCTTCAATCCATAAGTTAACTTTTTAAGAAACTTCAAAGAATCTGCTGGTTTTTATAATTCAACTGATGAGTAAAAATTACAACTATTGCAAGCAATAAATTAAATTATATAAATTAATATGTTTAAATAATTTACTTATTTGGTATTTTAATAAATAGGACTGAAGATGGAAATAGTTTAGCAAATCAAGTGGCAAATAAATAAAGAATACCTAATCAAGCTAGTAATTAATAAGTTAAACTACATTATATTTATTTTAAAATGCTCTTTTATAAACAAATAAGAAGATCAGGGTCTTTAAAGAAATCCAGCTCAGTAAGCAATCAAACCTGGAACATCAAATATTTCTACGTAAGTTTATATAAAATCTAGCTATTATTTTAAGTAAATTATTAATAAATAGTATAGGATAAGTGACTGCAGGAAGAAACGATAGTAATTCAAGAAATAATAGTGCAAAAAGGAAAAAATCAGGAAAGTTAGATAATGGTGTAGGCCTTTTAAGCTCTATACCATCACAACCATCTAGTGGTAGCAGTAACATTTAAGGAGGGTAAAATAGTTAATTAGGCGTAGGTTCTTAACAATTTCCTGCTGCCTCTTCTGCTAACTAATACATTCCTGGTTAGATGGGTAATTCAAGTGTTTTGCAATTTGATTCCACATCAGCTACTTTATTAGGTTTATAATAAAAGATGTCTTCTTCTGTTAATAATACAAGTACATCACAGCAATAGCAACAACAAATATTATCTTAAGGACTTAATTTGGGCATGAATAATCCTAATCAATTTATATCTGCAAATAGCTAATTCTAAAATCTTTAAAATACTGTTAATTCGCCTTATATTGAATCTCGCTATGGTGGTAGTTAAGATTATTATTAATTTTAAAAACCTACTGCTGCTATGTAGTCTACTGCTTATAATATTTATGCATAATAAGGAGGTGTTAATAAAAATTTACAAACTCCATAGATAAATATGTTACTAAGCAATTAAATGAATTAGCACTAGCTTTAAAGTAACATTTAGCCTTTCTTTGGAGCTCCTGGATTTTAGTAATAATTGAGTGCAAATGATTTTTCTTAATCTGTTTCCTCTTCAGCAACTCCTATTAGAGATATTTGCACTCTTCTTAGAAGATTTGGTGAAGCCTTCTATCATATGTCACTTTACTTGTGCAAAGAAGCTATTGATTATTTCTTTAACCTTCCTAAAAATCATTAACAAACAGGTTGGGTTCTTACTCATATTGGTAGATGCTATATGGAAATTGTTAAGTACAGTGAAGCTGAAAAGTATTATACTGAAGCTCTAAGAATTGAGCCTTACAGACTAGAAGGAATTGAGTATTATTCTAGTTGCTTATGGCACTTGAAGAAGCAAGTAGAACTCTGTTATCTTGCCCATTAGGCTTTAGATAAGTCTTTATTTGCTCCAGAAACATGGATTGCAGTTGGAAACTGCTTTAGTTTATAAAAGGAGCATGAAAATGCATTAAAATTCTTCTAAAGAGCAATTTAATTGAATCAACAATCAGCCTATGCTCATGCTCTTTGTGGTCATGAATTTGTGTACAACGAAGACTTTGCTCGTGCTAGAAAATCATTCCAACAAGCTCTTAATCTTGATCTAAGAAATTACAATGCTTGGTGGGGACTTGGTAATATCTTTTATAAATAAGAAAAATACAATCGTGCAGCTGAACATTTCCAAAATGCAATCAAAATTAATTAAAAAAATCCAGTGCTCTATTCATTTATGGGTATGACATTAGCTGCAGACAGAAACTATAGCTCAGCCCTTTAATATTTTGAATAATCAGAAAAGCTAGACCCTAAAAATGGATTAAATAAATTCTAAAAAGCCAACACTTTAGTAAAATTAGAGAAATACGAAGCTGCCTTAAAAGAATTATAAGAATTAAATTTGATGATGCCAAAAGAAGCCCCTATACCTATGCTAATGGGAAAGGTTTATAAAAAGCTTAATAAAACAGATCTGGCTTTGAAATACTTTACAGATGCTCTAGATTTAGAAAATAAAGATACCCAAAGAATAAAAGCTTTAATAGAATCTCTGCATCAAGAAAATTAAGATTTTGGAGAAGACCTAGAAATTTGAAGCCAATTAATAAATTTTTATTACGATAATTAAAATTACTTACTTCATATAATTAATAAATTCACCTAAATTAAATGTTGTAAAATATTAATAAATTTAATTATAATTATTTTTTCAAAGTGTTAAAATTTTCTTATTTCCTATCTTATTTATTTACTTATTTCCCTTTCGACTTATTTTTGCTGATTTCAAAATGTAATATTATTTGTCCTTTTAATTGTTTTTCAAATACAAAAATAATGTAGATTTTATATAAAAGCCTTTTAAAAGCACATTTTCTAATGCAAATAAAAACAAAATATATTTTTTTAATAAATAAAGATTTGAGTTTTCAACTTGTCATTTAGGAGATGAAAATAAAAATATATTAGTTTAGATTTAAGACAAGTTAATTTTTTTAATAAGATAATATAGAGAACTACAAAAAAACATATGAAATTGCAAATAAAATAATATTTTAAAAATTATTACTTTCTTTATAAATACTAGCAAATTTAATTAAAACAATTTCATAAAAAGAATAAAACGAATAATAATAATTTATTTTTTGAATTGAGAATGTATGTTTAAAGCAATATTTTGAAAAAATTTTTAACAAAATTATTTAAACAAATATTATTATTATCTTTTTAAGAATTATTTGACCATTTAGAATATTAAATATCATTTGATAATACTCAAAGTCTAAAGTATAGTTGGACATTTAGATTTTATTTAAATAATTTTTCTCACTCATTAATATTTATTATTAAGTTTTGATCCAATTGTTTTATATAATTTATCAAAAAAATGATTCTCATAATCTAGCTAAACAGTTTCAATCCAAGTAAAATTTTGATTGAGCTAATGCATCAAATTTCTATGTGTGCATATTAAATTAAATTGAGTAATTAACTTCAAGAAAGACACTTTAAATTTTGTGTTTTCAAATTTAATTTTAAATTTAGTATGCAATATTTTAGTAAAAGAAATTGTATTATCATGATTAAATTTACTTAAGTAATATTTATTTATCTTTTAAATCACATGATATAAACTGCAATATTTCATTTTTAAATATGAGAAAATTTTGAAATTTTTATCATTATTAATTTTATAAATACCAAAAAGTATTAATAAGTAGAGCCTTGTTTAATTCTACTTTGTTATCAGAAGTGTGTTTTTTAAATTTTAAGTTCTTGTTCATTGTTTTATTTTATAATAAATAGACTCTTTAATTGCAGAAAATTGTCATAAATCAGTTAGATTTTAGCAGAAATTAAAAACTTTTGAATAGGATTAAGTTAATAAAAGAATTTTCAAAATAAACAAAGAGTTAAAATTAATTGCATCATGAATTATATATTACATATTATTTCATTTATTAAGTTGTTGAATTATATATAATTTGTGCGACATAATATGAAATAGAAAAACTTTTAAATGTTTGTAAAATATAAACATCTTTACTTACAATCTAAAGTTAGTTATATTGCTTTGTTTTTTAGCAAATTATGAATATATTTATTTTTATATAATTCTTAATATATTGACTAGATTCAACATTCTGTTATATTTTTTTTTTTAAATAAGATTTTTTATTTTAGTTTATTTATCTAGTATAACTAGTGCTTTTAATTTTCATCATCATAAAGATAGTAAAAGAATTTAAGGAATAAAAACATATTTTTGATTATGGCATCATAAAAGATATTACAGATTAAATTACTTATTTAATGATATAGTAAACTCTTAGTACTGCTTATTATAAGTAGAAACTTTTATTTAAATGTTAAATACATTTGAATTTAATTTATACTATTAAATTATTTAGAAAGCTAGCTTATTTATGCTTTAAAATATAATAGAAATCTACTTATTTAGTATTTTGAGTAAATATTTTAAAAATATCGTTTTTAAATTGATATAATCCAGTCTAAAAGATACACCAATACAATTTTTTTAAAATATATCTGAATAGTTTTCAATACCATCAATCAATCCCCGAAAAATTAAATAAGCGATTTATTTTGAAGTTGGCAAAAACAATTTATAATATATACTTGGACAGAAGTTCGATAAGTAGGAAAAGTATTAATCAGATTATGAATTAAATAGTGAAAATTAAAAATATAAATAATTAAAAATTAAATAGAAAAAAGATTCGCAAAAGAATATTTTAGAAGAAAAAATTTAATAAAAATATTTATTAATCAAAAATTTACATCACTATAAATGGAAGAAGGTACATATTTCTTAAATTCAGACGAAATGAGAAACACCCTTTTATTTAAATATTTCTGTACAGTTGCTAAGACTGCCGTAAACACAGCCAAAGAAGTTAGTGAAGTCAAGCCTGTCAAGGAGACCAAGCCTGCTAAAGAACCTAAAGCTCCCAAAGAACAAAAACCAAAGGAAGCAAAAGAATAAAAGGAAACTAAAGCCCCAGTTGTTGAAGAAAAGCCCTTCACTTATGATTTTACTGAAGACTTAAAGCTCGTCAACCACAGTTTCGAAAAGGTTAGATTAAACCCTACCACTTCATATGTCGTCCCTCCTGAATTAATGAACAAGCCTTCAAGTTAATATTTGGTTGGTTCTGTTGAAAAAATCTCTAACATTCTTATTGATCCTGAAAACTACATTGGAAAAGTAGGAACTGTTGCTGGTTGGGCTAGAACTACTAGGTAACAAACACACTCATACTTTTTATTTTATTTTTTAGCAAAAAAAGCATAAGGAAAGAATAAGCATAGCACATTTATTTAGAATCTATTAAAAAATTAGAGCGAATTCAAATTAAGTTTAAATTTTATTAAATAGAGCTGCTGGTAAGGATCTTTTCTTCATCGAATTGAACGACGGTACTTGCTAAAAGGGTATTCAAGTATGGAGCAATTTTATTAAAACGATTTACTCTTTAGTTTCAATTGAAAATTTGATAATTTTAAATAATTTACCTTTAAAATAAATAGATCGTCGTAAGTAGTGGTACTATTGAAAACTACGATACTGTCGTCAAGATTAATACTGCAACTTCAGTGAAGGTCACTGGTCTTTTCGTCAAGCCTGAAGGTGGTAGCGAAAAGGTTGAAGTCAAGATTGGATCTGCTGAACACAAGGTTGAAATTTTGGGTGCTATTGATCCTGCTCTCTCTAAGACTTACCCTATGGCTAAAAAGTTCCACACTGTCGAAAAGTTAAGAGAAATTGCTCACTTACGTCCTCGTTCTAACTTAATTGGTTGTGTTGCAAGAATTAGAAACAATCTTGCTTATGCTACTCACATCTACTTCCAATCTAACGGTTTCCAATACATTCACACCCCTCTTATTACTGCATCTGATTGCGAAGGAGCTGGTAAATAACTTTTGAATACTTATCATATATATAAATCTCAATAGATATTCTAGATGCAATTGATTAGTTTTAATAGTTAGTTGGTTTGATATATAATTTAAAAGAAGAATTAGATATTTTTCCTCTGTTTTTAGTTTTCCTTTACATATATTTTCAAAAATAAATTACATAAATATCTAGTTTTTTATTGAACTAAAAAAATATAACTCAAATTTCGTTAATATCTTTAAAAAAATGTCTATTTAATAAAATAATAGGTGAAATGTTCTAAGTTACTACAACTTTACCCAAGCCTGAAGAATCTCTCCTCAAAGTTAAGGATAAGGTTCTTGATAAGGAAGGTAGAATCGATTACTCTAAGGATTTCTTCAAGAAGCCTGCCTTCTTAACTGTCTCTGGTTAACTTTCTGTCGAAAACTACTGCTGCGCCCTTTCCAACGTCTATACTTTTGGTCCTACCTTTAGAGCTGAAGTTTCTCACACTACTCGTCACTTGGCTGAATTCTGGATGATCGAACCCGAATTAGGTAATTAAAAATAAAATATTTTTCTAAAATAATAAAAAAAGTTAGGAAATTTTGAAAGCAAAAAAAATAAATATATAAAGATTAGCAAGAAATGAGCAAATATTTTAGCTTTATTATTATAAAAGAATAGTAATCAAATAAATAAACTAATTAATTTTATTTTATCAAATAAAATTTTAGCTTTCGCTGATGTTCACGATGTTATGGATTGTGCTGAAGGTTACGTTAAGTTCTGTCTTGAATATGTCTTAACTAACAACAAATCCGATCTTGAATTCCTTCAAAATGCTTTGAAAAAGCCTGAACTTGTTGAATATCTTAAGGGTTTGATCAGCGGTCCCTTCGCTAGATTGAGCTACACTGATGCCATCACTCTTCTCTAAAAGGTAACAAATAATTCAATAAAATAGTTTATATTAATTGTAATTATATTAAAAAGGCTGTTGCTAACGGAAAGGTCTTTGAAAACAAGGTTGAATGGGGTGAGGAATTAGCTACTGAACACGAACGTTTCCTCGCTGAAGTAGTTTTCAAGAAGCCTGTTGCCGTATATAACTATCCTAAGGGATTCAAGGCCTTCTACATGAGATTAAACGAAGATGGCAAGACTGTCGCTGCCTTCGATATGTTGGCTCCTTAAGTAGGTGAATTAATTGGAGGATCTCAAAGAGAAGAAAGATTAGATGTCTTAGAAAAGAGAATGATTGAATCTGGCTTAAACCCTGCTGATTACTGGTGGTATTTGGACTTAAGAAGATACGGTACTGTTCCTCATGGTGGTTTTGGTTTAGGTTTCGAAAGACTTTGCATGTTATGTTCTGGTGTTGACAACGTTAGAGACGTTATTCCTTTCCCCAGAACTCACGGTAACGCTGAATTTTGAGAAACTCATCAGAATATTTAAATTAAATCATAATTATAAATAATAAAATTATTATTATACCTATAATATACTTTAAATGTTTTTTTGTTTGTAATCTACTAAGTTAATAAAGGTGTAATATTTTTAATTCTATCAAGTCTCTTAAATTAATTATTAATTGATTTTTATTCCTAAAAAATAACAAACTGTACTTACAATAAATATTTATAATTAATTGACTGATAATATTTTTTTTTCAATTAACAAGCAATTTATTTTTTTAAATCATAATTTAGGCGGACCTAGGAGTATAGGTCTGCTAGTTTTATGACAAGTCTATTGTATTTGTTTATAACCTAGGCTTATGGAGAGACTATGGTATTTGTTTATAAAATACTTAAAAGGTCATTTGTTTAAATTATAATTAATACAAAATATTTTTTATTTAATTTTTAAAATAAATTAACTTTTAACTTAAATAAATATTCTAAGTTATTTTTTTTAACTTAAATAAGTTAATATTTTTGGAAAAAAAGTTAAGAATTTTATGAAAAGGTTTTTTTTTATTTAAAATAAAATTTAGAAGATTTTATGGATATGAAAAGTAACTAACTATATTTATAATTTTAATACAGGATTTGATAAACTAAATATTAACCACATAAAAATCATTTTAATAGAACAAAATTGATAATTTAGATAATCAGACTCCCCAAGCTATTTTAACTACTTATTCAAAGTGATCATCATTTTGAATAGAAACACTTACTGCTGAATAGTAATCAATCCAAATTATAATTAATACAAAATATTTTTTATTTAATTTTTAAAAATAAATAAATTAACTTTTAATTTAAATAAATATTCTAAGTTATTTTTTTTAATTTAAATAAGTTAATATTTTTGGAAAAAAAGTTATCATGAAAAGGTTTTTTTTTAGTTAAAATAAAATTTAAAAGATTTTATGGATATGAAAAGTAACTAACTATTTTTATAATTTTAATACAAGGATTTGATAAACTAAATATTAACCACATAAAAATCATTTTAATAGAACAAAATTGATAATTTAGATAATCAGACTCCCCAAGCTATTTTAACTACTTATTCAAAGTGATCATCATTTTGAATAGAAACACTTACTGCTGAATAGTAATCAATCCATTCCTATATATTTATTTAAAAGATAATAATTAATTATTTATCAAAATCATTTTTAATTTAAATTATAACCTTAAGTTAAATTTTTCCATCTTTACTGTTATCACAGAAGTTTTGTAAGAACTCAACAAACACTTGTTCTTCAGTCATTTAACCAGTTTTAATTTTAGGATGATTATCACAGTTATAAACACCTCTGATTTATAAAAAGATTAACAGATTAATTTTGTTTGATTGTATAAATTGCTGAGAAAAATAAGTAATTAATAAGTTTTGTTTGTCACCTTAAATCACGAATTTCAACGAATCCTGTATTATGAGGGTCAAACTTTTAGAATGCTTTCAATACGATAGCTTTTCTTTATTCATTTAATTCACCCTATTATTAATTATTAGTACAATAAATAAGCAAATTTGAAATATATGATTGATTATATTTCTTAAAATTACTCTTATCACGCACAAAAACTCATCAAAGTCAACAGTTCCTTCGTTATTTCTATCAAAACATTAGTGGAGAACCTTTTTAAAGTTTGAAAAATTTAGTTAAATGAGTGTCAAAAATATTGAAACAGTAAATGTTTTAATGAATGAAGAAAATCTAAATACAAATTATTCTTATTTAGTTAAGGAAACTCCATTTTCTTTCAAGACTATGAAAAATTCATCTCTATCAACTTTGTTATTTCTATCGTATGAGTCAAGCTATCTAAATGCTCTAGCTAATCCTCTAATTGTATTTTAATTTCTAGAGAGGAGAGCTGATCTAACTCTATTAATAACTATAATAAATTCATCATTAATATGTAAATTAAATCTTGTCTTAAAAATGCAGTAATTATTATTTCAATTTAGATTAGATTAAATTTAATGATAGAAATTAAATTGTCTTTTTATTTACGGTTTTATAAGTCTGAGTTCATTTTATATTGTTTGTAAATGGTGTTCCTATAATTTATTTAAGATAAGTTGCTTTTTTTAATTAGCTGAAAAATTATTATAATTATTTATGATTAATGAAATTTTTAATTAGAATGAATTTGAAACAATTAAATTTGCTTGTTATAAATAAAGAATAATAGAATGAATGAATCAATCAATCATTTATAATTAATTTTATTTAGAATGAATAAAGATTTATTTTGGTTATATTTATAAATTTTATAGAATAAACGTTGGTTGGTAGTGTTTTTCCATTTTTAGTAAAAATTTTAATGTTAATCAAAATTAAAAATATCTTTTGATTATTCTTTAAGATTCTTTATGTATTAAAAATTTTTTAAAAAGTGTGATTTTATAAGCGAATAGGTAAATTAAAAAACATCAAAAATGAATATTCTCAGACCTTCTACTGTTAATTTTTTAAGAAGCTCTAATAAAAGTTTAAGTCATAAAGTTTAGAGGAATTTCTTCTAGAAGATATTTGAGGAAGCTAAAAAGCACCATAATTCTGAACCTTTAAAAATAGTTTAAAAGCTTAATCAAGATTATAATCCTGAATATCTTAATAATGAATTTGTTAAATACGTAAATCAAATAGGAGTTCCTCCACTTAACTCTTACAATATAGTTAATCCTAGGATAGCTGAAACAGATTTTTTTTCATAAAAAACTATATTTAGAATAGCTGCGTAAGCTTAATTTAGAAGATGGATGGACTAGTATGAAAGCTTAGTGGATAGTTTAGTTGCAGGTGATATGAATAAAATCAATAAATTATGCGAAGAAAGACTTTGTTAAAAATTTGAGACCTTTCTTGAAAAGTTAGAAAAATCGCAATTAAAATTTTCAAAAATAACACCATTAGAAAATTTAGATATAATGGCTTATCCAGAATATCAATATCATAGATAAGTAGAAGGAGTTTCTCTAAATAGAAGACTTAACTATCATGAATCATAATATGTGAAGACATAAAGTAAAGAAAAGTTGATTTTCAAAAAGCTTAATGAAAAAAAGTAGAGTAAATGGGCTCTCCTCAACTTAAGCGATGATTAATCTGAAAAAGAAAATAATACTGATGAGCTTGTTTTAAATTAATATTTGATATCCTTTTAAACCAATATAAGATTAAATCTTGTTCGTAAAGCAGACGAAACAGAAATAGTTTATGGATCTAATGACCGTAATTTAATAGCTGTTCATTTCATTTAAATTGAAAATGTCAGAAATCATTTCTAAGAAACTGATTATTACATAACAGATATAGATAATATTCTTAATGGAAATCCTTTTGTTACATCTTGAAATATTTTATGTCTAATTAAATTAATCACTCACTCACTCATAAAAAATCATCTTTAAAATTATTATATTTATTTATGACTATTAATTTTCAACTAGAATTTTAATTTACTACAATAATAATTATTTTTTTTTAAATAATTAACAAATCTTTCACAAATGTTTTATACATTTCCAAGAATCATTTAAAAAATTAAATCTCTACTTAAAAAATTTGTTAAAATAGTGCAATCCTTCATCTATATTTTAATTAATATACTAAAAAATAATTTTGATTATTTATTAATTACAAAATAGAGTTTATTTTTTTAAAATTATATTTTTTTTTTTGGGTAAGTTCAACATAAAATAAATATTTAAATTATTAATTTATCAGTAAAATGTGATTAATATGCAAAAAATTTGGTATTTTAAAATTAATAATTCATATCAGATATATTTATTTATATAGCTTAAAAATAATTCATTTTTAATTATTTATTCCAATTAGAATTTTCAAAAAAATGAATAAAGATAAAACTTAGGAGGAAATAGCAGCTGAAGAGCTAGCTAGTAAAATTGACTACACAGGTTTATTAAAAATTTTTCCATTTTTTCATCTAACAATCTTCTATAAAAAAAGGAAAGACTCCTACAAGAATTAAAAAAGAAATTTAATAATAGCTTTTCAATTAAGAAAAAAACATTATATTTGTAATAAATAAATATGAAAATATCTAAGTAGATTAAATTTATTTTTTACTAATAAAAGCGTCTTGAAGAATTAAAAGGTACCTTTGATAACATTCTGAATGAATTGGGAAATTTGGACAATAAATACAAAGATATTTAAGGAATTATTGACCATCAATCAACATAATTTAATAAATTGAGTTCTGATGTAGAACTGATAGAAAGTTAGAAAAAAGTAATTGAAACTAGAATGAAAAACTAGCAAAAACTCTAGGATACACTCAAAATTTTAATTTCTGGTTTATCTTTAAATGAAGATGAAAAAAAAACTTTAGAAAGACCTAGTTTTTCGTCTACTGAAGATTTGCGTAGAGCTGAAGATGTAGTAGAAAAGATAGGGAAATTTTTGCAGTTTTAAGTTGATTAATTTAGAAATGTAAAAATCTATTAAAATCAAGTTTAGTCTATGAATCAGGAGCTAAATAGTTTTATAAATATAGTAATTATATTTGCTAATCATTCTTTTATATAGTTATTTTATTTTCTTCAAAAAAGTTAAATTAGTAGAAATATATTTTATTCCTTATGCTTATTATTTTAAAAATATTAAGTTTTACAAAGATTTACAAGAAATAGCAAAGAAGAGTTCAGCTGCTTTATCTGAAGAAGGAGAAAGCAGGGAGGATAAAGGAACAGAAGCATACTTGAGTGCACTTGATATGAGTAATTTTAAATAGGCATTGATGAAGAGAAGAAGGTTGATCAAGAGTTTAATTCAAGCCAAAAATAACTCATCTGACTTCTTAAGTGATTTAATGTCAAAAATATAGAGAAGTATAAAATATATTGTTGACATGTGCAAGAAATAAATGAGGAAGAATTTAAAATACTAGTTGGATAGATCTCTAATCATAAAAAGTAAATGCAGCTATGTAGATAAGATCAATGCTAAAATTAGTTCGATTGTAAATGCTGAGAATATATCTCAACCTAATTCCCTTATGCAGTGGTTTTAAGATTTTATTAATTAGTTATCAGGTTAAATTGATTTGGATCTTAACTATTGGACAAAATATTTTTCCTTTGATCAAAAAAAATTCACCAAAGATGATTAAGAGATTTAATCCTTTATTAGCGAAGCATACTCTCCCCTATTTTTAATGGTAAATGAATTAGTCGAAGAAAGTATCCAAGCTAGTCCTATTAGTGCCTATTGCTTTTTAACATCTACTCTAAACTACTTAACTGCTAAGGAAAAAGATGAAGAAGAAGATGATGCAGACACAAAAACTGTAGTCTAAGATAGCAGATCTTCAGTTTATTCATACATTTCATCTAAATCAATATAGAAAAATCCAGAACTACCTATTGTTGATAATTCAGACACCCTTTCAACGATTAGTGGAGCGGGAAGAAAAGAATCGTTTAATGTGCCTGCTGGTGCTGTCAAAACAAAGATTATGGAAAACTTTTTACTTGACTTGAAAAAAGAATTAGAGAGTAGAAAGAAAACGATCGCTCATAGCTATTAAAAGTATTTATCAGATCACGATTACAAAGTGAAATATGCTCCTCCTTTTGACTAATCAATATATTTTTCAGTAAACAAAATAAAAAACTCTAATAATTTTATAACCTTTATTTAAAAATAAAGGATGCCTTCAGGTTAATGATTGACTTATTTGGACCATATATATCAACTTATTACTAAAAGGATTTATAAACATATGCTTCTTATTTTACATCGTAAGCCTATTTATTTATAACTCCAAAAACAATTTAAATAAATATAATTTTAGGTGGATTAAAGAGTAAAGTAAGAAATATGAAAAATATGAAAACATTAGAGTTATTACAAATATCTTCCCAGTCATGAATAAGTTAACAGGAAGCCAAATTTCTCAATACAAAGATGTGTATAAAAAGATTAACTCTGCATACAAAGAAAATCAATAAAATTATTGCATTGATTTATTTTGCTATCACTTCACTAAATTTTCTGTAAAAAATTCTTTAGAGAAGAAAATATTTAAAATTAGATTTTTTATTTTATATTTTAGGAAATGTGGTTTAAAATAAAATCTGTGAATCCATCTGATTTGGAGAGTGATAGTCAGTTCAATGCAGGAAAATTTGTTAAATCTGTTTAAAATACCTTTAGTCATGTAATTTTTTGCTAAATATTTCTTTTTAAAAATAAAATAAAAATATAAAATAGATTGAAAAAGAGCTAGATCCAATCTTAAAACGAATGAAGAAGCACTTTTGTAAAGACAACGAAATCATCCAAAGATAATTTGAAGCTTTAATTGTAACATTTATTTTCTGTTTCTAATTTTGTTAAATTTAATTTAACATTATTAAAAGGAGTATATAATAGAGCAATATACTGAAATAGAATAGCTATGCTGGAAGGCCTTAAAGATAAAAGTTACACCTAGTATATAGGAAGTATAAACAAATCTGTAAAAGAAACTAAATATTTTATTTAATTGAATTAAACATACTTTTATTTAATTTTATATTTATTCGAAGTATTACAATTTTCTGCTTGTGCTTTGTAAAAATCCTAAAAAACTTACAAAAATAATAAACTAACATCTTAATTAAATTTCTTTATATTACACTTTTTATATTTGACAATTTTAAATCAGTGTTTTTTGTGACTTTCAGATAGATTCGATTCTAATATTTGAAAGAGTAAATTTATTTTATTAATTAGAGTATACTTTTTAATAATGTTTACTTAAAATATTAATTTATGATAAAAGAGATTTCAATAATATTAAAAATATAAAATTAACTATTAAAAATAAATTTATCAAATAAATGCTAAAATCTAATTCAGAAACCCAACAAATTTAATTTTCAATTACAGGCATTGGTTATTAAAAATTCTTAACGAAAGGTAAATTATAAATCGTAATTAAGTGATATTTAGAATCTTTAATTAAATCCATAAAATTTTATATATTGGTGAAAATTATAATTAGTAATAAATTGTTACTATAAAACACTTGCTTAAAAATATTTACTAATTAAATTGATTTTCTTTTATTCAAATTCACCTTAATTCATTTTTATAAGATGATAGCTAACAATAATATTAATAATATAAAAGAGGATTCCGAAGAAATATTTATGAATAAATAAGAATTCAGAGATGTGTCTCACTAATCCCCAATTAATTTTTACAATATGAAAAATAAAAAGCGGATGTAGACTACTTTTTTTCCTAACCATAGAGCTAGCTCTAACCCAAACACAGAACGATAATAATTTACGCCCTTTATTATAGATTCTAACAATAATCAACAGCATTAAATTACTCCAAATAATTAAAGTACAACATTTTATCCAAGAAATAACTGTGATGCAAATATGACACAAATATTCAAAAGGCAGATTATTTCAAAAAATGTAAATAGGCAAATGCACTTAAAAAAAGGAGTCTAATTTAGAAATATAGCTTTAGATAAAATAGCTTAAAACGTTACCCAAGTTAACAATGAATCTGAAATACTAAAGATAACTCAAAAGAGAATTAATAATCAAAACTCTAGTCTTGATTAGTCTTCTGATGCTTTAAACTCTTAAGCTATAAACTCCTCTCTTATAATTTTTAATAGAAAAAAGGCAAATTTATTGAATGGCGGCTATTCAAATTTATCTAATTATAGCTAGATTCAGTATCCTAATTCATCTCTTGAATACAGTAGGGTTAGCTCTGGATCTAATGATGAAAATGTGAATAATATTTTGTTTATATCTACCGATACGTCAACTCAAATAACAAGTAGACAAAAAAAAAAAATTGCTAGCATTTAACCAATTAATAATTATGTAAGTTAACAAACCTCAAATAATGAAAAGAGTAGACCGACTCCTTTAGATATTTATAAAAACTAAAAGTTTCTAAATCAGTATGTTAATATGAACAACAGTAAACTATTTGACAAGTAAAATTAAAACAAATTAAACCTTTAAGAAAATTAAATATTACAAAACAATAAGAATTTCATAAGTTAAGATACATCTTTAAATGGTTATAGTAATTAAGCTCATTTCCAACCTTTTTATGATATGTAATTTTAAGAAGAACAAATAAATTCAAGTTTAAACAACTCTCCTATCTATACATAAAATTCTCTTCATGTTTAAAAAAGAAAATTAATTAATTATATAAGAAATCAATCAAATAATTTAAAATCTACAACAAAAAATCAAAGTCCAAACAATAGTCAAAACTAATATTAAAGTGGTTCTGTAAAAAACACTGAAGAAATACCTGAACAAAAATATAATAATAACTCAAATCTTAAAATAAATGAAAATATTCCATTATAAAATACTGGTTTTCAAACAATAAAATAAAGAGCCCTCTCCCCCAAAGATGCTTTGGTTAAAATAAAAAATAAATAAAATATATAGGAAATATGCCTAACATTCAAAAAAGAAGAATAAGCAATCTAAAAATAATAACCAATAGTGAATCCTTAATTATCTCTAAAAACTGACATAATAAGAAAACTTCAAAGTAACTCTGAAAGAAAAAAATCTAGCAGAGTAATTAATTCAAGAGGCTTTCCATATTAAATATAATTTGAATAAAAATCTTAAAAGTGTTAACTTGAAAATATTTATAATCTTGATAATGAACCATTAGAATCTTGGGGAGTTGAACATAGGCAAGAAACCCTATTTGGTATTGAGAATTTTACAACTCGTCATGATTATGAATAGTGATTTTTGCCAATAATAAAATATTAAATTTTTTCAATTTACTTTTTAAGTTAAAACTATATAAAAAAATTATTTATAAACAACAATTAAATCAATTAAAAACAATTAATTTACACTAAAAAAATAAAAATTTTTAAAGCATTCTTTGATGTAAACAAGATGTTATCTATAATATATAATTTTTATTTTAAAAATAATAAAAATACCTTTAAAAAAAATATTAATTCTATACTTAGTCTTATTTTCATGATATTAATGTGCTTCTTATAAGCTATAGATTTTCTATATATATTTTGATTTTAGAATAACCATGACATGATTATGAAAGGTTATTTTTTTAAATAATATATTGACTGGATAGTTTGCATATTAAATAAATAACACATAAAATTTTTAATCAAATTAACATTTTAATTATGAAAATATTCTTTGAGGCAAAAAAACAAAAATTGATAAGTAATGCGAAATTATTGTCTATAATAAAATTTAATACTTGTTAATAAGTTAACTCTATATTTAAATTTATTATTTGATGCCTTTATTTATGCATTTTAAGATTATTTTCAGAATAGAATTTATGTTTTTAAGGAGGTGATAATTATAAATAAATATATATATTATAATTATTATTATTATTATATAGGTAGAAATAAAAAAGTAGAATAAAAGTAAATTAAATTAAAATCTGATTATTGATAGATAGATAGATGCTCGATTTTGATTAAAAATAACTTAATTAGCCAAAAAATACCATTCCGTAACTAAAAAATAGTCTGAATGAAGCATAAATACTTAAATTTAAAGAATTAAAACAGAAAATTATTGATGAAGCTCATACTTTGTTATGCCCAAAAGATGTAACCAAATTCGAAAGATATACAGAAGACAATTAAGCTGTAAGACTTTTATGGGCTCAAGATTTCCACGTCGAAAAGGCTTTTGCTATGTGGTAAAAGTGGATTTCTTGGAGATTAAAGATTGGTGCAGATGATATAAAAGAAGAGGATATTGCATAAGAATACTAAAGAGGAAGAGCTTTTTGGCATGGTAAAGATAAGTAAAATAACCCCTGTTTAGTTGTTAAAGTGAAAAATCACATTCCTGGAGTATCATCAGACATAATGGTAAAATATGTTTTGTTCTTAATTGAAGAGGCAATCTAGAAATCTGAAGAAGCTGGTACTGGAATGATATCAATCATATGGGATAGAGAAGGATTTAGTATAAAAAATGTAGATTATAAGCTCTTTGAAACATTCAAGTCGCTGAATTAAATTATTTAAGATAACTATGCAGAGAGAATTTAAAAAGTTTATATTCTCTACCCAAATTGGTTCTTCAAAACTATTTATGCTCTTGTTAAGCCTTTTCTGACCGAAAGAACCAAATAAAAAGTACTTTTTGTTGACTAAATTGAAGATATGACCACTTATTTCGAACCTAGTGAACTATTGATTGAACACGGAGGAACTTCGCCTTACAAATTTAATTACTAATTTGAAAAAGTAAATAAATGCATATAAGATAATGAACTATAAAGCAACGAAGTTGATTATAATCTACTATCAAATAATTTTAATTGTATTGATGTTTAATCTGATTAAGAAACTAGAACGGCCTTGGAAACTGAGTGCAAAGTATGACCACTGATTTAGAATTTTTGATATATATAAAAACTATTATTATTTATTATTTATTTTTACTTTTACTGTTTATCATTTATCGAATTTATTTTACTGATATCAAATAAAAACCTATATATGTTTGCTTTTAAATTTATTTTAAAAATATCTTAATAAATGAGCTAGCAACCCATCAGTTTTGTATGTCGTTTCTTTCCCTTTTTACATTTAAGAAAGCCAAAAATTTTTGAATTTTAGTTAATATTTAAAAAAGATACCATTTCTTATTTACTGAAGAGATAATCAATGTCGATTAAAATAAATTTAAGTGTAAATTAAATAATAAGTAAAATATTTGAATGCATAAATATATATGTTACATGAACAAATTAAAATATTTGTTTTTTTCTCTAATACTACATCCAAAAGGTAATATCTTTGCGATTTTTATGAAGTATCTTTATGGTATCATATTTAAATGATAATTGTATTTTTAATATATTGTATGATAGTAATATTTAGATAAAGCTTTCTAGACTGCTTATTAATAAAGCTAATGTAAATAGTGAATTACTTGTATCAAGAAAATAAATTTAGATAGATAGAAAAGTTAGTTTATGAGTTTTAACATATCACCATGTATCTCTTTGTAGTACACCATAAAAATTTTTTGGGGATTGAGTAGACTTCATGCATGCAGGAATAATATAAATAAGATAAAGAGTGAAATCAAATTTACCTTTTAAAAAGCGTGCAGTAATAGGAATAAATAAAATAAATAAAAAACTGAGTTTTTATGGATAGATCTCAATCAATAGAACAGTTTAATTGAAATTAATAAAATAAAAATACAAACCAAACAAATAAATAAATAAACAATCAAAATTTTAAAGAAGATTAAGCAAGTTTTATAGCAGAAAGATGACAGAAGGGAGTGACTGGATATCTAAGAAAATAGATAAGTTCGTTGTCGTTAACAAAAAATTAGGTAAAGGTGCTTTTGGTACAGTATTTAGAGGCTTTTGCGAAGACGATGAGAACAAGCTAGTAGCTGCTAAGCAAATCCCAATCAAAAATATTTCTAACTCTGATAAAATGATCAAATTAATTAAAAGAGAAATCAACAACTTATAGAAACTTGATAGTAAATGTAATGTCGTTTCTAATATTTTATTAACCTCAAAGTTATTTCTATCATAAAAACTACTTCAAAAATAAAATAAAATCCTATCAAAGCCACTTTTATTTATCCTCGATTTTTAACTCTTTTTTCTATAAGCCAAACAATAAATGTCGTTTTAGAATCTTACAAAAAATAAAAAAAATGTTTTTTTTGTAAAAGAGTGTCATTCATAATAAAAAATATTAAAAATCTGTTTAAACTTAAACCTTAAATTTTTGCTAACATCAAAATAATCACTTTGACAAAACATTAAGCTTATTTTTTTTAAAATTATATTTTTTTAAAACTAGATATTGTCAAGCTATATGATGTTTCTCGTACCCCTAACAATCTTTACATGTTTTTGGAGTATTGCATGGATGGAGACTTAAAAGAATACTTAAAAAAGAAGAAAGGTGGTATGTTAAGTGAGCCAGAAGCGATTAAATTCTTCAAGCACATTGTTGAAGGATTTAAAGAACTTTAAAAGCATTAGATTATTCATAGAGATATAAAGCCTGCAAACATTATGCTAAGTGGTGGTCGTGCAAAGATTTCTGATTTCGGCTTTTCACGTTAACTTGAAGTCGATAATTAAGCTTACATGACACTTTTAGGTTCTCCTCTCTATATGTCTCCACAAATTTTAGAAGGAACAAAATTTTCATCTAAATGTGATGTTTGGAGTGTTGGTCTTGTCTTCTACGAAATGCTTTATGGAAAGACTCCTTGGATGGGTACTTCTCAAATAAACTTATTCAATAACATAAAAGAAAAACCTTTAGTTTTCCCTTCTGATCCTGTTAGAAGCGATAAGGTAAAGAGTTTAATCAAACGTATGCTACAATTCCGTGAAGAAGATAGAATTTCTTGGTAAGAAGTTTTCGATGATGAGTTAATTACAGGAGATCGTAAACTCCTCGAAGAGAGTGTTCGTTTAATTGAAATTAATAAGGATAATTTAGAGAAATCTATGATAGAAAACGGAGCTTATATTTAAACTAACTTAGTTGTTAATTACTTGAAGAATGTTGAGGAAGATAATGAAACAGAAAGTGATGAAAAAATATCAAATCAAGGTAAAGATACAGAATGCAATAATGAGTCAAAGTAGACTATCACAGAAGACAAGTATTAGTATGAAGAAAAGGCAGAATAGCTAGTAAAATAGCAAATAGACAATGAAAAAATGCGTAAAAACATCATGAAAGTTAACGAATATATTCTTTATGAGAGAAATGTTAGTTTCTTCTATAACTTTGTAATTCAAAAAATTATCAAGTCATTCAATTCCAACATACTTTCAATTAGCGGTGATCTCTACTTTCGTATTATCTTTGCAATATGTAAGTGTTAAAATATAAATTTGGAGCGTGTCAATCACATGCTTAAATCCTAAACAAGCGACTTTAATCCTTAATTGTGGAAAAATTACCAATAATCTCGTGAATTCATTAAAACCTAAAAGACCATAACCTAGGATATTTACCACTCTAAGAAGTTTTTCTAAGAATTACTTAAAAAGACATCTGAAGTAGTAGAAAATTCCCTAAAAAAAGACCCTTCAAAAGAAAGTTTAAAGAAATTTTAAGAAGTCATGAATGACAAGTTAACATAAGATTCTAATTTCAAATAGGTTTATTAGCAAACACTAGCAGAATTATTGAATAACTTGAAGTAATTAGCTCCTTCAACTAATAAAAAGGATATACTGATCATCATTCGTTATATTATGGTATGTCAAAATCCATATAGCGAATTTAACAATTCCGATTTCGACTTCAATAAATTCTACGAAGAAATCGATAACTGCCAATTAGACTCACTTCGTGAGGAGATCATTAAGAAGTTAAATTCAATTAGTTAGTGAATGGTTTATTTGCATTAAGAAAAACGAAATTTAAAAAATAAACAATTTATTCTTAATAATTTTCATATGTTATTATTACATTTTTTATTTCATTTAATATTTTTCAAATTGTTATTCATTGTTTTTCAAAATGTATATTTTAATAAAATTGAAGTATCTATCTGCATAACTGCTAATTTTATTACTAAAACTTATTACCTTACTTAAATTAAATTTTATTTTTCCAACAAATCATTATTAATTAATATTTGCTTAAATAGTAATACTTCTGTAATTATAAATTATTTAACAAATCTATTTACAAAAAAAAGGAACCGTAAAGGTAAAAATATTTGATTAGGATGAATATTCAATATTTTAATTAAATTCTAAAATCATCTAAAAATTATTAATGTGCAGCCATTAAATTAATTAATTAAGAATATTTAATTTTATTTTTTTCAAATAATTTTTACAGCAAAAATAATTTAAAATTTATAAAATGAAAAAGAAAATTTAGAAAACAAAAAATTTATGCAAAGGTTTTTTTGATAAAATTTGGCAAAATAAAGTTTTTAAAAATGTTTTATTTATTTAGATTTATAAGCAAAACTTAAAATTTAGTTTTTAAAAAAATAAAATTAATATATTCGATGGGTCTACTTCCTTTTTATGTTTTTTTTTTTTGAAATATAAAAGCTTTTAGTATTGAAAGAGATAAATTAAAAAATTTTAAGTATTGAAGTATAAAATTTTAGATTTACAAAATATAATGGCAAATAATTAGTATTAAATAATTTTCAGCCAACCATTTACAATTTATTAAATGAAAAATGCATAATGAGAAAACAAATAAATAAAATTAGCAGTAAAAATTATTAGAGATGCAAAGCTTTTTTTATTTAATTATTAAATAGCATTGGTATCCTTGTAAATTAATTAGGTATTACCTTTTAATATTAGCTAAAAAAAATATAAATAATCTATGGTGATTGATATGTACTTGATAATTTATTTGAAATATTATCAATGTAGTTTATCTTTTTTAATTATTAATTTGTTTTATATATAAAATTAATTATTAACTCATAATATCATAAGTAATATATATTATTTAGTATTTAATATTTGGTAGTTCAGGCAATCATAAATAGATTGATTGATTATAAATACATCCAATCACTGAAAACTGTTGAATTAAATAAAGGCAAAAAAAGGAACAAGTTGTTATTTAACGAAAGTAAACTATTTCAATAAAGAAATATATAGGAAAGGAGATCTGTCTTAGATTTTTAAACAAAGTCAAAATTTAGGATATATTTTAAAAGAAAAGGCTATTTTTTTGCTTATAAAGTAGGCTGAATATTTTTACTTACTCATACTGCAGTTAACAAAAATACATTTAGTTTTTTTTAGATTGAATCTGCTGAGAATTTATTATTATTTATTAAATATTTGATTATGGATCAAAATTAATCTCCTAACTAAAGAAGGATTTTATCTCCTTCTCCTACTCGAAGTATGTCGCCAACTTCTTAGAATTAAATTCCTATGAATTCTTCACCAAAAACATAAATGAATTAAGCCAAATCTAATATAGAAAAAGCAACTAAACCTCTTTTTAATATTCTTCGTAAGATGATGGATGATTTAGGAAAATAGATTAGCCAAGCAAGTTAGAATGATTAAGTTATTTCAATATCCGATCTTCAAAACTAAAGTTTAACAGTATATACATTTTAATATTAAAATTAAGCTTTTGAAGTATTGATAAATGCCTCAATTTTTTAGAATTTCAATTAAGAAATTTAAAATTCTTTCATTTTCATTACAACTTTTATCTAACTCCTTCTATATTTTACAGGAATATTAAAGACAGTTTGAAAATTTTTGTTATTAGCTCATGAAGTTTACTCTAGAATATTCATTTACAGACAACGAAATCAAAATACCTTTAAATGGAAATTTGAAGGATGGAATAAAAAACAAGTTATTAGTATATTTACACCATATAAAATAGCATATTTAATTGAAAAAAAAGAGCAGTCTTAAAGTGTTAATGAATAAGCTCTTTTCTGCTGAATAAAATAAAATGGGTTATGATTTTGCTGATTCTGATGATGAAGGATTTTTTGATGGGTAATCAGAAAAGGAGTCTATTATGACCGAGTCATAAATATAGCTAATCAAAATAAGCAATGTAAAAAATGAGTTTATATTAATTTGTGTGTGTTTATTTGTAACTTAGGAAGGAGACTTTTATTTTATTGCTAAAATTGAAGTAAATATCGATTAAATTAATTAATTAATTGCTTTAATAATTAGAGACAAAGTTCTATGAATTTTGATGATGATTTTGAGAATTCTGGTCCTTTAAAAAAAAAATTAAATGAAGCAATCCAAAAGATTAAAGATTTAGAATTTAAGCTCAAAAATAGAGAAGAGACCGTTCAAGTATTAACTACTGGTTATGTAAAAGATATTTAGCATATGAAGGAAATGCTTTTTAGATAAGCTAATTTGGAGGATTTGGAGTTTTATGAAGTCCAATATTTTGATAGCTCAAGCATTATTGATGAAAAAACTCGTTTGATCCTCAATGACAAGCTTAAGGATTTGAAAATTTAATTTGATAAAAAAACATAAGATCTCATCAAAAAAATAATTGTATTAAGTAACGAAGTTGAAAGACTGAAAAAACTAGCCAACGTAGGAGGAGGATCTGGTGATTAGGGAATAGTTGAAGCAGTAAAGAAAGTATTTGTCTTGGAAGAAAGCCCATACAAAATATGGAAAGTTATCTAAGATATTAAAGGAAATTAATTCTTTTTCAATGTTTTCGAGTAACAGAGACCAGAATATGGTATCAATTACAAAGAAGTTAACAAAATGTTAATGAATAAAAAGGTGTATGAAAAAGAATATAATGATTATAAATCTTAAATTGATGATTAAATGTGTAATTTGATAAGTAAGACCTCTTCAAGGCTATAAGATTTTGAATAAGAGTTGTAAGAGAAGGACAGAATTATAGAAGAACTTAACTAGCAGTTAAGTAGTAAGATAGAGGAAGATAAATAGTAATATGTAAAGCATATGCAAGAAATTTTAACCTAAAAAGAAATAGAATGTAAATTATTTTTCATAAAATGCTTATGAATATTCATTCTCAGCAATATCAATAACGATGATTTAATTTTTCATTAAAAGAGACTAAATAATTAATAAAGAAAATTAATCTTAAAAAAATTTATTTTACAACAAAATTTTATTAGTCAAGAAATAAATAATGTTTATTGAGTTTTTGATTGATAATTAAAGAATTAGATTATTTATATTTGTCTTGATAGATAATTAGCATCGTTAATTTTTAATTTAAAATATTCTTAGCAGTAAATTAACTAATTTTTTTACAATAGAGTATGATAAGCACGAAAGGTAAAAATAAGATTACATAAGTTAATATGAATAGGAAGAGTTGGAAAAAGATAGACTTAGAAGTGTGTGGCTGAGATGGGCTTGTGTTAATAGGTTGTTAAAAGCTTCAAAAGTAGATAATACAGAATAATTAAAGACTGAAATTCGTAAAATACTATTTAATAACTCTATTCAAATTGAAGCTGAATAAAGAGTTTAGAAAGAAATAGAAAACTTAAAGACAGAAAATAAAAATTTATAAACCTAAATCGATCAATTTAATCTTGAAAAAATAGTGATAAATCAAGATGTTCAATCTTACACTGATAGAATTAAGTAAATATAAGGAAAGTTATAATAATAAGCAGTGTATATAGAAACGTTAAAGAATGAAAATGCTGAATTGAGCACTAAAAAATCTATATTAGATTTAGCACTTAAGCAAGTATACAACAAAATAGGTAAGTTAAAAATAATTATTTGGAAATTTATCTTTTTTTATAATCAAAAAGGCATGAAACTTACTGATTAGCAATTTGAGGATCTCGATCTTGATAATGAAAAGAAACTTTCCACTAAAGAGTTTATGAAAAAGATAAAAGGTGTGGATAAAAAGTAATTTAGAGCTATTCGAGAATCTCAGATTGCTCAAGAAAAAGTAAATAAAAATATTTTATTTTTTACTTTTATTAAATAAAATCATAATTAAAATTAATTTAGATAGTTGAAGCTAAAAATGTTATGTTTGAATAAGAACTGATTAAGAATTAAGAAGTCTAAACTACAACTTTTGGCGTTAATACTAAGTTTGAAGATTTTATGAAATAACTTGAACAAGATTTAGAGGATTTAGGAAAAGAAGAAGATATTGAAAAACTTAAATCTCAAATCAGTGAATAAAAAGAAGAAAATTAAAATCAATAAAATGATGAAGAAAATGAATAAATTTAAGGGGCAAAAGATGCGAAAAATATAGAAACGTCTGACTAATAAACACAAACGGAGTTATTGCAATAGGAAATTCAAGAATATCTTCTTAAAATTGATGAGCTAAAAGAAGAAAATTACAATTTGAGAGAAGAAATTGAAAAATTCTCTAATGAAAACAAAGAAATTACTTTGTAAATAGAAGATGTTAAAAATTAGAGAGATTAAGCTGAAAAGAAGCTTAGAGACACTCTTGGTTAGGAAGGATTTAAAAATAATTTGCAAAATCAAAATAAATAGTAATCAGGAGGTTCTAATTAATAATTAGCATAAGGCTATTCAGCAAATAACGAAAGCTCTCATTAGTAAAGAGGTAGTATAGTCAACCAGAGTAATTAATCAAGTGCCTTTAACACTCCAAGAAAAAGCCTTTAAAATAGTCATACAAAAATTAATTATAAGAAAGACCAAGAAACTTAAGGAAATACTCATAGAAATGCTATTAAAGAAGAAGGAAGCTAATCATAAGGAATTAAAAATAATAATCCTTCAAACAAAAAAATAACCAAAGCCTCCAATAGTAAAATAATGAATGGAGGAGAAAGCTATACAAACTCCTCTAGAGATGCCATTAATTCGAATTCAAACAGTAACCCTAGTGCTATTGCACACACTTAAACTGTGTCTCATTAGCATTCTTAATCCATTAATTAAAGATAATCAATTTCAAAAGGAGATTAAGCTGGCATCATTAACTAGAGCATGCTAAATAAAAACGGTGCTAGTAATAGTAATAATATTATTAGAAACGAAAATGGGGATATTATATCTGTGACTAAATAAGATATTTAAGGAGATTTAACAGCTTAAAGGAGATTGTCTAACCCAGATTTTTTAAGCTAACAATAAAATGCTTATCAACCAGCTAATGAAGATAGATCAGATGAAGATGATTACTTTGAAGATTAACCTGATTATACCAATAGAGATGTATGTATTTTTTGCAATTAATACAAATTATTTTAAATTTATTTGTTTACTTTAGAATAGTGACGAAAAGCCTGCAGCAGGCAAATTAAATGAAAAGACTCTTAAACGTGAGCATGCAAACTAAAATACAAGGAAAAGAAAGTAAATTAATTTTTAGAAAGAATTCAATTAAATTTTAATAAATGTTTTCAGTAAAAAGAGAGTCTTTGAGAGATTATTCTAGGATTCTAAAGATAAGCAAGATAGAATGGATGAATTAAAAAGGCAACTTTAAAAACTAGAGACATTCCATTGGGAAGAAGTTCTTTCTATTCTTAATTTATATTCTAGTAAATTAGAAATTGAAAAAAAAGAGGAAATATTTAGTAAACTTTTTAAAAATAGAATAATTACATGAAGAATATAGATAATCACCTGAAGATTACATAAGACTTGAGTAAATTAAATCATAAATTAAATTATTTTACACTAATTTTCAATATTTATTTTATAAGACATAATAAAAGTCCTAGAGAAAGTCAGATAAATTAAATGAATTAAAGCTTTTTGCAAGGTAATGATATGAAAAGATTGAATATTAGATAAAATTACCCTGATATACAGGCATACACATAAAATAATAAATTCCCCTGCATTAATCCAAGCCCAATATAAGGAGGTCGTGCTGAGTACTACTTTAAAAGATAAAAGGATAATAGTTACTATAATATTAAAAATAGTACTTAAAATAATTAACAATTCATTTAAAATCCATAAATAAATGATAAGATTTAAGATGGTGATTTTAATGCTACTTTCACTGAACTAAATTAAGAAAACTATGAAAGAAGAAAATAATATCTAGAATAAGTCTTTGAATCATTTAGAAAGCACACAAACAGAATGCAATCAAGTAATAGAAAAGACCCAAATAGCGACATGAAGGTAGCTTTAAATGAATCATTGACTTCTTCTAGAAAGAAATCTCTCACACATGCAAGACCAAAAACAAGAGATGTTTCTAATTTTGAAGATAATTTGTACTCGTCAAATGTTAATAATCCAAATTATAACCACATCTAGCATTAATACAATACTCAAGCTGATTAACCATTGTTGTAGTCTAATTTATATGACGAGCCTTACAACCAATACAATTACAATCACAAATCTGAAGACCCTTTAAAGAAAAGTAATTAAAATTTTATTTAGTAGTAATTATTAATTAATACTAAAAATAAAAACATTAGTTGATTAACAGATCAAGAAGCTTAAACCCCTTTCTTAATAGTATAAGAGTTAAAACAATAACTAACAGCATATAACTCCATAAGACTCAGCAAGATTATAAAATAATATTTTGTAAGTTTTGATTTACTTATATTTTGTATTTAAAATAATTAAATAACAGAAAGGACAAATACACTTTACAAAAAGTAAGACAAGAAATTAACTCTGCTAATACTAGTTTAAATCCAAAGCATAGGTAAACAAACGGAGGAGAAAACAATGTTTTTCTACCTGAATCAATTTTAAATTTAGTTAAAAAGAGCAAATAGCAATAGAACACCTAAAATAATTAAAATTAATAATAACAATTTGAATTTCATCACTATTGATTAATTTTGTATAATAAATAAATAAATTTGCATGAATGATTAAAATTAGTAATAAATTAATATAAAATGAAGAAAAAAATTAAATAAACATGTCAATTGCTCTAACAATATTTTTGTAATTACCAAACACTATATTAAAAAATAAAATAATCTTCCTAATATCTATCTATCTATGTATTTATGTATATATTTATCCAAAATATTATTAATGAATTAATTCCAAAAATTAAGTTTTACTTTAAATTAATTGTTGTATAAAAACTTCTTATTATTTTAAAGAATTTATATAATGCAATTTCAACAAATAATAACAGAAAACTTAAATAAAATATTTGAAATTAAAAATATCAAATCAATTTTCATCACTATTAATTAATTTTGTTTGTTATTAAATACACGCATTATTATAAAGTCAATAATAGATTGATATTAAATGAAGAAAAAAATTGTAAAAAGTCCCAATTATTTTAATTTTGCTTTGTAAGTATCAAACGAAATTTTAAAAATAAAGAATTATATTTACTTAATATTTATCTCCTAATTTTTGTTTTCTATATACTTATCTGATATTTCATTTATTATTAAATTCTAAAAAAACAAGGTTTACTATCAAATTTTCATTACAAAACTTCTTTTAATTTCAAAAAATTCTTTAAGTAACAAATAACAAAAATGTTTTTTTCTAAACGAATATTAATTTATATTTATTTAAAATAAGATATACAAAGAAAAAAGAAAATAAATGAAGATGAAACAAAACATTTTTCTTATTTATATTTTTATTTAATTTATAATATAAATAAATATATTGAATAAATTAGACAATGATAATTAATTAATTAATAAATCTATTAATAGGTACATTAAAATTTGCATAAATAACTTTATTAATAATTAAATTAATTTATATGCTTATTATTTTAATCATTGTGATTTGAATAGGGTACAGGGTGCTAATTCTTTTCTATAATCTGCTTCTATAGTTGTGATAAAGTATGCCATAGCTCCTATTCCACCTATGACTAACAAATAAGATAATTTTTGTAAAATTAAAAGCTTATTATTATCTGTGTGAACATATGTAAAAGTAATTACTAAACCAAGGAAATAGCTAAATGGTAAGTTTATAGAATCAGATTCGTCATCTAATAAGAAAAGCATAAATGCAGCTATTATTATCCAAGCAAAATTTTTAACATGAGTTTTTCTATTTTCACCCATATAAGAATAGTGTTCTATCATATAAATTGTATTCATACCATACAACCCATAAATGCTTGCACTAGCTCCTGCATAAACCTTTTGTGTTTTAAAAAGCATTCCAAAGAAGTTTCCTATAACACCAACAAAAAAGAAAGTGAATAGATATTTCTTTCCTCCATAATAATTTTCACAAACAAACCCAAAAATCATCGAAGTGAAGATATTCATAAATAGTTGAATAACATCATCATATGTTAGCAAGCTTAAAAAGAGGCGATGATACTGATAATTCTAAGTTAATGCAGGAGTGTATCTTCCTCCTAATTCATAAGCAGCACATTCTCCTAAAGTTAGACATTTTGATTGTCTTATCTACTATTCAGTATAATATTAAGGACAAGATTAAACTTTAGTTCTGTCAATGATATATTAAACATGGATATATAAAATGATGGACCCTATTACTTAAATTAATATTAAAAAGCAGGTCCAAGATTTTATTGAAAACGAAGGAAACAGGGTTAGTAAAACACTTTCTCCGTGTTATGCGCTCTACAATCCTTAAGAATCAAATTCTCTCTCATCTTCATCCTCAAATTTATTATGTCCTTATTCTTTCAAAGCCTTCTCTCTTTTTTATTGCTTTGTCATTTTAAATCTCTTTTCAAGATCAGAGGGCTCTTCAACCTATTTGTTCTCTTCAGATGCTAGTTCTATATCCTTAAGAACATCCTTATCCTTTTATTAACTATCTGCTGTAGACATTTTATTTATTTGATTTTATATTAATTTCAAAATTAGTATTATTTACTTTTTAGATTTAAATAAAAAGGGTTTTGTTAAAGTAATAACTGGAATTAAAAATTTTAAGAGTCTGTTCAAACAGTTAAAATCAATTATTTAAAATAAATAAAAATCAAAGAAGTTAAATATAAATCTTATTTTCTGTTATTAATTTTTTAATTTTTATTTCATCGTTCATTTTATTTTTTAATTCATAATTATTTTTTATTAAGAGTTTTTTTTATTATTATTTTGTAATGATTAAATATGTTTTATTTTATTTTATTTATTAAGTTAATTTTATTAGAATTGTTTTAATTTTTATTCAATATTTTTTTATTCTATTTTTATTTTTTATTTTATTTTAATTTGTATCTTCTAAATTAGTACCTAAAATCAATAATTCTCAATTGGCATAAATCGTTTACTATAAAAATATATTCATTTTAAAATTGGAGAAAAGAATTTTATGTGATGATTCTATCATTAAGATTTTTTTATTTATATTTGAAGACGCAAAGGTCTTGAATATGTAATTTGTTGACGAAGAAGCTTAGAATTTTTGTTTAATCGATTGTTATTATTATTAATCATAATAAATAACATTTTTAAAAACTTATATTATGATTGCTATAGCTTTGTATAAATAAGTACTGAGTACATTATTTAACTGCAAATGGAACATCCTTAGGATGCGAAGCTATAATTGCAATATAATATGTTTCCTGTTAGCTTTAAAAAATTATCTTCACTGTGCTTCTTTGACTTCCGGCATAATTACAAAATTCAAGTTTTGATTTTTTTTTTTTTTGTTTTCTTATTTTTTTTAATTTAATAATTTTTTTAATTTTTCAAATTTGCAGTGGATTTTAACTGAAATTCAAGTAAATCAGAAAATTGAAAAATTAATTCTTTCATGTGAAATTTTATTTTCTTCACAAAAAAGTGAATATCTATCTTTTGTTTTAAATTATCTCTAAAATAAAATACATTTTTATAAATTAAAGAATAATCTTTTAGTACTTGATAAAAATTATTTTGAATAAAAGAAACATAATTTCATATATTAAATTATATCAATAATAAAGTATCTATTTAAAAAATTAATGAATAATCTTTTAGTTTTTAGATTAAAATTATTCTAAATAAAAGAAATAAAATTTCATATATTAAATTTCTATTTTTAAAATAAAAGTATATTTTTAAGTAATTAGATAAAAATTATTTTAAATAAAAGAAATAAAATTTCATGTATTAAATTTCTATTTTTAAAATTATAGAATATTTTTAAGTAATTAGATAAAAATTGTTTTAAATAAAAGAAATAAAATTACATATTAAATTTTTATTTAATTTAAATTCTTTTTCAAGAAATAATATTTTTTGTATTATTTATTGTTTTATATATGTAAATTATTTTAAATTAAAAATTCTTATGTAGAATATTTAAAAAAAAGAAAATAACACTTGACTGATAAAAAACAAAATTTAATGTTTGTTAATTAGGGGTTGGGGTTGGGGTTGGGGTTGGGGTTGGGGTT